GTCAAAGTCCGTTCGTACGTCACGTGTCCGTGTCTAAACTAGCGCCCGCGTCTCGGTCCCACCTCAACACTCCCCCTGGGCCGAGACGCGCATGTACTGTAGGTGTTTCTGTAACGTAGGTAAACTAAGGGCTTTCGTAAAAATGTCTGCGGGGTTCTCGGCTCCAGGAATATGAACAATCTTCAACAACTTACCACGGATTGCCTCTCGCAACCAATGGTACCTGATGTGCAGGTGTCTCACCCGCGAGAAGTTCGCGGATCGCGTCGCCAAACTCTCGCCCCCAGCACTATCCATCCGGATGACGATAGGACGTTCCACGGGGACGTAGATCTCATCCATGAAGTTCGCGATCCATACGCCCGTCTGCCCGGCGTGCACAGCGGCGATGTACTCGGCCTCGGTAGTCGACAACGTCACCACTTCCTGGCGGCGCAAGCTCCATGAGACAGGTCCTCCCGCCATCATCACTACGTGCCCGTGCGTCGATCGTCCCGTGTCTTGGCAGTCGCCCTGTGAAGCATCCGAGTAGATGGTGGGCTGTAGTCCCGCTACGTGGTTCCCGTCGTAGGTAATGCCGTGGTCGAGAGTCCCTCCGATGTAACGGAGGACCCGTTTGAGCGCACGCCAATGGTCATATGCAGGGTTCGCCATGAATCGGCTTAGCAGCTGGACGGGATACGCGAGATCAGGTCGGGTTGCAACGGCGAGGTACATGATCGCGCCCAAGGCCTCGCGGTAGGGGATCTTGTCCATCTCTGCTCGCTGCTCTGCGGTCGCCGGCTCAGAGTCCTTCGACAGTTTGGTGCCTGGTTCGAGCGGTGTACGGACTGGGTTTGAGTCCTTCATCCCGAACCGGTCAAGCACTCGCTCCGCGTACGCACGTTGCGACATGCGCATCGTCTTGAGTTCCCGGTCCCGCTCGATCAGGACACCAAGCATGTATTTGAACTCGCCTCCCCCGCTGAGCCGGTACCGCACAGCAAGCTCGGATCGTACGTTCGTCAGGCCAGTGATCGAGTCTGCGGCTTCACCGATGTCGTCCGTGTACGTCGTAGTGATCGCCAGTCCTTCCTCGTCGAACCTCGCACGTACGCACTCGTCCGCTCGCGAGCGCGAGAACCCGAGCTCCTGGTACGTCTTGTCGAGTTTCTTCCACCAATCGTTACCCGCCTGCATGCATCCATAGAGCCCTCGGACCATCCTACAAACATGAGTCGGGAATTCCTTAGAGACGTACCCGGCCGGTTGCTCCATGTATATTGTTTCCTCTGGGGACGCGTTGAGGTACGCTTTCTCCACGTCATCCTGACCCATCTCCATGTCTCGCACGACGGCGGTGGCACACACAACGCGCAGGGACTCGAACCGGACGACTGACGCGTGAGTCTCGAAGTAGTCGATGCCGGGGATTTGCTGGAAGCCCTTCGCCACCAGCCGTGCCTTCGGCTTCCATCTCCCCTCCGCCTCCTCATCCCCGTCAAACTTACGCGCATACACCCACTTGTTCCCAATGACGTTCATGTCCGGCGTACGAGGTACGAGTTCCCAAGCGTTGATCTTCGCTAGCCCGTTGATTTCACTATCCATCGAGGGCGTCCAGATCTCGGGTTGGCGGCTCGCCTCCTTGTAAGACTCCGGGGTCTTCCCTCCACGGTACCATCGTGTTTCTCCGTCCTGACCTGCGGGAGACGCCTCCGTGAACATCGCGATGTATGCGCCTTCCGGACTTTGGTTCCGGCCCACCCCTCCGTCGTCGTCTGCAGTCCAGGCCTCGCCTTTACTGCGCGCCGCCTGCTCTCTCGCATCCGACTCTTGCGACTCGCGCAACTTCTGGCTAGGCACCGCTGTCCTTGCGGATCGACGTGGGGCGTTCACCTCCTCGGGTAGCGCCAGAGCAGGTACGTCTTCGTCTCCAGGCCTCGGCTCCCCGTGGCTGCTTGCCCCAGCTGCGCATCGGGTTCTTCGGCTGCAACCTCCTCGTCTGCATTGGGCTTCGAAGCCTCATTGACTGTCACTTCGAGAGGCGCGTCCTGGATCGCCAAGATGCGGTGACCCGGTCCTTCCTCGAATATGACGTCGCGGCTACGAATGATTCGGCCAGACGCTGGGTCCCACAGGCGGTAGTTCGCGTTTTCGGTGTATCCGACGAGGATGCATCGAATCGACTTAGGGTCCAGTTTCGTCCGAGTCTCGTCAGGGACCTTCGCCCAGGCGACTGAGCCGAAGGCTCGCAGATGCGCAACGTTTGGCACATGCCCGAACCATCTCTCATATGGGGTCCGGCCCTTCTGGCGAGCTGAAGCCGTTAGGTTCTCCACGTACGTAGCCGTTTTGTATGCCTCTCCCCACAAGCCTACTGGTAAGCCGGCGTCGATGAGCATCGACCGGGCGTGGTCGCCTAGCGTTCGATGGCCGCGTTCTCCGACTCCATCCTGCTGAGGAGTGTAAGGCGTCGTCATCTCATGGATTATGCCATGCTCTCGGTTGAAGGCAGCCCATAGAGCGTTATTGAACTCGTTCCCGTTGTCGGTACGAATCCGGCGAAGCTTCTTCCCTGTCTGGAGTTCAGCCATCGTTCGATACCCGCTGTACGAGTCGAGGGTCTCGGTCGCCTCCTTAGTCTTTAGGAGGTCGAGGACCTTGAACGAGGACCCTCCATCGTTGATCGTCATGCTGTAATAAGCGCCGCCCATCGACGGCTCGCGTGCTCGTCCCGTCAGGTCGATGTACGCCCGTTCCAGGATGTCCTCCTCGACGCTGGAAGACTTGAACGGCTTCCGCGCGTGCTTGCCTTGGATGCAATCCTCGCACTTTCCTAGCGGCAGTCCCCCGATGACCTCCATCCCAGTCACTGCTCCGGACTTGGCCATCTCCATGACCGTGCGCTCACTCGCATGTCCGAAACGCCGGTGCCAGGTGTGGACGTCGGCTGCTCTCGCGTTCGTCAACGATGCTAAGGCGTTTGGCTCTCCAGGCGTCCCGGTCCCGTTTGGCAGAGCCTGACCATCGATGCGAGTAAGGACAACCTCATACAAGTTGTTGCTCGTCATGTTCCCGATGAGAATCGCGTCACTTCCATCCTGGCTAGCGATGCGCATCTCGCCACCTTTGATTTGGATGTTGCATCCGCTCCCGTCAATTCGGGACAGCGACACGAGGTTGGCTGCCATCTCGGGTACGTGGAGTGCGTTGCGGAACGTCACTACTGAGCGTCGTCCTTCGATGGTCATCTCCGCGTGGACGCACCCGACTCCGATGATCGTGAATTCAGCGCCTCGCTTGGCGCTGCTTCCGGAGTGAGGCGTCAAGGGTAGGTATTCGGAGAAGGACGAGCGGTCGGTGAAGTAGTGGTGGCTCGCACCGGAATCGAGGTACGCGCGTATCGTTCCACTAGGGTCAGTCAAGGCTAATGCGGGCGATATGGTGGCCATGAAGACATTGTAGTTCGGGACCCCACTGGGGATAGACGTAGAAGCGGTGTTTGCAGATGCATTTGAGTTCGTAGTGGGATGAGCCAGGTCGGCAGGCGATCCTCTCTTCGGACGCGGCGGCGACTTCCAGTTCGCCGGCTGCTGCCCCGCCATGCCCCCACCTTCGCAGTAACAACGTTCCTTCGAGTGTCCTTTCCACAGGCACCACTCGCAGATCTGGATGGCCTTCGCTGCTGTCATAAACGCCGACGTCTGCGGCTCGCTCGACGCTGCCGTCTGCGTTGCTCCAAGAGGATTCTGGGGCTGTCCAGTTCGCAGCATTTCATTGTCGTGGACGGCGAGGATGGTGAGGATCACGTCCTCGGGATCGGATTTCGTAAGAAGCCCAGCTGTGATGTGGTTGTAGACTTCGCCCATAGACTGGCAGATAATGATAGCAAAGCGATGGTCGGTGAGAGGTGACGACATCTCGTTACACGCCTTGCGACGACGGCGTAGCTCCTCGAAGTGTGCGTGGATGTCCGAGCCAGGGACGTACTTGCATTTCTTCAAATACTCCTCGGCGTTCATGACCGCCAGCTCGCTTCGCCTCTCCTTGATTGCCAGTAGCGCAGTCCAGAACTCGTACGCCGTTAGGCCAAAGGGTTCAACCCCACATATCGAGAGGTCCATGTTGAGCGTGCAGGTCGCCTTCGCATGGAGGTCGTTCTTGTTCCATTTGGCAAGTTCGATCGTTTCATCTGGAGTGGGCGTGGCGCCGGCAGGCTTAGGCGCGGTCGTCTTTCCGAGCAGGTGGTCCAACTTCCCTTGCAGTTCGACGATTGTGAGGATTTTACTCTTCCACTGCACCCAGTTGGTGCGGTTCAGATGGAAGTTCTCCGGGAGGATGAGAACCTTTTCCTTATCGTCGGACATGGTGGGTATATGCGTGGTTTCGGAGGGTATATGCGTGTGAAAAACGGTCTACTGCGTCGGAAAAGCGTCGAACGGGTGGTTGTACCCTTAATGCGTCGTCGGTTTGTACGAGAGTTGAGTTAAGACGGGACGGGGCTCATAACCTGTTAAAGTTATAGCGTCTCAGTCTCGACCTCGTGGTACTCGACTATTATATTGATCTACCTGTTAAAGTTATAGCGTCTACGAGGCACAGTATTAGTGTCCATCGTCCATGAATACAGCTACATAAACGGCTTACCTCAGTCTCGACCTCGTGGTACTCGACTGAGGTGCCTCCAGTCTACGCGTGTCCGTCAAAGTCCGTTCGTACGTCACGTGTCCGTGTCTAAACTAGCGCCCGCGTCTCGGTCCCACCTCAACAAGAGGTATAAAAAGGCAGGCGAACTTCTCGTTTTCTCTAGCTTCTCGAGCCCTACATACTTGCATCCATACTCGTCTTACATCTTCAGCTTTAGCAACCATGACTGCGGGCCTCCTACTCTCCGTTTTTGGTCCTGGCCTTGTCGGGGGCATCGACAAGGTCGTGTCATCGTTCGACTTTTCGAAGGTACGCATAATACGCCGCCGCTACCAGCTGTCACTGCATGGCTGACTTGGATGGGCGCATAGATGGTCGTCACGGACAACACCAGGGATGATTATCTCCACGTTGACCTCGCGCCCTCGTTCGGGGAGCTGAACCAGGAGAGTGTCAAGATGATGGACGACGAGCTGAAGATCATGATCTCGGGGACGTTGCATCTGCTTGCGAAGATCCCGCCGAGTGAGAGGATCCCGCCGAGTGAGAGGACGTGGGACAAAGTGATGTCGACGATGATGCAAGCCTCCCTCCTTGAGCCGTCTGACGGCAAGGTCGACCGCGTCGACAAGCTGCTCAAGAAAGGCGTGAACGTATTCAAGTTTGACGGTTCGCCCGATGCGGCCATAGTCAAGGAGGTAAGTCCAGCACTCTACACTTGAAGAAGAGGATGCTCACGAATCACGGTTCCAGGTTCAAGGATGGTTCAGTAAGCTCATCTCCGATGAGGATGTGCTTCGCAGCACCAAGATCGACATCAATGTCCTGGCGAAGATCGTGGCCCAGACGGGAGCGACCATCGACTCCTTTGAGACCCTGTTCTACAAGAACGAGAGTCACGAGAAGACCATGGTGGACATCGGAATCCTGAGGTTCCCTGACATCTCGCACCCGTACTTCAAGGTAAGCACAATCTTGTTAAACATTCGCTCCGGCTCAGGGTCACGGCATGCCTTAACGCGCGGCGACAGGTCTACCGCATCAAGCTCGTCGCTTGGTCTCAGTCCGAACGCATTTTGATGGTGCAGAACGATCAGAATGGCATCACCGGAGGTCGGTATTCTCGCAGGGATCCGTGATGCGTACTCAGTACTCACGTGTCGCATGCAGAGTTCAACGCTCGCAACTTCAGGCCGCGCAAAGAGGTCATCCAGGGACTGACCGAGAAGACTAAGCAGAAGGCCATCGAAGAGACGGAGTCGCTTTGGGATTAATCTTGAAGGTGTGCAATTATGGCCTCTGCATGCGAGGAGGTCTGTTGATCTATACTCATAGCACGAAGCGGTCTTGTGGCCGTCGCGTCTGAAGAACGTCCGATGCTGTCCCATGGTCTTGACTCTTAGTTGTTATGCTTCCCCGAGCCAAGCGAACCACGATTTGTATTCATGTACAGCAGCACCCCAGTCAGGTGTCAAATGGATGGGAATTGTGCAGTTGACGTGCTCAAGCCTGAGACCAATCTCAAGGACGCAAGGCTGGCCGCCAGCTGCCAATAGCTTGCAAGGCGCCAGGCCCTAGGGTGATCGCCACGACGATGAGTTCGGCCTCAAAATGGAGCAAAGTGTACAGGTGCCAATGAATATCGTGTGTCCGACGTTCAGGTTGCCCTTTGCACGAGTGCTGACCATGCCTGGTTCACGCCGGAGAGTCTCAGTGCGGGAATTCTGATGAACCTGTGAAGGGTCTCGGGAACATGTACAGTTGCCAATGGGAGCTAGTGCATTACACGGGCGGCCCGCTAACGAACGTCTCTTATTAAGTTGCGTACACAGTGATAGGCTCACTCGGACCCACTCTGGTCAGTTTTTCCCCGGTTCTTCATGACAGGACGGATGCGATCTGTATAAGTAAGACAGTGCGACTTATTGGTACTACTATACCACGATAGTCTCCCGTGCGCAGAGTAGACAATTCCTTCAACCTTCGCTGGCTCCGGATATCCTTCAGGCTCCTAAAACCAGCCGTCCATGGCGTTCTCGCTCCTACATGTCGATAGCCCACCATATGCTGAATCCGAAAAAGGCAATTGTGTTTAGTGTTATGTAATGTCCGAAGTTTATGCGACTAAGAGGAGGAGAACGCCATAGGACGGCTGGCCAATTTCGTCCCCGAGGCCACCCCGAGGCATGCGCGCTTCGCCCTCAGGCCAGCAGTGCGGTCACAGTAAGTGACTGAGCGCCTTTCAGCGAGTTTCGGGGTCCCGCTTGGCTCGCTTGCCCCGAGTCATCCAAATCAGGACATCGCTCGACGCTCGTGCGTCGAGGCGCGATTCATGATGGTTTTCGGTCTCGTATCCATCCAATGGGAGGATGTGGGACTGACAACACATTTGGGAAATTCAGTGAGCATTTCTTTGGTGCCTCGCGTCGCTGCCCCAAAATTTGACAAAATAAATGAGCGGGGACTCGAACCCGTGCACCCAAAAAGGTGATCGGCGGCCATGACCACTGCACCAAAGTACCAATACTGCTTCATCGACGGCACTAAATAAGAGTACCAGCCAGCCCGTGGACCCATTGCCTGTTAACTCCGAAGTACACGCCCACCCTTGTATAAATGACGGGATAATCATTGTTAGTGCCCCATGTGGCAGATGCGCTGCCCGGCACGTCAGCGAAGCACACGGTCACTGCAGTATGCACGTCGTGATGTGCTACATAGGGGTGGCCATAAATGGGTCCCACGAGCTGACTGGTACTCTTATTTAGTGCCGTCGATGAAGCAGTATTGGTACTTTGGTGCAGTGGTCATGGCCGCCGATCACCTTTTTGGGTGCACGGGTTCGAGTCCCCGCTCATTTATTTTGTCAAATTTTGGGGCAGCGACGCGAGGCACCAAAGAAATGCTCACTGAATTTCCCAAATGTGTTGTCAGTCCCACATCCTCCCATTGGATGGATACGAGACCGAAAACCATCATGAATCGCGCCTCGACGCACGAGCGTCGAGCGATGTCCTGATTTGGATGACTCGGGGCAAGCGAGCCAAGCGGGACCCCGAAACTCGCTGAAAGGCGCTCAGTCACTTACTGTGACCGCACTGCTGGCCTGAGGGCGAAGCGCGCATGCCTCGGGGTGGCCTCGGGGACGAAATTGGCCAGCCGTCCTATGGCGTTCTCCTCCTCTTAGTCGCATAAACTTCGGACATTACATAACACTAAACACAATTGCCTTTTTCGGATTCAGCATATGGTGGGCTATCGACATGTAGGAGCGAGAACGCCATGGACGGCTGGTTTTAGGAGCCTGGATATCCTTGTCTAACTATTACCACGACTCTGACCACTGCTTACTTTGATTTGACTTTCATTTTTGAACGAGGATTTTGAACTAAGTTATGTACGTATTCAATCTACAATGTAAGTAAGTGTGCGCGATCACGTGCTTCATCGCTATTGTGATACTTAACCGGCCGTCTCCGCTGCCCGACGGTCTTGTCGTCCGTGGACCGACCTTTGCACGGACCGACCTCTGATACGACCCCAAGCCGCCTCTTGTCTCATGAACGGTACGACCTGAACGATTTACGCCGCCAACCCGGGTTCCATGTCTGATCCGCAGCTATCACACCACCCGAGCAGCCGCTCCCTCCGCGAGCGGCTTGCCACCCGCGAACGATCGCCCGTGATCAGTACTGTGCCGCTGCAGCCCACCGAGGAACCGCTCTCTGAAGGACCGCTCTCTATTCAGGAAGACACTGGCACGCTCTCCGGCAGCGATGAACTCGTACGGAACCATGACCTCTGGTTCTCTGACGGCTCGATCGTCCTGCGCGCGGAGAACGTGCTCTTTCGCGTACACATCTCTCAGCTTTCTCGTCACTCCACTGTGTTCGCCGACATGCTCTCGTTCCCACAACCGACGGGCAGTTCCTCCGCTGATATGGCTCTAGTTGATGATGGCCAGCAAGGAGAGAAGATAGACGGGTGCCCAGTGCTCTTCCTGCACGACAAGGCGGAGGACGTCATGAACCTCCTGCACGCGCTCTATGATGGCCCGTAAGTAGTATTCTTCAAGGCCTCAATCTCAGCTCGTATTTTCGCCAAATGACAGCCCTATGTCGACGTCGGCTCGACTTGCTGCCCTTGCAGGTGGGCGTGAGTCCTGCGACGGCGGGCGTTGTCAGACTCAGCACACGCACCATCATTCAGTGTGGTATCGAACCTCATCGGCTGGACAGCAGCGAGTAGAGATACCATCTCGCTGGGCTCTGAGCGGGCTCGATGCGGATCTCTCGCGGCTCAACGTCAACCCACGATGCGTGTTCGACCTCGTGGTTGGATGGCACCTGCTCCGTGAGTGCTTGGGCTGAGTTATCTTGGTCGGAGGCTTCGCGGTGGCGCAACAAGGTCTTCGCCCTTATGGACAAGGCCTTGGCTGCGTTTTGGGCAGTTCGCCTGGCAAGCTAGCATTACATATCCAGTGCGTGCCGCGAGTTCGTCAAAACATCAGCTGTCGAACAGCCCTTTACTGGATGCCTCGGCCCAGCCGATCCCCTCTCTGATTACTCAATGCCAGCACTATTCTGCCCATTACACGCTCGCTGACACGCTCACAGGCGCTTTGGAGACAATGGCCGCGAAGATTTCCGCGCTGTCTCGGGCATCCTCCGGCTCGCGAACAAGTACGACATCGAGAAGCTGCGGGGCACGGCGGTGGAACATCTCAGCAGCGCGTGGCCGATGACGCTCCGGGGCTGGGACTCACGAGAGGACCTGGCGCGGACGTTCGAGATCGAGAGCGGGATGCAAAGAGGCTTCCGGTATCCTTCGCCCGTCGTACGTGCCCACTACGCTCAGACTGCCGAGTCTTTCCTGATGCTCCCGCGATGATAGGCCGTCATCAACCTCGCGCGGGAGGTGGACGCGCCGCAGCTACTCCCCTCCGCGCTCTACGACCTTTCGCGGTATCACTACGCGCAGATCTTCGGCGCCGGCCCGGGCGAGGACGACCACGAGCCGCTCGGGGCGGGCTCGCCGCGCGCGAGCACGCTCGCGCACGCGGACTTGCAGAAGCTTGCGGTGGGGAAGGAAGCCGCGGCGCACGCGGTGACCTGGCTGATCCAGAGCATGGCGCACGGGTCGCACCGCGAGTCGCCGCGGCACCTCGCGGACGCGGGCGCGGGCGGGGCGAACCAGCACAATTGGTTCCAGTACGGGTACGAGCTGAACCCGGCGCACCACCGCCGCCGGTCGGCCGGGCTCATGTGCACGTCCGCGAGCGCGTGCCGGAAGGACTTCAGCGAGCTCGTGGAGCTCGCGACGCAGCATTATTTGTTCGACAGGGAGAGGGGGTGCGCGGACCCGCTGTATGTCGCGGAGGAGCTTGGTCAGCTGAAGAGCGCGGAGTTCTCTGAGTGCAAGGCGTGTGCTAGGAGCTTGGAGGGCTGGGCGGCGAGGGAGCGGGAGCGGATGTGGAAGCTGATACCGGCGTGGTTCCGGCTTGTGTAGTGATATGTTTTGTTGGAGGTGTGAGTGTTCTTGGACTCGTTCTGTCCGCCGTTCGCTGTCTACTGCCTCGCGTTTTGTTCATGCTAGATTTGCAAGCTTTTCGCCTCGATCGATCATATACCAACGTGGGCCTGATACGCAATGATGTATTTAAATGGTTAACAGAGACTAAATCAACGCGGCGGCTGCCAGATCCAATTGCCATCAAACATACGTACGGAAGCACTCGGTGCATGCGCGCGCACATACGCCAGTACTTGGTGGCCTCACTCGGTGGAACTCGACTGATGCGAATGCACAGAACAGCACGAAGATGATTGATTCGCGAAATGGAGTGTCCATGGGGTCTCAAGATCTCACTATTAGGTTGATACATTAAGGTAAGTCGATCGGGGGTGGTATGTGCGCGTATATAAGGGTGCGTATCGGGCGACTCGAGACGGCAGGCCTGTTTCATAGGCCCCATCTGTATGAATGCGTGCCGGTTCTCCGTGTGCGCCCTCCGAACCAGTTGCAGCAGATGATGTCGAAGATGACATCGAAGATGGTCACGATGATCTGTGTATATGCGGGTCAGCTCGTGCCGAGACGAGAGCTGGGGAAGCATGGTACTCACCGTCGCGATCACGCTCACGATGATCATGATCACGCTCGCAATGGCAGAGACGACGGCCTCGATGGCGCCTGCGATGGCGGAAATGACGGTGCCCTGTACGCGGCGGCTGTAAGCATCATTGTCTCCACTGGCATAGGCCAGTGGCAGTTGATACGCACCATGGTGATATCTTGGTTTCTAAGTGTACGAAGGTCGTGAAGGTCGTTAATCGGCGTGAGAGTGTATGCGAAAGTCGTGAGTAGCAGTGGGGAAGAGGTCAGACAGGGGTCTCGTTTATATAGAGCGTGTCGATAAGCTCAAGACACGGAAGCTGGCCGTAGCGCCACTGGACGTCAACGTTCCGGCCCTATGACGTCTCTGGTAGCCGTAACTGTAAATACACGCTGGCAGCGACGGCGAGTGACATACGAGCCACCGTGCACCAGCACCACAGCTGCGCTGACGTCGTACATTGGGGTGCAAGAACCAGGGCCTGCCATAGATGGTGGAAGTTCCGATGACCTCATTGAATCGGATTTGTACATTGACAAGGCCTGGATGTCGAGGCCGGGCATAATGCGGAACTACTGTTGACAAATCGGGACGTATCGAATCCTAAAGGAATCGGATACCTGAGTACCACTGTTCCGAGACCACAGACGTGAGTACGTAAGTAGTGGGTTCAAACAATATACCACATTCGCAACTTGAAGCAACCTTCCACATTCGCAAGCAACCTTCTACATCGCGATGACAGCCTCCAAGTTCGGTACAGTGATCGTCTGCCAGGGCCTGCAGCTGGGGGCTTGGGGCCTTGCATGCTACTTTATCTATGGAACTATTGAAGGCCGACACGCTGACGACCAGCTAATTGCACCTATTAAACCTTTCGCATTCTCAGATAATTCGCACAATGTCCATTCATTTGATAATCTGACAGGAGTATACATACTGGCATGAATGCGGCCGGAGTCACCTCGCTGAACTCGCTGCTACATTGCCATTGAGACCGCGCAATAAAATGGGACATTCAAGTTCTTCAGACACTGTGCACATGCCGAGAAGTCGTTAATCTTTCGGCATGATGTGCACACAGTGATTCACACCTTTGAGCGACCTGAAGTAATTCCGTCCCTTCGCTGGCCTTCTTCTTTGCCTGCTCGGTTAGCCCCTGGATGACTGACTTGCGCGGCTGAAAGTTGCGAGCGTTGAATTCTGCATGCGGCATGTGAGTACCGAATGCGCATTGCTGATATCTACGAGAGTATACAGACCTCCAATTCTCCCATTCTGATCGTTCTGCACCATCAAAACACGTTCGGAGACCAAGAGACGAGCCTGATGCGGTAGGCCTGGCGTCGCTGGTGTTGAAGGCATAGTGCCGTAACCACTTGAGTTAAATTGAGAAAACAGTACTTACTTATCTTGAAGTACGGGTGCGAGAATTCGGGAACCTCAGGATTCCGATGTCACCATGGTCTTCTCCTGGCTCTCGTTTTTGTAGATACAGAGCTTGAAAGGAGTCATCGTCGTCCGTCTGGCCAGCAAGTTGATGTCGATCTTCACATCGCAGCACGGCCGCCTATACTGAGAAGTATTCTTAGGATCCAGTGCGACGATGCTGCGCTGCAGTGGCCGTAGGCCCTAGCTACTAAGTAATGAGTAAGTTCTTTTTTTTGCGACTCATAGGCTTCATTACCTACCAGTGTGCCACTGTGCAAATATTCATCGTGTCGTGCGATCGCCATGATCGTAGTGCAAGCCTATACTTACCGGCGGTACATAAGTACCGCTTGAGTACAGTACCGCTGCCCTGGAGCCTGGAGGATGATTGGCGCCCGAACATATGGCATCCGGGATCCCCTCCTCCTCCTCTACTTACCACTCCCAGTTTCTTCCTCGTGAGGCGGCTTGACTACTGTCAGTGACCGTTCTATCCTGCTTCCCTCGCATTCTGGCTCTCTTGCATGGCGGCTCTCCGGCTGCTGCCACGTCGCGTTCTGAGGTGCGACCCTCGTCTGGTCGGACGACAACCGTCGACGTCGTTCCGGCATGCGTCTACTAGCTCTCCTGCGGCGAACCCTGGATTTCTCTCTCTGCGCTCTGGCATCTATGCTTCCGTGTTCGTCGTGTCTGCAGGGCTGTTCGTCGCCTACTACGTCGACTCCCGGGCAGCAATGCACCGCTATGTGATAATGCCCGTGCTGAGGACTCTGCTAGATGCCGAGACGAGCCACAAGCTCGCGCTCAGAGTCCTTGGAAGTGGCCTGGCTCCTCGAGATACACAGACGGATGATGAGCGGCTGCGAACGAGTGTATGTCCATAACCACTCTCGCTTGAATGTTCGTCCTGACTGGTCGTCATAACTAGCTCTGGGGCGAGGAATACAGTAGTCCAGTGGAATGCGGCAGGTTTCGATAAGGATGGAGAGGCTACAGATGGTGCGTAGTCATACCGGCACTGTCGCCAAGCCGCTGACCAGGCCGTCGTTCACCCAGGCCTGTTCAACCTTGGGTTCAGTTGGGTAGAAATCGGTAGTGTAACCCCTAGACCACAGGTCAGTGTTTTCCCTTTCCCCTTCGCTCTCTCGCTTTTTTGGAGGCCATAACGGACTCCCGCAACTGACGATCGGTCAGTTCCGTGAGTCCAGCTTGCAAGCCAGTTTCCTGCTTCGGCTTGACGAAGGATAGAATATTATTACGCACGACCTGCAACGGTCAACACTGCAAAGATATCAGCATTTCCTCGGGCATGAAGTGCTTCAAAAGTAAAAAGGATTCCTCACGATTTGTCCACGACGGTGCAGACATCTTGGATAGATGTCGAGGACACCTTTCCCGGCGGTCAAAAGTCCTTGGAAGCCTTTCCTTGGGCAGGAATGATGCTGCATGGACTACTTTCTCTGTTCGCGAAGGTATGGTTGTACACAGAAGAAATGATGAGTTCTTTGCAGTGCATTTTAGGCTTGGGTATCCTTTCGCTCTTCGATGGTGGTCGGGACAATACCCATCAAAATCGGACTGTATGCTGTCCAATCCTCTGTCATTGCCCATTCGTCCTTACAGGATACGCTCCACGCTCCGATGACTTATTCTCTTTCGACTGTGTTACACCCATGTGGCTTGTGTGGCGATGTAGTCTGACATTCATGTCTTTGGGCTCTCACCATACACCGATAAATCAGACACCGCCAGAGCGAGATGCCCGCTATTCACTGCAGGTCCGGAGGAGACGACATTCTGTTTTTTGTTTTTTCCTTGCTCCCCGCGCTTACTCACTTTTAAGTCTGACAATTCACTGACACAACTGTAGCCAGGCAACCCCAAACCACGGGTTTTCCGGCTTCCATCAGATGAGGCCATAATCAACCGCTATGGCTTCCCTTCGGACGGACACACGGCGGTCTTGGCACGTCTACGAGCCCGTCTACCGTTATTCCATGAACAAGAGACGACGACAGCACGACATGCGTCTCTTCGGCCGCATGCGCTGCTCGCCGTCAACCTTGGAAAAAACAAAGCATCTCCGGCCGACTCTATCGACGACTTCGTGCAAGGGGTGCAGACGTTCGGGCCGTATGCGGATGTGCTGGTCATTAATGTGTCAAGTCCTAACACCCCCGGCCTCCGGTGAGTCTCCATCGCTGTCCATCTGTCAACTTTGGTCCTTGGCAAACATCTGTTTGTTGTCATAAAGCTTGAAATGCTGTGTGTTTTGACAGGCAAGCAAGGGTGTGTAAGAGCGATGTTACTCCGTATAAGGCTCATGCTGTATGGAGTCCTGTAGGGGGAACCGCCGTTCCTGCGTCTAGATAACGCGACGTTCATCATACTCTATCATTCCCTGACTCTCACGTCGGCGATCTCTCACTTCTGTGCCTGGCTGACTGCCGTCCATACGCAGATCTCTACAGACGCGAGCGCTTCTCGAACGTCTGCTCGATGGTGTGAGCCGCGCGCGGGACGAACTCCTGGTGCCTTCCGATGCCAACGGAACAGCGACTTCCACACGATCGACGAAGCCAAAATTGGTCCTGAAGATTGCCCCTGACTTGGAGGAATCTGAACTGGGGGCCATTGCAGCAGTCGTGCGTTCCAGCGGCGTGGATGGAGTTATCGTGAGCAACACCACCATCCGTCGTCCGAAGGATTTGAGTGATCGTACGTGCCTGTTCGTTTCGCGCCGCTACTTCAACGCTGATCGCGAATCTCTGCTAATTCTCGGGTGCTCACACATCATTGACGGTCCTGTCGACCTCTCCGTACTCGTGATGTGCCATTTTTCGTTATTGTAGCGAACAGAGGCGAGGTCGGCGGTCTCTCCGGGCCGCCACTGAAAGCGTACACACTCGCGACGCTCCGGACGCTGCGCGCGCTCCTGCCTGAGTCCGTCCCGCTGATCGGATGCGGTGGTATCACTTCCGGCTCGGACGCTCTGGACTACGCGAGGGCGGGTGCAGCAGCCGTGCAGGTGTACACACGGTTTGCGTACGAGGGCGTTGGCACATGCCGGCGCATCAAGGACGAGATCACGGAGGCCTTGGCGCGGGAGGGCACGACGTGGGCGGCGGTCGTGCAACGCGCCGGGGGCGAGCTCAGTCTGCGCGGGAGCGCGCCGGGTGGCGTGCGGAGCCCGGGGTGGCGGACGAGGGCGTGGAGCAGCTGAAAGGGAGCTGAGGAGCTACTGCGCTTGGCGGATGAGCTGGGGAGGCGCATGGACTCGGAGCGGGCAACGGGCCGAGTCGGTGACACTGGGACGCAGGCGGTGGGGGCAGAAGATGGTTTAGAAGCAGTGGTGCCGTCGGTGTCGTAGCGCGGTAAAGCTGAGGTGGCGGGTGGCGACGAGACAACCATCATGGATGGGAATCGTTGGGTGCGTCGCGTTGCCCGAGCCTCTGATTCGCACAGACGCTGACCTCAGTTTGCGTGCTGGACACCTCGTTTCGCGCATGTACGACAGTTAGTTCATGCTAAGTGGTGTACGTCGGTGTCAAATTATTTCACAGCCTTCGTTGACACAGTTGTCTTCAGGAACTATGCTACGTACCAGGAACAGAGATGGCCCTATTTGGCCTCTTCAGCAGTTCAGTGTGGTAGGCCATCTTCCGGGCCTAAGCTGTATCGTCACACGACACTTTCGCTGCAGTCAGCATCATTCGTCGACACCGTACCTGAGCGTATCAACGACATCTCAACATGGCTCATGCTACAGCCGCATCACGGCTGATCTGGCAGTATGAATGGGGCCTCGGAGCTTCGAGCGATAAGAACTCACACATAGCCAGACAGGGCAGTGCACGGTGAAAATACAAGCCAGCATGTAGGGAGACTCAAAGAGAGTGCGCATCGAGTTGCAGTGAAACTCAATGAACAAAATACCTCCTCTTAACTGTGCCACGGTGACGCAAGGCCACGCAGATGGTTCAGTCGGCGGGATGGCTTTCCCGACCCGGGATCTAGATGAGTTCACTCAGATCTGGGCCACATGCTCTCTCGATCGGTGTGTCTACCTTCACAGATACAGTCAAGATGCAGTTGCTCTAAAATGACTGCGCAGGACAAACTCATATACAAAATACACGGTGTGCCGTCTAGTGCCGTACGCTGGAGAAACTGCGTACGCAGTGTAGCAGGGTCCGGTATCGACGGTGATTCCATTCGGCGGGGTTAGTAAATCATTGATGCGGTTCTAAAGGCTTCACAAGCTTCAGCTCGCCACCGTGTTTCGCGTGTCGCGTGTCATAACCACGGAAGCAGGCAATTTCGCGGGTCTTGCCAATATGGCGTGAGCTTATCGCAGAGCCCGGGACCGCCAAGAACCGGCGCAAGCCGCGGCGAGCCCATACAGACCTTCCGTGGATCAGCTCTGTCGACGGCGCCGCTCGCGAAGCATGAGGATCGCGACGAGATACCCACATGCCATCTCCAACTGTACCGCCCAATTCTGGAGACGTTCCTAGGTCGCCCTGGGTTTGGCAGCTCAGTCCAAATTCGAGCAAATCACGCTCTCGGCTCTGTACATATAAACCCATTTCGCGAACGAAGGCCTTGCGATCGCCCTCCGCCCCGCCCCGAGCCCCCGAGCCATCGCTCCGCACTGACCTTGTTCTTCAGTTGCGTCTAGGTCGCTCGCCATGGCACTTCACGATCCCGAGCTCGCGTCGCCCATCGAGGCGCGCGACGCTGCCGAAGTCGTCGACCAGCTCCCCCACTACAACCACGAGAGCAAGTCCCAGGACGCCCTCGGAGAGAAGCTGGCCCAGGAATCGACGACTACGCAGTCCGTCGACGTCGACGAGCTAGACGGCGCACTCCACGACGGAAAGGGGAACGAGAAGGTCCTCGAGACGGCGGCGGATTTCTCCAGGGCCCTCGTCAGCAGCGAAGATGACCCCAACCTTCCGATCCATACATTCCGCATGTGGTTTACTGGTGTAGGCCTCGCGGTCTTTGGCGCTGTCCTTGGCATGCTCTTCGTGAGTACGAGATGCCAGTTGTTGTCAGCTGAGTGCTGAATAGCCCGTAGCAATTTCGCCCGCAAGTCATGACGTATCCGCTCTGTTCCTGCAACTCCTCGCGTACATGCTGGGGCGTCTGTTCGAGCTTGTCATCCCCGGTCCTGGCACGCGTTTCCACAAGGGCAACTGGTTCTGGAACTTTATGAACCCAGGTCCATTCAGTGCGTCTCCTGCCACCCGGAGTTGCATTAGATCATCTTATCTCGTGCGCTATGATATCTAGACTTGAAAGAGCACGTTGCAGCGCAGATCATGGCGAACACCGCTGCTGTTGCTTCGCAAGCTTGCTTTGTGTTTGCATCAGATGACCTGTTCTATGGTATCACTGTCAACGTGAGCGCCCCATAGCACTGCTGTCACATTGGTATCGCTGACGTTTGACTTCAGCCTGGAAACGCCATCTTCACTCTTTTGGCCTCTCAGCTTATTGGCTATGGCTTTGCTGGGTTGTTCCGTAAGTCCAGATACTACCCGTCGACCTCGCAATCTAACCATCAGCCCTTAGGCGCGTTCCTGGTCTACCCCACGGTCATGCTGTACCCTCAGAATCTCATCTACGTCAACCTGTTCGATGTCCTGCACCGCTCAAAGGGTGAGATTCTTCAGGGAAAACGTCTCCGATTCTTCTGGATTGTCACGGGTGCCATATTCGTGTACGAGTGGTTCCCTGAGTGGATCGCTCCCCTGCTCGGTTCTTTCAATATCGTGTGTCTATGCGCACGGAACTCGGACTGGGTCTCGTACATCTTCGGCGGTGCAGAAGGTAACGAAGGCATGGGTCTCATGGGCTTTGGCGTCGACTGGGCGAACATCGGCTCTTCCCCCTTCTACGTTCCCCTCTCGACCCAGATTTCCAACTACGTCGGATGGGGGATTAACTACTTCCTCCTCCCCGCCATCTTCGCGAGCAATGTCTGGCACTCGCAGAATTTCCCGTTCATCTCGCAGAACCTGTTCTACGAGAACGGCACCGTCTACGACCAGAACCTCATTCTGAATGCGGACTTCTCGCTCAACAAGACGGCGTACGAGCTCAACGGTCAGCCCTGGCAGAGCGGCTCCACCGTCATCTACAACCTTGGCATCAACATGTCTATTGGCGCGACGTTCGTCCACATCGGTCTTTGGCACGGGAAGGAGATCTGGGCAACATTTGTTGACTACATCCGCCAGCGCCCGATCGACGACTACCACTACCAGCGCATGAAGGTCTACCGCGAGGTCCCGATGTGGTGGTACGCTGCCGTCACCCTCGGTGCATTCGTCACCGCGATGGTCTGTGCGTACACGGAGAAGTCGGGACTGCCTTGGTGGGCACTCATCGTCGCCCTCCTCATCGCCATCTTCTGTCTGCCCTTCTACGGTGCTATGTGGGCCGTCGCTGCATTCAAGCCGGTCATCTCAAACATGTTCCAGATGTTGGGTTCCGCCCTCATCCCGGGATCGTCGCAGGCGAACATGTACTTCGAGCTCTACTCCAGTCAGTCCCTGAAGCAGGCTGCGTCCATGCTCGGCGACCTCAAACTCGGCCAGTACACGAAGCGTACGTTCACACTGTTTCATGTTCATCCAATTCATACTGACCGCCCGCATAGTGCCTCCCAGGACAACGTTCTCCGCCCAGATGGCGGGTACAGTGATTGGCGCGTTGCTGAACTGTACGAGATCTATCTTTGTGACCTTGATGCGTCTTGCTCACGACGGGCTTCTAGACGTTATCATGCAGACCGTTATTAGCAACGAGCGCGCTATTCTCGTACGTTACCCATCTCAGATGCGTTGACACGAACTGACCGTCAGCATATCATAGTTGAGTAACGAGGGTACTCGTGTCTGGAGCGGACAACAGGTCCAGTCGTACAACGCCAACGCGATCCTTTGGGGTGCTCTCGGAAAGGAGATCTGTAAGCGTCCTTGCATCCCAGCGTAGCGCCGTTCTAATCCGTTGGTCCCAGATGGGCCCAAAGGACCTTATTTCATCGTGCCGCTCGGTATCGTTATTGGACTCGGTCTCCCCATCATCCCGTGGCTCCTCTACAGGAAGTACCGTTGGAACTGGCTAACCCTCGTCAATACCTCTGTCCTTGCTTGTGCGTCGATCACCAGGCTTGTCCCGCGCATGATTACTGACGATGCGGTCTAGACAACATCGGTGATCTCGCGGGTGGCACCAACGGCTACATCAACACCTGGATGGCCATCGGTCTCACCTCGCACTTCTATGTCCGCAGGTATCGTGCCGGCTGGTTCAGGAAATACAACGTATGCTGGCTCCGTCGTCACTCTTCGGGTCCTGATCGGGCTGACTTCGCATTTCCTCAGTACCTATTCGGCGCTGCCGTCGACGGTGGCGCGCAGATCTTCGTGTTCATATTCTCGTTCGCGTTGGCTGGTGCGGGTGGCGTCACTGTGAACTTCCCCACATGGGCACTCAACCCTAAGGGCAATGCAGTACGTACACATGCCCCCATTGTTGTTACACAGCATGCTGACCACGATGTCGCCAGGATTACTGCAAGGTGACGGGGTCAGAGTAGGCGTGTTAGCGCATTGTGGGTGTAGATTTGTACTCTACATACATTCATTATTATCGCAGGGCCCTTCATCATCTTTCGCTGTCGTATGCTATCATGGTGGTAATTTGGCTTGCCGTGTAAATGTATCACTGTACTTCCTCGTGGAGCAAGGCGTGCGGGTCGCAGTCTGCAACGATTGCCAACGCGCTTGCATAATTCAATCGTGAAGATTACCGTATAGGTTGATGAGTGGCTTGTGGGTGCTAGGAGGTATGAAATGATCAACGCCGCGCGATCGAAGAATCCATTCCATGGCACACGCTTAGTTCCCCGTGCAGCGTCGACACTCTGTGTCTCGCCCTGTCTCGCCACGCATTAGCGAATTATGTCCCTTGAGAGCCATGAATTGCTGTACGAGGCGACTATTGTGACAATTGGCAAAACAATGATGAGGGCGAGATTCGAACTCGCGCCCCGGAGGACCAGATTACGTAAGCAACAAGGATTGGATCGCCTTAGTCTGGCGCCTTAGACCACTCGGCCACCTCACCATGATGTGATGGCTGCAAAAAACGTAATAACTAGCGCGGCGTCCACCGGAGCTATTGTTCCCTTCTGGGCGATTTGTACGCTGTGTTTACAAGGACGATCGATTGTGGCGGCGCAGACGGGATCGCGGGACCGCCTCCCAGACTGCGGCCCCACAGGAGCACAACGAGCGTCGCCAACCCGTGGCTTCGCCACGGGTTGACGGGGCGGTTCTTTCATTCACTGCTTCATGTCACCCATAAGATTACAATGTTAATGCATGCCAGACCTGGGCTTCGCCACAGGTCTGGCGGCGGTTCTTTCATTCTGTGCTCCATGTTACTCCTACAATTACATGCTTGAGCCTGCCAGACCTGGGCTTCGCCACAGGTCTGGCAGCAATCTTTCATTCACTGCTTCATGTTACTCTTAAGATTACATGCTTGGGCAATGCCAGCCCATATCTGATTCATTCAATGCTGTGTGTTGCTCTTGTGGTTACATTTTTATTCAATATTTCCCGGCCTGCAGTACACTTTGTTCCATATTTTTGTATTCTTGATGTCCATAATCTGCTGCAGGGCAATTGTTTGATATTACCACTGTTTTCCCATTATTTCCCAGTATTGATGTGTCCTGTTTTCCCAGCACTGAGATTTCCTGTTTTCCCGGGATTGATATCTCATTTCCCTGGTCTAATTTCTACTGTTTTCCCAACACTGAGGTGTGTTTTCCTGGTACTTACTCCCATTATTGCCAGTGAAATGTGCCTTCCCATTATTTCCCGTTACTGAGGTGTCCTGTTTTCCCAATATTGATTTTTTCTCATATTTAATTTCTACTTCCCAGGAGGAACCTATATACTGTTCTCTCTGTGCTAATCCACACTATTTTCCCTGGGACTGAGATGCCCTGTTCAAGTTTTCCCAGTACTGAGTCCTGACATTGCTCAATTTTCCTGTTACTCATGCTTGCCATTAACATTGATTTTAGGCACACATTTCCCTACTCAATCTTTCCCATTGCATTTCCTTTGTGGTCTTTCAGTGCTAATTTCCCGGCACTGAGATGACCTATTTCCCAGCACTGAGTTGTGATTTTTCTTCCCATCACTCAGGCTTCCCATTTATGCACCTATGTGTACACTGTATGTATTTTCTTCTACTCATTTTTCCCGGCACTTCGCGAAATTCCACCTCGGGGACACCTCGGGCTGGCTCGCGCAGGCGCCCGCGGGCGGAAGACGCCGGGAGCTTATGGGAGGAGGGTGCGCCACATGAGGCCACGCGGCGAACGTGGACGCCATGTGCGCTCCATGTGCGTTTCTCGTGGGCGTACGCGAAAAGCCACGCGAGTTACGCGCGCCACAGCACCACCCTCGTCCCACTCCTTTTAGATGGTCGCGTGGCGACCGGCAGCAACAATGGCCTCACGCTCCCGCCTTGTTGCCATTGTCTTCATGTGGCTCCTCCGTTCGCGCTTTGGCACCCACATGGCCACTGCATCACCGCGTGCTCGCTATATGCAAACCCACAATGCCGTATATAAAGGCACGTCCCTTCTCCTGGCCCTCCTCACATACACTCTCCCTCCCTCCCTCTCCTTTCCCGACGTCGCGTTGCACGCCCTCGAGCTGCGCTCGCCACTGTTTCTCTCGGCTTCACTCTTTTTGGCCACCCTCAGCGTCCAAGTCCGACACTGACATTTTTACTACTAGTCAAGCACTGCACATTCTTTCATACTAAACGTGACGCATAACGTGTCTCGCCATGGCCCGCATCTTCAGCCCCCTTCTCGTCGCTCTCGTCTCCGTCACCGTTAACGTTCACGGGTTCCCGCTGGAGAAGCGCATCGCCCAGACCATCTCCGCCTCTACTACGAAATGGGAGGCAGCTTGTGTATGTTTCCCGATGTAATGACTTGCGGCCGCCACTGATCAGAGGCACAGGACGCTGCCGGTGGAGGTGCCCAATGCAACACCATCGCCGTCAACGCGTTTGGTAACCTCTTGGCTGCTGCTGATCCCTGCGGTCAACAGAATGCCGCTGACACCATGATCGACCTCGCCAAGCAACTCAACAGCGACGCAGACATGATCAAGTTCGCCCAGATCTTTGCGCAGCAGCCCCGCAACACGGTAAGTATCATCCGTCTGCCTCTCCGATCAGCCTCCGTGCTCATCACGAGGACACCGCAGCCCACCTCCCAGGCTGTGCCTTACTGCCAGAGTGCGCCCAAGAACGCCGAGCTGGACGGACTCTTCCAGTGCCAGTTCCAGGGCGCGGACGAGAGCACCTTCGTCGGCGGCCTCGCTGCTGGCTCGGCCGGTACTATTCCCTTTGGCATGACCAGCGCCGTCTCCCCTGCAGGCTCTTGCCCCGCGAACCCCAGCGGCCCCGTTCCCGACGGCGAGCAGCTCTCCGACCTCGTCAGCAGCCCTGGCAGTGGCTCCTTCAGCGGCTCTTCCAGTGGCTCGGGCTCGGCCTCCGCGTCTGCCGTCGCGTCGACCGCCGCCGCCGCTTCATCTGCGGCGGATACTAGCGTTGCGACCTCTGTCGCCGCAACATCCGCCGCTGCAGTTGCCACTTCCGCGGGCTCTGGCTCTGGCTCTGGCGCGTCCGCCACTGCGACCGCTTCGTCCTCTTCCTCGAGCGGCTCCAGTTTCCTCCTCTCCAACGGCCAGCAAGCCCAGCAGCAGAACGCGCAGTTCGCCTCGCTTACCGCGAACAACACCTGCGATGGTACGTCGCGTCCATCGTGCATGCACGCACCCCACTAACATCGTCGCAGAGGGCAGCGACGCGTGCGTCGACGGCCAGTTCGCGCAGTGCGTCAGCGGCGCGTACGTCATGCAGAGCTGTGGCTCCAGCCTGAGCTGCTTCGCTCTGCCGCTTGTCAACAAGGCCGGTACCTCCATCACCTGCACGACCCAGTCCGACGCGGAGAGCCGCATCGCCAACACGGGTGCTACAGGCGGTGTCACTGGCTCTGGCTCCGGCTCCGGCTCCTCTTCGTCGTCGTCGTCGTCTTCGTCTGGCGCGGGCGCGGAGTCCTCGGCTGTTACATCTGCTTCTGCGGTTGCCCCCGCCGCGCCGGCTGCGAACACGGAGGTAGCGGTCGCGGCCGTGGCGTCCTCGGCTGCTGCCACCGCAACATCCTCCGGCAGCGGCTTCCAGCTCTCGAACGGCCAGCAGGCGCAGCAGCAGAACGCGCAGTTCGCGAGCCTCACCGCCAGCTCCACCTGCACCGGTACGTCCCTCCGCGTTCGCACGTCTTTCCCCGCACTAACCCCGCCGCAGAGGGCTCGGAGGCGTGCGTCGGCGCGGACTTCGCGCAGTGCGTGGGCGGCCAGTACGTCACGCAGAGCTGCGGGGCGAGCCTGAGCTGCTTCGCGCTCCCGCTCGTGAAGAGCGCAGGCACGAGCATCACGTGCACGACCCAGGCGGACGCGGCCGCGCGCATCGCGAACACGGGCGCGACGGGCGGCGTCACCGGGAGCGGCAACTGAGTGTTGGGGTCGACGTTGGATACGGAGCCCCTCTCCCCGGGTGGATGGGGAAATGATTAATGACCTGAGTACGAATCTGTGATTATTCTCGCACTGGATGCCGTTGGTTCTCATGTCACTGTATCGATAGCTTCGTCTCGTCTCGTCTCGCCTTGCCTTTGTGTTGGATATCGGGTGTGGGGTGTGGAATGCGGGCGCGACACGACGCGACGCGACGTATACGAGCCCTACACAGCCGTTATTTGGAGTTAAACATTACATTAGCATTTATAGCAATGGAGTGTTGAAACCCTCTAGACGTTGGGCCCGGGAGCACTTGAGGGATACTGCCAGTGGATCGCGCTCTGTTTCTTGTGCTCTCCATCCAGAACACTGCTCGTGAGCATCTCAACGGTTCTCGCAAGACATGTTGGCCTCTGGGATCTAACGCGGTGGCAGCTGCCCGATATAGTAAGTTAACGTTAAGAGCCACGGTGCCACCGCCACAGACGCGTCGACTTAGCCCACTAGCTGCTTCCTTGCATGGATGGATCCTTCGCGTCAATCTCAACAACCTCATCTGCTACTTATCTGTAACCAGATAGGCACGCAACCTCAAGTGGCGTCCGCGAAGAGGTGGCGGAAGCCACTCATTAATTGGCCATGCGTGCCTATCGGGCTTCCGCAAGAAGCCGAATGTCTTCAAGTCTGGTCGCCGATATCGAAGCTCAGGCCTCTCGAGCCACACAAGCCACACAATGATAGATGCGCCGGTGAGTTCACGCGTCCCCGGGTTGTCTACATCATTGTGTATGTACTTACCGGGTAGCCGTTCAAGGTGCTTGCTTGGCGTTCCTTTGATCGCAGAGAACGACCCACGAGTTGCCCCCGAGCAGTCGGGCGGTCACCAAAGGTCTACCTAGTCACAGCTTGTAATAGTCGTGACGCCTCTCGGGACGTCCGCTCACCAGATTACTTGCCAGTGATTAACGTTTAATACCGGCAACCAATGGGTCCACCGAACTCTACAGTGACTGTGGGTCCGAGTCGGCCTTCGCTTGATGTACTTACTCGGCCACATGCAGATCCTGGCCACCACTTGGCATCATCCAACGCTTCGCGGAAGTTATCGCGGCATTCGAGCGGATATAGTAATAAGGTGCGTTGTGGCATAGCTTCCAGCTACATTCATGACACTCGGCAGAACAGTTACGCACAGGCGTAGGTCACGGATGCATTCACATCGCCGTGGGGATGCCCTTTTGCGGCCGTCTCCGTGTGCTCTCCAGAAGCGGAGATAGTATTGCTGTACGCCACCTATCGATATAGTACCTCGGTAGGATGCTAAACATGGCTCTTGATACTGCGTCTACAACAAACCCGCGACACCTGGCTTGGGATCGAAGGGAGCCCGCGGCTGAGCTTGTCCCAGTCTATGCATTAACATTTCAGCGGCATTTGTCGGGAGAGGCATTGGTACCTATGATTGGCAAAGCTGCAGAGTTTAATGGCATGACGCTGACGGGCTTAATCCTCAATAGGCTTGTACCATTCTCTCTCGCTAACTAGGAGACCCGCCGGATGTTTGTGATGGCAGCTTCCTTCATCTGTCATGGCCAGCCACATGCAAGTATTGGCCACGGCATGCGAACGGGCAGGGTGAGAGGACATAAATCGAAAACACCGCTCGGCAGCTACAACGGGACGAGCAGACATGCGGGTCTAATTTGACGTGCGTGGATGGGTTTCTATGAGTGTCACAGGACAGCCGGCGGATTGGCCTGCCACTAATGGCTGCTCACGTCTTATCTACGTGTGGAGACCTTGTCACAACTTAGCTTCGTCTCGGAGAACAGACTAAACGGCCTTGTTCCGCGCCTCGGACTCCCGACAAATATGCAAGTACGACATTCACAAATTCAACGAGCCTGCAGGTGTCCTGGAGCGCCACGGAATGCCTACATCCAGTCGTATAAATCCTGAAGGCGACTGCAGGATGGTCAGCGAACTCCTCAACGGCGCAGAGGAAGCAACTAGCACACGCACAACACACCCGACGACATGGATACGAACCAGAACAACACCGTCCGTACGTCGCGTAAGTATCCTCCAACTTGAAAGCGCATCGCAGAGTACTGACACTACTCGTGCAGACTGGAGGATGGAGCTGAACAACGTGTGGCAGAGCAACAAAGCTCTTGGACCACTGGCGTGGGAGGATATCCCCGCCCACGGTCATCAGGGTCCTTGGACCGCGATTGTCAGGAGTAAGTGTTATTTCGTGTTGAGCCGAAGGCGAGATGCTCACGACTGGGCCTCACAGTCAATGGCATCGAATTTGGGAGCGGCGGTGGCAACAGTAGAGATGATGCGAGGGAGGCCGCCGCACACGTAGCGTATCTACAAGTCATCAAGAAGCTCCAGGGGCAGTGATGTGAGTGTTCGCTCGGATACAGCAGACTCTGAGGAACGCTGCTCACGTTTTCCATAGTATCACCGGCCTGAATGCTTACAGCTGTTGTCAGAGCGATCTTGAACGATGTATTCTCGTGACAATACATCGTGCCTGTAGTCCCCAAAGCTCACCGTCTGATGACCGGCTTATGTAGTACCTCACGTACTCGCATGTGTCACAGTCGGATAAGCTCAGCAACCCGCTGACGGCACCACTGTATTCATATAGATTGTAGGTTAGACTTCTGAACTGCCCGATGCTGCTGAGGACACAAAGTCGGACAACGGACGGGGGACTCACAGTGTTAAGGCAGCTCTCCGCCGCCTCCGTCTGGACGGCAAATGCAGAGCAGCATATGACGCGGAGAGCACACAACGGCACTTAGATAACGGAAGTTGCGCGACGCTTTTGACGATTCGAGATGAGATGGAAGGCGTTACGCGAGCAACGCCTATATGACACCGAAGAGATTATTCGTTGGTATACAAAGGCAGGCGTCGATGGCAGATGAGATGATACAGAGTAAGTGACCATGCGTGAAGGTTGCTAAGCATTAGACTGAACGATAGCATATATGCGCGAAAGCAATCTGCAGATATAAGTTAGATGTCGTCTCGTATAGATCAAAGCTTTATGCGTCTCGTGTCGGGGCCGCATGGATCGCCGCGACGTCAGACAGACCGGAAGTCGGCATCGGCGCAGAGACAGGTATCCCGCCAGCGGGGAAACCGTTCGTACCACCATAAGCGGGCCGGCCGTTGGCAGTGGGCACGCCCGCGCTCTGGTACGGCGATCCCGAGGAGTTGAACAGGACGTGTCGGTACTGCGTGGACGACGAATGCGACGACCAGAACGCGTCGTACGTGAGGGTCGGGTTTGCAGGAGCGGATGCCTGCGCGGGCTGGGTCGCCGGCGCGATGGGGCGGAAAGTGCCTTGTTGGGGACGGTGTGATTGAGGAGACTCTGGTGGGGTCTGAGGTGGTACGTGTGGCGGTGGCAGCTGTGGTTGAGAGTAGTCATGTGGTGGTGGCGGGGCCATAGGATGTGGGGTATGGTAATGGAATTCGAACTGGAAGGATGGAGTCTGGGCAGGGTAGAACGAGTCTTGACTCGGTTGATAAAAGCTGGGCTCGCTCCTGCTATAGGGCATGTGGGCGAACTGGACGTGTTCGGGTATGACTCCGTTGGACGGCGGATGTGAAGCCGCATCTGGCACTGTCGGCGCAGCCATTCCGGCAGTGCTAACTTGGTACGCGGTGTGTTCAGCTACAACGGGCTGGGGTGGGCTGAACATCGACGCCGCAGCTTGCTCGAGCGTTCCCGAGTCGGGTCCGCTTTGTACGCTGTGAGGTCGCTGAACGTGAGCGGTAGGTGACACCTGTGTCTCCGCAGGAGGTGTTGGGGAAGAAATGATCTTTTGTGTAGATGGAGCGACTGCGGAAGCACCGAGTCTGAGTTGTCATTTGACTTGAATGTCGTGAGCAGAACACGCACCTTCGTCGATACCAATTGAAACCGACCCGCTCCCAACGGCTGGTTCCAAGTAAGACCTCTCACCATCATGCTGATGCTGAGCGTTCTGCTCTGAAGCGGTATCGTGGTCGTGACGATACTCGTTGATTGGGAACAGTGTGTTTGGTGTATAGCGAACTGAAGTCGAGGCCGCCGAACGTCGTCCACCGGGCATTGGTGTTGTGTGGGGCCGACTTTTGTGTGTGTGACGGAAGTACAAATTCTCAACTTCATTCAGTGTTTGTCGTTGCTAAAGGAGGTACATGAGTCCCTGACGCAGTGGCTCAGCGGGCCCAGTGGACTCACCCATCCATGTTCGACTTTGAGCTTGGCATATTGCAGCCGCAATCGAAGTTGCCCACAAAGCTGCATACACACAAGACGAAATAGATGGTATTGGTGGATGCAGCCATGCCCAAGCAAGTCGAGGACATACGAGAGTATATCAGCTTTCAGTTAGCGAGCAACAACCGCAGTCAAACAGCTGTGTACGGACGTAGTTGGCCTTTGCTCGTTCTGGGGTGATCTTGCGCCGCTTGTGGTCCACATGGAAGACAGCAGTCTGCGGTGTAGACGGTAGCTCTGCCATCGCCTCCAGCGACGCCGATGACGATGGTCGCATGTGGCAGGCCGCAGAGTTGACTTACTTACATTCTGAGAATATTTAATTCTGACAGTGGAACTGGGTTAAGCCTTGCGTATTGTGGTGATAACCATTAGTTTGGTTAAATCCGCAGTGGCCCAATGGTCTAGTCGTATGATTCGCGCTTCGGGGTTTTCGACCGCCAAGTCTATATTTGGACTTAAAACGTAACTCACATGCGCGAGGTCCAACATGTCCGTTTCTTAGTTCTGTCATCACGACGCTGCAAGAACTTACCGCGGTGCAATGCAAGATGTGCATATTATGACCTATTGTGACCGGCGTGTGAGATTTTCTGCTGGCCCAATGGTCTAGTCGTATGATACGCGCTTCGGGAGTTTCCCAGTCCGGTCTGGACTTAATGTGTGCGTGGTCCCGAGTTCAATTCTCGGTTGGGCCCGGTAGTTTTTTAATCAGAATACTAACTTCCCTTGCTCGTAAGAGCGAGCGCGAGTGTAACACGGGTGTGATTCAGTCACCGCTTGTCACCGAGTGTGACGCGTGAGTGCGCGGCCTTAGCACACGTCCAGCTCTCAGCGACGAAGATTAAGAATCGAAACTTGCTAGATATGTTCATTGCACCGAAAACACGCATTCCGTGTACGGAAATATTGTCGGCAATGCGTGCTTCCGGCAGGAGGTGAGTACCATCGCTGCGGTCGTGCGCCACCACGCGGGCGCTTGACACTGCTCAACGCAGACGCGCGAGCAGGGGCATTTCGAGAGGTTCAGCGTATCGTCAATATCTGGACTAAAGTTCACACGCTCCAATATTGTGGCTCCCGGGGCGCGCGCCGAAATGGAGAGCCTGAGTCTGCAACCACCATGGAGCTACAAGAAATTCAAAAGTATCTTAACGCCATACAGCCTCTGTGCTCGCGGGTCTCACCCTTGTCGCCCAATGCCTCTCCGCGCTCACGTCGGCTCGCTTCAACGGTCTGCGATCAACTTTCCTCCATCCAAACTGTTCTTGTGGAGAATCTGGGCGGACCCACTGGGCACAGGCACGGAGGAACTTCGCGCGCGCACCGTTTGGATCCATCTGGTGACGCCGAAGAAGATGAACAGTCTCAGGATGAACCCGACGGCGAAGGCGAAAAGAGGGGAGGGGCTCGGGAGACAGACGAGGACGCAGATGAGGATGAAGACGAAGACGAGAACCGCACTGAGAAAGGAAGATCGACTGTATGCGGCTCTTTCGGTCCCCAAAAGCCTTCTGACACGGCCATTCAGATAGCTGCAAAGCAGAACACTGTCGCTTTCCGCGTAGCAAAGATATCGCAATGTCTGGCCGCCGACCCGCTGTCTCTCGCTGAGGTCGCAGACATGCTAGTTGGAGATCGTCCCAAAGGCAAGGTCGCTGACCTCGAAGACATCGCGCTTGCGTCCCTCTTGGCAGGCCTGCCACATGCGTCATTGCATGACTGGGTAAGCTCATGTCCGCCTATAGGGGGTGTCGTGTATATTGCGCGTTATTCGTGCCGAGTGCCTATATGCGCGTGTTACGCCGGCATCATATACCTGACCATGCCACTTGTAGGCGGGAGTATTGGAACATCTCGCCGATAACATCGTCAGCACCGCTAGCATCGTTGTTGCTTCTGCTGCTCACGATGGTGTCGAGAGTATCACCCAGCGCCTTGAGATGCGCCACAAGGTACTCAAGAGTCCCTGGCAGTTCGCAGACGCTTCACTTACATATTCTTCAGGCTCTCACGTCTGCAGACATGGGAAACCGTGCGAACAACTGTGTCGTATTCGTCCTCCGGCAGATTGAAACAATCAAGTTCGCCCTGGACTGGCAGGATCGCGGCGCGTTGCCCGGGGGAAAGAAGTGGATCAGCGACTTCTACAAGACTGCATTTATCGAAGATCCAGCCTTCGTTGACGAGTTTCAAGGTATCACAGAGAACGCTATCAAAGTCAAACTGCGAGAACTCGAGGAGCCCTTTAAACGGTGGCGCAACAGTGCCCGGCACACCGTCACCGCCCGCAACCGCCTCCTTAGGCTTTACAATATGGTAAGCTCCCTGTTCGGGTTTCACCTCCCACATCTCACTGGCAACATTGAACTCCCCGGCCGCATGCTGATAACGGTTGCCTCCGCTACAGTTCGGCTTCGGTGTACTCCTCGATCCGACGTGGGAAGTGAACGGGCTTGTACGCGGCCGCTCTCGCCTCTTCGTCCCTGTTCTCGACAGCCTGTTGTCGGTCGTCCGGAAAGCAGAGCCTGCCGATCTGCCGTCGCAGTCGGATGCTCGCCGCGCTCTCATACACATCGTGACGATCCTCGGGGGTGACGACATCGGCGTCCATGTCAAGCGCTTCGTGCAGGACCACCCGCCGACTCTGCTGTAGACCGACCCTCTAGTGCCCTCTAGTGCTGCTGTATAGTCTTTGTGTGTACAGTCATTGGCAGTGTATCGGTGGACCCGTGCACACCCGTGTTCGATGAAACACCAGTTAGCTGGTTCTCCTTTCTTGGGTGGTTGCGCAACTCGGCACGTCACGCGTGTGTGTCCACAACTTGCTCCGCTGCGGTTCTTGCGTATCGGTTGAGACAACGGGAGCATCCTCCTGCGAGGTCGGGTGGTTGTGGGGGAAGCCGCGGTCGCGTCGGCGCAGGAGGCGGCCGAGGGCGGCGCACTGCTCCGTGTGGCGCCGACGCTGCCACTGCGACCTCAGTAGCAAGTGTGGTCTGCGCCGTCGCGCGCATGCCGCAGTCTGACGTCATACGTGCCCGCCCGCTGCTCGCGTGCATTGCCCGTCGCTCTTCCGCAATGCATCTTGCTCTTGACCACCATTGCTTTCCTCCGGTCGCCGCGTAAGCCCTCCAATCCACGGCGCTATCATGTCGTCGTCGAGGAACTGGCTCGGGAACATCGCTGACAAGCCAGCCGCACTGCGCTGGGCGGCCGAGGCATCCGAGAAATCTTCAACATTTTCAACTGTCTCGGAGTCCCTGCAACTTCGCCGAGCTAACGTCAAAAGATGGATTGAGGAGTTCGTCAAAGAGATGTACGACATTACTGCAGACGATTTTTGGACTATGGAGGACATTGGCCGTGCGTTGCATTACCAAGTCAAATATGTATCGCCCGATCCCTACTAACCATCATGTATGCAGTCTATTTCGAACGCTTTCTCTCACTCCGTGCAAAGTACGCCAACCCGTCGACTCAGCGTAGGCGCAATGGCCACCAGAGGATTACGTACTCCACACTTCGCCAGTGGAAGGATGTCGTTGTATATCTCGTATGTACCTAGCCAAGCAACTCGAGGAAGTTGCGTGAATGTTCACAAACCTAGATCTACAAGTTTCATCCTAAGGGAGCAATGCTCCTCTCCCAAGGGCTCTTTGCCCGCCTTTACCAAGTGAGTCGTAACCCTCGTAGTGCAGATTCCGAGGTGACCTAAGTGGGTATGTCATAGCACATCACCTTCCTCCAAAGAGAGCTTGAAATGGATCGGCACCTACCTCTCCAAGAGGGTTTCGGGAGGCTGGAGTTACGCATACTCACGGAACGCCTGTATGCACAGGCAACTGACCCCCTTTGGGTGTGATTTCCCTCATTGGCTGTGGCATTGGATTTGCGACTAAGACAGCAATCTCGAGCTAGGCAAACCAGACTGACATCACATGGAAGTTGTGTTTCGTCACAGGCTGCCGACCAGGGTCCATCGGGGCGACGTATGCGTCGTCCGAGTCCAACGGATTTTACATGAAAATCAGGGTGTGTTGCTCAATACCTCATATGAACACATGCTCAATCTCTACTGCACAATAGGACCTTCACCAGATCACACGGGTAGGCTATATGCAATGGAACATCCAGTTGCATATCAATGTGCTGAAGGGATACTCAATCGGTGAGGGCAAAAGGTAGGTCGCACACCGCATACATTCTGATCGACAGACTGGCTGATGATCATCAGGATCGTGGTCATGCTGCGGCCTGTCACGTCTCCGATGAACGTCGTGTTCGATGTGACACTGCTCATCGTCATGAACCTGTTCATGCGAGGGATGCTCTACCACTCAACATGGCAGGCTGTTTGTGACGATGAAACATTTCAACTCAACGTCCGGCCCGAGTACAAGAACCATCCCCTGATATGCAAAGGCAAAAACGGCCAAGGAGGGGTGGTGGAAGGCGAGCCCATGCGATCATCGGCCATGCAAGAGATATTTGCAAGATTCGCAGGGCAGTGTGGCTTCAGTACGTCTTGCCGCGAAGCACTGTGACCACTACTCATTCCCATGTAGAGGATGCTCGCCTCTACAACTTCCGAAGAGACTTTGCCGCGGACATGATGGACGCATTTGGCGAGGAGGAGACTCAGCAAGCGATGGGCCATACACCGGGCGAGGTTTTAGTGAGTTTAATGCATGTATCTACCTACCTACTGTGCTCATTTTACGCAAAAGCGGAATAACTATCTCGAAAGCGTCGCCGGAAAAGACCTCGTTGGCGTGCGATCGGGCGAGGCCATCGCCTCGCGCAAGCACCTCAACTGGTCCAGGCAGCCTGCCCTCCACGAAAACGTCGTGATAATGACACCTGCAGATTTCAGCCATCTATACCACCCAGGAGAACCCAGTTCTTCTGTTGAGGTTCCTGCCAGTGCTCTCCCACAGAAGTCGAGGTCGACGCCGGCGAAGGTACTCTTTCGTCCGAGATCACGCCAACAGTCGCTGAAATGATTTTGTCGTCAGGCTGCCGTGTCTGGGCCGCCGAAGGTCACATCTGATCAGATTGACGAGTCCGATGAGTATCGCAATTGGATGGCTGAACCTGTGCGCCACCAGAGGTACCAGGACCATGATGGGATGCTGGCAACAATAGAAGAGGCCATTGGTAGAGTGCATACTAATGGCCGGGCAGGCACGGTGGCCGAACGCATTGCTGCACATCCTGACAAGGATCGGCTTGGTGAGATCTGGAAAAAGTACAGCAAGCTTGGTAGCTCCCTGTCATCTAGTCGGACTAGGAAGCGACGCCAAATCGAGGAGCGGTTAACTGCGGCGGCCAAGCTCGAGTGGGAAAAGAACCAAGCACCGGTCCTGCCTACTGAAGTCCAGGGCCAGACGACAGCGGAGAGAGTTGCGAAGGCAGCTGCTCTTGAAAAGGAATCTCCCCTACTCCAGGTCGCTCTCTCCCGGCACAGTGAGTGTATTGACATGCCACCGATGATATGTGGGGCCTAACTGTCGTGTTCCCTGTGTAGATGCCACCGTAATCACCGACTCGGATGAAGAAGCACCTCTTCCAGAGATGCCGAGCCACCTGGAGGCTGACGAGTTCATCGACATGTCAGTCATTGGGCGAGGGCAGCTTGAAGAGGCTCAAACAAACGAACTCGAGGCTGTGCCCTTGCGTGTCATGGCAGCATCGTATTGCGAGTGAGTGGTATCGTCGCAATGATCTGTGAGAAACACTGATGACTTCATAGGATGGTCATGAGCATCGAGAAGCGAAATCTACGCCAGAAATGCATTGATTGCAAAAACGACCTAACGACCAAGGCAGACATCAAGGGAAAATTGTGGTTCCCCTCGCACCTACGGCGACACATGTGCGTGAGATCTGCCCAGCCTTGTAGAGATGAGCCTCGCTAATAACTGCACTAATAACTGATTACCTGCTGTAGCAAGGACTACCACACCGTCCCACGCCAGATTCAGAGATTCTGGAAGTCAGGAGAAACTTGGCGAACTGCCAAAGATCGATGGTCGGCGGGTGGCTGCCTGTTATGTCGAGCTGATCGCAAGAAGTTCCGAAAGTGAGTTGGCCTTTAAAAATCTTGTGCTTGCGAATCATAGCTTCGCCTGCCTCAGGTATACGAAGGGTGGACTTCATAAGCACGTGTACACATCCAAGATCCATGCGGGTGATGAACGTCTTCAAGTCGTCTCTCGGAAGCGAGTGGTAAGTGCATCAGTAGGTTTGCGATGCTGCCCGACTCAATAACCGTCGCAGCGACGGGACCATTCGAATGATCTAGTGCCGCCAAAGGCGACGCTGCAGGAGTATGTCAGTGAATGCAGGGCAGCGCTTCTGCAGTCGACGCCCTATCCGGCCGCGCAACGGCTCGACAATCCTCTCCCGATACTCCAGAACAGAGACTCCTTCACGGCAGCCATGGGCTCCTTAAGCGTGGCCCACTTCTTGTCGCTTTCCGCTATGACACTGGCTCCGTTCTGAGCCCCTAGTATACCCAATGACCCAAAGAACGAAGAAGAGAACGAATCAGATTCCGCGTAGTCCTGTACAGTATTCCGAGTCAACTGTGAATTGATATTCTGTCTACAGGATGAAAGAACTGTGTAAAGTACTGGCACACATGGGTGCGATGAGGAGCGCCCAATGCATGGTGTTGACGCGGGCATTGTGCATGGGGCATCATTCTCTAAGCTCTGAATTCACGTCAGACGTCTAGCAGTATGTATATAATGTGTGTATGTGAATTTCCAGGACCCTCACATAGGATCTACTGACAGTACAGCATGAGGAAGGGTGTCGCACCCGTGGCAGTGCTTGACGCTTGTGAGCGCTTGAGCTCTCGACTTTGTGTCGCACCCTTGGTTCTCGCCGCCCGCGAGTTGACCTCTGTCGACCTCCATCACATCCTTGAGCCTGATCGCTGAGCTCGTCACTGCCGTCTTCATCTCCGCGCACCCGCCCTCCCCGGCAACCCTGCACACACCCCAAATGTGAGTCTACTAGGCGCTTTTCTCGCCACTAGCCAGACCTCATGATGTCCTCATCCGAATCGCAACCTGCTCGACAGATGGGAACTTCAACCTCTTCGAACTCTGCGCGCCACGTTAGCGATCTCGACATCATCGTCAAGGTCGGCTCGATGATCTACCGATACAACATCTAGGTCTACAACAACCAGGGCGCGTACTAGGAGTGCATCAACTGCGATGGCCTCCACTTGACTGCCTCAGGATGGCAACGAGGACGAGTCAACGGTGATGGACGATGCCGGGCCACGGCACCGCGACGCACACGGCGACGGCGAGCACGCCGGGCGAATGCCCTGTGTGCATTCGCAGCCAGCGAGTAGACCGCGGGTGAGGGTACAGGCGAGGGCGAGGGCAAGCGCACTGGTGAACGTGCGAGAACGGGCGAAGGTGTGACCGAGGTCGGGCGCGAGGGCGAGTGAATAATTGAAGTGGGCGGGGGTGAGAGGGCAAGCAAGCGGGGAGGCGGGGAAGCGCAAAGAAGGGCGAGAGGAGGGCGGGTGCAAGGGAGCTGTGATGAGTCGGAGAGATTTGCAGATCAAGGTGTGTCCATGCGTTTCGAACGGGCACTCTATTCTCGTCGCCTCATGATCCCGCTTTAACTAATGAATTCTAAGCACAGAGCCTGACAATGTGGGCGCAGCCACTCCAGATCAAGCTCGGATACGGCAAAGGTTACTCTTGTACCGACTACGCATGTTGACGCCTTATAACTCATCCTCCCAGCACATCCTCGACTCGGACGGCATGCGTGAAGGCATCCTCCCTTGCACTCCTGTCAGTACTCTGCGAGGTTCAAGCCCCATCCTCATTGGTGAGCCCGGTTTTGGAACGTCCGCCATCGCAGAAGGTCTCGCGCAGCATATCTTCAACCACGACGTACCCGCTTCGCTCCTCGGCCGCCTCTACTCGCTCGACATGGGTGCGTTCATGGTCGGTGCGAAGTTCATGAGCGAGTACGAAGACCGCGTCAAGGCCGTCCTCAACGAAGTCGAGAAGGCCGCCCAGGAGGGCACAAGTACCACCCTCTTATCGACGAGCTCCACCTCCTGGCCCCGGCGCGGAGGGCGGCGGCATGGACGCTGCGAACCTGTTCAAGCCTCCTCCTCGCGCGTGGCAAGCTTCGGTGCACCGGCGCGATGACCCTAGCTGAGTATAGGCAATCCATCGAGAAGGACCCGGCGCTCGAGCGGCAGTTCGCGCAGATGCTCGTCAACGAGCCGTCCGTTCCTGAGACGATCCCTCCGTGGATTCGTGACAAGTACGAGGTGCACCATGGTGTTCGTATCCTCGATGGTGCTCTCACTGGCATTTAAGCAGCGACCCTCGCCCACCACTACCTCACGTCAAGACCAAACTTCAGCCCCTCCAGGTGCAACATGAGGCGGAGAAGGCGCGCGGCGAAGAGATCCAGAATGTCTGCCAGAAGATGGACGAGCTCAAGACCAAGGTGGACGAAGCCAAGCGGTGCTACGACCTCCACTACGCCCCGCCCGACCTCCATGCTCATCTCCAGCAACTCAAGGTGAAGGAGGTAGACGACCTCGGCGCCACGTTCCTCAACGGCATGGGCGACAGCCCCGCCAGACCCGAGACGCGCGAACTGACGCGCGAACTGAGCCCCTCGTATACCCAATGACCCGAAGAACGAAGAAGAGAACGAATCAGATTCTGCGTAGTCCTGTACAGTACTCCGAGTCAACTGTGAATTGATGTCGTCTTCTGTCTACAGGATGGAAGAACTGTGTGCATAAAGTACTACGCGTGGCGCTGATCTTGGGTGTGAGTCGTCGGTGAGGTGTGACTCTACGCCGAGCAAGCTCTCCTCTGCTCGTCGTTGACATCAATCTTTTGCTCTCTTTTCATCTCGTCTCCCTTGTAACTCATCGTTTTTTCTGTCGCACGCACTCGCCTCTACACCGTCAACTGCGGCGACCCCGCGCGCCGACAACTTGGAGCATCAGCACCTTGCTCTCGACTCACACGAATAAACCGGCTGTCGGTCATTACAGCAGGCAGATGCAGACATGCCATAGCAGGGCGAAGCCGAGGCTGCCCGCGGGTCGTATATGCCCTGCCAAGGCGTCCCATTGCGAGGAGCGAGAAGGGTGCATTATATGCATAGAGTGCAGTACATCTTTGGGCAGCAAATGTCGGCGACGGACGAGAGAACGGGTGTCGTAGGTCTGAGAAGGGTAGTCTGGCTTTTTCGAGCAGACCATGATTGTATATTACACATGAGAACCACGGGTATCATTGGAGTCCGACCACGAGAAACAGCAGGAACGGAACGATCACTGGAGGAGTACGAGGGATTACAAGGTCCATTCGAGCAAGGACACAGCAAAGAGAAAGAAAGGACATCTAAAGACGATGACGAGCATCTAGTCGTCGCGTGCGCGGGCTTTACCCTTCCCATTCATGGTGCTGCCCGACCCAGAGGCGTTGGCGCTGCCAGAACCAGAGGGAGAGTTGTCGGCGCCAGCTACGACATGAGACCCTTCGCCACCGAAAGACGTGGCACCGAGGTAGCGAGCAGAAGTTGCAGTGAGAGTGGGATCATTTGGAGACTTGTTCGCACCGAGATCGAACCACGTAGACGCATAGGGTCCCATAGAGTCCAGAATGTCCGCAAGGTCGGGGAGGTAGACAGTCGGCAGAGGCCCTTCCGCAGGCGGAGGGAGTTGTGGACGAGGCATCTCTTCGCCCAGCTTCCGGGCGTATCTGGAGCCAGTGTAGTAGTCTTTCCAGGCCTTGCTTTGTATTGCTTCAGCCGCCAAGGAGTCGTAGCGGAGCTGCGACTGGAGCCGCACGTGCTTGAAGGCGATGTCAGCCACCGCCGCCGTCCTCTGCCAGTTTGTGGTGTGAACGCCGAAGCGAAAGCCTTCAAAGGCAAGGGCCTAGTAGAGGTGAATGGGCTGTTCGTACTCATGCGCGGTGTCACTTACCTGCTCTGCAACATCCCCGTTCTTCGCGAAGGCGGCCTGCATGCGCTTGGCAGCGGACTTTTTGGAAGCTGCTGCGGTCTTTGGAACATCGTCATCGGACGTCTCCAGAGGTGTCAATGTGGATATATGCTGGGCAATACCGAGTAACTTACTGCTACGTTCTTTGGAACATCATCATCGGACATCTCCGCGTCCTTTGGGGGGACGAAATCATCGTCACTAGACTCTTCCGACGAATCTAAGGACTCGTCGTCCGAGTCCTGGTCGCGAGATGCGTAACAGTAACGAGAAAGTGGGTATATGCGCGCACCTTGATGATGATGGGCTTTCCCGTGTTGACCTTTGGTTTTTTGGCATTTTGAGCAGTATCCTTTGAGGCCTTGCGCTTCTCCGCAGTCAAGGTCACGGTCTAGAGACGAGATGAGGGTGCGAGCGAGACAGAAAAAGATCGAGTGGCACTTGCCGTGTTCGACTGAGCACTGGCACGAGTGACCACGGTTTGGGCGACCCCCTTGAGGTTAGGTCAGCATATAGTGATGAAAAACGAGTCGAGGTGCTCACTGGGGCGGGCGCTGGGATTTTGCCGTGTGTACCTGCCTGCGCGGACATCCCGGTGCCGAGCAACCCGAGGGGCACCGCGTTCGGCGTTCCCGCGATGATTGCGTTCATTTTGTATTGAACAGCGGCCTGGGGAGTGATGTCGATGTGGTTGGTGAAGCGGGGCATGGTGAGGGCGGTGAGGTGGGGGTTGGAGGTAAGTATGTAAGAGCCGGCATCCGAGACAGGGTACCTCTTATAAACGGATATGCGGCAACCGCCGCAGTGGGTGCGACGCGTATATGATGTCATGGTGTGCCCCGGTACGAGCAGGATGTGCGCGGAGGGACGTGTGCAAAGAGACGCGCTCACGTGGCGCGCGCGACACCCTTGGGTCTCGGACATGGCAGCGGCGAGCAGTGAGGTCGCGTCGCGTCTCGCGGACAAGCCTGAGCGCGAGGTGATGCCCCTTGAGGACACGTCGACGACGGTCGTTGAGCTCATCCTACATTCATGTGGTGAGCTAGGCAGGACGTGGATGTCGCGGGCCAGACAGTTCGTGCACGCCGTTCTTATGCGAAAAGGACCAGGGCGTGTTGACTGTATCTACACTAATGTACATCTGTTCATTGTCTTTGACGTGTCATTTTCGACATCATCCCTGCCGCTTCCACTGTCGTCTTTGCCCATCCCTGCACTCGTAGCCATGAGCGTCACCAGAGCTGCTGCCATGGCGCTCGCGGTGAAGGTGGAGGTCGCTGCAGAGTGAATGACGTCTCTGGAGGGCTGCACCCGATGCGAGCCCGGTCTGAGCGGTGGGTGGCCGTTGCAGGTTGCACTTGTGGGCGGAGATCTGGACGACGTGGCGTGGATGCGCGAGAGGCCCTCGTGGTGCGTGACAGCAGTCGTAGGCGGAACTGTTGCCCGGGGTGTCGACGACGGAAAGGGGGCTTGACGGCGCGCGGTGCAACGAGAAGGCGGGGCCACACATAGGGAATGGCGACGCGGGCGGGTGGGAATGACGAGACGGCTTCGGCGGGGTGTGCACGGCGCGCGGATGAGGGTGGCGGGAAGGCAGGACTGCGGGCTATGCGTGGTGAACACGAGCGTGCACGGGGCCAAGCGGCGGGATGATGGTGAGCAGCGGCAGCGTCGCGCAGGCGCGCAAATGTCCTGGGCGAGATGGGCGGCGAGCTTGAGGTGGCCTCGCGGCGGCAGGCAGCGAGCCAGGGAAGACGCGGGGGGTACATAAGTACTCGTCCGCGAGGGGCCAGAGTAAAAGCCCATCTCCGCGTCTGCACGCTGGCGGGCGTTGCCCTGGGCGCGGTGGTCGCGGTGGCACTGAGAGAGGGAGGGCGCACGCTGGCGCGCGAGGGCGCCCCCGCAGCCAGTTCCCACGGTCGGCAGACAGCGGTGGCGGCGGGCGGCGGAGCACGGGGGACGACGCGCGGGGGACGTGACACTGACAGGAAGGATGGCGCCGGTGGCTGCGGCAGGTGGCGCGGGCGGGGTAGGGCAGGCAGGCTCGGTGGCACGGGTGGCGCGGTGGCGGGCGGTGGACGACGCGTGGCGGGGGATGTGGGTCACCGTGACGGGGCGGCGGGCGGCAGTAGCTGCGGCAGGTGATGCGGGCGGCGTAGGACGATGGCGCGGCAGGCAGCGGTGGGGACTGGCGGCGGGCGGTGGCGGGTGGCGGTGGCGGTGGCGGTGGCGGTAGCGCGGTGGCGGGTCGCAGTGGACGACGCGTGGCAGGGGACGTGGACGCGGGCGGTGACGGGTGGCGCGGCGGGGGAAAAAGGGTGTAACTGGGCACGTCTCGCGCTCGGGCGGGTGGCGGCGGACGGTCACCGCGGGCAGGGCGCTCGTCCCTCGCGCGGGGGAGGGCGCTCGTCTCTCGCGCGCGCCTTCGGCGCGCGCTCGTTCCTCGCGCGGCGCACGGGATGAGGCCCCGGGTTCAATTCCCGGTTGGGCCCTGTCTTTTTTCGTTGATTTTCTCGTCCTGAAGAGACGGGGAAATAAATGTTCTGTCCTTTTGAACGAGGTGGATGCAAGAAGGAGCCAAGTAGATATGTTGGCTTCAGCCACCGACTATGTAGAGCGGTGCACTTTTTTGCAACCTCAAACGATGATGCACACATATAGCATCATTGATGGTGCCCTACACACAGGCCCATAATGGTATCATGACGACGATGTTGTGGAACCATGCAATGAGAGGTCTTCCAGTTTCAAAAGGACGACGGACGTCGGCATCGAATAAGCGCCGGGTGCGAGCCTAACTCACCATTTTGCGCAGTGTTGGAGGTGCCAAATTCTGTGGCGATAAGTCCTCCATAAACCGCGTCAGATGTTGTAGAAGTCTAGAAGAGGGCCCTATACACTTGCTCTCGACAGCAATGGATATCGCCAGCCAACGACTACGCCCACCTACAACTCAATTGCAATGTCTGAGTAGCGTGACGCTCACGGTGACTCTGGTCTGAGGTGTGCACTGACTCTTTCCAGGACAAAGCTACCTGTGCGAACATCCAGGCCAACGGCAGCTCTTGCACGTACGGGCCCACGTACAGCTATGCAAGGCCTCCGCAGAGCAAGTAATTGTACCCGTTGTGTGCATCGTGTCGGCTGTGACTTTGTACGACCCAGTGTTAGTATGCTAACCGAGCTAGGCGTCGCGATTCAGATTCTCTATGCAGTGGTCCAATATAACTTGATGTGCCGATATTGTACTTCAAGTTTGCGAGCACAGTAGAAGGCTTCAAGGTCTACGACTTGTCGTAGTCTCGTGGTTGTTCTCTCGTCGAGGTTTAGTCTGAAAGTATGCGCGAGACACTCGGAGTGCCGCGAGACAGGGCAACGCAACGACGTTGGGGAAAGCAAAATCTAGAAGCATGACAAGAGTGACAAATATAAGCTGACAACAGGGGGCGAAACACAACGGAGAAACTGAGGGAGCTAGTCCATGACCCACTCCCGCAAGATCTCGCAGCCTCCGATGTCTGGGTGGAGCAGGATAGACGATAACCAATGCTGCAACAGTCGTCTTCTTTGGTCGAGAAAGGACGGGCGAAACTTGGAAAGAGGGGACTTCGGCGGCAATGGCGAGATGAACCGTTGGTGGCTTTGCTACGGGATGGTTAGAAGCCGTCATTGCCGAGGAGGGCAAGACGCACTGGAAGCCTGGCACGTAGTCGTGCATATAACTCTGCGAAAGCGCTATATCGCTTGTGTACATGGATGACAGTTCCCTGCGAGCACTCGTTCGGCGTGAGCCCACTTGCTTCACGAATAATCGGCGTACCTCCTTGGTCTTGATCGCACAGTCGTACACTTTGGCATCATTCAGGCTTAATGGCTAGCGAAGACCTGCACAGTGCACTCACCTATGTACGCGCCGCCTCGCTTATCCCCGACATTCGTCCATCCAACGACCTCCACCTCTCGCGCAAAGACCAGGCTCTCGCCCGAGTGGTCGCCCAGCCAGATGTCCTTCGAGTATATCGAGGGCGCATCGACCGATGGTCGTGCAGCCGTGCTAAACTCGAATTCCACCGGGGTCTGCGAAGCGCTGTTCAGCCCATGTTCGCAGTCCGAACAGATCAGCGACTCACATCACACAACTCCTCGTATAAGCGCGCCTCCTCTTCTACATCAATCTTGTCCGGAAGGACCTCGATGAGGCCCTGGGCGTGCTCGAACGGACGCGGTGTGGTAGGGGTTGATGGTCCCCTCGACAGAGTAGGGCTTCGAAGTGCCATTGGAGCGAAATATGTAAGAGCTGAAACATTAAAGGGCGTGCCAGTGTTCAGTACATGGGACAGAGAGTGAGAGATCCAAGGAAAGGAGTGTGATATCGGTAGGACGCTGCCCAGTTGTGGTGGCCGCCTTAGCGTAATGGAGGAGCTTATGGGCGTCAGTGATATTTAGCCGCCTTTTACGGTCTCTACCATCGCGTTCTCAACCCAATCTCAAGCCATGGCCATTCGCCACGCCTATCGTTGACCAGAAAGATATTAAGAATCACCTCCAAGGTTCGCATTTCGGTGTCAATCGAAGGCACGATGATTATCGACTGACCACAGCGTGGAAGTTGCGTGGAAGCCATGCGGCCTGCCTTGCGAGTTTTCAGATTCAAACAAGGCTTGCGGAGACTGTCGACCACGCCGTACCCCGGTGTGCTCTCTACCACGCACAAGGGTGTCGCTTTCGAGCAACGTTCCCTCGCCCTCCTGGAGGAACACCTTTCCATGTCGCTTCGGCGCGTAGGTGGCAAGGACGACGGCGGGATCGACTTGCTCGGCTGGTGGTGGCTCCCCGCTCGTCAGCACGTCGTCACAGACCCCTCGTCGAGCGCGTCTCGAGGCTCGCTGACTAGTCCTGCGTCTGCTGAGCGGACGCGCATCCGCGTCATCGCGCAGTGCAAGGACGAGCAGAAGAAAGTCGGGCCGAAATACGTTCGTGAACTTGAAGGAGTCTTGTATCGGTACGTCGCAGGTGCCCATGCGTCACACATCCTGCCACCAACCACTGGCCGCACATCGTCGATGTATGCGCCCGACTCGGACCCCGAGCACGACACCTCCGTCGAAGAGCTTGATCCAGTTGTCGGCTTACTGGTTTCCTCTGCTCCGTTCACGAAGGCTACGATGGTGCGGGCCAATTCCTCTACCATGCCTCTCATGTTGCTCCACATTCCTCCTGTCCTTCCGGACAGTGTCGCTGGGCAAGATGCCATTTGTTCCGACTTAGCAATGCAAGAACAGAAACCGAGCCAGTCGTCTTCTGAGCAGCAGTACAGCCACGGTGCCCTAGGGTCTCTCGTATTCAACGCAGCTCTGGCCAGCGGACTCCTTCATAATCAGTTACAACCGCGTTGGGAACACTCGCTAGCCAGCGGTCTCACTGGGCGTCCGGGCATATGGTTCAACGGACAGCGTGTGCACAGCTGGACGCCCGAACGCAACCTCAACTAACCTCAGTTAGGCGGAACTACCTCGTCCCTAAATGTACCATACAAGCTTCCGGTCTACGGGCGGGGTCCGCCCGTGTCAGCTGGAGGCTGCCGAAGTCGTCGTCGACCTTCATGTTTGCTGTCGTTCAACTCACAGCGTTCATCTAGCTGGTCGGATGCGCATAGTGTAAGCAATGTCGTGTCTTTCAATATGTGGCGGAGCCTGATTCGTATTAATAGCGCCTCCCCGACCCGCAGCACGCAGTTTCCTGGGACTCTCCTGTGGTTGCCTTTCGCGCATCGACGGTACAGTGCGTGCATGATGCGCTGGAACGGTGTATGTATCAGGCACCTGCGCCATTGACCACAGGTCTATTGGCGTCGGTATCACACAAAGCAATTCACATGACTCCGCACTTCCATCGCTTTGGAGTGCATAGGTATCCAATTTTAGATGGGAGTACCCATCCTTGGGTGGATCTCATAACCCTGAATGCAATGTAGAAGCCGAAGTCCCGCCTTCATTTCCGGGATATGTGCCGCGCGAAGCAACTTTAACTTGCAGAAGGAGCGCAGCTTCCTTCCGGGCCCACCTGCCTCGTTGACGCCTCGTGGTTCGTATATATAGCCACCGTACAAAGACAATGCTCAGCGCACGCACAGTTACAACGACCATCGAACCATCACACTCCCTTTCCGCCTACCGCCATGTCTGCACCGCAAATTTATCAAGTGCCAGACATCAACAGCATCCACGTAGACCAATCATGGATGAGCATGGACTCCCCGTACCCCCCTACCCCTTACCGCCGCTCGCGCAAGAGCCACGTCAGCAACCCAAGCTGGAATTCCGCCTCGTTCATGCAGCCGGGCGCGCACCCCTGGCCGGGTGGGAGGCCGCTCCCTCAGCCCATACAAGCGAGGGGCATGTCCACTAGCTCGCAGTGGCAATCGGAATACGCGAACGACTACACACAGGAGTCGGTGGCGCCGGAGCGGGACGACACCGGCGGTGATTTGGAAGCACAGGCGGGCGAGGGTGAAGGCGAGGGTGAGGGTGATGAACAGGATTGGGACGCGACGGAGGGTAGCACCGACCACATCACAGTCGAGGCTGTCCCAGGGCAGACAGGAGCGATCGTAGAGGAGGGCCACCCCAGGCAGAGAGGGAAAGCCAAGGCATTCGTTGGTGGCTTTGTCACGGGTCTGAGGAACCTGCCACGACTGGTGGTGAAGACTGAGCGGAAGGCGTTGAAGAAAGGAGCCTTGGAGACGTATGCTGCGGACGACCCGGAGGCGTTGCCCGGGTACGAGGAGGCCAGCCAGCCAGTGCCTGGCCCGTCCAACATGCAGTACGTCCAGGCAATGGAGATGCCCAGCGGGCATGTGGCGTCCTCGCAGCTGTCATACACCAACGACGACAGCCAGAACCAACAAGTCCACGCTCCTCCCGAGCACCATAACGAGGAGCCGCCCCATCAGGCTTCGGCCTCCGGTCCTATGCTCGCCCTTTCCTCACCGGCTGTCGGTACGCCCGTGCTCGTAGAGCCTCTCCCAACACGAGACTATGCGAAGATGGAGTCGCCAGTGCGCACCGCGCCCCCAGACGACTCTTTCAGCGCGCACATCACGCGTATCCACAACTTCATCGTCGAGTTGAAGAACCTTCCGTGGCTCTCATCTCGTGTCACAGACGACTACTACCCAGAAAGGTCAGGCCGTGCCCGCGACTCGAAGATCAAGCCAGGGTCATGGTATTCCACGCGTGAACACCACGAGATCGACCTCCTCGCTACGCCTGCTGCTGTCAAGACTGAGGTACCCCGCAGCGACGATGGTCGATCTCTTGTGCGTCCTGTGCGGACGCCTACTATGACTTCCTGTAGCAGCAGCCCCGTCCACCCCGCGATGAGGCAGTACGTGGCTAGCATCGCCAGCCAGGGTCTCGCGTCTCCTGTCGCTTCGTTGCGCAGTCACAGGCGACGGTCGTATCGCAGCTACCACGGTAGTTATCACGGCGGACATTCCGGATACCAGTTACCGCAGATGCCCCCGCTCGGTAATATACAACTGCAGCACGCCATAGGTGTCACAGTGGATGCCCAAGGCAATCAAATGTACATGGTACCTGTCGCGTCCATCCCGTCTATGCCGTCTGTGCCGTCACCACCGCTTACTTCCCATTCCCCTTCACACCCGCCAACTCACGTCCCATATCCGAGTATGAGTATGTCGTCTCCGGGAGACCACAGCAAGCTATCCGTGCAAAAGTAGTCGATCGCCATGTTTGGCGAGCCTCTCAACGGGGATGTGCTAGTGCGTGCATCTGTTGGATGATTGTTTTGTAACCGCTTTTATCATGGAGACTATTGGTGCGAACTTTGACGTTCTCTATGTATCTATGGTCCTTCCCGCGTGTGCATGCGAAGCACCACACTTATTGCAACTTCATTGTCTATGATTCACGTTTCAATATTGCCCAGATGTCTGCCGCAAGTTCTAGAGCTGATGCTGAGCTGACTTCATGCGGTGCTTCATTTCGCCGAATGTCTTCGGTCAAAATCAGAACATGGCTGACGCGAACCTTCATTTGACCTATATAAACGACTTCTCTAGTAGACCCGCCGCCTTCGACTTCGGCGCCCTTTAGATGCCTACCTCGTTAACCCGACCCGCAAGCATGGCCGAGGAACACATAAGGTCCGACCTCTGGTTCAACGATGGCAATATATTCTGGTCGTCCGTGGTATACTATTCAAAGTCCATCGCGGACAACTGGAGCGTCACTCCGAGGTGTTTCGTGACCTCTTCTCGATACCACAACCGCAGGATCAGCAGCAGCTCATAGACGGCTGCCAGTGGTTGGAATTGTACGACTCACCTTCCGACGTCCTGCACTTGCTATCTGCATTATATGATGGATTGTAAGCTGCTCGCTGTTATGTCGTGCTTCTTCTCACTATCACATTCTCAGATACATCAGCAAGCCCTGTGCAATCAAATTCAACGTCGTCGCTGGTGTCCTGCGGCTGTCCCACAAGTACTTGATCGAGCATCTCCGCATCCGCTGTCTTCAATGGCTTCGCGCCGACTGGCCGTCGACTCTGGATGGCTGGGACCGTAGGGAGCAACAGGCGACTGACGACAACAAACGCTACGCGCCACGAGAATGGTATCCGCATCCGATCTACGTTATCAACTTGGCACGTGAACTCACTCTCAATGATCTGCTCGCATCTGCCTTCTATGATCTCTCGCGTTATGGACCACGCAAGATCGCTTCTGGAACGACGACCACTCCCCATCCACTGCCTACGGCTGATTCGACGACGCCCAACGCACTTGACGAACGTCTTGCTCTATCGCCGCAAGACCTCTACACAGTACTCCTTGGGCGCGAAGTCGGACAACGTTACTTAGCGAACTTTATCGAGAAGGAACTCAGCACGCGCGCGGTGTCCGCCACATGCATCCACAAACATCGCGACAACGGACGGCCCTGCCGAGAATCGTTCTACTTCATCATGCTCAACATCCTGCGCTCTGTCGGGGGTATATCTGCAGGCCGTGATGCCGACCCTCTTTTCACGCTCGTGCAAGCGGTGGAGATGCTCAACCGCAAAGACTTCACGGATGGCGAGAAGCAATGCGGCCTGCAGATATGCGAGCCTTGCAAAGTGGACTTCGCACAGTCTACTGCGAAAGCGAGGCAGGACGCCTGGGCTCAGTTGGCTTCTTGGTTTAGTTTTGAAGGCAATGCACCGATATCCGCTGTACCGATCTGCTAGTCCCTCCTGTTGTATGATTCCTGGTCAGCATGTGCGTATGAACCAAGCCGGGTGTTCATCTGGACGCAGACGGAGGTGCCCGTTGTTCAACTCGTGACGTGTACGTCCGTCCACCCAAGAGGCGAGATCCGGGACGGATGCATTCCCTTCGAGCAAGCCCAGACGGCACCCGGTCTCTGCCATCAACGTTCCAAGCCTCTCTTGTGCCTCACTTATTACTGTATACTGAGTGGGCCGAACGCCCGCAAGCCGCGGCGTGACTTTCGGCTCCATATCGATACTGTATCCTTGTCTGGCGGTCGACGCAACTTAGAAGTGCCCACAAGATTTGCCACGGTCACATGGTCGCAAATCTTTCCTCCGCTCTGTTGTCAGCGCCCTGTGTCCCATCTGCACTTCTCGCTCTCAGTCGCACATAAGTATGCAAGTGCGCCAACTCCTCGCCCTCTATCACGTCCCGCGTCCAGTCTCGGTCTAACGTCAATCTAAGTGGCGAGACTATTATCTTTTATGGTCGGCAACGGAGACTACGTGACTGAGATCAACGGACAACAGAAGACGTTGCAATGATTTACTGTGATTGAAGCTTTCGCCGGAAGGCTTTGCCCTGTCTGCGAATGGGGATAATTTCATTGGTGCGTCAGCTCCTAGACATGCTTGAGCACAAGCACTTGCTGGTCCTGATCTGGTCTCGGGAAGGAATTGACTTCTCGCGGTTCTCGGGAAGCTCTCCGCCAAACGAAGCATGCGGTTTCGATCTGGAATTGCATACAAAGGAAACACCAACTACTACGCGAACACGCTCTGCATCCTACAACGTCAGCATTTCTCCCCGGGCTGCTTCGTTGTGGGGGTGATCGACTGCGGAAACCAGCTGTCCTTGTTAACGGTGACGCATACGTTCGGGCCCCCATCGAAGGACTTCACGGCATAGGAGTTGTTCCCTGCCAGCATAGCGTCTTGGACTTGTTCTCCTTCAGCGACTCCTCGATTCCGTCTGTGCACATCCGCGCGACTATGTCCCTGTTGTACTTGCCGGTGAAGACTTGCTGCTTGCCGTTGACGAGCCCCGTCCTTTTGTCATCGATGAACAGCGTCTTTGTCTTCTTTGGCTTTCCCTACAGAGGGCAGAGTGAGCTTTCGGCTTATAGGTAACGTGGGGGCAAGCGGACGAAAGGACGTACTCCTCCAAAGGAAACTGTTGCAAGCGACGTCTGTGTGTCGATGACCATATCCCCAGAATCTTTGTTTGTCTTGAACCAGGTCGAGGTGAGATGTCTTCCGGATGTAGATTTGTCGCTGCGACCATCGAAGACATGACTCTGCATGCCTTTCCAGATCTTCTCCGCGTCTGCCCTGGACTCGTTGCCACCTCCTGCGGGTGCTGGAATGGACAATATGTCCATCAAGGCTTTATTTTATCACGAGATCCGCAAGAACCTACTTTGCCTATACTCTTGCACTGAGCAGCGTTGGACGCAAGATCCCCTGTATGTGTATCCCTCGCGACGCATTTGCGGGTGTGAAGGTGAATCCACAGATATCCTTCTTCACTACTGTTGCCTAACGAGTCAGAATGCATCGCTCCCTTGTGCCAGACAGAAGTAACGCACCGCAAGCATCGCAATCAGTGATCTTGCCGCACACTTCAGCATTGTCCCGTGGCTGCACGGGTGCAGCTTGTACGAGGAAGAGTACGCAGAACATGGTGACGACGGCGAAGAGGGAGGTCGTGAAACGCATGATAGCGGATGGGTTGGTCCTTGGATGTGAAAGTCGTGAAAGGAAAAGCTAACGGTATACACAGAACGTGAAAGTATGCTATCGAAAGACGAAGATGTAGGACCAGCCTGGCGCAACGATCCCTGCACTTCGCGTCTTATACGTTCCACGGCGACGACCATCACGCAGACACCTCGCGAGGCCTGGTGGAGTCAGTGCTTTGAAAATACACTTCGGACAGTCTCAAACTTTATCAAACCAGCGTGTCAGTCGAATTGACATGTACGTACCGCCTGTCGTCTGTCCGGTGCTGGCCGTAGTTGGCTGAAGTGCTTCTAGTAGCTCCGACGCTGCTCCGTCATTTGGAGATAGTGCCCGGTAACTGTTCTGTCACAGCAGCTCCCCATCTTGTACGGCGTAAGAAACTCATCCCAGAAAGTGGACGGGTAGGCGGCAACTCCTCGAAAACACAACCATCATCGATTCATCATTGCAGCTGCCTCACGGACGTCCTGATGAACTACGAATTGCCAAAGATTATGGACATATGCCAGGCACTCCTTGCGTAGGAAGATGGCGAACGTCCGGAGCATACCATCCAACAGCATTCTTGCTACTCGAAATTTTAACGCGACCCTCTGCGGCCTGTTCGTTGCCTGTTCTTACTGCGAACCGTAATAAGCGCTGGTAGTGCGAAGATCCGAGGACTCGGAACCAGCACTAGTGATAGTTCCGCTTCGTACTGCATGGCAGTGCATATTTCACATATGGGCCTATGGAGCCTGCTTGCACTGCCATGAATTCCATATCACAGCCGCCACACCCACAGACGTCAAGGACATGCTGTGTACCAACTGTTATGCACCGACGTCGTGACGGTCTCGTACTGGATTGGGATGCATCGTAGGCCTCAAAACCACACGTCAGACGCCTCTCTCTCTCATCTGCCACCGTCGTATAGCCTAAAGGTCAGTGAGTCCAACTGAACTACACTTTGTGCGCGCTCAAAGACGTTTCGAATCAGATTGTGACTCCCCATCCATACTCATGTCTCCTACGATTTCACAACCCTCCATTCTCGATGGCGACATAGAATTATTCTACGTACAACAGCCGTATGTGCTCACGTTCAGCAAGACTACTGTTGACGTCTGGCGCATCGGAGCCCACAACCAACTCCTCGAACACTCTGCACGCCTCTCCGACTTCGTTGCCTATCCGCTGCCTGGGCTAAACCCCATCATCGACGTCGAGCATAGCATCATCGTTATTCCCAATCACGGTTCAGGCTTTCCTCTCCTCTGGGTCTTCAGCCTCACCGACGGTCGGCTCATCCGGAAGCCCGAGCTTTACGGCTCCCTTGCGCGGGTCCCGCTCCAGTACGCCAATGGGAAGGTCCTCGCCGCTGTCGAAGAAGACGAGGACCGAGCCCCGCCCGACGGCCTCACCACTCTCCTGCTCTGCGACGTCGCGGGAGAGGACTGGCTCTTGGGTGGTGCTAACCTCCCCGCTCGCTGAAGCCCCGCGAACAAAAACGGCTCAACACAGTCGGAGGCGTGCTCGTGCCCATCGTGCTCAGGCCAAATGGCGACATCATCGCGACGTCCTCCGAGGTGTGGCATGACAAAATGGACGTCCTGCGCTGGCGCGGGCCCGATGTCCCGAACTTCCCGGAGCCGGACGCGAGCTTCGAGCTCGCCGGTTCCCTTGAGGATGGCGATCGCATTCACCCTATGTGCAGCGCGCCCTTGGGCGAGAACAGCTTCCTCTTGGCTGTCTACGAGGCAGACAGCGGCGCGCTTCCGAAGGGCGGCGGCTGCCAGACTACGATCTACGCCATCGACTCGGACGCCATGACCATCCGATGGCGCGCTGAACCCATTGGCGGTGCTGTGCGCGAGGTCCACTATGTCGCTGCGCTGGATGTAGTCGTTGCATTCGGCAGGCATGACAATGGGGACGCTCAGGAAGCGGATCCGTTCACCTTCATCCTCGTGCTCGATCCTGCGACGGGCACGCGGAGGAAGATGGAGACGATCATCCATCGCATCCAGGGCAGTGCGGTACAGCACTGTGGGCTGAGCCGAAAGGCGGACGACTATGCGCTCGTCGTTGTCTTCAGGGACGCGTCGATGTGTGTCGCCGATCTAAGGCAATTCCTGGAACAGGGCTTCCCAGAGGAAGGCGAGCGGCTGGCCACTACTAGGCTATTGTCAGAAGGGTCCACAGTGGAAACGGTGGGTATAGTTGAGCGGACGATCGTAGTGTCAGGCAACAACGCTAGTGGGTCATCACACATCCAATGTGTAAGTTTCGACTAGAATCACAAGTTCGAGGATAACATACATACTGTGCATGCCTTGTAATTGCTATGGTTCATGGCTCTTGAGTGTATCACGAACCAGTTGACCGCTTACAACTCAACAGACAACTGGTCAATATACTACTTAGTGTTCATGCGAACGAGGGGACGATAAGTAACTCAGCAGACAATGCAAACCCCAGTCACGAGTAACCAAGAAAGCGAGCGAGTGCATCAACATATAATAATGTTGCGCGCAGTGTTGTAGCATCATTGCAGCCATCCGAAATATCGCAAGCCTCTTGGGATAGAGGAATTTGTGCACTCACGCAAGTCACAACTTGCACTTGAGTGACTCGAGCACGCGGGTCATGTGATCGCGCATGACGCGTCTGTGGCCACCATCGACTATCTCGTGCAGACCATCGTAGCGGCGCAGCGCCGATCCCCGACTCCTGCATGGCCACAGCATACTCAGCCTGCCACGCGGCACCATAGTACTGTATCATTCAATCCGCGCATGTGACTGTGACAGCCGCGCGCCAGGCGGCGCGCGCGAGCGACGGTGACGTGTGACAGACGGTGCAGACGGTGCGGCGGAGCGTCGATGGGCTATAAACGTCGTCGAAACGAGTGCTGAGGCCGCCGCCGGAGGCGGCCAAACTTTGTGCATTTGTCACAACCGGCGGGCCCCCCAGTGACCCGTGACAAGGGTCCTTTACCGGTGTGGCGAGGGGCCTTGTGACGCGTGACCGCCGGACTGTATTGAATACTACAGTATATTATGTGTGTATTTTAATATTGTAAGTACCATCGGAATGGTATGGAGACTCAATTGGAAGCCCTCACGCCCGCGGCGGCTTCGCCGCCCGGGCGTCTCGGGCTTCCACGAGTCTGAGCCACACGGCGAACTTACTTACCGTAATACATACTACAGTACATGCGAGGGCTCTCAACATAATAGAGGCCCTCCTACCTTTGGGAGGACTTATTCGATGGTCAAAGATCCAGGCATCCAGACGCAGCCAGAAGCACGGAAGGATCCAACTGCCTCGAGCTGCCTCGTAAGACACTCGAGCATTGCTGCATACGCTTATATAGTCACGTTTCCCACGGCATCGCCGCTGCGCGACTTATGGCGACAAGCCTCCTCTCCCTCCGGTCGGGAGCCTTTCCATCATCCCTCCGACCCCGTTTTTGGACGACATGGAGATGCATGCAAGTCACCTCGTATAATCCAGGCATGTCCTGTACGCGGTCCTAAGCTGACTGGTTCAATCTAGCAAGTGCAACAGGTCGCGTCGCCTCAGATGGGAAGGCCCGCCGTTTCCTTCCTTTCTGGCCCGTTGGCCGGTCGAACAATCCGAGTGCAACTTGACGAACTACAGAAGGCTGACCTGGGGCGCAAGTAAGCCTGCCAACGGCTTGCATATCACTGTCAGTGCATGTTAATGCACCCCTCACTGGAGATGCGCCGTCAAGGATAGACGACCGCTCGACCCTCCGCCTGTCGTTCGGTTGAGGCTTTTCGAACTGGACAATGTGGGCACAATGCAGGAGACGGAGCATGAGCTTACGAATCTCAGGTATGCCCTCAAGCCAATCCTTCTTTCGTCCACTGGCATTTGCTGACTCATTTGTGCTGCAAGTGAACCCATGGCGCTTGGATTTGTTTGTTTCGTTGATTTATTCCCATTCCCAGGCGGTAACGACGCAGGTTGGTCGTCTGCGGGGCGGGACATCTCCTCCGGACGCTTCGATGTCGGCACCTTCTACGTCAGGCTCGGATTACAGTCTCTGTGAAGAGGACGTTCTTCCGACTTCCTTCACGGACTCGCCACCTTACCGCGCGGATACCTCAAGCTCCAGCTTCGCACTTCCGGTGGCTGTGCGCATGGATGTAGTTGATCCTATGCTGATAGGATTGACCTCGTATATTCCACCATGTATGTCTGAACACGTATTGCCAATGCAGGGGCCTCGCAAGCCTATTCACGCCCCAATTCCTCAACTGGACGAAATGGCAGAGCCTAGTTCAGATCAAATCGTGGCTTACATCGAAGGAGCTCCCATCACACACGGTACGTGTTGTACGACGGCGTTCGTGGGTACAACTTTCGTTTCCGTGTCGTCCTTTAACATTCGCGGAGAGTCCATTCTTCTGGGTGTCTTCCCGGTCAGTCCTCTCCCTCATGAGCTACGCTGGAACGCGCCCCGCTGACGTTCTGGTACTAAAGGATCTAGCGGTGAACGTCACGGGCAAGTTCTTGACCCGATACCGCGTGGTCAGCACACTCCACGCCACTTTCGAGCACAGCCGGCGCGCCGTCCTCGCGGAATGTTGGGGAGGACCCGTCGTCATCTATCCCGCCAATATGTTTCCTGGTTTGCAGGAATCAACGGATCTGACGAAGGTATTAGAAACGGTGTCTGTGTGTCTAGAACCTCTGATAGACTTGCCATGATATTAGGCGTTGGCGGAGCTGGGCGTGGCAGTGAACACAAGGCAAACCGAGCGCAAGAAGAGAAGACATGACGACTAGCAGGCACACTGGTGCGTTCAGAAAGCGCTCCGAGTACCACCGGTACCCAGCGATATGCTGTTCATTATATCACCGTCCCCGACTTTGTACGTGCGCCTTTGCTTCCCTTTGTTGGCACAGTGACCTCCGTTTGCAGTGTACTACCCAGAGCTGTACGTTGTATCGATCGTATTGCGTGATTGAAGGCTATGAATGATAGCCCCGACCAGGTCAACAAAAAGTCGTTCAAGGTCGTTTTAGGCTGTCCCTGCGGTACTGTGGTGGGCCTCATATCCCCTACCCAACGTGTTTGTGGTGCGCAGGCCACGATCATCAGACCGGACCCCCTTGTAAACTCGACCCTCGTCGCGGACACATGCTGTTGATCAGCTAGCCTTGGCCAATGTCCCGATCGGTGTGGTACTAGGCCTCCCCGCGGCGATGCGAATACTCGGAGGCATACCATGCGTGCCTCGAGTTCAACTACCACGACGCGGAAGTAGCCGCATCCTCAGGAGCCACCGGTAAGCGCCGCGTGGAGGTGGCACTGGTCGTTCGACTTTGCGACGTGTTTTGATGGAGGAGACGCATATGCCGCTGTACTGACCGTACTATCGATGATAGTGTCGAGTCGTAACCTCCAATGACCTGCAGCGCAGCGGGCCCTACAGCTTTGAGAGGGACTCGATGGCAAATGGCTGCATATCCCCTACGTTATTTCCGCTCCTCAGGCCTCAGGTGATAGGTGCGTCCTCAAAGTTGATATCAGTTGTCTCCGCGGTATCGTTCCTAAACGGCGACGGTCTTCTAGAATTCCCCGCAGTGGCGAAGTACTCTGCTCTTTGGTGGTATGTCTCAGAGCCACTTTGTGACGACATCGAGACCCCGGTGTCCGGTACGCAGTGTATCATGGCTGGGTACTACCAGGCGATATCGTCAAATTCTATACAACCCTCCATGGGGATGTCTGGAAATAACATATGCGGGCCTTGTTGCCACTTCAACAGTGAGTGTGCAAGACACGTGTCCGCGCAGAACGTATTCATTGCCCGCAGTTGGCCCACGGCAAAGCGTGCGCGAACGACATTCATCGATGAGCTCACCTTTGGCCGCAACGATACGCGCATGTTCCTTTCAGTTTTTGATTACCAAGGCAATGTGTAGGCTTTGTCCTCTGTAGCTAGTGGCCTGTGCGCGCCGCAATCTACTCCGCACAGGTGAGTGCAGACATCACGAATCGGTCAAGCTCCACGAACGGACGGCGGGCGGAAAGCAAGAGGCCGGCTTCTGCATTCCTGGTCACTGACGGGTTTCAGCCATCGAGTGTCCTCTGCTATGCATACCAGCGGAGGGGATGTATATAACATACCCTTGGACGGCAATGGATCCTCAGCAACTCAAACGCAGTCGACATTCAAGAGAACACCAGTGTTGAGCCAGCATGCCTTTCCCCGTCGACAACGCACCCTCGCTCTGAACCTCGTCGGGTCGGAGCAAAGCGTCGTCGAGTCTCTCCAAGCGTATCATGCGTACGTCCGTTGTATTGACAGTGGACACTGGCAAGAATGACCTGACCGACAACACTGTATTAGCTTCCGCGACGCGGCGGCCAACGAACTCCTGTCAATGAATGCCCCACTCGAGCGTACGCCTGCGGCGTTTGGCAGAACAGTCGCAAGCACTCAATGGGCCTGTGGCGTGTGCGGGGTGGCCTTCCAACGGGAGGATGCGTACAAGCGTCACATGGAGGCTGCACACCGTGGCTAGCCTGGAGGGTTGCCGGTGGCCTCCTCAAATAACCTAATAATTCTGTACAACACCCATTCACATCTAGATATCCTGCGGATTCAACTCTGCGCTCAGGATTTGTCACATAGAAATACTGTAGTCTTCTTGTTCTGCTCTCGATCACTCTTTCATGCTCTTTGCTAGATATTTGCGTTCAATACCTACGTTCTGAGAATTAGATCTACAGTACTCATGATCAGTGCTGTAACGACGCACGTCTTTCACAAGTATATCAAACCCATAATTCTCCGCATCCCGCTCCCACTGTCCAACAAGTACGCACACTAGCATCGGCCGCCCGAGCCCCCTATAGTCCGGAAATGCATCATATATTACATTGTCCGTAGTGTCAACACCGCGACCACAGCATGCCGTCCGACGCAACTAACTACCCAAACCATCATCCATGAGATCTAACAAGACACGGACACTACACACGGCGCCCTTACGGCCGCCCGGGGTCGTCCACGCCGCTCATGAAACGTAGACGTGAAAGCGAATATAAGCACTGAGGCCCCACGCCCAGATCACAGCAGCATGCTGGCCAGGAGCGCCGCGGCGGCGGCGGACAGGAACCCGACGCCGAGGCCGCCCTCCACGCGCGCGGCGGCGTTCGACGTGCGGTTCGCGCCCTTGGTGGTCGTGCCCGTCGCGCTCACCGCGGCCTGCACGCTGCCGATGGTCGCGCTCGGCGCGGGGGCGCTCGCGCCGTTCATCCCGAGCGCGGCGGCCGAGAGCTGCGCGAAGCCGACGGACGGCGGGTTGTACTTGAACACGGAGTACACGTTCTTCAGGAACGTGTCGCCGACGATCCACGCGGGCGCGGTCGTGCCCGTGTTGTCGACCTCGAAGAACGCGCCGATGCACGTCTTCCCCGCTTGGTCCGCCGCCTCGAACTCGAAGTCGTCCGACGCGATCGGCCACGCGATCGAGGAGGACCCGAACTTGAGCGTGACGGTGACGTCCTGGGAGCAGGCTGCGGTAGGGCGCGTCAGTTCGTGCAGAGAATCGGGAGGCGGGTGTGTGGTACGTACGGTATGTGTAGTAGCCCTCGAGCTGGCCTGTACCGGCCTGCGCTCCCGGGATTTTGCTGTAGATGGAGGCAATGACCGACGCCGGGCCGCCAACGAGGGTTGTGCCCGTGTCAATTGCTGCGTATGCGGAGGATCCCGTGCCGACGTTGACAGCGGCGCCGTTCACGGTCAATGCTGAAACACAACGCGGGTGAGCGCTATCACAGGGCGGGTGCGCCGAAACACATACCGCTGATCTGCTGGATCCAGTAGCCCACTTGACCGGAGGGGATGGGTTGGTAGTCGATTTCGCCCGTGAACAGGCTCGTGTTGACCGCGCCGAGCGAGAACGTTCCTCCCGGTTCGAGCGAGGTCACCTTCGAGTCGTTGTTGTACCGGGTGAGCTGCACACCGAAGAGGCCGTCCGTCAGCGTGGTGTTCGACCCTGCGAGCGCCTGCCAGAATGGCGTCGCGCCCGAGGACGCGATGGCTTGCCAGGCGAGGCCCATGAGACCCGACACCGGTGCGTTCAGAACGTTGCTCGACACCTCCGTGACCGTCGCGAACACCTGCGAGTTCACCTCGAAGCCCGCCATCTGCACGGAGTCCTGCGCGAGCGTGCCCTCTGCCTCGCCCGAGTCGTATGTGATGGAGAAGCTCTGGTTGAGCGACTTGAACGTGCTCGAGGCGCTGCGTTGAAGTTCGAGATCCCATTTGGGATGCTGGATGCCGCGCTGCTCGGCGAGGAGGTCGTGCCGGTCTTCGAGGATGCCACCCAGAGGTCGGACGAGCCGGTGTCGAGGATGACGTCGAATGACACGGCGGGTGTGCCGATCGCTAATGAGCCGAAGTAGCTCGAGTCCGCATTCTGATCTGTGATTCTGCGCAGAGCGGTATGAGGACCATGGAGTAGAGGCTTGCCCGGCCAAGGTAGCGCGCGGGTGGAAAGAAACCAAGGACGACTCACAAGTTCATTCCACTGGCCCGCTTCTTGTTCTTAGCCTGGCCGATGCCATACTTGGCCTCCAGGGCCAGCTTACGTCGCTGCAGGGACGCAGCGACGTCGTCCGGACTGCGGCGCTGGGGCGTTCTGCGCGAGAGGCCGATGTGCGCGCCGGTGAATACATTGGGATGTGGTGCGGCAAGAGAGTCGGCGGCCAGGGACAGGAGGCAGGAGACGGCCAGAGAGATCGGGAGGAGATGCATGACTGGAGGTCGTTACGGGGAGGGAAGGTGTATGGGAATAATTAGGGGAGGGGAAGGAGATGGGGGGAAGAAAGGAGAGGAGGCGACCGCGCGACCAACTCAAGGGGAACTGAGTAGCTGCGCGCTGCGCGGCGAGGAGAAAGAGACGGCTGTGCGTCAGAGCCCGGGTGGACGGCCGGGAAGCTGGCCCGCAGTGTGCGGGATGGAGCAGCGGGCGCTGGACTGGAGCGCGTCCGGCAGGCAGAGGAAGGAGAAGACGAAGAGAGCGGCGAAGAGCGGCGAAGAGCACAGGCTGGCTAATGAATGTGACCCGCACTGTGATGGACGAGCACAAGCCAACACACGCCGCGTCGCCCGCCCAGCAGCGCCCAGGCGCCCAGTCCTCGCAGCCACAGCGACCGTCGCCACGCGGACCGCAACATTCCCATATCCGGCATCCCACCTCTGCCTACCTTCGCCTGCCCAATCACAGCCCGCCGACCACTCGTTCGAGCCTCAGCCGCCAGCCGCAGCACACCCCGCTTGCCCGTCTCCCGCATCCCGTCGTTTGTTTGCGAACCTTGGTCCGCCACCTGGCGTGGATGCTATACTAAACCGCAGGGCATGTACCAGATATTCCTGTGCAAGACATGCCGCGGGCTGTGCCCATGTGCGCACCACTGCGGACCTCAGTTGCAATCCGCCCGGACTTCATCCTATTCTCGTCCGCTAGTCCCACGACATCCCGGTGAGCGCAGCATACTTACTTCAACCAAAAGTAGTGCCCGAGCTGCCCGTTAGTCCGGTACGGTCGCAAGTAACGGAAGTATCTGGGCCTTCTCAAGGTCTTCTCGAGCTAACACGCGGTGGGTCGGCTATCGGAGTGGTCTACTTATCCCGGTTATCCTCACAGCTGCTCTCTCTGCCACTCAAGGATTCCCTGTCATCGAGCGTCCGCTATACAAGTAATAAACATAAGCATCGCAATACACCACACCCATTCAATCAAAACGTCCGTATTTCAATCATGCTATCAAGCACAACGAGTCCGATGCCGTCGACTGTCCGTAGAACCCACGTCTCCGCGAGTCGACATCCATCTGCGCAGTGCGTGTGGGCGGTACCTGTCCATCCACGTTGTCAGCCCCACGCAGCACCGTCACATCCGCATGACTCACCCATACATTTGCCTCCGCTGGCGTCCGACCCCGCCTGTCGTCCTCGTCCTCGGCGTTCACCTTCACCCGCTCACGCTCCTGCGATCGGCTGGACGCGTCCGAGTCGCCCGTGTCCCAGTCCACCACCAATTCCGAGCACCCGTCTGCGCGGACGCTGCCCGTCCGAGTGGGCTCCGACGCGTCTTGCGACGAACTGGGACTGCCGATCAAGTTCGAGGGCACTCGGGAGGAGGTCGCGCGCGTCGGGGGCGAAGCGCACGTCGCGCTGTCGGGCACCATGTCAAATGCGTCGTAGTTCAGGTCGAGCTCGCGCTGGATCCGCGAGCGGACGGTCTTGCGGTGGTTGAGGCTGCGAAGCACAGTCGTCAGTCGTCAGCCGGTCGATGCGCAGGTGCAGACACACGAAGTGACAAGCCGATGAGAAACACTGGGTGGCGGGTGAGCTGAGTCTGCCACCGTAGGGTCATGGAGGTACGTACGGTTTCCTATCTGGATGTAGAAGGGGAAAGAGGAGCGTCCCTGGTGTGCATACACCTGGGGATGGCTCGTTAGTACCATTCTGCGGCTGTTATTAACCGCACTCACGAAACCAAAGAGGCGAGCCGAACAACCTACACCCACGCGATAAGCAAGCTGGTGTGACGAACACTCATTTCAGCTCCTGCACGTACGTTGGAAGGAACCTGTAATCGTAGGCGCACGCTGACCGAATTCAAGACGGGCGTACCATTGTAAATCGTGTAGAGGATGAACAGCGTAAGCGCAGAGTCGGTTCTAAGGCAACGCGCGCGTCGTTAGAAAGGCTGCTGGGTGTGAGACGCTTGCGGGAGCGTACCTCCGGAGCCCTGAGCGTGCCCTGTACAGCGATAGGCAAAGGGTGACAACCAGGAGCACATCCGCGCAAATCCCCGCCGCGAGGGTCGCTTCCAACGCACGCTGAAAAGGGATGCGTCGTGGAACAAAGTAGAAGGTAAGGTGTCGCTTACCCTCAAGTGGGAAGGATTCTTCATGGATTGTGGATGAAAGCTAGCGTGACGTGAGCATGCGGAGGGGCCGATGTGGCAGAATGCTGACACGCACCGGTAGACGGATATTACTGGGGAGTGTATTACCTGGAAATCAGACAATGTCCACGCAACAAAACAGCGTACGAACCAATCCCTCCTGCTGTGCACAACTTTGCATCAGCACCTAGCCCCGTCTCGCCGAGGTCGTAGTACGGAAACTCACATATTCCGAGCAGAGACAGCACAGCCTGTGTAGCGGCCCTGTCTTGTTGAACTCACGGCAAGAATGATCAAGGCGTACCACAACGACTATGTCGACAACGAGCAGTATACTCCATTCGGCCTTCTTCTGGTGGACTGTGAAGGGTCCTGATCAGCGGACGGCCCCGGGCCGTAGACTCCTGGTGGATGCACTTACATCGCCATATCCTGCTAAGATAGAGGCTTTGCGGGAGACGTGAGACAATCACGTACACGCATGAAGAAAATCATGACTTACAGCCTCACAGCTGTTGTAGTCGATGTCTGTGGTGGGTAGTTGAGAACGAGTCCTCTATGCAACGGATCATCACTTACCATGATGGATGTTAGGAGCTGCAGTTCCGCGAGAGTGAGTCTTCCTGTATAACGGGAAGAGTGGTGGATTCTCTTACAGACAGACTCCTGCAGATCTGTCAACATTTGGCTCTGTGATGTGAAAGTTTACGGACTTACCAAGGTGGTGTTTCCGAAGACAGCGAGACGGCGTGATTGATGACCGTGAAGTACAGAACCGTGTAGACGTCCATCGCAGTGCAGAGGGTACATAGCAGCCTGTGGCAAAATAAGCCTGCATAAGACGAGTGACGCAAAAGGGAAGGCTAGAGCTGAAGTACCAAACGAGCGATACCTATAGCACAGTTAGCAGCGTGGCGAATCGATGCCTTGACAGAGGGACTCACGACGGACGGGATCCACCAGGGGTCTATCTTCGGTTTCTGAGATACGTGTACGTCAAGACCGACGCTATACCGTATGTCCTAGGCGCATGTCGGTAACCGTACTCAGGCAAACAGCAAACGGCGACTTACATGGTCTGCGCGTAGGTGCCCACGATAAAGACCTCGAGGGTTCCATACGACATTAGACCGGCTCCCATGGCGTCTTCGTCCTTGTGGCGCAGCGCAGAGTGGGTTCGCCAGCAATTGGCCTTCCCTGAGCCTAAGTGAGCGAATTCCGATTCGGAGTATTTATGAACTTGAAGGCAGGATGGCGTTGTGGGGATTGACTGGTCTGGGTTGTCTGGGCGGGACGTGAGGGAGAAGCATTGAATACATTGGGCCCTGCGGAAGACGACGGATATGGGTTGGATATGACGCGGTCAAGTTCAGAATTTTTGCATCCGCATCCGACTTTCGCACAGCCTGGTCACGGCGGGGCAGTGCCTGAGTCGACTGCCAAGCATCGTCCACCGATATCGAGGCATGTTTGTTGGGGAAGGTTTATTAACGCCGCTATTTCACGGCTGAGGAAGAGTGTAGCAGGGTTCATGTATGCGGATTGTCCTGAGAAGGAGGAGCAAGCGTCAGTTTCGGCGCGGGTGTACGCGGGTCGCGTGACCGCGTGAGCTCGCGCCCCCTCAGGCTGTTGGGCGCCTTCGGCCCTTCGCGGCTACAACATGCCCCGCTCCCTCCTCCTCCTCACCACCGCCGTCTAACACCTCCTGATCTCCCAGACCTGCAAAGGACCTAAGTACGAAGGACAAGCCTAACTGTATATGTGCTGCACTCATGCTACCGTGCCTGTCATGGGGACTGTGACTCAGACATAGGAGGAGGGGCTTACCACACTGGCATCCGTGCGCGGATGCGATACTAGTCTGGACGCCATGGCCGGAATAGGCACTTTGATTTTGAGGATTTCCGGTACAGACAAGAATCCCCTAAAGGTTGAAGCTCCACGAGGCCTCAGGCCTCATCGACATCTCCCATCCGATCCCTTCCTGCCCGCCGAGTTTGCTGGTTCGCGATTTCGCGCACGCCTTGCACAATGAGCAACGGTACAGCCGCACAGACTGAACAATTCAAGAGTAACATAGGAGGTTTACTCGTCGGGGTCAACATACAGGCGATGTGAGTCTCCTGCCACACCGAATGAATAACACGTATAGATGAAGACTGTTGCCTTGTCGTCGACTCAGAGTATTTGGTCTTGCGTCTCTAGTGACAATCGCGTATTTCAGACTGCATCGGAAATCCGACGGGAGATGGATAGACTTTTGGTACGTCTCTCAAGTCGCTGAGGTTGGCACACACGCAACTCACGATACTCCAGATTATGGTCGTATGGTACAGAAACCTACTAGTGACAAGCGATTTGTCATTCTTACGTTGAGGACAGGTCGCTGTGCGGCTTCTGCGCTGGCATCAATTTGTACAGCATCTATACTTCTTGGTGATACGCTTACCATCCCGGCTGAGCAAATTGGGCACCGTGGTACGTGATGTGTTAGTTGTTCGAGCCATCAATTTACACCTGCATACAGGAGCCTTTCGGTAGGTCATCAGCCGGCTTCCTCGTATATGCTTGACATAGCTCGGTAGCGGAATGTAGCTTCTCATAGCCATTGTGGTACGTTATTGCCATCGGTCCATATGTGGTTCATTAGTCGGACTTGGGCAGGCACTGCATCAACAGTAGTAGACTGTAAGTACATCGCTCGTAGAGTGACGACCCCTCTGAGTTTTATTAGCTTGCTGTTACATCGCTTAGCCAGATGTACGTCCCTATTACTTCTGTCTGCTGTTCCGAGTAAGGACTGTCTCTGTAGTCCATCAACGCAAACGTGATTTGTCTGTCGGTCTTACCTTGTGATCATACTGGTGGTGCGTCTGATTCCCTCGTGTTCACCGTCTGCTGAACGGTGTGTCCAGGCCTGCTTTCATTAGTTGGCATAGGTCAGTACACTGTCGAAGCGTAGTCTGGATTATCTCACGCCTCTTGTCCTTGGACAGCGGGAGGTATCGGTATGTCCGCTCGCATATCAATCCACTGTCTACCATCACTTACGATTACGGCAGGCATAACGGTTCGATTGTACGTTGGGCGTTTCTGTGATTGAGGTTCTAACTCTGACTACAAAACAGGCTCCTGCCCAACGATAGGGCCGTAGAGAGGCTTAAGGTGCGTACGCACTTTGGATGCGAAATAACATTGTTGCAGAAGTGAGATATCTAGGCAATATTTGATGCTCTGCTTGTCTGTGCCATCGCTGCGGACGTCTCCTTCGTTTTCGTGCAGAGCTATTCTTTGCACCGATCGCGGTCCGGCCTCAGAAGGTACCATGATTCGCTGTGAGACCGTCATCAGTCACTGACGATTTCATTCGTATACAGGACCGACTCCGTAATCAACCTGCTCATTCTATATACAATGTCAACTGGTTCGTAATTTCGCCGATGTGTTCGCCATGACGTTAATCCACCTTTGCACTCATCAGGACTCATTCCAACGTGAGCCCAGATTGAAGTCCAAGTCTCGATCTCACCGGCATACTCAGCGCATTTGCACTGGCGACGCTAATATCGGTCAGTCATTCGTCGTGCCTGCGTCCTTCATAAGCGGACTGAGGCCGCTACAGATGTTCGTTGAGCCCCAGAGTCTACTGTACGCTCCTCTGTACATGCAAGTTGGCAACCGTGAGTTTCCAACAAGCATTGCGTCGATGCTACATCCTAAAATTTTCACCCAGTATACTTGATAACGCTCGTGGCATCGTAAGTCATCCGCGCCCCGGCGATAGATCAGGTACTGAACCTCGCTTGCAAGTCTCAATCATCGAGAGTCCGTGCTCAAGCGGATGTCGCGCCCGCTGGAGCTCAACTACAGCATCTTCGGTAGGCTATCGAATCCGAGAGGCGGCACGGAGCCAGTAGCCCCCGCGACGGCCATGAGTATTCCCGAGCTTGGCTATGCAGATGCTCCGAGTACGGCTGGCTTCACAGGAATGCCACCGCTGTCGAAAAGCGCCACGCGAGAACGCCCTTCATCGGTATGTCGTCTGCGGTGTGACAACCGGCGAAACATCTAATATCGATTACAGAGGCCGCTCTCCATTCTGATCGAGGAAACTGCGGGACAAGGCTCTCATGCAGTCTCAGAGCTTTCTGTAAGTGACGCGGCACATCGCTTATGTACCTACTTAGTCATGCGCGTTCAGCAGGGTACCGAGAGCCGTCAAACAATTGAGCCTGGTTGTATATACGAGACAAGCGAATGCCGCTTGACCCGCTCTACAAAGACGTATCTCGACATGACGAGTTGCCGGGTTAAAGGCAGACTCTTGTGTGTGTGCAGGATGAAGTACGTTGACAGCATGTAATATAGGTTGTATATATGTGCCTTGGCCGATTCCTCTGCCAACATGCTGTCTCTGTCTGTGCCAGCCTGAGCTCCATGCAAGGCGTCGTTTGGGAGGATGACTGTAGGAGACGGTATGTTCTGCAGCAACGCTCTCGTCGACTGGCATTTTATGCTCACAGTAAATCACGACCAGATTGATACGCATAGTCGTAAGGCGTGAGGTTGGCTGCGGGACAATTTCCAGCTCGCGCTTAGATTGTTTGGTGCGCTTCACTGCCGACCGATTCAGGAATATGTTCCTGAAGCCTATCCGCGCAACGGTCCGGGTCGGGAATGCTTGATACATGGAGGTGCGGATGATGTTGTACTTCGCAAGCCGTGCCACAACGGAATTCTGGCCCGTGGCAGGCTACGTCATTGGGACGATTTGTGGCCCACGAGACGCACCGGTGGTCGCAGTCCGTATCCGCGCGGAATTGACTAAAAGGTTTTCTCCCGATTTGGAGCCGCCCCTAACATATCCGCGCCCTGGCTAGTCACCGTCTCGACATCCGAGAGCCTACAGCTTCATATACTAATGCCTCGCAATGGCGGTGAGAAATCCTGCGCGCTTTACACTTCACTCGGAACCGCTATTGACAGTTCATCGCAATCGCAGGACGACACTCACCATGGCTCCCAACGTCAATCCTTACAATCGACCGTGGATATACGATCGGGCATTGGGGGCTCTGCTGCTAGGGGTAAACCTTCAGTGCATGTGAGTGCCGTCTGCGATGCCTGCAGTCACAGTGAATTTGATGCGGTCCAGTACGTATGGTGTCCTCCTGGGCATGACATGTACATACTACAAAAGGTCCGCTCAAGATCCCAGGTGGCTGAGGATGGCGGTCAGTAGAATATAATTACGGGATGATTCACTGATGAACTTTGTGGTTTCAGGTTCTGCTAGCATGGTGAGACTGATCTTCAACGCTGTTGTGTCCGTACTTACAGCCCTCAGGTTTCTCTGTACGATTTGCTGTGCGATATCCCTCCAGGGGATATATTGGTTCACCATAACAAATTACGGAAACCCGTCCGCGATACAACATAGTCCTTGGTGGGTCACAACGATGCGCAAGCGACACGTATTGCTCATTACTTGACCGCGATTCATAGGACCATCTCCGTGCGTAGCTTTCATGCAGCGAATGTACCTATGTTCTAATCGTTTAGTTAGCTTCTACCGACTTTGATGGTATGCGCTTCCCGGAGATCCTCTCAACGCTCGCTGACCACACTCCTTACGCAGTCCTCCGTCATGGCTATAGTGCGATTGTAAGCACCCACTGCCTTCGGTTGATTGTACCTCACGCACAGCCTAGAGCGTTTTTGGCCCGCGTGTACAGCCGTAGGCAAATCTCAGCATATGGCAGATTCACATATTCATGAATCGCCTAGTGTTCAAAGCCAAAGACGACCTCTCGCCAGCCTTGGCCTTCCTGACGCTGTTTGTGGTATGTCGAGTGTCGTTCGTTCGGGTTTAGATGTACACACTTAACGTTGTTTGTTCACATTTATAGGTCTTGCTCTCCCTAGCTGACCTAGGTAAGCTATTCTCCGCCGTTGTCGTCCGTCAATTAAATATATCGACAGGTGGTGCCGTTGGTAAGAGCTGAGGATGTACCTCGTTCTGATGTTCAAACATTGAACCGCCTGCGCCCTACAGCCATCACAATAGAATTGTAGGTTTCAAACCTTCATGCTTTGACGTTGACGAAACAACTTTCTTCATGATGACCCTCAGCTTCCGGGCAGTCAACTCGCCGACTTTCACCAACATACAGGCACGTGGGAATGCATGTTCCTCGTCATCCATCTGACCAGATCGCTTGTGAAGCACAATCTCTTCACAGCGATGTTTAGCGTCGGAATAGCTGCAGATGTGATCCTTACAGCGATGCTCTGCGTAGCTCTACATAAGTCGCGATCAGGGCTGAAAAGGTGGGTATGCTCTATCGCTCGAAGAGAACATAGAAGTACTTACGCGCTTCGTAGGACCAACTCTATCATCAACCTCTTGATCATGTACAGTATCAAAACTGGTATGGATTGCGACTATGTAATGTATTGACAATCCGCTGACTGTCATGTTTTTCCGTAGGAGGCATTGCCTGGTCAGTTGCATTTACGGACATCGCTTATCAGTGCGCTCACTTCCACATCGCCCATGTGCAGTGGATGCGCAATCACAACCCTCGTCATCGTTCGTAGACTTTTCTCTTTTGTGACTCGTCGACATCAGCTAACATCTACACGGACCGACGCAGTTTGTCTGCAGTCCTCTCGGTTTGATCTACGCACCGTTTTACGTGCAGACTGCGAACCGTAGGTACATTTTACTGGATGCATCCATGTAATGACGGCCTCTCCCGGAAGTGTACCTCGTTTCACTACTCGCCACGTACGCACCAGTCTCAATCCAACATACGATTCGCGTCTCTGACACAGCATACAGACTCAACTATCGCAGAACCATCCAGACGCGAATACAGCAGCCCCTCAGTCTGGATTACGCCGCATTCGATCGATGCACAACAGCGAGCAGTGAACAGGGGCAGGAAGGCCATTTATCTGAACAGCCGGCCTCGGCGACGATTCTCAAGAGTCGAACCTCGTTCCCCGTAAGTCTCCAGCATCTGACCTCATGGTACGTTCAGGGTACCTAATGTATACGGAGCAGAAGTTGCCGCACGTGTTCCGAATCCGTAGTCGCCAGAGCTCGATAGGATCCAAATTTGAGGTGGGCAATTTCCCAGTTAAAAGCTTGTCTAGAGTATTGACTCCCGCCACGCAGGCTACCGAGAAGGGGCAGATTTTCGAGCAAACAGAACCAGCAGAAATCATCCTAGACAGAGTAATGAACCTCGGGCCCTCTGCGGATTGATAGTATGGCAGGCATCAAGGACATTGTACTGCGTATACCACTGGATCGATGTCCGTCGGGATGATCAGATGCTGTAATTAACCACGGTACTCATGATACAATAAGTTACAACACGCAGTCAGCTAGCTGGCGTCGACTCTCCCTCCTCAATCGCGTCCATCGGCAAGATCGTCAAGGAAGGGGGCAAACCACCAAGCGCTAGCTCCCTGAAAAATTCCCAAATCTGCGGCCCACACGCCCAGTAGAATGCGCCGAACGCAGCACCGCCTAGATGTGCCCAATGATTAAATCTTCTGTGGTGACGTTCGTCGTCAGTTAGACCATAGATTGAGACGCGGATTGCGCACTGACCTCCAGGCACGCCAGATGCCGATTACGTCGATCGCGATCAACGAGCCGAGTGCGTACGTTATAGGGAGAGGGAACGTCGGTGGTATCTTCAACGCCAAATCGGTGTCGGGGAAGGCGAGGGCGACTACTGTCAGCGTTGCATAGACGACCCCGGAGGCACCGATTCCCGGTGGGAGATTCTCAGTAGCATTCGCCGCGGGGGTGTTTTGGCCTGAGTACTTGGGCGAGGAAGCTCCGTCGTGCGGTGGTCGCGGAACTGCTGGAAGGTGTGGGAGGCAGGGATCTGAAACGGGCGACCAACGAGGATAGGTGATTCGTGAGTAGGCCACATGGGAGACGAGATTGGAGAAAAGGCCAGCTGACGAGGGTGTCAGAACGAGACGATAGAGACAGCGGGTTGCATCATACCAGAGACGAAGAATGCGAGGAAATGCCACTTCGGCGTTGCTTCCCGTAGAGTATCTGGGCCTTTACCCTGTCCTCGAACAGATAATGGGCGGTTGCGGAGCCTCGAATGAACATGAATATCCGATCTGGAGCAAAGCGCAGGAAGTAGGTCACTCACCAAACGAGGCGACTAGCATTGAACTAGCTATTACGTGCATCATCGACCGGTGACTGCGTACAATGTCATCAATTCGCAGATCCGGGCACACAGCGCGTGCCAACGTACCTGAAGAGGTTTGTTAACATGGTGTATGAGAGGCCTGAGAGCGGGTTGTGCGTGAATTTGGCACGCAGTAAATGTTTTGTCCGCGGGGAGTGCCATGCGAGGTACAGTATCCCATTCAATGCGCCGATCGCCCAGCACCATCGCCTTGTTTCCGAGGTATCAAGAACCGGCTGTGCGAACTGGACATACGACCAGATGACCAAGGCCTTCATCGTCTGAGGCCACTCATCAACGGCTTCTTTCAAAAAAACTAAGCGCTGCTGCATTGTCTGCCAAGTGAACGTCAGCGACATCGAACAAGGTATGGACGCTATGACTGAAGTCGTGGTGTTGTACGGAGCATAGCGTGACGCAGGCCGCCGAGACATTCGTTATTTAAGCCCACGGGGCGTAAATGACGATGCGATATCCACCGTACGCGGGTCTGAGTGGGCTGATCTGCTTGCCTCAATGGACAGTGGTTCCGCAGATTGCATCCCCGTAGTTGGTCTGACTAGCAACGACGCACCTTTCCAAGTGAATAATATCTCGCTCGCCGCATTTCATCGTTCGTTGGTGGCCGGTTCCTCCATGCAGGGGCAGACAGGGTCAGCCTGACGGACCACGCGAAGGTCTCGTCATTCGTCGTCCCGGCGGCAAGAAAGAACGCAAGGAACGACCCGGCCCCAAAGAACTAATCATGTCAGAGATCCCGGCTTGGTGCAAAAATGTCGTGGATGCTCACCAGCACTTGGTTCCTCACCGATGGACATCTGACTCGCTCCCCAAACGAGGGCACCTTGGTCGTTCTTGCGACTTGTGACCGGAAGGAAGGGATGGAGGTAAACCACGGAATGTTAGATGCAATGACAGTATTAGACAGAGATGTTCGACTGCTTGAGAAGAGGCGAAGACTGCTTCGCCATGGTGAAGTCCTGAGGGTCGATTGAAAGTGGCAGTACCAAGTCATGGCCCATGGACCGCGTAGGCGCGCTGCTGCAGTTGCCGCACGGCGAGCGCGTGAGCACCTTGCAGCGAACAGCGACCACAGCTGCGTCGCAAGTTCCCAACCGCTCTCGAATTCGACTTTACAACAGCTCTACGAAACTGGCTTGTACTTAAATGGTTTCTACACCGTCATCAGACTCGTATATCATCGTAAAGACCATCATCGGCTGCACTCTGATTGAATCTACGATGCATCCAAGAATTGCCCAACAATTCGGAAGTACCGCTCTGGCTCCTCGAAGAACGCTGGGTGAAAACTGTTTGCGAATTGCACCCACTTCGCTTTGGGGCATGCGCCAGAAAACGGGACCAAGGACAAAGTCCCTCGCCTCATCGTCTGCCGTTGATGACCAGCTCTCGATGGTCCCAGTGAATGTAAGTGATGTAATTGACAGGAATACACTGTAGGGTCTTTCTCCTTCACGTGGAGCGACGCTTCTCGTGCGAACTGACGACCAAGTACGTGTCTGCGAAACCTCCATCCCTTTCTCGTACTCCTCTCTTTCCGTCGGACCCTCCCTCTCGCGCTTTTCTATTCTCGGGCCCTTATGTTTGAGCAGCTTCTTCGTCTCCTCATGCGACAGCTCCATCGACGACGGCGTCCACACGGAGACCATTCGCTTCAGTCTCTCAGACTGCTTCGCGAACACCTACGACAGCGCGAGCATCCCACCCTGTGAGATTAGCCGCGCAGGTCGAAGTTCCTTGCTATCCACAAGGTTCGCAAGCTCCTCGATGGGAGCTACACCCTCCAGAACTCCTCCGGCTTCTCGCGGAGGTGTGTGTTCTGCCGAGCTGGTCATAGCATATGACAGGGATGCCTTGTACATACAGCTCAGAATGCGGCATGGTTGCGAATGTGGGGCCACCATGGTGCGTAACGAGGGGGCATTTGCCAGAGCTGAGGTCACCGAGAAGGAGGTACCAGGTCTGGTGGGTATCCCCGTAGATCGTGGAGTCGACTATTCCCATGATTTCAGAGCTGGCCATAGCACGGATGTGCGTGTTGCATCGTTGAGCGTGCGGTGGTGTCGGATACACACATCACGCTACATTGAGGAGCATGGGCCCTCGGCGAGTTACCTTTACGGTAGCCCGGTGTTGGGGAATCCTTCGGTCATGGCAGCAAGCCTGCGTAATACGTAACTTAGGACGATCCATCGGTACTGTATTTCTTCAAGAGCCGGATTATGGACGGGGGCTTCCTGCGCTTGATAGCAACGAGCATGCTAGACCGTGTTCAACCCCAATGAAAAACGCATCTGCTGAGAGATGCGCTGAGCTGCTCGGAGCTGCGCGCGTCGTCGAAAACTGCCCGAATCTGCTCCGAGCTGCTGACGGCTTACAGCAAAGTCACCAAATGACAGCTTCTTAGCGAGTTAACTCATCGTCGTTAGAGCTTAGAGCTTAATGTCTTTTGCCTCTGAGCTGGGGCTGTAGCCTATCGATATCGCTGTCGAGTCTGACGTGGACGTCCCCTTGCGTTAAGTACTTACGGCGACACTGCGCGATGCGCATTATAAGCTAACGTTCCCGCCCGCTCTGGTATGACGTAATCTCTTCGCAGCAACGACCGTCGTCGTCGTCGTCTTCCTGCCACCCCTCTCTCTCATGCTCTTACCACCATCACCTAGTGTTCAATTGCCCGCCGCTTGTCTACTGCTCGCCCGCCGTGCGCTTGCCTGCTCACTTCTTCATTTGTCTGCACACTTGTCTGCCTGCTCGCCCTCCGGTATGCCTGTCTCATTCGCCTACGCGTCTTTTCGCTCGCCCATGCATATTTTTCACTTTCCACGCGCGTTCTTGCCTGCCCGCACGTCTCATTCACACATTACATAGCTGGCCATCCACTCGCCCGTTCGCTCCCTAACTGGCTGACTCGCCCACCCGCTTATCCACCTGTCGGTACTATGACTCGCGGGACCCGTGCACATCGCCGTAAGGATCGCTGGCGCACCGAGCGACGCGATCTCACGCCCGCCCGCCCACTCTCGTCTTCTGCCTGATCTTGCCTGGCCACGCTCACAGTGTTGTTCACCACTCGCCCGGTGCCGCGCTCAATCGCGCCGTCGTGCCACATAGGCATAGCAAACACGGCGCGTCAAGCGTGGGGCACGCAAGAACGCCGGTTTGACCGCGAACGCATCATAAGTGCGTCTCAAGACACACTTGGATGGACGGGAAAGGCCCAGGGACGCGTCAAAAGCGTCCGCGTTTGGGAACACAATGGATGGGCAAGCATGGTGCGTACACCAATTTCCGAGTGTGCAGCAGACAAACTGTCTGCTCGCCTGGTTCCTTATTGAAGTCATTCGCCTCGTTGCCCGCCCGCCCGCTCGTCCGCCCTCTCTCCTGCTTTCCCGCCTGCTCTCCAGCTTGCCAACTCTCTCGCTCACTTGCTGACTTGCCCACCCGTCGACTTGCACGCTTACTCGCCTGCCCGTTCTCTCAAGTGTACCCGTCTCTTGCGCATTCTCTTACCTGGTGCCTCCCGCTCTCTCCCCCGTTCTCTCTCGCTCGCGTGCCCACTCTCTCCCGCGGTCTCTCTTGCCTGCGCACCCGGTCCCCTGCCTAGCCCATCATACCCGTTCTGCCTCGCGCACCTGTACTCCCTTGCGCACACATCTGTTCCTCGTTGATTGTGTCTGCTCTGCAGTGGTCACTCCCTTGGTCTTGCTTGTTTGCTGCCCGCTGCTGCTCGCCTGCGTGCTTGTTGTCCGCTCGCCCTGCCTGCCCATTCACTTGCTCGCCTCAGTTGCTCACGCATCTTCTCACTGATCACGGCATTGCAAGGAGAACAAGGTGCGTAGGCAGTGAGCTGGCAGCTAAGCCTGAGGAACATACACACAAGTTGCGCAAGGCTCTCGATGTCCCCGACTTCAAGACAATAATGCGTATGTTTCAGATTGTGTATGGTAGGACTTGGCGCTCGTAACACTCACATTCTGTCGATACCTGCAGAAGTCGTCAAGTCCGTGAATCAAGGGAAGAAATCCAAGGCGAAGAAGTGCAGCGCAACAGCTAAGACTCGGGATATGTCGGCGAGCGGCCGGCACATGCGAGTGAGACAAAGGCCTGAAACGGGCGCGAGTGCGGTACGCAGGGTGCGGGCGGGCACGGTACGTAGGAAGCGGGTGGGCGTAGTATGCAGGTGGTGTGCGGGGTGGTTGGGCGGGAGCGCGTGGGCGCGGTATGCAGGCGGCGGGCGCGGTATGCAGGGCGCGGGCGGTGCAGGATGCGGGCAACGTATACACGATAAATGTATTATTTTTATGGCAGCTAGTGCAATACAGGAGCATCTAGCAATATGCCCGGATCTGCTACCAGCTGCATATGCGTAATTTTCACGCCCAGAGCAGCTCCGAGCATCTAGAAAAATGCAAAAAGTCCGGATTTCATGCTCCAGGCTGCTCGGAGCTGCTCGCAGATGTTCTTTTGACAGCGGCCCCACCGAGCAGCTCAGAGCATCTCAGAGCATCTCCCAGCAGATGCGTTTTTCACTGGGGTTCAACTGTGGGTCTGTGATAGAAAGTTCCTCATTACAGCTGAAGTACATCAAATGAGCCTGGACCAAAGTGGCACATTGTCGGACCATCTGAGTTCTTCACCTTCATTCAAAGGAGCATCCTCGTCCGCAGTACTTAGTACATACCTAAACCACACCGACGCACCCGTGATAGTGGTTTGCGAGGCTAGCTCCAGACTGTCCCACCCGCTCTGCTGTCGCGGTAATAGAAACTAAAATAGTCATACATCATCTGCATGGGCAATCGTAGATGCTGGTCGCACTGTAACCTAGGAAAGAAAAACGGTTGTACTGAGCGTCGATTATCGAGCATTTCACTGCAATGACGCACCCGTCCCAGATGAGTGACCCTTCAGATCTTCAGAAGTAGGCTCGATTATGCCTGGATTGTCGGTACCAGACCTCCACGCGGACGCAAACGCTCGTTCCGTCTCGACTTACGGGACCCGAAGGCTCGCCGAAACCTTGTTATTCATACGCAAGGAAGGTCAGGGCAGCAACATACAGTTCTGACACGTTGACAGCTTACCGAGACATTGTCGCATAGTGTTGAGTCTAGATTCTACGACAAGGTTGCAATTACAAACTACTAAGTTGTCATCAACAGCGGAGGGGGACAAGCTGGAAAGGGCTTCATTGGTCAAGACGCCGCGGGGCCAGTGTCCACCGCATAGCTCCCGTATAACGCTAAGCGGGAAACCCCAGCCTCCTGACGCGAACTTCTCTGGAGAGATGTGAGAGTTAGCTCCAGAATTGAGCAAGGGACGCCAGCAGGCACACGGAAGCAATGGAGTGTGCAGACACACCGACCCTCAAAGTTATACGTGCGATATGTCTTCCGTGTTGGACGGAGATTCGAGACACGACCGCGATTCCGGCGCTGAATTCGAGGCAGGCAAGTATTGCATGCGATATGCTGGGCTCAAGCATCTAGAGGACGTAGAGTACCATCTTGCATGTTGAGGCATAGAGACCGCGTGACAGAGCGAGGTCTTGTTGGCGGACGATCAAGGCGACGGTGACTCTGCAAGACCAGGCCTGAGAGAGGGTGAGTGATGAGGAAGGATGTATGCGCAATGAGATTCCTGTTGATCTGCCAGAGGAGGAGAGAGGGGTCCGCTGTAGTGAGCTTGTAGCCAAGCAAAGCGCCAGCCCAAAGTCACGGCCCCTGTGAGCCTGCGGGCAAACGCACCGCACACTTACCAGCCACATCCTACCACCGCAGCATCGCTCCGGCCCTGCCTTTCTGTCTGCCAGACCGCCCCGCGGTTGTCTTCTTCCGCGTACGACAGGATCAGACAATCGGCCGTCTGGGTGGTCACTGGCAGATGCATCAAAAGCTCGCGGCCACCCTGTCCTCGACATCGATACATGGGAGTAGGGCAGCTCCTTCAAACACATCGCACGGATCCAGAGAGAAAATAGTTGGTGGATGGCCGTCTGGGTTGCACGAGGGCACCGGCGAGTATGTCCCTGACCAATGCAACGACATGAGACCGCCGCCCATCGCCGTTCAACTCATCTATCATGTTCCGACGGCCAAACAGCTCAACCCCGTGGTGCACGGTGCAACCTCCTCCACCATCATCGTCCCGGATGCTGTGAATGAAGCGGCACGGTGTATACAAACACCAGGGGCTTCCGACTGCTATCGGCAGGATTTGCGGCTCGTTCAGAGGACCTATCACGTCCCCGGCGATGTTTCCGGAGCTAGGCAAGCTCAAAGACTAGGGTGGTTCCCTTTGTAGGTCATGTAGTCTTCGTCGTCGCCGTCTGGCTGCAGAGGCTGATGGGGTCGTCCGTATCCCAGGCGAAGGCGACATGTGTGCCTAGAATGGTTAACGTTCGGGCTACCTATCATCCACCGGACTAGATGTTGCGCGCCCGTCCGCAACCAAGGACAACGATGTCGACCCCAATGGTCGACGTCTGCAACGATCTTCGGCATTTCCTCTCCATACCCAACGGCGTACACATATACCGCTGGGGATTGCTAGTCATTTGGTGGCTATGGCATCGGATGCGTCTTCAAATCCAATCAGCTCCACGACTTACCACACCATCACTCCGACTTCGGTGGATGAGGTCCCCGACTGCATCTGCATCCTCACTTTGACTGGCACGGAGTGCCAAAGGGAATGCGCCGCCATACGAGCCTCGACTGTCAGTCGCGGTCACCTACAGCAGTCGTCAAGGTGCCAGGACAAGCGTATTGACTCACCAGGTCCTTAGAGCCACTAGCGCCCACGCCGCCGTCTGTCATCGCGGGCCTACCCTCATATTCTCATCCTCTCATGGGTCCTGTCCACGCTATCAACTTCAATATGGACAGTCGCGAAGGACATACGTCGTGCGTGGTCGTGCCAGAATGGTTAGAGTTCTCGTGGCTGAGTGGACTCGGTCGTCACGCCCGCGAAAGACTGTCGATCACGATAATCCTGGGTCCGCTTCATCCTACCAGGGGTTTGCCTCAGTCCTGGACGCGATCAGTCTGGGCGAGCTGTAGAACGTGGATCACGAACCCCGCATGGCTTCCCGATCTGCATACGAAGTCGTCCTAGATGATCAAGAACTCACCTGATGCGCGCGGCAGTGACGACTCTGCAGGCCGTCCAGCGAGTCGTTTCATGGCCCTAGTGGCGAACACAACACTGTTCAACAGGACCTGCTCCATGATTTGCGCCTGGCACTCGGAAACCGGAGGCCAATCGCGGTAGTGTCAGCGCTCAGCCGAGGAACGGGAGATTGGTCACAAGTCCTGGTGGCTTTCCCATCGTTGGATCGGGGTTCATAAATCTTTTGGCTCTCTCGATGCTCGACGACTTCGCAGTGTATGGCTGTATGTTCGCGTGGTCGTTGGTACGTTGAATCAATCTCCTCATTTCTTTGTTGATTCTGACATTTCGAGCGGACTCTGCTCTTATGTAGTAGCTGTGGTCGTTCTCGGCAGAAGGCACTGACTTTCTCGCCTGACACCATCGGACTCTGCTCTGGTATGTTTTTGTACGACGAATTACTTCACACCTGCAATGTTTGGATCGTCTTTAATTCATATTGCTCTGCTTTGACTATACGCGCATCATTCTCGAGTAGCAGCCCCCCGTGCAGTTTTGACCGGTCGAAGATGATGGTGCGTGGGCGCGCTGAATCCTGGACACGCTCAGAAACATTGGTTGGCCACCTGTGCGGCGCATCGCTTGCTCGTCCTGTCGTGCGAGACTTGAGAACTCGTGGCTCATGTTTTGGCCGTACCTTCAGACAATTCAACGGTGTCACAGAGCGCTGATAGTCGTGTACCGGATATGCAGACCTACTCTGCTATTCAACGGACTGCGGAACCTGTGGAGTCTGTGCTGCCCTATGTAGCGGGCTCAGGCTTCTCTGGCTATCTGTGTTCATCATCTGATACTGCGCACGAGGCCCGGCGCTCCGAAATGTAAAATCGCGTCCTCGCAGGCAAAGATGTATGCACGGGACGCGAAAGCCATCTCGCAACAACTCCACAAAAGCTCTCGGCATGGAGTCTCAGCTGAAGCAACCATCTCACCCGCAGGGATCTCTTAGACATCCAAGCAGCTATAATTAGTTTGGCTGGTTCGACAAGGTGTACTCCTGGAAAATGCGGTCGGCCTTTTATTCCTGCGCTGCGCTTCTCTGAGCTGCTCACTGATACCAGAGACTTAGGCTGTCAGCGGCTACGTCTGCGCCGGCGCGAATGCCTGGCAATGGTGCAAGACGATAATATTAATGCGGTGAAAGGTTCATCGATGCTCCGCTGGGCGAAAAACTGGTGCAAAAACGATTCGCACAAAGCCTATCCCGGGGCTGTGGCTGGCCTTGCACTTTCAGCATTTACTTCCCGTGTTCTGGAGCTCCCCCATGATCGTGGTAACCGGGCCCATTTCTATAAGATAGCCTTAAGGACGACACAGCGGTCTGCACCGTATCGCACCGTCCCCCCACCTCTCAGAGGCAGTTCCAAGCCCCCAAACGTCCATATGTGCTACTATCTCATCACCTATGTACACCATGCTTGTGGTCATGACCGGCCGACCAGGAGGCACTACGTGAGTACTCAATCTCTCCTTGGTCGAGCCTCGCCGCTAATCTGCATCGGAAGATCGATTGCAACATGTCGACGTGTATACTGAGTATGAGACACAAATATGAAGACCACGATTGCGAGAACACATGCACAGAGACGTATGTGGCAGTACTCGGACTCGTGCGGATCGTATGGTTCTATCATAAATGCCTTGAAGCATGCTACCGGACCAACACATCGTCATGGAGAGCACAGACGACCACTGTGACCCCTGCAGCGGGATCCACCCGTCCGCGGGCGCTGCAATCGACATCCCGGCCCTTCCCATTCTCGAAAGCGTCCCGGAAACCGACACGGAGACACAATCAGGCGATGGTCGGCATGATTCATGATACGTCGGAGCATTGAAATCCCTGACTTACGTCCGCCCGATGCTTTTTCTCCCGGGGTATCGCTGGGGCAAAATTGTGTAGTTCTCGGTGAGAACGCTGTATGCTTGGTGTATCTTTGCTCCGAAACTTCTCTCAAACTAGTGATGGATACTATGTGGGACAGACTGATTGTAATCATGATGACACAAGTGGTGCGTTTTGGGAGCTAGATGAGTGGCGCAAGAGCGGATTAAAAGTTCTGGACATGCATCTCCAAGAACATTGCAAGTCTTGCCATCCACGCGGCATTCATGCTCCCTCATTAGAGGTGGTGGTGGGTAGGAAGCAGAGTCTGCCAGTCAATAAGTCGTCGTGCTATGATCTAGAACGATTGACACCAGTAGGACAAGGACTGAACTCCGAGTCAGGGCCTACTTGGCGAGGCTTCGAATGCTTCTACGGCGGTGTAAATTTCGAATTCTCCCCACTGCCAGTGACTTTCTCCCCGCTGACTGATAGCGGCGCGAGATCCAGACAGAAGGCGCCAAACTCCGCAGAATCGGTTCCGCCCTCTGTATGGTACTACTATAAGGGCCGGTGTCGTCAAGGCTAGCTTCCTCAGCATTCTATACAGTCTCTTTTCAAGGAATAGATAAGATACTTATAGAGGCCTAGACCTGGATGTCGATTGTAAGTACTTATGATTTTGAAGCAGTATGGTGTTACTTAAGCATGGTATTACAAGCATCGGGTATTTGGTCTTATTTGTTGCCTCGAACACAGGTTCGGCAGCGCGTCGATACGCCCCATCCGACTCAGAATTTGCTCAGAATAGTGCGTGCACTCTAGTCTGCATTTTCTCGCTACCGTGTGCACTCGGCAATGGTGTCGCTGCTACGTCTTCAGTGCATTCATTGGCAGACTGACTGAGGCCGCTCACGCCCTCTCGACTCTCGTCGACTATCATGCTACTTTCTACCTCTGGTACAGTTTCCAATCGCCCACCAGCGAGATCTGCAAGCTCGACTTCCTCCGGCGCACCTCAAGAAACATACTCAGATGCTCGTACGCATGGATATCAAGGCCCAACGCGCCTTGTTCGTCTACCTCGTGCAACCGCTGGAGGAAGTGCTGCGATCGCTAAGAGCGAGGATGGGATCCGTTGTGTAGTTGCTGGACGTGAATGTACGTTGCTGATGCATTATCACGTAATGGGTACCTCATGAACTGTTTGGAATCTTCAGCACTGCGAATTCTCCGTATCAGCCCACCTGACGCTGCCGAGTCCGGAAACACCGCAGAACATAGGTTCGCAGTTGGAAAAGGCGGCTTTCGTATAGAGGCGTCTAGGAATTTCTGGGATGGCAGTGGCCTTCATATTGACAGCGCGAACACTGACGTCGTGTGGGGTCACGGTAGTAAGTAGAATGATTTCGTGATTATCCTCGAACACTGCAATGGGCTCACATGCAGCAAGTCTACAGTAACAAGATTCTCACCAGTGCTCGTAATGGTGAGCTGATAATGTGGGACTTGAACAAGACCGGACCGTCCAAATATGGTGAGCGTCACTCAACAACACCCCGGCATCTGGTCGATGCGCATGTCCTCCTGAACACGCGTACCGATACGATACGTATTTGCAGAAAGAAGAACGAGGGACCACTCCCGTTCTATACATGCACTTTCATATTCCCCCATCCTCGAGAAATACTGTGTGACTGGATCCGCTGATGGTGACCTACGGGTGTGGGTATGTTTATCTGTTCCGTTCGTGAGTGTGTACTCTGATTCCTCTGTGTGATGTAGGACCTCCGAGATATGAGCAAGTCTATCATGTGGATTCGCCATCCGGGCCCCGTACGATCAGTTGCGTTCTCACCGATACCAGGGCACCCGTTGCAGGCTATCTCCGCACTGGACAATGGGGGCATCTACAGGTCAGTCACAGCACGCCTCTCGTGCGCACCGCTGATTATGGTCCGCAGATGGGATCTAAGCATGGGGCAGCGTGGCCAGCTGGACCGTATACTGGCCGCGCATACCGGTCCCATTTTGACATTGGACTGGACGTTATCTTCCAGCTCCGCGTCGTCTTACCGAGCATCACGAAGTAACTGGTATGGGGCTCCAAGTACCGCATTGGGCCTCTTGGACGAAATCATCCCTTCTGGCGGCCTGCAAGGCGGCCCAGGTACTGGCGAAACGGACGGAACAGGCATGGGGTGGTTAGCTAGCGGCGGCCTAGACCGCTGCGTGAAAGTCTGTAAAGCCCAAGTACACTGCCGTATATTGCAATTTGACCCGATCTGCAGGTCTGGGATCTCACTGCCCGTACCACGGGAACCCACATATCGCATGACCCTACATACACTCTACGCACTGCGTATCCCGTCCGGCGTGTGCTCTGGCGCCCCGGATACGAATGCGAGCTCGCCGTCGTAGCTCACACAGATCAGGGCGTGAGCAGCAGTGCAGATCTGCAGGCTCCCGCAGGAGTACACCTCACGTCTCCAATAGCAGCCACCGGGCCTGGTGCAGGCTTGATCAGTGCACTTTCGAGTCCTCGGATGGGGACTGCGGGTCTCAGCATGCTTGAATCCGTCTCCGAACCAGCGTTGACGTTGCCGCGCAACGATGGCGGTACCCCCGTTGAGATCTGGGACGTCCGTCGCGGTTTCATAGCGAAATGGGTCGTGAATGACTCTGTTGGAGAAGGTGGCGTGTCAGGTCCGTACATCCATCTGCGTCAGTCACGCTGGTCCCTGAAGCGCAAATTCGCCAGACATCGCGCTTGCCGATTCTCATGCCATCTGGGCTCAGCATTCGTCGGGAACATTCTCGCAACTGGATTTGCGCGCCTGCTGCCGACCATTGGATGCAGTATCACGCACAGCCGTCTCTTGGGACCCGGCAGGATCGCTCGCCTTCGTGACCGATCAGCGCAAACGTTGGGAGATCCCGTACGACGACGTGTGAGCCCAACATTGACCGGCTTTGGAAAGGCTGCGTGTTGATTACTGCGCTTTGACAAATAGCAAACCGGAGAAACGACAAGCTGCACAAGAATGGCACAGCGTTTCGAAGACACTAGGCGATCCGCCTTTGATCCCCGCGGCCCAGACATGTGGGACAATCGCATTCGACGGCATGGAAAATTTGGAGGCCTTCGTTCAGCTGGCCCAGAACTGCATCTATGAGGGACGCGATAGGCGTAGCGTGTGCGCACATAATGCGAAGGTGAGATTCACCGTACCAAACCGATCACTTCCAATCAAACGCATGTTCAGGTATCGTTGGATATGGGTAAAACCGAGGCGGCTCAGACATGGTTAATGCTACAGAGCCTTCTGACCGATCTCGTCGCTGAGGTCTCCATGACACCATCTGCAGCCTCCCAAGCGATCCGTGACGTACCTCACTACGCATCTGCGCCCGCCGCTATTCCGACCTTACAGACAGTGCCGAATCGTGCCTTGCCTCAACGATCGATGTCGACAGACACCAGCGGAGCAGCTAAAAGCGAGAGCAGGAGTCCGAGCTCCTTGTCCAGGGAAAACCTTGAAGGGCCAATAGTCATGGGGCGGCGTTCTTCACGTCCAGAGACCCCGGCATCCTCAACAGCGTCGTCGCCGCGCAAGTCCTCCAACTCTCTTCCTCAACTCCAGGCGACGTTGTTCTCTCGGCGTGAGTCAGGCGTAGGCCAGGGCCAAGCGATACGCCCGATGCTGTCCTCTTCATATCGTCGTCCTTCAAGCTCGTTCCTGCTCTCTCCTAGCATGCGTAGCATGCACAGTGATTCGCCAAACGATAGCATCAAAGGCAATGCCAGTCTCAAGCATGTCGGAGAAGGTGCCTTGGATGATTCCGACTCGTCCGAAAGCGAAGAAGAGTCTGCCTTGGCGGTTCCTTCGAGGAGCGACAGTGGCGACGAGGAAACGTCTCTCTCTCGACCATTCCACCCTCTACGACCAGGCATCGCTGTGCAGCCAAGCCCGCTTGCTCACCAACAAACCTGGACGGATGAGGAGGACGAGGACGAGGATGACGAATCGCCGTCGCCTGGATCTAGCAGTGACTCTGACGCACCGTCGCCCAGACCAAAACTAAAACGCTCGCGCACCAAGAGTGCCGCCCGCAGCCGGACGCGCAGTCGGAGCTCTACCGTTGCGTCTTTGGCTGTCCATGCTTCCAGTCCCAAGCTCGTGCGGCAAGGATCCTCAACGAGTATCCGTACTGTCATCGCCAGCAGTACGCCAGGCCAAGACGATCGCGAGGGCGGCTTGCAACGAGAGGAGACGGTGCGCGATTTAGGCAACCCGATAACGTCGACCAAGACGTCCCCCAACCACAAGCGGGCACGTTCGACAGCCTTTGCTGATGACGGGAAGCTTGGCCTCAGTCACAACAATGCAGAAGACATCGCTTGCAGTAGCCATGGTCATGCCGAGTGCAGCGAGCGTGCCAGAGAAGCGGAGAGCAATTATCGTGACCTTGGGTGGAGTGCCTTGCGGGATGCATTGGAAGATTTTGCAGAGCAGGTAATGATATACGTGTCTCGAATCGATAGATGATTGACACGACTTCCAGGGAGATATCCAGATGTGTGCACTCTTAGCCCTGGTAGCCCGGAAGGAGCTCAAAATAAGTGCCATGCGCACCTCGAGATTTGTTGAAGCATACATCGGTGAGTACATCTGGACCCGCAAGTTTCATATCTCATCATACCTGCGGCAGATACACTGGCAAAACTTCGCCTCCATACTGCTGCTGCCTACTTGCGCAAGTATGTCGAGGCTGATGACATTCGAAACGCAACTGCAGTGAGCAATTGAGTGTATACCATATACACGCACAATAACGCAGTTGACAGCTTCAGACAACGATCTATACGTGTTGCTCACGTTGCCGTAAACCTATACTTACCCCTGCTGTACGGATGGAGGCACAGGACAACCATCGGGAAGCTACGCGTATTGCACTGCCTGCAAGTCTGCCATCAGCCGTTGTTCAATCTGGTCTGTCCTCTTGTGCCCGTCAGGCATTCTTTCGCTGACTTTCGATTGATTCTTTACTTAGCCATCTACCTGTCCGAGCTCTTGCTTTCACTTGCCCAGTCTGCCTGCATGGTGGTCACCAGGAATGTTATCGGAACTACTATGTGAAACGTCCGATGGTCGACTTGGACTCCGAGCAGTCTCTGGCGGAACAGGACAGAACAGCCCAACCACCTCCTACCCCGAATCCACCTCATCTGAGACCCCGAGGCCGCACCCCGTCTAGGAGCGGGTCGCTGATACACGACAGTGATTCAGAAGACGGTTCCGTACCTCGGGTGGGAGAAAGTGCAACAAACGGAGATGAAGTCGAACCTTCGTATGCGACGCTTGCATATTCTCTGCAGGGACATGCCTGTGCGGCGGGATGCGGTCACTTCTGCTGGGCGGCGCGGAAAGTTGCGTCGTAGTACGGAGACGGAGCTCACGATGCACCTCGGCCCATCTTGCCTCCTGTCTTGCGACCTCATTTTGATCCGTTCTGCAAGAGTGCTGCTAGTTCGAACCGAATACGTCGGCAGCAAGGCCTTGTCGTATGAAGTTCCTAGCACCGACCCTCATGCGACGGCAAGTCTGGCTCTTGGACATACTACGACACTCGCCAGGGAACATCGTAAACGGGAATTCTGGAACAGACAGACTTGCAGCAGACAGGACAATGTACTGAAAGGCCGGATATTGAGGCAATTCTTGTCATGGTTCGACACCGTCCTGAATGAGGCGCTCACTGGCGCACGGCATTAGTTATGAAGCACTGCTCTTAATTGAACTGATATACAGGAACATCCCATTGTGGACAAGGAGTTGGGTCGCAGAGTGGCAGCCGAGTTGCGTAGTGTCTATACGCCTAAGTACGTGCATACAGAATACAGTTCCCCACTGGCCTCAAAGCTTGGTGTAGCCAACTAATGCGCGAGCGCTTCAGCGCTGTACGTGCGAGCACACGTGCGTCGCTGTGTGACAACTTGCTTGAGGAGGGACTCAGCCAGGACTCAGCAGTCCTCTATCTCCCTGCCACCATGGCCTTCTCGCTCTATAGGTTGGGGCGATTTCTGAGGTCCATTTTCTCTCCACTCGCAGCTTTCGTAGGCTTCAGCTGTCTGCTCACTTTCCTCTTCATTCTCTACCAACCTAACGCGGGTCCTGGAGCGAAGCAGCGCGTCGGTTGGCAGTCCTGGGAGTTCGTCAATGAGGTCACCGTATCTAGTGCAGGCGCAAGTGGAAATACTGGCACAACCATAGGCACGCCGTCGCAAGCGGATGGCGTCGACTGGTGGAACGTTACTACCTCGGAGAAGCCTACCGTCGACTCTGCCAGTCTGCCTCTGGACGTGTGGGATCCATTGCTCCCGCATGATACCGGTCGTACGTGCAACCCGTGTCCCTGGTCACCTCTGCTCACACAGGCTTCCTAGTGTCTGAGATTGAGATCACGCGGTGCTTCGTCGACCCCTGGTACGCGAAGTCCTTCACGAACGACCTGTGTGCCCCATCTACCACGAAGGAAGATGATGCGTACAAGGGCAAATGGGTTCGTGTTCCCCGAAACCTCAACATGCAATCGGGTCTGATGAGCTTGGTACGCACGATCCACGTCCTCCAAGCTGCGAAGCTAACGATGCGCAGAACATCTACTATCGCCGAACGCGCCGGCACGACATCCCTCTCATCACAGACATGCGCATCCTTCCGGCGTCTGCAACCCCCACCCCTCTTACCTCCGACTGGCACAAAGTATCTCGCTCCATCAGCCCCTCCGGCGACAAGCTTTACCTATGGTACAAGACCGACAAGACGCTCGTGCAGATGACTGCCAGCCAGCGCCAGCAGCAGCTTGTGACGGAGCTCGACGTGCTGTTCGGCGACGACCAGCCGTGGTACGGCTTCGAAAAGCTAGACCCGCCTGTGCTTGAGAGCATGACGCTGCTTCAACGGCAGAGCGTCTGGCTCACGTACCGCCGTGGTGTGCACGGTGCGTTCCATCATAGGCCTGCGTATAAGTGCCAATATGGTCTAACGGTTACTTGGTAGCGCCGCCTCGCGCGCCCCCGCTGCACTTCACGCGCGACGGCCGCTTCAAAATCATGCAGATCGCCGACCTGCATTATTCTGTCTCCGCAGGCACCTGCCGGGACACGCCGCTCGCACCGTGCTCCAACTCCGACAACCTCACGAACACCCTCCTTGGGCGGATGCTCGACGCCGAACGCCCGGACTTTGTCGTCTTCTCAGGCGACCAGCTGAATGGCCAGGGCTCGTCCTGGGATGCGCGCTCCGTGCTGGCCAAGTTCTCAAAGGCCGTGACGCAGCGCGGGATCCCGTGGGCGGCCGTGTTCGGGAACCACGACGATGAGGATGGGGAAAGCAGAGAGCAGCAAATCAAGTATATGCAGGGATTGCCGTACAGTATGGTCGAGACGGGTCCGAAGGACATCCACGGTGTCGGCAACTATGTCTTGAAAGTGAAGAGTGCTGACGCGTAAGTTGGCTGAGGGGTGCACATCATGTCGCGTCCACTGACCGGTTCATCTTCAGTTCCATGACGCACCTCTTGACGCTTTACTTCCTTGATTCCGGCTCGTACTCGAAAGGCTTCATGAACTGGTTCGGCTTCTTTATCCCTACGGAATACGACTGGATTCATCAAGTACGAGGCTCCGTGCTTCTCAGTGCCCCTGATAACGCTGAACACCTCTTTAGGATCAAATCAATTGGTTCTTGCAAGAATCTTGTACGTCCCGCCTGAGCATATCTCGCCTCAACGACACTGAGCCTGCTCTAGCTTCAATTGACCCTATTGAACGTCCCTTCACTCCTGATACTACCAAAGATCTCGGCGACGTGTGGAAACGTCAAGCCGTCGGACAAGTCGCCCCTGACGCAAGACGACTCGCGAAGCCCAACGCGCTCATGTTCTTCCACATCCCACTGTATGTCCCGTATTTGTGAATCTTCGAGCATTGCTAAGCGCTCGCCTTCATAGTGAAGAGAGTTACGCGGCTGCGGACACGGACCCCGTCACAGGCAAGCCGCTCGATGTTGGCCTTCATGGTCTAGAAGGGCAGGGCTCCGCGAAGAAACAGGACGGGTTCTTCCATAAGGGGCTGCTGCAAGCGATGGAGAGCGAGCACCGTGCAGCGGGCAACGCTCGCGAAGTCAAGGTCGCTTCGAACGGCCACTGTCACGGTAAGTGCATCCCCTTCTCTCCCACCGGATACCTCGGCTGAAGCTTCGTGCAGTCACCGAGAACTGCAGACGCGTGCAAGGTGTCTGGCTGTGCTTCGGCGGAGGAGGGTGCGTCGACCGTCACTCACTACCGTGTCTTTATGCACTGAGCCCTCACCTTTTCTGCGCGCAGCTCGTACTCTGGCTATGGCAAGATCGGCTTCGATCGGCGCTTCCGTGTGTACGACGTGTCGGACTACGGCGAGACGGTCCGCACGTATAAACGCACCGAGAACGACGGGATCGTCGACGAGATGGTGCTTGTTGGCCACGGCGCCCCGAGCACGTACGAGGGCCCATGATAAGGACATGTGCCTCCCTTTGCGCGGCGAACTGTGTACTGTTAGATGTGGTCACTGTATTTATAGATAGGTTGTATTATGATTGCGTCGAGAGTATGCTGAGCTGAAGGGTACGAACACTGACATAGAGGATCGCGCAAGCAATCCGTTGCAATGCGAACTGTACGGTACGCATTACACTGTAACCTCCTCAACCTTCCTCTCAGTCTGCATCTCCGCCTTCGCCTGCTCGATGGCGCGCTCACGCGCCGCCCTCCTGTCTGCGAGGTGCTGCAGAATGTCTTTCCTGCTGGTCGGAATGCCCGGCTTGCGACGGGGGCCGCCCTGGAGAGAAAGTAGCTCGCTTTTCCTCGCCGCCTCTTGTTGCTTCAGCTGGAAGTTTTGCTCCAGCCAGTCCTCCCTCTGCTTCCGCTCCTCCGCGGACATGTCCTCCATCGCCTGTGGGTAGTAGAACGGCTCGACGAGACCGACGACGGCGCGCTTGAACGTCTTGTGCGCGACGGTGTGGGTCCACGAGTGGGTGCGCGGGTCGCGGGTGAGGGGGGAGAGGTAGTTGTCCGTGCGGATGTACGTCGTCTGAACGCCGTAGACGGCGGAGAGGTACGCGCGCAGGTCGGTCTTCGTCATGGACGGGGGGATGCGGAACGTGGCCTCGTAGGGGTTGTACGGCTGGCCGGGCGGGTGTGGTTGCGCACGAAGCGGATGGTGATGTTGGGGAGGTATATTTTCTGGCCGACGACCTGCTCCTCCGCCTCGCCGGCGTCGTTGACCACCTGGCGCACACCGCGCAGCCTGCTCCGCCGCGTGTTGAGCCGCTCGAGCCACTCGCCCTCCGTGAGGTCTCGCCATTGTCCTGCAGCAGCTCGCCCTTTGCGAACGCGCGGTTGAAGCGTGCGAGTTCGGTCGGGGTGAGGCCTTCTGGTGTCGCGTCCGACTCAGCGGGGAGGTTGGGGTGCTTGGTCTTTTTAATCCGGAGGCGACGCAGACGGACAGAGCGAGGCGTGGATGTTGTACGGGCTATGGCGGCGGCATCGGGGATGGTGGCATAGAGGCGACGAAAGCAGTGCTGCATGTCTTGCTCGCCGTCCAGCTCTGCACTGGGCTCCTCGCTGCAATTCGTGCTCTGGAAAGGGAAACTGTATTTGCGCGTCTTTGCTCCCGGTGGCGCACGTGTCGTTAGGCGCTGGTCCACGAAGCCTGCCTCAAAACCTCAAAACAAAAATATTGGCTTCTCTATGGCACGGATGCATCATAGCATGGTAGCTCCGGCATCTAACATACAAGCTCCCGTAGTATTACACCCGAGTGATCCAGCGTACACACGCTACCCGAAGAGCGGAAATCTCTCTGTACGGTCCCATTCTAATCGGGGTGCTACATCGCACCAGGCATGACCAGGGAAGACGCAGGGTGCAAGCCCAATTGGGTCTGTACGCCGAATGAATGCAGGTCAAACGACCCGGCCTCCTGCCCGCCAAGTCCGGGATTGTCTCCGCTCGAGAACCGTTGCTCGGGTGGCAACGGTGCCGACGCCAATATGCACTCCAAGCAGCTCGGGCAGTCATTCGGCCCCGCACATGACATAGAGGATGCAGAGGAGTTGGGGGCGATCCCCCCGCCGTGCTCAGGGCACCCTGAGCAGCCGCACTCCTCGCCGCATCCACAAAGCGAGATGTTGTCGCCGCTCCATGGCTGGGCCGGAGCTGGCGCGGCAGATTGCGACGAGTCGAATGCGCTCAACCAGCCGTCGAGCTCAGCTGTGGATGCAGTGAGCTCGTCGTATGGATATGAAGCCGGATGGGCGGATATATTTGGCGCGGGGGGTGCTGCCGGTGCGTACTGAGGGGCGTGTCCGCCGATCGGTTGCATCTGCTCGTGCGGCCCAGCATGCGCGCAGCAATTGGGTTCATGGAATTCGGGTTGGGGGTTCAGTTCATGGTGCGATCCATACGTGTGCCAGATAGGTGGGATCTCGTGCGACAGGGCTTGCGGATGCGGTTCCGGTGGTCTGGGCAGAAGTGGCCGGTGGCTGTGTTGGTGAGCTGCATCCTCGAGACTCGCTGAGCCCATTGGTTGAGCCTCGGCGGAGTTCCCGCGCTCTGAATTGGATGAGGAGTCGCAGGCCTTGGGTTCGCGGGTCTTGGGTTTGCGGCCTGAGTATGGCGTGCGCGTGGTGCAGCAGTGGCATACCCCCGTGCGGTCGCAGTCGCAGGCAGAAGACGAGGCATATCCTACAGCGATCAGTAAGCGAACTATTCATTCAGAGCAATCGAGCTTGAGCCAGAATCCAGAACGCTTCTTCGACCGAAGCTGTCTGTCGGATCGATACTTCACTAAGCAGCACTCACAACGCTACCATCGCCGTTGCGACGTAGCGCCATGAGAGGCCCATGACTAGAAACTCACCTTCATCTCTGCTCAGTGCGCACATGCACTTAACGTGCACCTGCTTCGACTTGCGCAGCTCTCTGCAGTGGTCGCATTGCGAGACGGGTCGGCCCTTCCTCTTGATCTCGTAGAGCGGACGATCGGAGTGTTGGCAGACCGACGCACGGTGGCCTTTGATGCACGCTTCGCTGGACAAGTAGCATAGCGGGTTAGACGGAGATACGCTGGGCTAGACGCGCGGGACCCACCATGCGTACTTCTTCTCAGCTATGAGGACCTGTGATGATCATTACCAGTATGTGAGAGTACGATCACGACGATAGGATCGACATAAGTTACCATTATTGTGTGCTCGCTCGCGTGCCGTATTCGGAGTGCCCCGGCGGACGATGGTTGTAGTTCAGGGGAATGTGCGAGTGAGTACGTTACGGCAGCACAGGTAGCTACTGTGCTTACATAAACACGTAGAATGTGGCGGCCGTACTTAAGTATGTGCCGCCACCGCCACAATTTCATAACGCAGGCAAACAGTGCTTCGGACGCATTCGGCGAGTTGGCAGCCGGGGCCTCATCAGCACAAGGTACCGTTTCATGATCCCATTTCGTACGTACATGCAGGCTCCTCCCCATCCGCCTTCGGGGGTAGAGGGGATGAATTTCGAGACCGCAATTCATGTTTTGTGTCCCTATCCTGACCCGCCACACCTCAGCCACATCCCATCAAATATTTCTATCCCCGCCCGATCCTGAATCTCCGTAATCTTATTCCCCTTTACCCCCTCTGTACCCCGCCAGAGGGGGGTAGAGGGGAATAAGATTGTGGAGTTTGAATTGGCTCGCGTGGTGCATGTGACTTGTATCAACTAGTACTTTTTTGGATACAGGACTTAAGGATCGAGAAAGAGCATCGTATTGGCGTACTCAGATTCATCCCCTCTACCCCCGAAGGCGGATGGGGAGGAGCCTGACGTACATGTATATGTACAAAATAACTGCAAATGAGTGCAACGCACGGCTGATCACTCATCGGGACGTCGGAACCCAAAATGTGGATCAACTACAAAAACAGGCGCCGCACCGAAGAAAACATCGGTAATTCCAAGTAATCCAAGCAATTTTTGTTCAAGTTTGACAGCACCGCTGTAGATAACAGTGGCACAGACCATTTGCAGAAGACCACGCGCCACGAGCGGGACACCTGAACCTTCTCGACGAGTCATGATCAGTGCTTACATGTACCCGAAGTTCACGTAAGGATCCGTATGGATAATGCGTGACTCTTGAGTCGCCGTACCACTGTACTTATGGTCATCGTGAAATGATACTGCACAAATACTGCACGTCGATGCTTCTGGAAGGTTTGTGGGCCAACATGATGACGCGTGTACACCAGTCAGTCCTGGGACGACCATATAAACCGACAGGCGTCTGTCCCAGTAAGACTCGACGATATCCGCTCTCGTGTCTTGCCATATGATTGGACGCCTTTTGCCTGAGAAGGTCGCGGTGTCTTCCCCGAAGGACCCAATTACTTGCGCTCCGTCGCTCGTCACCCTGACTTAGTCATCAAATATGCCTTGTTGGGTTGCAGCCGATCACATCTTGAAAGAGACGGCGAGAAGGTGTCAATACAAAGGCGAAGTAGACAACTCAAGGCAACTCACTTGTGAGCTCCGCTACGAAGCCAGACTGCGTGCTCAAGCAATAGACGTGCGCACGGCCGTGACGGAACGTCTGATCAACGTGGACAATTGACGTCAAGGTTAAGTTGCACGATGAGGACGTTTTGCGGCTACAGTCGGGCAGCATGGGAGGTGCACTTTGCGGTGACACCAACAGCGAAGGTCGTATGATAACTGGAGTCGCCTCTCGAAGTAGGGAGCTCGTTGGGAGCCCAAACAAACCTAGTAATCCACGTGCTGGGATGTATGTAAAGTTGATAGTAATATCGGGCAACCGCGCTCCAAGCCTAGCCCCAGTCCGCACTCGCTCTGCAATCACAGGCGGAATACCTCGATGGCATGGTTCGCTGGACGCACACGATGGAGTGAGGTGACTGATGCAACTGGAATGAGCTCACTGTGGAAAGAATCACAATCCTCTGCTCCAGGATACGCGTCCAAACATAAAAAGGGCCTGTGCCCTCAGCGCTCTTTCGCGGACCGTGGTCTACCGTCGCCCTGTCCGCTACGGCCGGGGTTAGCGAGACCGCATTAAGACAGCAGGTTGTACGTTACTAAGCGCGAGTCTTGAACCGGGGCGGCCTGGTCCGACATCAACAAGCCAGAACGGGAAAGAGCAGCACGGTATCGCCTGAGGAATACACTGAGAATATGCTGAAGTCGGCTCGATGTACAGTTTGAACATATCGATATTGCAATGGTGGGGCGCCGCAGCGCACCCGACGAATCGGATGATGCGTCGTATTTTCAGCCAAGTCTATTTCGTCCTGCGCCTTTGAAACACAGAGGCGGAGTTCGTCGGGATGACCCGACAGCCAGGCACCTTGACCACAGTGGCCCAGGATGAGCGGCACAGTGCACGGATCACTGAACACTGACGACCTCCGCTCCTATACGCCCTTTTTGCGCGGGCCCGGCGATGTGGACTCAGCTGTAAGACGAGCATCTGGGTTGCGGCTCTGGCGAGCCAAATCTCCGGGCGGCGGCCGTTTGCTGTGGTGGGAATTGTAGGACCGCCAACGACAGGTGAGATCCTCAAAAACCACGTCACGGTTAGGGGAACGGTGGGGAGGGTGTGACTGACACTGCGCAATGAGGCCTTGAGGCCTTGAGGCCTGAGGGACCGTCTTGCCAAGTTGCGTATGCGCGCTCGGAGTCGAAGCCTGGGGCTGCCAGGTCACGAGGAAGTTGAGTCTGGGAGGTGTGCTGATTTACTGAAAGGAGGAGGCGGCTCCGGTTCTGGTTGAGCGGTTGTCTTCTATGCGTCCTCGTTCCGACATGCGCGAAGTTGTCGTGGACTGTTTGTCCAGATGGTGCCCGGGAACGTGGAAGGCAGCTCGAAGCGCCCCATGCGTTGAATCTGGTAGATCCAAGGTATCTACAGATTCCTTGGAAGGCCAACGCATGCGGTGATCCGAGTCCTGGTGGCCTTGCATTCTGGAAGCAGACTACCTTCAGTAGCACCACCAGACACGCAGAGTAAGTCGCACGATCCCATACTGCGTATTTATGTGAAGGTTCGGGGTCATCGGCAGTTCTAGCGCGTCACTTCGATGCACGCTGGGCGTGCTAGAGAAGTACCAGATCGCAGCGGGCTCGAAGAAATGTCAGCACGGGAAAGTCTCACTTTATTGTGTATCTTGCTCGACATTCGAGATACTGACGTGCTGGTTGCAGGGCCCGGGGGACTTCGTGGCAGAGAGGATATCCTGCATATTGGCTGCGGTGATTCTCGGTCGGCTCTTGAATATTCGTATAGATGGCACATATAGACGGCACCCAAAGACCTAAGATCGATAGGGCCCAGGAAAAGGAATTTCAGTCACGATACGTAAAGGATGCCTCACGATGGTAAGGCGGCACGTCGATATCTACATGCCTGGATCTTGAGATCCACCTTTGGCGGCACAACGCTTCGCATTGTGTTGTCCGTCTCAAAGAGCTTGTCGCTTGAATGCACGACCATTAGACGAATCCCAATACTCGCTTTCCTCCTACGTACGTACGTGCTCAGTGTCGGAGATCAACCAGACTCACTCATTCGACAAAGTGTGATAATAGGAGGGCCTTCCAACGACGCGTATGCTGGACGACACCTGCTGAGCACATGGCCGACCACATCGCAGGGGTTTTGAATCAAGCGATTTGGTCCCCGACCTTTGGGCACAAGGGGATAATGTTCTGTATGGCTGGTATGAGTCGTACGACCAGCGGCCCCCGTCCAGGGCATGAGGATCAGTATTCGATGGACTGATGGACTGTTGATCGGGAGACTCACCCACAGGCCTCAACAACACTGCGATGTTTGCCACCATGAATGTGGGTCCGAAACAGTCTATGTCGAAGGTGAGGTCGGTCACTGCACACTGATCACCGCTCACGATCGCTTACGCAGAGGAAATCGTTGCATACAAAGGCATCATGGTGCCCAAGACACTCGCGCCTTGGATGGATCTACTCCGACATCGTGGGCACACAATGAGCGCCCACAATAGTGAACAGCGGTGGATATACGCGTACACATCATTGTACGATTGGGGAGGACTGGCCGGGCCAGCGGGGTCGTGGCCGAGGCAGGTGCTTCCTGCTGCGTACTGCTCCAGGGTATCACTCGCTCCCCGTGTGCCAGGCGGGCTGCCATCGCGATTGGCTGGCCAATCTGTAGGGTGGGGGCGGGGTTGGTCTACGCCTGCGGCGGCCCAGCTTCTCTGGGAGTCCCGCCACTCGAGGATCACCTTCTCCCGCCCGGCCCTTGCCGCTGCCCCAGTCGCGGCGCTCTGTCGTCTCCCGCAACAGCCATCGCATTCGCGCTGCTTTTCAGCGGCCGCCTCAGCCTTCTAGCCGCCAGTTCGACTCGGGGCGCCTACACCGTCTGCGCAGGAGTCTGAGGCTCACAGCCGCATAGACATCTAAACCTGACGGCGAGAGGTGACTTGTTCTATGCTTTCATGTGGTATCAAGTCATGCGCACAACGACGGGAGGACGGCTCGGATCTGGTCCGGCCGCGGCGAGTTGGCTTTCTGTGCGAGTCGCCGCTGACCACCATTTTTTCCTGGCGCCGATCTCTCTCCCCTACCCACGTCCTGGGGTCTGCTCAGCCGTATTCACCGCCCAGGCATCCTTCGAATGCAGCCCAGATCGCGATAGGACGGTAGGCTCGGGTCTGACGGTTCCATGGGCCTCATGACAACCCAAGACTACATGGCCTTTCCATGGATCCCTAACTTCCACAATACCCTGTCGCCGTTTACGTGCTATCATCTCCAGACGCATTGTCGCGAGTCGTCCTATTCGAGGCGCCAGGCTATCGGTTTGGTGCGTCAACGTGGAGGCCGTCGAAGGTTGAGAGGCAGAGTGTAAGGGCGGCTCCAATCTCCGTGACCATCTCTCCGCGAGGGCTCTCTGATTAGTATGGCTCTCATGATCAAGAGGGTTTATGCAAGCTCTATAGAATGTACGTTGTCTGTGGAAATGATTTCTGCTACGGATCGTCCTTGCCGTTCGAATTCTTCACTCTTTCGACTACTCATCTACTCCACTGTTCTCCGCTCCCGAGCCGTCCGAATCACTGTGTCCATTGGCACCCTCTACCACTGTCGCCGGAGTAACTCCGCGGCATGCGTCGCAATCACCACGGTCCCTCTCCATCACGAGATGCTGGTCGACTAACATTCTGCGCGGACGTTGTCAGCAGGCGATCATGCCCTGCGATCTCAGGCTCCTCTTACTCTTGGTCGCATTCGGCAAGGCAGTTGTGCTCAAAACTCTTGTGACGTGCGCTGATTTTGCACACCGACCTATTGCAGTCAAGCTGTGCTAACCTTTGTCACCATTGCTATACGTAGCGTCCAACAGGTGGTACTCACGTAGTGTCTTCTGGTGGGGACATGGTGCCCACACCGGAATTCGCAGTACGTGATCAGATAGTAGCACATTGTCGGGCTAGAAGGTGGGCAGGAGCTTGAGGGGGAGTCCATGGGCTCAGCAGCGTACCTTATATAACTGTGTCGGCTTTCGAATGCGGATGGTATCCCATTGGGCTGGGCTGCGGACACTCGCATTGAGTTCACAGACATCTACGTACCTATTAATTGAAGCTTGAGCCAGCTGCCCGGGTATGTCACAGGTATCTCGCCCCTCCAGTCCCACTTCATTTGACGGAGCCTCCTTCGGTGCTTCTAGGTAGTATCGATTCATCATGAAGCAAATCGCTCGCCCCGATACGCTGGTTGGCGCTCAATACTTGTCCTAGCAAAAGGACTATGGTTTCCTTCCTCGAAGGTATTATCCCTTTATGCAAGTACTCTTCCTGTGTGCGCTTGCGCATCAAACCCTCATTGGTTTCATTGCTAGGTAGGCGCCTACCAGGTGACTGCTGTATCAAGGCTAAGACGCGCAGGTCCGGTTTTATCGAATTCATTTGCTCGCGGAGGCAGTTCAACAACCCACAGATGGTAACAGCCACACTTGCATTGTAAGTAGTTCACCATAGTACCACGCACGCTGAACACGATTGGCAGTAGAATTTCTTTTGATATGGACGGCACAGTCAATATGAATCCGGTGCCAAACGCTGGCTGGAGGCAATGCATTTATGTGCTATACGGTGCGCTCTGAACAGACCACATGGATGACGGCCCATAGCGGCTATGTTGAACTATGTGTCATATGTCGTCCGGGCCTCCACGGGTCACTCAGTGCATTGTCACCTTTTCCCGTCATCTTTGCCAACAAGCGCCATTCGTCGGACTGAGCGGGTCATGATTGCCACATATTATTTGCGGACGCCGCAGCGAACCCAAAATACGGCTGAATCTGATAGAATTTTCCTACTTTCACATTTGCAAGGAGCAGTATAATTGTAAGAGGTAGTGTCGAGACTGGTGAGCACCGTAATCCGAGTCGGTCGCCGCTTAAGCGTCGTCGGCTCATGGCTAAATGGATGCCTCCCCCTCCTCCTGCCCGCCACTGAATACTGAATGCTGGGTATAATTGTCGAGAACTTGAGCGACCGACACTTTGGCTCAGGCGTGGTAAGCGCTTGGTGATCGTTAGGCAGCGAGGTGCGTCATTATTGCGAGCCAACTTGAAAACGGATAGCGGGGCCATCACAGATATATTAACAGGGCGCGAATCATCCCGTCTGGACGCCGTGGTGAACGTTTGAACGTTGGGCGATGAGCAAGCCTTCGAAGTCGCTTGACGGCGGCCTTGCGTTGGTGCAGTGGACGAGTTCGCGGCCTCATGCTGGGTCGTTTGAGACCTATTCGAGGCCTAGCTTCGAAGCTTGACATAAACGGTCGTCGCCGTGCGGAAAATTCAACCAACTCTCCTCGGAATGCGCCGACATGCCAACAGGTTGGTGAGTGACCTTCGCTGGGCTGTTTCGATTTCCCATACGATGGTGTGCGACAATCAACTTGGGGCCGGTTCCGAGTTGACGGGCCAGACAGTGACGTCGCGACCTACGGGTTCCGAAAGAGGCGCAGGATCATTTCGCATTCCAGCACACGGCTGGTAGCGCTTAAACCCGTCTCTAGCGGGTATAGCGGGTGAATGCCCTTGCGGTGCACGTCGACCACACGTTGGGCTTGGGCGGAGCGCCCAGGTGCATACCCCTTCCGAATAGACCTACACGCGGAGAATCCTAGACATCTGGTGATGAGTGTTGGAAGCAGCCCCTGCGGGCGAACTCACTGGATTAGGCGGCGCACATCGTGGTGGTACTGTCAGTCTTTAGTCAGTCTGCTCCGGACCACCATCTATTAATCGATGAACCATACGTGCCGCAGGACGCCCAGTACGTGAGGGCGCATCGACTGACCGAAATGACTACAAAAGCCCATGCGATGAGCGCAAGCATGGACGAACTTGAATAAGGGCTCCTGGTGGCGTTAGTTACTGAACATTGACGGTTCGTATACGCAAGGTAGAACGGAAACAAGGCAGGAATGTGAATTGATGACGAATTTATGTCAAGGCGAGCCATTGGCAGGCTACCGTGTGAATTGACAGTTAGTCTGTGAGTGATGCAGGCGATGCAAAGAACTCACGAAACGAAGTAGCATGATTGATATTGACCTGAGCACGTAGATGCTTCGCGGGAACACAACGAAGCTCTGAGGTGTAGTGTGACACGGTCAGAGTGTCTGGAGCCTGGCGCGTCGGGCGGCTGTGTCCGGATCGTCGCCAGGACCACCTGAGTCCAGAACGTCATGGTGCGCCCAGCTTTTGTATACTGCGCGCGGAATATATATACTGAGGCGTTACCCACAGATCCTGATTCTCATCTTTGCCGAGGTCTTGGGTCGAACGCCTGACTGCGGAAAAGGTAGTAGACGTTTATCTGCGTTCTTTTGGGTCACCAACACAGGAAAATCCCAAGGTGTTATATGATAGGCGAAGTAGTGGTGCGAACGGCATGAATATTCGGAGAGGCGACCTGCGCAGTTGTGGTTCACACTCGAGGTAAGGAGCGCTCTACTAAATCACGGCCCACCGACATACTATATCGGGCCGGGATCTCGGCGAACACCCTGCTCAGCCACCCCATGCATTGTTCAACAATGGCCGCCGGCTAGATGATTTGGGTGGGAATTACGACGTCGTATTCGTCTCAATTGTAGCTATCGACTCGTACCCTCACTATGAGAAACGGATCAATTTTGCCTTTGAGACGATTGACCGTGACCGAGCGAGTAGCCGACCGGGCACGCTGACCTCCGAGGCAGGCTGCTTAGTCAGCATACACATCAATTCAAGCCGATGACAATAGTACAGTTCGTCGACCATAGCTCGGAAAGTAAATCTGATCCGAAATTTCATGCAGCCTACTGTAAAAAAACTGTCTCCCGAACGGAGTAAGTTTTAATTGAGGTGTTCAACGAAAGGAGCCTTATTTACATATTTTCACCCGCCAGAACTGGTGTAGGGGTGCACGTGATGGTACAGGTTTTGAATGCGGCCTATCGTACCTCCGTATAGACCAGACCGTAAGACCGCCAACGACAGCTCAAGCGAGCCCTCAGTGAGGCCTGAGGCTCAGTGAGGGATCGTCTTGCGTGCGGCGCTCGAAGCCCCGCCATGAAGGAGTCGCTCGGGACTCCGAGGGAGAGGTGTGACCTTCGATTCAGCAGTTCGGGAACCTGGGTGAGCCGTTGCCTTTGCATTTGTGCGTCGCCTCGTTCCGATTTGCGGGAGTTTGTCTGGCTGCGTATTGGTGCCCGCTCGGGGCTCCACCAGCTTCCCGAAGCGTCCCGTGCGATGCATGACTGGTGCCGAGCTAGATGGTGGGTGAGACCCGCGCGCAGGCCAACACATGTGGTGGTCCCGAGCCTGTTGGTAGTGGCACCGTTGGAACACACATAGTAAGTCGCACGATCCCATGCTGCGCGTAAAGCTTCGGGACCGCCGGCGGCTCTAGACCTCTAGCAGATCGCAGTGAGCTCGAAGAAACGTTGACACGACGGACTCTCCCTTTCTTGCGTATTTCACTTGCCATTCGTAGATCCCAGAAGGATACTGACGTGCTGCTTGCAGGGTTAGAAGCCATTGCCGCTCAAGCACGTCGATACATTGTTCACTGACTGCGGAGATCCACGGCGGCCCTCGTGAAGTCTGCACAGATGGCACGCAGAGACCTGAGCTATGACACATCAGTCAACGGTGGTAAACGGCGCAACTACATGCCTATGTCCTCTCTTGGCGGCACAACATTTCGCCGGCCGTTCAAACCCTTCTTATTAAAGTAGCTTGTCGCTCGCTACAGCACGATCAATGGGCGAACCCAACGCTCACTTTCCTCGTCTGTACGTGCTCAGTGCCAGGGATTAACTAGACTCACTCATCAGACAGGGTACAGCAATAGGAATGGCTCCAACGCGCACACGTCGGACGACGCCCAAAGCCCTGGGCCCATCTGGAGTCTGAACCGGGCCCGACCTTTGGGCGCAGCGAGCTGCAGCTGTGTTTGGTGGTATGCGCCGTACGACCGGTCGCCGATGGCCCACGTAGCGTCCAGGGCATAAAGATCAGCCATCGACGGACCAGTGGACTGTAGGTCGCGAAACTCACTGCAGAGGTACGGACTTCAACCTAGATCAGTCAGACAGTCTATCGCTGCAGACAGACGTCGGGATGCCGAAGATACATCCGCCTGGTTAGGCCTGCTCAGGGTCTACCCCGATGTTGTGGGTGCACGACGAGCACCCACGACAGTGTGGAGAGGGTCTCGCCAGCAGGGTCGTGGTCAAGGACGTACTGCTCCCTGGAGTTCGGTGCCGCTCGTCTCCAGTATGCCAGCAGTGGCTGCCGTCGCGGATTGGTTGGCCAATCTGTGGGACGGGGGCGGGGTCGGCCCACGCTTGGCCCACGCCTCTGCGGCCCAACAATACACCGCTTCTCGCAAAATCCGGCGACGCGAGACCCCCCAGCTCTCGCCCAGCCTTGCTGCTGTTCTCCTCGTCGCCCTCCCCCTCGCCTGTCGCGTCTCGCAACGTTGATCGTCCTCCTTCTGCACTCTAGCCACGGTCTCAGCCGTTTTGCCGCAAGTTCGACTCGGGGGCGCCCTCGCCATCGACGCTGCAGAGGTCATCGAGAGACAGAGTGTTGTGACATCTCCAATGCCCGTGAGTATTTTTCAGCGAGAGCTCTCCAATTGGTCTGGCTTCTACAATGAACGGACTGCACGCTACAGGATCCGAAAATGCTTTCTGCTAGGTATCGTCCCCGCCGTTGGGTTTCTGCGCTCCATCGACTACTCATCTATTCCACTGCTCTCCCCTTCCGAGCTGTCCGTATCATTGTGTCCATTGGCACGCTTTACCAATATTTCCGGAGCAACCCCGCGGCATGCGTCGCAATCACCGTGGCGCCTCTCCATCACGAGATGTTGGTCGACTAACATTCTGCGAGGACGTCGTTGGCAGGTGATCATGCGCTGCGATCTCTACTTACTCTTGGTCACATCCCCCAAGACAGTCGTGCTCGAAGGTCTTGTGGCGCACACTGATTTTGCACATCGTCCTATTGCAGTCGAGCTGTGCTGAACTTTGTCACCGTCGATACATGTGGCGTTCTACATGGGGTACTCACGTAGTGTCTTCTGGTGGGGACCTGATGCCCACACCGGAATTCGCAGTACGTGAACAGATAGTAGCACATCGTTGGCTATAAGATGTGAAGGAGTCTGAGGGAGGAGTCTGCGGGCTCCCGTATATAGCTGTGTAGGCTTTGAGGCGCGGATAGTATCTCGTCGGGTGGGCTGCGTGCATTCGCATTGAGTTCGCGTACTTATTAACTGGAGCTTGAGCCAACTGCTCGGGCATGATATAGATATCTAACCCCTCCAGTCGTCCCTCATTTCTCGGAGCATCAGCCAGCGCTTCGAGGCGATATCGATGCATCATGAAGCAGATCGCTCCCCCTCCTCCTGGTTGGCATTCGGATGCTTTGAAGGGAGGAGGGTTGCCCTCTGCGAAATCGGTGTCCATTCAGAGAGGTGCGTTTCCCGAAGGCACTGGCGCGTCAAAGCCTCACTAGTTTCATTGCTCGGTAGGTAACCACCAGATGACTACTGTACTAAGGCTATGACGCCGCAGATCATGTTTTATTAAAGCCATTTGCTCGCGGGGGCAAGCGCAGATGGCGACCACACTTGCGTTGTGAGCAATTCCTTATACTGCAAACGCTGGCACGATTGGTACTAGAATCCCTTATGACCTGAGACAGCCATGGTCATTACATTCCGTGCCAAGTGTTGGCCGAATGCGATCTACTCATGCGCTTTACGGTCACAATTGGCTACGTGGATGGCGGCCGTGAAGGCTATGTATGGCGACCGGGCCTCGACGGCTCATTAAGTGCACTGTCTCTTTCTACCATCACGTTTGCTGCATAATGTCATTAGTCAGATTGGATCGGACTATAGGACTGTTTCGCAGGCGCCGCAGTGGCCCAAGTTGTGTGCGGACTTGGTGATCGTCGTCGACGTCACTGTCGGTCGCCGCGTGAGCGTCCGCTGGGTGGCCTTCCTCCTTCCCGCTATCGAGCAGTTGAGTGGCCGACACTTTGGCTCAAGCACGCTTGGGAATTGGTATAGCGGGCGGCGTATTATTACGACGGGCCAAAATGTCGGAACTGACAACGAGGCCATCGCAGACAAGTCAGCAGGGCGAGGTAAACCTGGGTGGTCCGTCCCTCTTCCGCGATGCTTGTGCCTCAATGCTTCAACGTTGGACATGAAGCTTTGAAGCGCGCGGGACTCCGAAGCCCCTAGACGGCGGCCTTGCGTTGGCGCGGTTGGTGTCCCAGGTGTCGGTCTCCTCAGGGTGGACCTATTCGTGGCTTCGAATTCTCGACCACGAGTCACGACGAATGGACGCCGTCACCGTGGACAGAGGCCTACAGAGGCCGACCGACTCTCCGCGGGACCCTTCGACGCGTCGCCCCGTCGGTGCGAACGATCTTCACCGGGCTGGTCCTATTTTCCCATGAGTTTACGGTGTGTGACGATCGATTGTCGCAGTATAAGTACAGGGACAGACAGCCCAGGCGGCGCGCCAGGTTTACCCCTCGATTACTAGGTACACGGCTGGTAGTGTCGAACCGAGTCCCGTCTGTTGTGTCGATGCTTGTCGACCGGACGTTGGGCTCGGACCAGCAGCCTGTGTAGATCTCGTCCAAGGCTGCCCGTAGCCCGTAGCCATGTACGCGTCCTAGACTCATCTAAAGATGAGCGTCAAAACTAGTCCTCGCGCGAAGTGCTGACCTAGACGGCGTGCGGCTTGGTAGCACTGAGTCTTCTCCTGTCTTCTCATCCACCGAATGATAACTCTGTGTCGGCGCGGTAGCGTGCTATTCGCAGGCGTTACATATTAGTTGGTGGACTGAGGAGATGCGAAGCACTCACAAGTAGCGTAGAGTTCTAGATGCCACCTCCCGGCAACAAAACCGGTACGTGAGGTGCAGTATAATCTCAAAAGTGCCGCTTGTGCCTTTGGTGGCGGGTTTCGGATCGTCGCCAGGGCCATCTGACTGCTGACGAGGCACTATGAAGCGCTATCTGCGTTCTAGTGGACCACTGACTCTCCCAGGAAGTGCGAGGGAGACGCCCGAGGCGAAGTAGTGGTGCGAATGTCGGCATGTTACTTGGAGCAGTCCTGGAGTCGTGACGCATGGTGAGCTCGAGCAACACCCCGAGTCTCGCACCACAGGCGGAACTAGGCCACTACGATACACTCGTTGATATCTCAACACGTAGTAGTGCTAAACGGTTATCATTGATATAGTTGCACCACCTGGCACTTGGCTCAAGGTTTGGCTGCATGGCTGCCAGCGAACTCAAAATATCAGCATCCACAAATTACCGGTACCATGAGCACCTAGTAAAGCTCGAAGCTATCACTTATATAAAGGCCGAAGTTCATACGGAGTGCCCTCCCACTTGCATCCGCTTCCTACCCGCGCCACGATGTGCTATCACCTATTCACGTATCGCCAGTACGACTGTGGGCACCAGGTCCCGACGAGGAGACACTACGTACGTTCCCCGCATACGTCCCAGCAACCGGCAGGATGACTGAACTCGCATAGATCGATTGTAACATGACCATCTGCATAATAAGTGTGCGCCACAAGACGATTGAGCACGACTGCGTCAGCGAGTGTGCACAGGCGTAAGTGAGCGGCGCGATGTCTGAGCCGCATGCCGATGACGCCTCGACGCAGGATGTTGCCCGATCAGCATCTTGTCATGGAAAGATATCTCGGCATTTGCGATGCATGTGGCGGAGAGACTCAGCCTGCTGCACGACACCACGTCAATGGCAGCAATGGCCATACTGATTTGGGAGAGGAGTCAAGCGAGGGGGAGACGTAGTCATTGAACGACGCGTTTGGATTAGAGCGAACGGTGGTTGATGGTAGGAGAGTGCCTGGCAGACATCGAGTGTAGCGTACAGCGAAATGGCAATCCGCAATCGAACGAAATTTGAACGACCACCTTGTGCTGGCCAGCGATAATTTAAGCAAGGTGTTTCCGCTACCCATGCGGGCAGAGACATCCGTGGAGGACTGCTTACGAAAATTCGAGGGGTCCCTCCCCGACATCCCACCACGCCTCCAATGATATGATGATGCCCAGAACCACGATCCGGGCTGACAGCGGGGTCTCTTTAGTCAACTGCGCGGAAAGGAAAGGCGGTAGTCCCGAATGCAGTCGGATAGAAGCTGCGGAGGTTCGCCTTCCCAGTAGAGAGTGGGAGAGCAGGATCCAAACAAGCAGTGGGAGTGCTGGCTGTGATGATACTACCGCCAGGAAGCGCATGGAGGCAATCTAAGCATGGAACGCCGGCCTGGAGTCAGATATCCTATCGTGGTTGCAGCTGTGTCCGAGGGCTGCCAGCTGATGGACTAGGCTAGAACGTCCCCAGAAAGTGGGTGGCAGGGACAAGCGACCGCGCAGAGAGCAGTGCGGGGAGAGACAAGGGGTGGCCGCTGGCAGGCACCATGCCAGCCAACCCGCTGCGTTGCGCTGTTACCAAAACCGAGTCCGAGCCATTCTCGGCTCATCCTCCAGTCGTCGTCGTGCGCCTGGGGACTCTACGACCATCGGTCAGGTCCGGTTGAAGCCCTGTACGACCGCGACTGGAACACTGGTCGGCGTTGGTGACAGAGGGAGTAGCGGTCCCGTCGATGCGAAGATCGAGACGATCGCGACGGCCAGCGACGTTGAGCGCGATGACGGCGAGAACAGAGAGAGAGTGGGCATTTCAGTCCGAGGGGTGGGAGGAACGGTAGATGGCGGGGCCTCAGGCCGCCAGGCCGCCCCCGACTGGTTGGCCAGCCAATCCATCCCCGGCTAGTCGCCCTTCTCGTCCTATCTTGCGTCCACGACCATCAATACCGAACGCCACCAAGACGCATGTCTCTGACCCCGCATGAGTTCGCCATCCTGGACTTCCTCAGTCGTTCCAGTCGGTCGATGCGGTCTCGACTTACCCGTGCGCCCTCTGAGTCATCCGAGTCGCTCCTCGTATGCCAACGAGGGGTACGCAAGGTAAGCCTGTGTTCGACTAGTGTCACCGTTCCAATACCTGCATCGTGGTCTGCAGCGACGGAGCAGTACAGAGTACGGTGAGTCGGTGGTCGCGAGCTTACCTCCAATACATACCGTCTCTGATCCTTGCTCACTGGCATGGCGAACAACCTATGCACAGTGCTTGCAACCCCCAATAGCCCACGAATCTGTGTTCCGAACGCCGGCGGGTAATGCAGAATTTGAATCATCGGCGAGTATTGCCCTATTAGAGTCTGGATCCCAACCGGAGCGTTGTTGGCGGCAGCTGAGATGATCCACTCCACAGGCATGCATTCTTCGTTTCGTTTCGCAGGAGGGTACGACCGATCAAGTTGCTGAATTTCCACAACTGCTTGCGGCCGGCGGGAAGACGGTGTGCTGTCCAGGTGTCTATCATCATAGGTGTCCTTGGAAGGTTGGGTCCTATCTGCTACACCGTTGAGCCTGCGATCCACGATCGGAGGTGAGGACGTACTGCGCGGGGTCAAAAACGCTGAGCTGCGTTGGCTTGTCGTCGTGTCCAGGACGCACAGCCGGATCATATCTGACGAGTTTGGCCCGGTGCAAGTTTGTACCGCGTCAATGCACAGCTGTACACCAGGCGCGTAGTTGTGCCGTTTCCGCTTCCAGGGATGCTGGACTGACGTATTCAGGCGATTCTCGAAGAGTTGTTTACGCGGAGGCGTTTGACAGGAACATCTGAGTTGCCAGCGGGCTCGGAATATAGTCATCAAGCATGGTACAACCAGTTAATGGCCTGCAACTGCGACATGTCGACGTACATCTGCAAGGAAACACCCATGGCGAAGGTATCGCGTATCAATCGCCGGCGTCCCTGGTCTTCGTTTCAAGGATCCTCCCCCAATCGCGGGTGTTAGTATACTGCTGCGGTATGCCGAGGCCCGTGATAGTGGCCCCGAGAGGCAATCTTATGGGGCCTAATGCGTCCACAGCGCATCGTTCTCGGGCACCACTTGGACAAACAGCCCACGACAAGCCCACGCTGCCGCTGAGAGACTTACAACTCCCAGAACCTGCCTCGCCCATGGTCTTCGACCTCATGCTATGCTCTCCCGCTCGCGCGCGCCGCAAGACCTGGAATCTGGATCGCGCGCTACGCTGGCTTCAATCTTGGCCTTTCGCTGTGTCGGGCTACCACAACGGCCCCTCGGCGACGTGGAGGAGTCGAAGAGATCTTACTGGAAAAGATCACTGGCAAGTCAAACAGACTCAGAGCGACAGTTCAGTGCGTGTTACAACGGACGCTGGCAGCTGCCGCAGCGCTAGCTGGGGATTCGGCTCGCAGCCCCGAGCTCCAGTGGTTGCCCGAATGCCCATCTACGTCTACTTACCCTCAATGGTCGCTACTCGTGCTTCTTGAACAATTTTGATATCCACCTCATCTCGGCTACAAGTCCTCTTTCCTCACAATGCAACGACACCTCGTCGACACTACAACCCCAGCATACCCAGCATTCGGTCTTCTGATGCGTACAAACGGCCCCTTTCAATGGATCACACCTCTCGCTGCTATTCTTGCCGGATGACCTGCCTCGGCCACACTTCGCCAAACGTACCGGCACAAGTTAACAACTCGATGTAATATTGACAACCCACAGTCGAACACGGACGATGATGGACCGCATTGGAGGGCTCTCAGGGTTGCGAACTGTCTCCAAGGATCACCGATGGTCTTGTGTTGTACATTCAGATTCGCTGGGACCAAACGGGCTATCAAGTGCGCTCACACTCAAACGCGCTGTTCAACCTTGCTACCGGCTCACAAGTGCGTTCGTAGTTTTCGCTTGCCAAGTTGACCGACGCTCACTAGAAGCAAGAGGCAACGGGACATTCTTTCGTCCATCGGAGATCCCGCCGCGTCTGGGCGAGCGCGACGTCAGACATTTCACGACAATAGACAATATGGGACCTGGTACACTTCATGGCGAGTCTCGTGTCCATCTATGGTGCTCGTACTCCGGGTTGTCCCCGGGATGCTGCAAACGTGCGCCTGTACATCTGATTCCTGACCAACCGACAATAATCAGGTTACGTTCGCTTATAGGTACTCATGGGCTCCTCGATCCTGACGTTGAATTCTTCCAAGTGTCCCATCAAATCACGAACTCTCGAATCACTGTCATTTTTACCACCAGCACTGGTGTCAGTCTCGTCAATCATACTGTCTGCGATCGACGCGGCCCGACAGAATACTCAGTCAGAGCCCAGAAACGCACCGTTGATACGCTAGCTGTGACTGACTAGGGATCGGCCGATCTAGACGACCGATGTTATACATCTCCACAGGTACAGTATAAAGGACCACTATAAAAAACGACCAATAACGTACAGTCACAAGGGACGAGTGGTACTCACGGACTCCGCGGTCTGCAGAGCCCAAGATTGGATCTCCTCCATGGGAAGCTGGTCCCATCTTGCCTGGATCTGCCCAAGATATAAACGTGCATTGAGCGAAGAACGGAGGGGGGACAGACCTCTGCTAACAAATCTAGTAATTGCGACACCTCTGTGTCAACCTCTTCACGTGCCTGCATGTTCCTCTGCATCTGGCTTTGCAGCCGCCTGTTCTCCGTATCGAGCTCCAACGAAAGATAAATCCTGCAGTAGCCATGCAACGTAAACAGCAGACATACTGATTGCAGTTCAGCACGGAGACGGTCCCGCTCCTTGTCCAGCAGGGGAATAGTGCGTGCGCGGACAGCTGCGCTGGGGTGAAGGTCTTCTCGCCATACGTCCCTCCCGTCATATCCAGCTTGTTTCTTCGCACGAGACTCTGTCACGACCGCGTGCAGGCTGTCGAGGTTCTCCCGGACGTTGTACTGCTTCAGCAGTTGCTCGCAGCTTTCCTACGATCGGTCAGCTTGTGGGGGCGCATAGGTGAAACAACTCACAGTGATTGAGTCCTCCATGTGCCTCGAGACCGTTGTGAAGATGCGCGGAGCATTCTCCGGCTGCTCTTCGCACCAGATCGCGAAGCATTCCGTGAAATCCTCGTACCTACCACGAAGCGAATATTAATGTTGTGAGTGAGCATGTCATTTGCCGAAGGAAGAGTGCTCACGTCCATTTGTGCGCGGCCCGCTGTATGGCTAGTTGTAGGGCAGAGTGGAAGTAGGACCATCGCTTGCTCGCCGGCTGCGACTGCGAAGACGCGTTCGCTTCGGTCGACATGGTCGCGTCCCGGGAGCCGCGCACTTAGCGGAGTTTAAAACGGCGCGCTCTAAGCCTGGCGCGTCTGTGGCGTAGGCGCTTCCGCCCTCCTCCTCTCCTCACAAGTTCTACGCCTGGCAGACCCTCCAGCGTCCTCGCCGCAGTACGTCTCACGAAAGTCACTTCTCTGGACTCAAATTGAGCGCAGCCGCACACTTCGGTAGATCGGTCTCAATGTCAACGGGCACTACGGAACCCAGTGTCGAGCCGACGTCGCACCGTCTGAAGCTGAAGACGCGGCCTACGGCTTCGGCGGTCCTCTGGGGCCATCTTCTGTCCAGCAAAGATGCATCACAGACAGCATCCAGCACCCGCTATTCTGATGTATCTTCCTGCTCCCCACTCTCCGGTATCACTCCTGTGGACAAAACCGGGTCATCCTTGCGTATCCTCCTTCACGACACCCAGGCGAATCTGGAGAAATTCTCGGATCGGGTGACCAAGCTGACTGGAGATATCAACGAGAGCAAACGCGAAATTGGTGTGGTAAAAGAGCTCTTGCAAACCGATCACGAGAAGGTTATAGAACAGATGGTTGAGTTAGGTTAGTGAATGCGCAAGTATCAGAACATCGCGTATTCCTCTCACCAGCTCAGTGTTCGAGCACACTCAGAAGCTTCGCAATGCTCATTTACGCAGTTAATAGATGCCAGTCAGAGATCCAGCGCGCCATCGGCGTCCCTGCCCAAGCAGCGAAAATACACGATGTGCGGGCGGATCTCACCAGGGCCGATACCAGACTCACAGCGCTGGAGAGTAAGATGTATATGTTGCAAGTGGTATGTCGATTCCCGAGATACGGACGCATATATGCAGCTGACTTCCCTCCGAAGATCAACCAAACCCAGTTGCAGGCCCTCCAGACGGTTCAAGACCAACAAGGGAAGATAATAGCTGCTATCTCGCCTGTGTTGCCTTTACTGCAAGCCATCCCCCTCCATATCGATAACTCTAGGAGAGAGCTCTTGGACGGCTTCCGCGACCTGCGCTCAATGTATGCAACCGCCAATGCCCAAAGCGTCATCCTTAACCCTCCACCAGCATCAGCGGTTCCTCAGTACCCACGTGGTCCCTTATTCGCGGGCTCATCTCCGGCGAACCAGAGTGATTCTGGAAGACACAAGAAGCGCAAGCTGGCCGATGAGCGGACACCCGACGGTCCTGCACTCCGCATTGACGCCATTAACAGGCTTCCAGATCCTTCGTGCACTACTGCTACTGCTGAATATCCACCACAGGATCCGCGTCCTACTGCGAATGGTCAAACACCTCGTCGCCTTGTCTCAGGCCAACCTCCTGCCTCTCCTGACGTACCTTTACGTCTCGACCATCTGAAGCGGAATCCCTTTCGCACGCCCCACCGACCGCCTCCGGTGAACCTGCTTCCGCCGAATGCTGTCCCTCGTACATCTGATTCGGCTCTGTCATCTGCTGCTCGCCGTGACGTCTCTAGCCATACCATTCTTAATGGCGCTGTCCTGGGATCTGCCGCAAACAACGCTCGGTCACCTGTCGACATGCTGCAGTTTGGCGTCGGTGCTTCACGTAATGCGTCGAAACCTCCACCTCCGGTCCAGGGGACGCCGAAGAACGCCAACTCGTTGGCGTCGACCACCAGCACGCTCTCTCAGACTTCTGTCGCGCAACCGGATCGTGCAGGAACACCGTCAATAAGAGGTGGTGTCGCGAACTCGACCGATGTACGCGGATCTAGGATGCAGACAAGCCCCGCGACACTACGAACGGGGGTTCAAGGCAGCTCTTCTACCATCAAGCTTCCTGACGCTCGTCTGGCCACGTATCCCGATGCTGTACCTGTTACTCCTGCTCGATCTGGCCTTCAGCCTCGGCTGGATGTTTCTATTCTACGCACCTCTGCGAATTCTCTCGGTACGAACGTAGGCAAGCCGATGAGCATCAAGGATGTGAGAGCGCTAAATGCTACACCGGCATTCGTGAGTCGTACGCGATAGTGTCCTCTGCAGAGCCTGATGATGTATTCCTTCCGTAGCGCAACGAAGAAAAGCGGTTCATACCGCTGGACGACGATGATGATGACGACCTGCTGGAGTAGTGATTTTTGTAAGATTCACTTTCGCGTCGTGCATTTGTCGACCTGTTCTGTCGTAGACTAACTGATGACAGTACGGTTGGCAGAGCATAGTCGTCATTCACTACACGCAAAAAATGTGGTGCTATCAATATATGTCGCTATGAATACATACATGTTGCAGGCTCAGTGAACCGCCCCGACTATTTGTTTCTTGATACCCTTTCTTGTCGGCGTGGCCTCGCCCTACGTAGACAGGATATGGCGCTACAGGCAAAGAGCGAGTTCGCGAATATTGTAATCAGTACTGGGTATTCGCTGACCCGACCACTGTCCTTCCACCGACGCCTATGACGGCGCACTTCGCATAATATCTGGCTAGTGCAAGACGCACGGTCTGCAACCGTTGGAGCGCATGCGCCTCTCCCCCTGTTTTGGTCGTTCGGGCGAGGATTGAGAGGTACTCATCCGCAGATCCTTGTGTGGACCGGATATGGATCTCCTCTAGACGGTGCAAGAGTAATGTCGCATCGACAGACGTGAACAGCATGGTTTCGTCTAAACAGCCTCGTCAGTCAAAGAGCGACGGACGAAGACATAGACTGAGACCCACTGCATTGCAGCAGCTCTACCGCATCCGAGAGCAAGACAGCCCACCACGATTTGGGCGCGATCTCTTCCTGCAGCATCGAGACAAGGTCGAACGCGGCTTTTTGCAGGTCGCCACTGAGCCGTCTGTGGTGGAACTCCGCAAAGCGCACGGCAAACATCAGCCGGAAGATGAAAATGCCATTCGCCTTCGACTCCGACCGCAGCGTCTGCAACGAGGGGGCGATCTTCGCTACTGATCGTGCGTATTGTTGTGGTCCTGGAGACAAATGGACGTCAGGGGCAGATATGCACAAGGACTGAGCGGCGTACCATGTGTGATGTAAACATCGAGCATGCGATCAACTGTACGGCCCAGTCCAGCCCAGTCCTCGGCAGAAACACAATAAGACACAGCCAAGCCGTACTCGTTCTCCCGCATGAACGTCTGCGCAGCGATTCTGCACACCATCCGCCGGACTGCCTCGCGCTTGTGCTCGTAGCAAGAGGCGTTCACCTCCTTCAGCACGCCTGCGAGGGTGCCGGAGCGTATTCGTGCGCTCTCTTCGTCTGCGTCCACGGCGCCTTTCGGAGGCTGCAGTTTGAGGGGCACTCTCATCAGCACCTCATCCGCCATCTGGTGTCCGATCACGCCGCAGGTGCACAGGTAGTCGACAGTGATCCGCCAGAGCCCAGGGTCCGAGCGCATGTATTCGCAGTAGGAGATGATGTAGTGTTCGCGCAGGGTCGATTCGGAACTGCGCAGCGACGTTAGCCGGAACGGTGGTACAGTCGCTTTCGGCGCAACTCACTCGTCGGGTTCCTTATCGACCAGGTCGAGCGACTCCATTATATCTCCGAGATGTGCGGCGAGCCAGACGTCAAGTCGCGCCGCCTCCGCAAGTACACTGGTCGGCTTGCCGAGGAACATCGCCGAGTGAACCACGTCTTCCAAGTTCGTCGGATCCGGCGGCATTTCATCCAGCAGATCGGAAACTATGTCACTATGCCAGGTCAGCCGGGGGGGCGTTAGTAGGCTAAAAGACAACAAGCGTGACGGCTTACGGAAGTTCTGCCCTGCGGATGCGCGTGTTCACGAAGACGCACCACACCGCACAAACCTCCTTCCAGTCTCCTCCGAGATCCACGCATACTCGCTTGACCACGTCTTCACGGCCCTCGAGAATGCCAACGATATCGTCGACTCGGCCCCACCAATTCTCGAAGCCGTCCTCTCGCGCGTCCTCCGGTACGCGATCCAGCTCGAGACGCACGCTCTTCACCTTATCACGCCAGCGACGCGCAGCGATTGCGAAGTCGCGCTCCGCGGTGAACTGATGTAGCCGAGGGTGGTTTGTGACGAGCGGTATGAGGTGTTTGGAGAGCTCTTGGAGGAAGGGAGATGGGTGGTTGGAGAGGACGTCGAGGAAAAATGCAGAGGCACGGGAGAGACCGCGAATGGTTGCTCTGAGGCAGACGTTAGAAGAGTGACGGCGTGAGGGCTCGGGAAATACTTCACCGAGTGAGGTACGGCCAAAATGTCTCATCTTCCCAAGGCCGCTCGAGGCTGCTCAGATGGTCACCTTCCTCGGTCGTCGGCTCTACGTAATGTACATTAAGCCATTCCATCAACTCGTCCCCCACGGGAACGTTCTCGTAGCCGGGCTCCGGCACGTAGAGCATGGAAAAGAGGGAAAAGCAGGTGTACAGCTTGCGGTAATGTTCGGCGCTGAACTGCAGAGGCTCTGTTGGAGGCAGATCACGCTGTAGACCACGCTGAGTAACCCCGAGCTCTGTATGTAGCAGTGTCTCTTACGGAGCAATACACACAACACTCTTTGCAGAAGTTGATGTAGTCGAGCGTCAGCTTGTTCATTGCTCGCGCACAGGTATCGTCTTCGGAGCTATGGCACAGCTATGAGAGGAAGGGCATGGGATATGGATTGACATACATATCCACGTTTCGCGCGCGAGCGTCGTTTCGTAGTTTCTGCACCGCGGCAAAGATGATAGATGTATCGGTGACGAACTACGAAGACAGTCAGCCCAAAGCGCGAGAGTCAAGGTATCGTAACATACAATGCGTCGTTCGGAGGTTGGGGCATCATGGGGTCTCGCGAGGTAGATGTTTCGCTGTGATGAGGACGACTTGCTCTCCCGAGGGTTTCGCGCATCTGCCTACACGATCCGTGGTGAGAAGTTATCTATACGAGGCTTAAGGCGACAGAGATACTACGTACACTCGCAGACGCAAATACGGCCACGGAGTCGTCGCGCGGCGAGGCACATAACGACAAGGTTTTGCCTGAACGCGCAAAGTCGTCGCTTCGGCCCTGTTCGAACAGTGGCGGTTGTAGCACTGGCATCCTGAAGCTTCTTCAGAGAATTTTGCTTGTTGATTCCAGGTGCCGGAAGACAGAAGGTTGTCCGAGAATGATGTGGCGACACAGACCAGACTGAAGTGAGATCACATTGAACGCGTCTGTAGCGCGTTCTAACGTGACCCCTTTCAGCTTGCTTACACTGGTTTATAGAACAGTTGTTTTCGTTAAATATGAACCAATCCCTGTTTGGCTTAATCTGACTCGCTGGGTGCGAGCCCTTCGTTCTTACATCATTATGCTTGAGGCCTGAGGGGGCTCATGCTTGCTGGCTCAGCGTATCTTCAGCGTCCTGGACCTACATGAGACTCCTCTGGTGGGTGGCTAGTCCGTTCCCGCAAGCGTTAACAATCGTCAGCAGCATCCGTGAATGTTTGCGTGGAGCAACACGATGCGCAGAAGTGTGTTGATTTCAAATGCGAGAAGATGACGAACTTAGGGCTCTGGAGGGCTCTGGAGGAGGAGGAGGAGGAGGAGGAGGAGGAGGGTATTCCATTTCTCGGCCATTTGTGCGCGGCGGACTTGTCCGCTTGCTCTGCTGTCATTCCCTAGACCAGTCCGCCCGGCGTGATATGGAAACAAAGATCCAACCTCGGTGGCGCACTGGAACTTATACTGTGTCGTCCATACTCTAGCAGATAAGGACTTTTGATGGGGAGGACGGTCTTCTATGTCGTCCATAGGTTGTGAGTGGATTATGACCGGTCTCATCACATGAGCGAGCCTGCATCGCCTCAGGCCAGCCCATACGCTGTCTCTGATGAGTTCACAGATCATTGTTGCCTCCGCATTCTGCGCCTGCCTACGCTTCACCCTACTCCTACCGCTGTTACTGATCCACGGCACTCAGAACCTACCCTCTATCCTCACGGGCTGCCGTTTCTGCCTCGGGTGATTGCGCCCACTCGCCGCCCCAAGTTCACGACTTTCACGGGTGAGACTCGGCGGGATGGTGTCTGCCCGACATAGTCTGACACTTTTCATGCTATACAGGGCACCCATAGTCAATCTGCCATCCGGATATCGCTCGCAGTGCAAAGCTAACGTAGTGCCGAGGTATGAAGACAAGCCACTGGAAGGCCATGCTCCGAAAGTGCGGGATGCTTCAGCGGCCCACATACTCAAGGTATGACTTCCCTCTGCTCTGGCGCCCGCCTCGAATGACATATCGACTTGCTTGGTCGACACAGTGATACCTATCCGATATTTCCGCAGGAACTGATCGACCGCATCTGCGAGTTCCTTCGGTACGATCCTTTCACACTGACGAGGTGCCGCCTCGTTCCACACTTGTTATCACGGATCGGCTCACATTGCGGACCCGAGAAGCCTTGGAAGAACAGCACGCATGCTCATGTCGAAAGGCAGCCGATCATACGGCAAGCGCTTTGTTTGGCTGGATATTTCGGAGGACCCTCGAGAGCCATTTGCACACATCTGGCCCATGCTCATCCCCGGGAGTCTTCTATCAATTGTCGGGGTGGATCTGAGCAACTGCAATTGGGCAGCTATTCTTCGACTTCCTCTCGTACACCAGTGTGACAACATTGAGAATCAGGCAGTGCCACTTTCAAAGTATAGCGGAACTCCGTAGGATTTCCAATGCACCACCGAGCCTCGAAAACCTGTATCTCTGGGACCCCACACGCCAGCACCCACTCGTGCCATATTCGGTGCCCCGCTACGCTCCCCTGTCCCACAACAAGCTGAAGACAATCGCTCTTCAGACTGTTTACTCAACTATCGAGTCGGGCGCTCACTTATGTGCCACGTACTCGTACGCAACGGAGCTAGCTGCGACAATGATCGACGGGATCCTTGTGCAGACGGCTTGTAAGGTCGGTTACCGCCCCGTCTAGCGTCTAGAAGTGTGAGTCGTCGTCTCGTTCAGGCATTAAAGGGTCAATGAACGGGCGACTGACCACCAGACTGTCGGCAACCTCTTCTTCACTACTCCTCATCAATCATCTCCACGTCATCATCGCTATCGTAGTTTCTCATGCGCGGCGTCTGCAAGCCACGGCAGGTATAACAGTTCTCGTCCTGCCTGTAGAGGCAAACAGCCCGGTCCGGAAGGCTCCTGTGCACCTATCAGGGCCCGCGCGCATCTGCTGCAGTACGGATGAACTCACATCTCCTTGCAATCCGCAGGGCATTTGTGAGTGCCTGGGCTGTGTAGCTGGCTCAGACGACACATGGTCATGTTGCAATCGATCTGCATGCAGGGGTGTTCGTAAGTAGTCACTTCAGACCGATAGCTATGCTCACGTAGTGCCTCTTGATGGCCCAACGATGTTTGCAGCCACCCTCAGTGAACGTTATGACATGATAGCACATTCTTCTCGATGAGCGTGCTGCAAGATCGTTTGTGAGGGCTGGGGCGATGCGGTCTGCGCTGGCGCGTCGGCTCCCTTATATGTCACAATCCCTCGAAGCCAGCGTCCGGGACCACGGCGACGGCCCCAAGCATGACTGCGCGCACGTTCCACTTGCCGTGCACCTTCTGTGCTCTACGGTCGTCATAAGAGCTCCCCTCGGGCAACGCAGTGTCTCTCAGAGCGCGCCGTTACCTTATTTGCGGTGCAGCAACTGCTAAGTGTAAGGAGTGACTAGTTGTTACTAGTCCTCGATAGAACGATATTGAATCATTTAGTATGTTCACGACCTCTATGGTATGTTATCGAAGGCTATGGAATATTCGAGAGTACTCGTGAAGATACAGAGTAGCTTACCAATGCGAGGATCGCTGCGAGTATATAGGAAGGCCGAAACACTCGCAGACGACACGCTTTGCTGGTCAAACGTCTACCCCTCTCGTCTCGCCTCTTGCCTCTCTCTGTACCATCTACTGTACACCTGTACCCGTAGATAGTACATCCAACTCCTTTCTCCCTTTCTCCCTTCTCTCGCCCTCCTCGTCGGCCTGATCACCCGTCGAGCCCTTACCTAAGCAAACCGCGTGAGGACTGAACCCTTTCGTACAAGGCGTAAACTCGTCTTGTTACACTAAGTTACTGGTCACCATAACTTAAGTCATGGCACTGACCTTATGCATTATCGTCCAGTATATGGAACTTGAAGGTCACCAGATCACTTCGGGCAGTTACCCCACTTGACGTTCTGCCCTATGTTGTTAGTGGTAGCCAGTCAGGAAGATATTGAGCGAAACAACATACACGCTGTACAAGCTACATCCGTAGCAATCCCTATGGCCCCGGATATCAATATGACCAGGGCAAGACCCATACCGATGACATTGGCGGACGACTCGGCGGGACGAGTCGTCAGACCCTATGTGGAGCCTTCTACAACCCGGAACCACCGAGACCCAGTCGCCCCACTGCCCCGACGAGTTGATGTTCCGATATGTACGCACTGTAAGCATGATCATATAACACACACAGCTTCTCTGGCGCACCGAGGTCCGAGGCCACTGACAGCTCGAAGAACGTAGCGAGCACGCACACTTTGGATGCGATCATGTGTTTATATGCTTGGCCTAGGACATAAGAATAAATACAACTACAGTAGGGATACAACAATACATCGCAAATACAAACGAAGCCCCTATGCACCAAAACCGTACAAGGTACGACCCGATCGCTTCAAGGCATAGACAACGTCGAGTGCGGTAACAGTTTTCCGCTTTGCGTGCTCGGTGTATGTGACGGAATCGCGAATGACCTGGAGAAAGAAATGAAAACACATGTTGTGTCGAGATCAATTGATCACGTACGTTTTCCAAGAATATCTTGAGGACACCACGGGTCTCCTCGTAGATGAGGCCAGAGATCCGCTTCACACCACCACGACGTGCGAGACGACGGATGGCGGGCTTTGTAATGCCTGGACCGACATCAGCACGCCAAGTCGTTTAGAAGAAGAGGCAAACTCACCTTGAATGTTGTCACGGAGAATCTTCCGGTGACGCTTCGCACCGCCCTTTCCCAGACCCTGAAGCCAGAGTCAGCAAAGGAAGCAACATCAACCAACAAAAGCAGTTACCTTTCCACCCTTTCCACGGCCAGACATTGTTCAAGAGGAGTAAAAGTGTTAAAACGTTGGAGAGTGTTGGTTAAGTGCGCGGTGGTGGCGACAGTAGATGGGGGCCAACTGTGCGCGGACGCCGCGTCTTATAGGACGCGACTGTGGCTGAAGGCGCTAAAGCACGTGACTCTGTTGAATGGGATTCATCGCGTCTCAAAGCACGTGCGGCGCGCGCGACGCGCCTGTGGCGCCAGAGTATATAACGCCGCGCCCAGAGAGCACTTGCCCCCAACCCGTCTGCCTGTCACCCGCCCACTGCTCCGCACTTCAACTCATCCACTCGTCTTCTACAATCAACAATGGCACGTACCAAGCAAACCGCCCGCAAGTCCACCGGTGGTAAGTAGTCTCCTTGTCATTTTTAGCTCAATGATCTTCATAACGCGCGCGTACAACAGGCAAGGCGCCCCGTAAGCAACTTGCAGCTAAGTCTCGTAAGACCGCCGCACCGGTAGGTGTGCTCCAAGCTCCTGCCTTCGACCATCCACTTACGTAGATATCTGTAGACACAGACGGGCGGCGTGAAGAAGCCTCATCGCTTCCGGCCGGGGACCGTGGCCCTTCGGGAGATTCGTCGGTACCAGAAGTCGACCGAGCTCCTGATTCGCAAGCTTCCGTTCCAACGTCTAGTTCGTGAAATCGCTCAGGATTTCAAGGCAAGTCCTTTTCACCAACCGAAGCAATCATCATCTAACGGTCTTCTAGACCGATCTCCGCTTCCAGTCCTCGGCTGTCATGGCTCTCCAAGAGGCTTCGGAGGCATACCTCGTCTCGCTATTCGAAGACACCAACCTTGCGGCTATCCACGCGAAGCGTGTCACCATCCAGCCAAAGGACCTTGCACTCGCGCGCCGTTTGCGTGGCGAGCGATCATGAGCTTGTTTATTGTAGTCTAGGTGTAGAGATTTTGTATCATGGTGTACTCCTAGCTAGCGCAGTCTCATTCTAATACCCTTTTATCGCTTGGGTTATGCCGGTGTTCGTGAAACGTTGCCTGCATCCTGGTCAAGCTAAATCGTAGTGGACCGTGTGCCTTGCGTAGTGACTATCTTATATGTAGTGTACAGAGTGCACAAGGATGTTGCCGATGCAATGCTGAATACTGTACTGAATACGAAACGGATGTTACGCAGAGCGCTATTCGGTCCCTGCTGTATCATCGACCTTACTGAGGAGGCTATCGTCGATCGTTACTTCGTCTACCGTTATTGCGTCATCGGCGGCATCTGCATTATCGGTGGCAGGTGCTGATGCTTCCGACTTCTTTCGAGCTGCGTCCTTGGCTGCTGCTGTGATATCCTCGCCAAATAAACGCAAGCTTAACGCGCTATGGAACACAATGAGATCCACCATCAGGGTAACAACTGAAAGGCCGCGCTCACCTCTTAGCTTTTTTGTCGATCATCAGTGTCAACGATACGTTGGACTTCCATATGGGCAGGACCAGCTCATGCGTCAGTCTGCATCGCGATTCCGAGTAAGCATACGGATGGCGCTATAGCCGAATGCTCACGTTGCATTGTGCACTTGCCCCGGGGGGAACCGGACAACATAGCTGCCAGTCGCTAAAAGAAGGGTCAGAGCATGCGCACGGGGAGTGTTGCTAGATCCTCACCTTTTGACTCGATGAGCGACTTGAACGGCTCCGCAAACCCAGAAGACAGCGGATAGTATGCCTCCATCAGGATTTTCAGCGCACCCACATCGGCCTCGATGATCGCTTCGGGCTCGATGTACGGCAGCACGACGGGGAGTCCTTCTGCAAGCACCCGGAACTGCGCCTCAACGCCCTCCCGCTTCGCCTCGACTCCCTCTTGCTTTGCAAACACCTTTGTGCCCGCTGTCATCAGACGCATCCGAATGTAGTCGTTGTGCTGTACAACGTGCTTCACGATGTCGTTCGTCATGTATAGGGAGCGGACGGCGTCGCCCTCCGGGTTTCGGACGAGGATATTTTGTGCGGGGAAGGAGGGCTGCAGGCGGAGCTTCGTCCTGGTTTGCATTCGCAATCAGGAATAACTCAAGGCACCATGACGTAGGACCGGACGTACATGCACGTCTGGATGATCGGGTCGTCGGGGGAGACGAAGGTAAAGGGGTTCTCTTTGAAGTGAACAGCGCCTCCATCCCCCTTCTGCTTCTTCCCTTTCTGCTGCTTCTTGAACTCTTCTGGACTGATCACAGGCGTTGTCTGGGAAATGGAGTTGGTGGCGGAGCTGGAAGTACCCTCGTCGGCGGCTTCATCCGGGAGCTCTTCGTCGATGTCGTCGGTCGTCTGGACGTCCGACGCTTCCTCCGTCGTCGGAACCGGCTCAGTCGCGAGCTTTGGCTTTTTGACAGTGGAAGTTTCCAATCCATCAACAGCATCTGCGTGCCGTTTGCCGTCGCTGACGAAATGAATGTTGATGAGAATAAACAGACGCATGAAGAGCCACGACTCCCACCTTTTGGCTACATCTTGAGTACTCGTCGCTGGTGGGGGGATTTTCTGCAGTACCGCGACGAAGAACCCGCCTGTATCTTGCAGGTGAGGATATATCCGCATACTGAGGTTTTAAAAGCAAGGAGAAGTAAGCGAACGGTATTAGATCGAGAGTTACCGAGCCACTGACCATCGGGGCAGATTCAACTTCTCTGTTTCTTCTGACGTAGGCGGCCAGTGGGACTCCAGCATTTTGCTCTGCTTACGCTTCTCGTCTGAAAGAGAGTCCCAGTAGTCCTTGTAGGTGAGGAAGTCCGTCGTGATATTGCGGTCGACCGTAGGGATCCAGGTAGTCATCCCTGGGCGATGGACAAGGGCGGGTAAGTGACTTGACATGTCGACCAGTTCGAACCCTGTCAGACTGTTAAGGCTATTTTCTGCTACATCTGCGCTGAGACGGACCGGGTATTGACTTGAGAGCCGCTGCTACCACCGCCTCGTTCTCAACTGGGTTCAATGAACAAGTCGAGTAAACGATCCGCCCGCCTTTCTTCAGCATGCGCATTGCCCGTTCAAGAATGCGAATCTGCAGGCTTGAGCGCGGAGTGAGAGATTGGGATCACTCCGATGGGGCAAGCGACATACCTATGCAGGCCATTCCCATCCATGGGCTGCCAATGCTTCCATATCGCGACATTTTTCCGGAGCGTACCGTCTCCGCTACACGGCACGTCGCACAATATCCTGTCAAACAGGAGCTGGTACTGTTTCTTGGCGGCGATACGAGGTTTTGTGGCCGACGGAAAGATGATCTGTTCTGAAGGGATCTTGATCGCGGGGTAGATGGACGCGTCGTGATTGGTGACAATGAGCGCGGGCGAGGGGAGGCGGGCAGATTGGTGGATGAGCATGTGCGTGCGCTTGTAGTCGCTGTCGTTGGCGATGAGCAACCCGCTCGGGTAGGACGATGCGTTCATGCTGTCGTGCGCGTGGATGGCTTCTAGAAGCTGAGCGGTCTGTGGATATGAGCATTGGCGGTCACACAGAAGGAGACGCGCTCATCATACCTTGGAACCTGGTGCAGCACACATGTCTATGACCTACATATTGATCAATGAAAAGAGCAGTTCTGGCCGGATAAATAGCGCATATACCCTGTGGTGCGGCTCGACCTCGAGAAAGAGCGGCGGGAGCATGCTGACGGCCTCTTGCCGAGATATGTTGCCCTGCACATACGCTGAGGACGATGTGTGAGCAGACGGACAAGTGAAAGTGCTCACCACTTCGGTCTCGTATACCAGAAACGAATGAAACTTCTTGAACTGTGGCGACTTCCGGACGACTTTCTTCGCTACATTCAGCTGCCAAGCAAGCCCTTCTGGGTACCTGTGCATAACGTGTGTTGATACACCCCGCAAGCGTGCCACCTCTGAGGAAAGGAGCGTACCAAGGAATTTGGGTCGGTGGAGGCACTGCTTCGCCCTCGAAGACAACGTTAGCCATATGCGGTACGTGAACCTCCTTGATCGTGTCGTTCAGCAGACGTGCCGCTCTGACTCCTCCCTTAAGCATGGTTGCAACCAGATATGCGCGAAGTAAACTCACTGTCTGCTCCCAGTCACCCGAAACGTCGTAGGAAGCGGAGTTCTCATAGCCTCCAAGAACGACTCCCATTCGCCCTCCGGCAGAATCTTCTGAGTCTTGTAGTACCGCTCGAAGCGTTCGTTGTGCATGTCATCCTTGGCAATCATATCCGACCGCCATTCTCCGTTGTTGCGGTCGCCGGTGGGCGCACTCCCAGCTGCAGCGCCGCGGCCCCGTTTCCCGCCAAGGCCACGTTTGGCTGCTTTCTGGATTCATGAGCTGGAGACAAGTCGTCTGATGTAGGAGACTAACGAACTTTGCTTCTCGGCATGGTGTTCTGAATTCTTGTCTGCAGCTGAGATTGATAAATGCTGGTTAAAGGACGGAAATGCGGACGAAATAATCTGCTTCTCAGCCCGCAGAGATCGATCGCGCGACACACGTGCGCGAGGACCGTGACAGTGACCGACGCGTCCGTCACACCTTCCGCCGATCTCGTGTCCGAGTCGGTAGCGCTGTGGCTTCGTCGGACCTTCGTCCTGGCCACGACCTTCGTACAGCCTGCATAGGCCTGAATATCCCAGCTCGACAGCCCCGACTATCGCAGGTGCCATTCGAACAATCATGTCACAATTCGAGTTCCCTGCTTTGACTGTCCACAACCTCCTTCACCGCGCCTCGCAAACCCCGCCTTCCCAAAATGTACTGCGTTACGGTGAGAAGATCGTCGAAACGTGCACCACCGCGGTTGGTTGGCGTTTTCCTAGCTTTGATATCTCTGCCCAAAGATTTGGTCTGTCATCACTTTGTTTCGGAGGGATACTGATTTACGCAATTAGTATGCAAAGTAGCCTTCCACAGGCGGTGTTTTGTATACACGCGTGTACCTCCTACCCACGACAGAACTATCGGCAAGCAGGTCATGCGTTCAATCAAAGACTGGGACTGCGCTGCCGATAACGTTGATGATTCTGAGGTCTTCTTGCTACACGACCTGGATGAGTTCGAGAGCACAGAATTCAATCGGGTTATTCGCACAGTGGCTCCCACTGAAACCCAGTCTATTGAATCTCACAAACGGTATCTTCAAAGGGCTTTGGTGAGACCTGAGTTACTGATTCACGCACCGTAGCAAACCTCCTGAGAGCGCTGCGACACGCTTGCTGAAGAAGAGGCAAAATGTCTCAGATATATCCTTACACAAGATTATACCCGGAGTGAGTATTCTTACACATCAGTCCTAGTGAGAAACCGTCGAATTTGACGCATATAGCCTCATTTCTGTCCTCCACCAGACGTGATCCCCCAAGTTCCGGTCCCCAAGATAGGACTAAAGAAGTATCTTTCCGAGAACGCGCCGTTTCCCATTCCACCTCACAATCAAGGCTCAATTCGCGACGCCCTGAGCGATGAGTACGCGAGATCAGCATGGATCGTTCCCATACGCGGCAAAGTACCCTGGCGAGGCTGCAGTGCGGCTACTGTGCTTGAACCTAAGCAGGCTTCGAAGCAAGGCTACTTCGGGGCACTTGGTCCGCGTGGCCCTCACGACCCTGCACCAAACGATAACCCGGACTCACAGATCGTCTGGACGCACGATGCGCTCGTAGCTTTCTGGGCCTTCCTCCTCCAGCTCCGGGCAGGCGGCGCTCTCGGGCCGCTCTCGCTCTCGTTCGATGTCGCTCGCACGCAGCCCGAGCCTTCGACCTCGTCGACGACGCGTGGCGTTGTTGTTGGACATGCCGTTGATAGCACTCCAAACGGTCCTGGGTCGACAGCACGAACCTCGTCCAGCAACCCTTCGCAGGATGTCCGCTCTACGCTTCTCGGCATGGACCACTTCAAGATCTACCACGACACCCGCTATACGATCAACCTGCGTCACGTTTTGTATGCCTGGAGCTATGAGCCTCGTCATTCGGAGGCCGTGGAGGAGATTTTTGGCTCTGCTATCCCCAAGGATAAGATCCGAATGTTCAAATACGCAAGGCTGGTTCTGCTGGACGAGAGATCGAAGGCCATATTGAATATGTGACATATAGAATCGCGTTGTTTCGACGAAGTCAGCGGTGCGTCTGATTTTTGCCGTGCGGGGCCATGCATGATGTAGTTGAGAAGACGCATTGGCAAGCTTCTGTAAGTACTTATGTCGTGTGTTTCGCTGTGTCCTTTTCACATGACTGTTATAATGTGTGCTAACAATAATATATGTAGCGACGCGGGCATGCCGGGTGGCGGGTAAGTACGGGAAATGCCGGTGTCCCTAAACCGCAGTAACTTGAAGCGGCACCGCTGGTTGCTCGCTTAGCGCTCCGGTCTTGGCGTCTCGAGACTTGTATGCGCAGTCGCCGTTCTTCACGCCTCCACCCCCCTGCGGTCTCCTCGACGACTCTTCCACGCTGCCAGTCTGATTTTCCCCCCATTTTCGTCTGGTTTCACGCCGACCGCCATGCGCCTGGCGTCCCTCCCTCTTGTCTTAACCTGCCTGCTCTCGTATGTCCTTGAAACATCCGCCGCACCCTCCACGCATGTCTCGCTTGGCCAGCACATACCACTCTCGCGAAGGAGACCAAGATCACGCAGCACGGATGAACTGCGTGCATTGTTGAGAAGGCGGAAGCATTCTCTAGAGGCGAAGTATGGACCGGAGGGACTGGGGAGGCGTGCGAGCGGGTCGAACCTGTGCGTCTTCCTTCATGTTTCTCTGACAGCGGGGCTAACCTATCGTTCCGTCGTGTAATGAAGACTGACAGACGAAGACAAGGACCTAACGTGAGTCGTCCCGGCAGGTGACATTGCAAAGAAACATCGTTTCCTCCACGGACAAGGTTTGCGGTTAAATGAAAACTCTTCCACATACCTTCGCAGGTAGGGAATGTGCTCCATAGGCATTAATCTCGGCCGAGGAAAGGCTCAAGGGCCTTTGTTCGCCGGGAAAGATGTCTTTCGACGTCTTTCCGAGACGCATCTATGTCGTGGGGAAATCATGAGGGATCCTTTTCACTTTCGAAGCCATTTGGCCCGGGGAAATCATGATGTCTTTGCAGTGTGATGCTTGCTCGCTTGCTGACGAAATGTCGCAGATACTTCGGCTCGTTGGCTATAGGAACACCTCCTGTATCGTTCAACGTCATCCTTGATACGGGCTCATCGTATGTATCACGCCCGTCTGGGTTCCCGCTTGTGATGTTGACGCGGCCTCTCAGCGACCTCTGGGTGGCTTCGTCCGAAGGAGGCTTAACAAGCCTGTCTACCATACCGAGTGGCGTTGCGACGTTCAACACATCAGCTTCGTCCTCCTTTGCTTCCTTGAACGAGTCGTTCTCGATCACGTACGGGTCGGGCAGCGCTCTGGGCTCACTTGCCCGGGACACCGTCAGGATGGCAGGCTTCGCCATCACTGCCCAGACATTCGCAGTAGTGGACGAGATTACACAGGGGGTGCTTACGAGCCCAATATCCGGCCTTCTCGGGCTCGGGTGGCAACAGCTCTCAGCGTCCGGCGCGACGCCGTTCTGGGAGGCACTTGCCCAGTCGAACAACACGCTGAGCGACAAGGTGTTCGGCATCCAGCTCGCGCGCTATGGCAACGATTCCAACGCGGAGTCGCAAGAACCCGGGGGGACATTCACACTGGGTGCGGTGAACGAGAGCTTGTTTACGGGTGACATTGAGTACCAGGATGTCCCCCAAGTGGGCTATTGGCTGCAGGAGATCAGTGGTATGTCTTGCGTCCTTTGTTCAGCATTCCGTGATCGCTGTATTCATACGAGTATGAAGGTTTGACAGTCCAGGGGACGTCGATCAGCCTGCAGTCTGGGTCCGCGTCGTACGGCGCCATAGACACCGGCACGACGCTTGTAGCTGGGCCTTCCGATGTCATCGAGGAAATCTACGCGGCAATACCAGGGAGTACCGCGGACAGCAGCGGTTATTACACCTACCGTAAGCCTTACCTCCTCTTCGACCGCGGATTTTGACCTGAACCTCTGCGCAGCTTGCTCGACTAAGGTCCACGTAACGCTGCAGTTCGGGAATAGCTCGAGGACGTGGGCTATATCCCCCGACGACTTCGCGTACACTACCGTGGACTCTACGGGGAACAACTGCATTGGCGCCTTCGTCGTGAACACCAGCGGCGGCACGGCCCCACCCTGGATCATCGGGGACACATTCTTGGTGCGCGATAACATCCGATCACTCGAGAACGCCTATTGATGATATCCCGAGCAGAAGAACGTGTATTCCGCGTTCCGACATGACCCGCCGTCTGTCGGCTTTGCGACGCTCTCGTCGGAGGCGGTCGCGATGAACGGTGCGGCCGGCGACCCACCGAGCCCGACGATTGGCTCTGTTGCTGCTGCTGTCGGCTCGACGAGCAGCGTCGACTCTGGATTGAACGGCACTAACAGCAATAGCGCGGACGTTTCCGTGCGGTGGAGTGCGTGTTTGGTGGTCGCGGGTGTGACGGCGGGTTTAGTACTGACTTTCTAATCTACGATTTGCTGTATTCGAGGGGGTACTGGATTGCTGAAGCTTAAGTACGAGCGATGTATTAGTGTAATTTGGGATGCGTCCGTCGTGGCTCGGTGTCGGATGGAATTGGTCGCGCCTTTTGATACTGGGATAGGCTTTTAAGGCAGCTGGGTCACTCAGGCAAGGTATGTCACTCACCAGACAGGCCTTAACGTCCCTATCCCTCGACTCTATCCGAATGGATAGGGATTTGTAGACTGACAGTAAGTACAGTATAGCGTGCTACACACTGCGCCTCGCTGCGTGCCTACAATCACGCAAGCAAGATACGTATCACCAGTATGACTGTCTTGTTGGTTGAACGATGTGCTCCACGCCTGGCCCATCAGTGTCTTATTCACTTCCCAGACGTCCTGGACATGTAGAACACCAGTCCTACAGGATGACTTTGAGAACACCAGCACACTGAAGTTAAGGACTGGAGAATCGCGTGTTATTACTCATCATGTACGAGTTTACGTGTATCTACGTAGATTGATGACCCCAGTGAAAACAACATCTCAAAGCTCACTCAATATTCTGCGGTAGTGAATGTACGGAGTCAACAGTGTCGTACCCATTAAGCCACGACCTGTCGTTTCCGGAATAGTACATTCTTATGCACAGGCACGATATTATGCCAGCGCGACAGGTTCTCCGGCCTCCGCTGTTCGCCTTCGAACTTGAGGTCATAATTGAGCACGATGTATGTCATCATGACTTTCAGTTCGTTCACGGCGAAGAAACGTCCCGGGCTAGTACGGCAGAAAGCCTGTGGTCAGCAAATAGTATGCTGGTCGTGGACGCAGGGTCCAATGAAATCAAGCGAAGGCACCACGTACCAGGCGTGCTTTCCATGCCCAAATGCCACGTACTCCGGCGAGGTGCTGACGTACTGGTGTTTGATGCCCGCACCATCTTCCGTGCGCATGTCTGCGAAGCGGAACGGATCGAACACGTCCGGGTTCTCGTAGTTGCGCGCATCGCGGTGCGTCGCGGTCGACGCACTCGCGATCAGCGTGTTGGCCGGGATTAATGTACCGTCGGAGAACGTTATGTCTTGCAGTGTCTTCCGCAAGACGGAAACTACACAGGTGAGGGACAAGTCAATAAAGGTCCAAGGGCACGATGATCACGTGAGCACTCACCGTGCGCAGTGCCGTTAAACCGCTGCGACTCGCGCATGAAGCTGTCGAGCTTCCACATCTTGCTCATCGCGACCTTGGTCCAGCCGTGCTCCCCCACCGCGCTCTTGGCTTCCTCGCGCAGCAATTCAGCGCACTCGGGAGATTCTGCGAGGTGGTAGAGTGCCTGTGTGATGCTCTGGTGCGTACGTTGTCAGTCGGACAGGTAGTTGCGGAGAGGAAAATACGCACACTGCTGGACGTGTGTATGGCAGCAACGTTTGAGACCAGGAGAGCCTCGATTATCACCTGGGTAGGCTCGCCTTGTCGGATGGCTTCGTCAATAATCCACATCATGAAGTCATTCTTGTATTCGATAGGTCCGGTGAGCGATGAGCAGTCCCCGCAACAGAGTTAGCTCACAGGCTTGTCGTTCCACTCGTCACCCATTTCCTTCAGCTTTCGCTGACGCTCCTCGATCATGGGCCTGAGGAACACGGACGCATTCCGCGCAGTTCGGCGTGGCCATGGAATCAACGGCCCGACAATCCCTTTCATGAATCTCGGAACCCAAGTGAGCAAGAAGTATGCCCTCGAGAAGTCGAGGGCGAATTGGCGGACGATCTGCAGATAACCTTCATCCCGGCCTGTTGGCATTGCTTAATCAGCTCTGCAAGCCATTGGTCCGCATCCGGTAGCGGACTTACATAGGGGAAGACCGACGAAGACGCGGTTGCTCGCGCGTGAGATGATCACTGCCATGGTCCGTGGCACGTTGACACTGATCCAATCTAGATGGGGGGACCAACGTTAAGTGGCAGATTCAGCACAGCACGGGAATGATCTCTGGCAACTGACCGTCACCCTGCAGCTTGCTTCCGACGGCGTCAGCAAATGCTGCATTGATTTCGTCCGTGACTTCGCCAAACACGACGCCCAGATTCCTCGTCAGGGCGCCGCGGATGGTGGGTATATGAACTGGGTGGTCAACGAGACACTCTGATAGGGTGTATCGTATCTGGACAAGCTGTCCGATGACTTGAGTGACCATTGAAGCGAATGAGATGAGGTGTAGATAAGCGTACCTCTTCAGCCGCCTTGTAGAAACTCGCATGCGAGTCCGGAAATTTGGCTAGCTCCTCATTCAGGGTGGTGCCACTGACGATAACGATCCATTGGTCGAGCACAGCAACTCTGAAGACCTTGTACTACGAACGTGAGAAGACAGGTGAGTGGATGGGAGTCACAGCAGTCAAACAAGAATTGACCTTCGCATAACCTTCTTGGAGGACCTCGCGGGCATTCTTACAGTACCGGTAGGCACCAAGGTATGAGAGGAGAGGAAAAGATGGTCCAATGGTTGGGATGGAGTATAGCTGTGAATGATTACAGGCCAGTGTTAGCATTGTTGTTTTAACATACACACCACTCCCGCGACGCTTACCGGATCAAGTCGCCATTTGATGAGAATTGTCAACACGAAGATGCTAATGATGGTCCCCACGATCTCAATTGGGTTCGGCATGCTGCGGTGATCCGTTTGCTTGGTGAATACGAGTATGGGAAATAGACTCCGGACGTGGAACAAAGTGGGCGCAAAGCTTGGGATTCGCCACTGCAAGTCGCTGTGTTTGAGAGTATAAGTAGCTTCCGGTCGACTTCAAGTCGCTGATGGGCGGGGCCCGCAAGGATTGCGAGATGACGCTGCGCAGCATGTCTGGTAGAGCGCACTGACACGGTAATTCAATGCATAACAACAGATACGCCAGGAAACCGGGTTCACCATGGGTATTATACATAGAGACGGACTCCCTAATGGAGGCTTCGCTTGAGGACAGGCGCTAGCATCTCAGGCTGTCGCGGACATTGTCCGGGCGCAACGTCTCGAACCTCGGGAAATGAATGTGTGTGCAACACACGAGAGGTGACGATAGTGCGGAGAGGCACAAAGGCCACTCAGCCACATCCTTCGGGAGTCGGCTTTGTGGCCCTATCAAGCTGTCTTGGTTTTCCTTGATAGCACCAAGCAGTAAGTGTGAGCACAATGCAGGATTTCATTCAGTTACTAGCAATTACCTTGTCCACCCGCTATGCATACCGTTGCCAATGACAATCAGGCGAGCCGTTCAGCAAATTCCCAAGTTGGGGGTTGCCACAATGCCTTGGGCCAATGGTACCTCCGCTCGACTTGACATTGAGGTCAGGTTCCTTGCACGGCGTCTCTCGGAGCAGAGCTAGGCCTGCGTTTGAGTGACAGATCGCTGACCGATACTTCCTAAGTCCGTCATAACGTCGCGATCCCCAGCACATCAACGCATCCCTGGGAGCAGCGTGATTGAGGCACTGAGAGAAGCTTTGGGCAAAGAGATCGAACCTGTGCCGCTACTATTCCGACCGGTGGATTCACCGGGCCCCAGAGGTCCCCCTGCCATATGTTGTACCACTGTCATCCACTCGTTACCAAACCATTTCTGCATGTTGTTCATGTACCTGGAGTGTCTCCGAAGTAGCATTATGACGCAAAACACCACAGAGAATTGAAGCCGACATGGGGGTGAATGTCACGTTCGTCCGCGTCAGCCACCAGGCTGAACGGAGCTCCAAGTCGTGAAGCGATCACTTCTGTATCACAGTGATCTCGACAAGTGCGGATACTGAAATTGTATTCGTGTCACTAATGTAACCGCCGACTTCTGAGGCCCGCCGAATCCATCGTAGCGGCGCAAGCGCCGATCCCCGACTCCTGCATGGCACACAGCTATTATACTCAGCCTGCCACGGCGGCACCATAGTATATTATGTGTGTATTTTAATATTGTAAGTACCATCGGAATGGTATGGAGACTCAATTGGAAGCCCTCACGCCCGCGGCGGCTTCGCCGCCCGGGCGTCTCGGGCTTCCACGAGTCTGAGCCACACGGCGAACTTACTTACCGTAATACATACTACAGTACATGCGAGGGCTCTCAACATAATAGAGGCCCTCCTACCTTTGGGAGGACTTATTCGATGGTCAAAGATCCAGGCATCCAGACGCAGCCAGAAGCACGGAAGGATCCAACTGCCTCGAGCTGCCTCGTAAGACACTCGAGCATTGCTGCGATACCGCTTATGGGAATTATGAGTCACGTGTTTCCCACGGAGGGAGCGGCATCGCCGGCTGCGAACGACTTATGGTCGACAAAGCCCTCCTCTCTCCCTCCGGTCGGAGTCGGGGACCGGTCGGAATAGTCTGAGAAACCTCGGGTACCGTGTACGTCGGTCCGTACGTCGCCCCAGCACGCGAACCTGGTCACCCCTTGTAGGGTCGGTTGTAGAGCGGAAGATTACCAGAAGAGGAAATATAACATGGGCTCCTATGACGCGAAACTTATGCGTAGCGAACATCGAATAGAACAGAACACCGAAGTGTTCGGACCTGCTATAGTTGCCTCAGGTACGTGCAGTAAGAAATGAGTGTGAGCGGGTTCTCGAGACATCCCAGTCATTGATACAGGTAGATAATGTACACAAGAACATCCTACAGAGAGACAGTAATGATGTGGAGGGAGAACATCATCGCGACGCACGAATTTCCAGACCGTCAGAGGAACAAGAACACGGAGTCGCCAGAGGTAGCGAGACTAGACGCGGTCTAGTACGGACATTCCAGCACAACCTTCGTGAACGCGGCGGTAATGCGTTCGGGGGCAGTCGACCAGTCGATCGGACCTTTCGCCCAGTCAGCGGTTCCGACCGGGGAGCTTGCATCCCAGATGCCGAGCGAGAGGCGCGTCGGGTGTGACGGGAAGTGCAGGGCACCATCCTTTTGAGTCTCAGCTGAGAACCACGCTACTGTGTCAGGCGCAGTGACTCCGCGTTGCAGATACCACGCACCCTTTGTGATCGTCCGAACCTGCTGACCGTCTACACTCCAAACGATGCGTTCTGCGTTCCAGTCGACGGTGTAGTCGTGAGAATGCTGGACGCCACCGTCGGCCGGGTAGTCCTCGATCTCGCCAAATACGCCCCAGAGTGGTGCCTTGTCCTTGGGGTTCGGAGCGTACACGTTCGTCTGCCAGTGTGAGGAGTCGCCACCGAGGAGTTCAACGTCCACTTCATCTCCCTGGTCCGCTGAGAGATATGCGGTTTTGACAAACGGACAACAGAAAATGACGTAGATGAGGTGTACCTATCAGTATTGCAGCTGTAACCGCACCAGGAACAACGGGCGCGGCAATCGTGAAGGTGACCCTCCCGTAACTAATGACGAGGCATGAGCGAAAACATTCCAGCGGCGAAAAACGGCTACTCACAGGAATGTGAATGTAGAGTTGACAGTCGCGCCCTCTCCGAGCTTGTCGTTGACACCGTCTTCGGTGGAGACCTTCCCTTGCGGTCTCTCCAAATAGAGTTGGAGTTCATGGCCGACGGTACTGTAGGACCCAGAGGGACTCAGAGCCAAGAAGGGGGCGCCCGAGTTGCCTGAGACGTCGCCCGGAGCAAAGCTACTCTGAAAGGGTTGACATTGAGAGACCGAGCGAGTCAGGACAGAATCGCGAGACAGCTCCGAGTCCGAGGGAAGAGCCTGGGATGCGAGACACCACAATGTTAAACAGTACAAAAGAATGAGAAGTCTAAAAGAATGTCGCGACATCAAGGAGAGTGCGAAGCCCACGGGTACTAGAGTTCAGAGTCTTTCCAGGAGATAGGTCGACCAGTCGTCGACCGATGTTGAGGTTGAAGGAGCGTCCCATTTGGGCAACCCACGAAGTACGCATTTGCTAGCGCTTAAATTATTTACGTGTTTAGGACGATCCTGGATGATCCACTGGTTCAGCTCAGTATGATCGCCACTAGCTAGCAAGTTTGAAGACATCGTCCTCCCATTGGATTCTGCGGCGGAAAAGTGAATAACAGTATAACAATCGGTCTGTACTCATCTGCGTAACACAATCCCAGAGACTGCAGGACCGGAATCGATTCACAATATTCTGTGCAAATCCGGCGCCGGATTCTAAAGCTGGCTAGTAGCCTTTCTTGAAGTGCAGTGAGTCGCCAATGAGTCGCCCTTGCAATCTATCCACTAAGCACTGCGCAGCGGCTATAGCTCCCCCATGAGGGCCGAAGAGACGAAAAGCATGATCATCTTGGATATCTCTATGTTGCTATGCGGCTATATAGTACGCTAGCCCCAGTCAGCGCAGATGCATTGGGAGGCTGCCAAAATCAATACATCGTTTGCGTCTCACCTTGACAGCAGCCCACTTTATCATCAGTAGCACCACTCTGTCATGCAGAGCCTGTCTGCACAGCGCACATTCGATCCCTCGCTCAAGTGGCAAGAGTGTTGCTCGAAGCAGGTGCGTTGACAAATCTATTCGTGGAATGAGTTCGAGTCTAAGCATCACTTCCGCAGAGTAGGATTACGGGGAATGGCGTACTTGGTCTTGCATCCCACACGAGGTGAGCAGATGCCAGTGCCCACGCTCTCGCGAGCGTCGTCTGCTGGCTTGCATCGCAATCCCGTGCTTCGGGGTGTCGCCGCGGTGGAGCAAGTAGCAGGGCCTTGAGTGCTTCCATGCGTCCAAGGTGGAGAAAGAAGAGCCGCTTGAGGTAGATGGAGCCCATACGCTCCGCCAACTCGTCTGTCAGTGTCGACAGCGAGAAGGATAGAAGGTGCGCCGAGCTCGCTACTGCTACATCTTCCAGGCCGTACGCGGCCGCCAGTGCGAACGTGTCAATGGGCCGATGAGGCGCGAAGGAAAGTAGGAGGGAGAATAGTGGCTGCGATGGTGTTGCATATAGCTGTGGTGCGAACCCGTACTTGAGAAGGGATTCCAACCCCAAGGACACCGTCTCGAAAGATGGTAGGAATTGCGCGGCGGGGAGATAGTAGATCGTATGAAGGACGATATTCAGTACGTCGGCACTCTCGGGCAGGACGACGGTAGGTGGCCCTCCGGTCCCATCTGTCGGGGAGTAGGGGTTTATGAGGTCCTTGAACTTATTGGCTGATGCTGCGAGTAGGCGGGTCCTATGGACGTAGAAGAGGATTTGATCGGAAGAAACCAGAGCAATGTCAGGGAAGGTAACGTCTAGCATAGCGGTCGGCTGGAATGTCGTCGAGACGGACATAGTGACCTGTCTCTCCGCGCTCCAGTGCGATTCCATTGGTGTCCCGACCTGGCCATTCGGAGCTGTTGTCAATGCAGGACAAATTATCTGACGTGGGCGAAGACTTGCCGGTGTTCTTACACCGTGCTGTTCGGTGAGCAATGCCTCATCACTCCTCCCCAACCCAAATTCGTCATTGAAGTCCCCGCCGTCTCCATGTAGCTGCAGGTCGAAGTAGTCCATCGTCGTCGAGACAGTCGCGGTGCAGAGATACGAGCAAAACAAGATAGTCTACGCGTCATCGAGGGTCATCGATGCGTGCACACTCCATTGTCGCCTTTATCGCGAAGCTTTCCTAGCAGCAAGAGGCGCAGCGGGTGAGAGAGTTGACTCAGACGCGCACAAGGGCGGCAGGCGCGGATTATCACCACATGTCCGGGCCCCCTCGAGCACGTCGACCGGCAGTTGGTGACCAGTCTTACGATATCTGGGGAGACAATCATCGCGCCGCATGGACTCGTCCGTGGGATATCCATCGCTTCTGCTGCATTGCGTAGTGCGTTAACAACCTATCTAGCCGGCCAATCCTGCATTGTTCTGGGCAGCTTCCAGAGACATTTTAATTGCGAACGGCCTTGTCAGTACCGGCGGAAAATTGCGAGCTGCTTACGGAGCTTGGCTCGACTGTGAGCCGTCGCTTCTTCGTTACGACGAGTACAACTGCGCTTCGCGTTGCAGGCACCGGGAATCTATCTGTCGCAATATGATTCACGGATTGAAGAAAGCCGTATGGCAGTATGGCAACTGTGCAACAATTGCTCGTGCAAATCAAAGCCTGCCCCCCACCACACAGATGCAGAGGGTGCATGCAACATCACCTATGTTAAGCGGAATTTTGCTAGCGTCGTCCAAAGGAACACTGAGGCCCTGCAAAATACTTTGCGGTGTGCGGTATGTCTGGCTACTTATATGCGCAGTTTGAACTAAATGTCGGACCACCGAAATTCCGTCGCAAGAAGGAAGCCCCGGCGTTGCGGTGCAGCACGGTGCAACTGAACAATTAGCCCGACTGGCCTACAAACTCAAAGCCCATTCTAGTTGATGTCGGTACCAAAACATACCCACATTTTCACCGGAATCGACTCTCTTTTCGTCTGCTAGTCGTCATAGCTCATGCTCGCTTACGGCCAACGAACATAGCATCCATGTGCGCACGCCCTGCCATGTGCTATCGTATTGTTTTCCGGGCCATGTATGTTCAGTCGGGTTCGGCGATGCCGGGGACGCTTCGAACGTGTTCGATACATACACTGTGCGCGCATGTTACAGCAAGTTATCCGCCGAGAATGCTACCGTGGCATATGCGTAGATCCGCATCGCACGAAGTTCATTGATTTTTCTCCGATTATGTACGAGGCGGTGAGTAATATGAGCCTTGTCCGACGCTTACATACATCTACTAGTACTGAGCTCTCCGCTGACATTCTTCAACATGACCGATCGCAAACCAATCGCACGGAATTCTTCGACTTTGAACCGTATGATATCTATGTGGAGATCCACGCCTGCGCGTAAGTACCAACATCATAATGCTACTGCAGACTGCGGGCCCGGAAAGGTAACGGCAGTGATTGCTCCTTCGGCAACTACCGCATTAATTGGACCAGAATTGGACCCCTCGAGAGTCAAGATCCTTTGGCACCGGAACGGACGTGCAAAGGGCCGGATCCGGAGGAGACACTCTGACGCGAAGCGGGCCTGGCGGGGTATGGAAAGGGCGATTAACGGCGCGAGTCTGACCCGTCTCTTGCTGAGTATGTATGACTGGAAGCATCCTGCATCATGATGAAAGATACCAAGGAATATAAAACTTGCTTGTCGCGCTTGCAGCTACAGTGCAACCCACAACACAACGCCGAACTACTACACAATCACTGAGTTATTTCCATAATAAGCATGCAGCATGTAAGTACACCAACAATCGAAACGGAACTTTGACTTCCGCTCTTCCGCACAAACCATGGCTAGAGAAAGTCTGGGATGGTCATGGTCGGGTTTAAGATATCTTCTAAGTATCATACATCGGTGCTGCTATCATCCTCGCTGGTTGCCGGAGACAGTCCGACGAATCCGAGTTATAATATGGTACTGTGAATATAACAGAACCTTATAGAACGTTATCTTGAATTGGTGGCGGCGCAACCCTGCACCGTGACGTCCCTAGACTCGTCCAAGAGCCTAAGAACCTCCCCGCAGCCTGTAAACCATGTCCTCCTCCCTACATCAGCGCCCACTGTGCAGCTGAGAAACCTCGTCGTCCACCTCATGCAGTCCGCCGCACCCCCTGCTGCCTTCAACCTACCTGATACTGGTAGACCAGTCTCGTTCGTCGCCGGTCACTTCGCAGGGAGAACGCTCCGCGCCGATATTCAAGAGCTGCAGCATGCCACAGCAGGACGGAAGTACGTACCGTCGCGTCGTTTGTACCCCAGAGGTCATGACAGGTCTGTGTCACTAGATGCGCGACGAAAGACAGACGGCCGCTCGACCCGCCCCCCGTCGTGAGCATGCGGCTGTTTGAGGTGACAAACGCAGGCACTCCATTAGAGGTAGAGCAGGAGCTGAGGGACCTGACGTACGCTGCTCATTCCCGTCGTTCAACGTCTATGTGTTGACTTGGCTGGTGCAGAGGAGTGGACATCCACGGGTTTCTGTGCCATGTTGACTTGATCCGCGTTCCAGACCCAGCGTCCAAGTCGTTCTCCAGTGAGGCTGGGATGAGCGACACCGCCGCTACTCCTTTAGCATCCGCATATGGCCATCCTGGAGCGTACTCCGTACCCACTCCGTCGGCATTGTCCTACGGTGGAGCATCCGCAGGACCGTGGCCACAGCAAAGCAGTCGTTCGAATCAGCAACCCATGCGCGGTTCGACGGGCCCCACTACGTCGGCTTTCGGCATTCGCAGTATGGACCCTGCAGGCGGGTCCACAACTTCGCTACAACAAGATACCATACCTTCTGCAGCCGCTGCCATGACGGGAGGAGGATTAGCCTGCTATTATCCCCGTACCGCTGGGCCTGAGCCCCCGACAGCTCTTCATCCACATGTACCCACCGCGAACAACCAGCCCTGCACTCTGCTCCTCGTCGGCACAACCTTCGTCTCTCCGACCTATCTCACCAGCGGCAGAGGCAGATCTCTGCTCTATACCTTCTCCGTGAGTGTGCCTCTTCACCGCAGCCATGACCGTACTGAAGCGTGGCAGGACATCGCCGTGCGAGAGGAAGGGCTCTTCATCCTGCGCTATAAACTGTTCAATATCTTCAATGTCGCTCTCGGAGTGGCGCCGATGCCTTACTGGCAGAGTGTTACGGCGATTCGTTCAGGGTGTACAGCACGAAAGATTTTCCCGGATTGCGCGCGTCGACTGCCCTGACCAAAGTATGTGCGTTGCACCGGCTGTAGATTGTACACTTATGTAGAGCTCGCTCTGCCTAGCATTTATCGACCCTCGGTGTGAGAGTGAACTCGCGTGAAAACGAGCGCAAGCGGTCGAGGGCCTGTTTAGACAGCGATTAGTTGGCAGCGCTTGCGCCAGCGCCCACCAGTGCACCTCCTGCCCCATGACTGGACCCCTCTTTCGCGGACGAGCATTGGAATGCATACCGATGTGTTCTGGACCCTTGGAAGATGGTAGAAGACAATTGAAACATTCATGTGCGTCCGTCCTAGCCAGAACGTCGCTTTAGGGCTGCTAGGACTCGTTGCTTGGAGTGTACCTAATTCCCCAATTTTAGTCCAGTTCATACACGGTGATCGCCAGTGGCGCGGGTCTTGTTCCGAGAATGAAGACAACGTCATCAAGTCCTTTCGAGGGTGAGTTGGACTTGGGCTTGAGGCGTGTCCGCAGAGCCTGGTGGGGCAGGTCTGACTGGATGACATCGGTTGTATCGAGCTTGTATCGAGCTGAATCGGTGCCGGAAGCAGAAGAGGACGAACTACGGTGTCAACCAGTGCCAGCGCATTGACCCCGTCAAGTGACTGGAAGACGCGGCCTCACGACAGTCCTAGTCGTTGTGCTACGCCTGACGTCGATGGGCCTTGACGCGGCCGTGCGTTGATCTCCTGGGAGAAAGCGTCGAGCTGACGGAAAGCGTGGTGTGGAAAGGGGTCGAGGAGGGCATGGGAGGAGAACGGAAGGGGCAGGTGGGGCGTGCCGCTGGTCGAGGGCTGGTCGGGTGTGCAGCGCGCGGCGGGCTCCCATTGACGGGCCAACCTATCGGGTTTATCCGCATTCAGGGAAGCGGGCCTCCCGTCTGTGCAGACACCCACCGAGCTGCAGGTCTACTGCAGGCACTCTGACGCCTTTCCCCGGTCAGCACCTGTCCAGCATGTCCTCGACAGCGTGTACCACCCATCGCCTATAAAACCACATCGAATCACCGTAGCCTGCCCGACTCTCCGTCCGCCAAAGCTGCCAGCGGACCCGATGTCCTTGCACGCTCGGCATGCGGTACGTCTATCCTCCCGTTCCCGCGTCATGTTCTCTCATCTCTCCGATGATAGGGTACGAGCACCCAACCCGCAGACAACACTTCGTCCATCATCGGCCGTCCCGTCTTGTTCTCCGAAGGCCCGTTTGCTGGCCGAACCATCCGTGCACAGCTCGTGGAGCTGCAGAAAGCCGATCTGGGTAGGAAGTTGGGCATTCCAAACTCCCGTCGCCCATTCTCCCGATCTTGACACTTCGATCGTTTTCCCAGGTGCGGAATCCGGGATAGACGGCCTCTCGATCCTCCGCCCGTCGTGAGCTTGAGGCTCTTTGAAGTACGCAGCCCAAACACCGCTGCTCAGCGAGAAGAGGAGTATGTGCATTTGTCGTACGTCCGCACGTCTACCTAGATCGTCAATCGTTTCACGTGCACTTTCTTTCTCTTCTCATTTGTAGTGAGGCCGAATGTTACGGATTCATATGCCACATCGATCTTTTCCCTGTGCCTCAACCCGTATTAACGGGCAGTCCATCTCGGTCGCGCCGACTCAGTAACCAATTCTACCAACGACCATCTGCTTCTGAGAGCGCACCGACCCTGAATCAAGATGTCTCGCCAATTCTACCTAGGCCGAACCCCGACGTTTACCCCCGTGCACGTACGTTTCCAGAGCCCTCTGCCAGCGGTCAGCGCTGGGACTCTCACCGTCACGCGGCCGGGGCAACCACAGGGGCTACCAGTGGTGGCTCGCGCGTCGCTGAAGGGGTTCCGGGCCCCGTAACCACGCATATGAACGGCCTGCCTGTCCCAGAAAGCAGCCGGTGCACAACGCTCATTGTGGGCACCACTTTCTCGGCGGCTTCTTGCATTGACTACCAGGGAGTGCGGCAGCTCATGTTCGTATTTTCGGTAGGTGTCGCTGCACTCTCTAGCTCCTGCCGACGCGTCCTGTCATCGATGGCACTCGTCTCCAAACTAGTCCGATTGATTCCTCTCACGCAGGATCTTGCCGTCAAGGAAGACGGGGACTTCTTCCTCCGCTACAGAGTGTTCAACACGCTGTACAGCGTCGCGGGGAACCACCCCATCCCCGTCCTTGCCGAATGCTTTGGCGGGCCGTTCAGGGTCTTCAGCACAAAGGACTTCCCTGGCCTGCGCGCATCCACCGAGCTCACCAAGGTCTGTTATACTCCACTTCCCTCTCCATCTTCTGCGCTGCTAGCACGTGCGGCCACGCTGACATCCGTGCTCCACTCAGCACATCGCCCACTTCGGCGTGCGCATCAATTCGCGCGAGTTCGAGCGCAAGCGGCGCAAGAGCTCGCATGCTGCGGAGCGGCCGACTTTCCACCAAAGAGAACTCCTCCCGTCCCCGCAGGCTGGGTCGTCGTCCCGTCAAACGGACGACCCTGAGCCGCACAGTGCTGCCTACGGTAACAGGCGGGGGAGAGGAAGCACATTTTAGTCGTCCGATTTTGCAGTCGCAGACTCTAGTGCGCGCTGAAAGTCCATTGAACATCTCGTCACGGCCCGGTCAACTCAGACTCTCACATCCCGACAACGAGACACTGCTTCAGACGATTGCTATTTCTCTTTTTCTTCAAGTTGTATGCTGTGACAGTGCTATCGAGATACACGTTCCGTAGGCAAACCGTCATAATGTCATGCACGTGAAAGCAGTGCAGCTGGGCCCTTACCCGGCGTCGTGATGAGCAAGAGAGGCAACGGTGTTGACGGCAGGTGACATACACAACCAAAGATGTTGGCATCATGTTGCGGCTCCGTGACGTCTGTTTATGACTAGCAGAGGTACTGACTACAAGTGCTGGGAATCGATCATTTCGTTTGGGTAGCGGGATCGGCTCGTGCCAGTGATATCAACGCCTCGGCAAATAATCTCAAGAGCACGTCCGAAGGCGATTCTGGTGGACGGCGCACTACGTCCTGTCCCATAGTTGTTATATATGCTAAATATCGGTACAGAATCGACAGAGCGTCATTCTTGTGTCAATGGAACAACGTTAGCGATTGGTGTGCTTAAGTTTAGAGCTCCGGATCCGAGTGAGGTCCGAGTTGTGTGCCTTCGGAACCCTGACCCTCGAACATATGCAACGTACGCCTATGGACAGGATGGAACGGTCGCAGGGCCCTGCCTGTGGTCAAAGCACCCAACTGGCATTTTAGTGTTTAGACTTAGACTTCTAGTCCAGGGCCGTCAACTTAACCGGTTCAACAAATCCGTCTGAGGTCGTATCTGCCGCCGCCAGCCTGTATGTACTAGCTCATGAGCTAGACGATATTATCATACACGGCAAGAGAACCTTAGACAAACAGATGACCTCGTCGCAAGTACTGTCATCCACCGTACCATGAGTCGGTGACGGCCACGGAAAATTCTTGTGCACAGACCCGTAGGGAGGTCCGAGGAGAGACAGACGGCTAGCGGCTCAGTCATATGGTACTCTGAAATTTAGGAGAAGGATCAGCGCAGATGCATGTCACTGGCAATGACCAGCGACCATACTGTGGACGCGACATACCTTGACAACGGTTCATTCCCTCGTCATTGGAGCAAGTTTGTTTTTCACAGCGTGCATGCCAGCTCTCCTTCTCGAGTGGCCGTAAAGTTGCTCGCAGCAGGTGCGTTGGCAATTCTGTTTAACGGTATAAAACGCAGTGCAGTGGCCTGAGCACCACTCTGCCCCTGCAGGGCATCATAGATCCGGGGAGAAACGTACTTGGTCTCGCATCCCTGTTCTACGTCACAGCCTGGCGTCTCGTCTCTGAGTGCCGGCGCAGTGGTGGAGCAAGTAGCAAGGACCGTGGTAGTGCAGAAGATTCGGAGCCGAGCTTGCGATCGATCACTGAGGTGCAAAGGCAAGTACGACGAAAACAGCGGCTGTGATGGCCCAGCGTATAACTTCAGTGCGATACCATACTTGACAGCAGCGTCAAATCCTGTGGAGATGATCTTGAAGGACAACCCGAAATGTGCCGCGGACATACGGAGGACGACACCGAGGATGTCGTTACTCTCATGAACGGGGATGGCACTTCGTGATGCATGCGCAACAGGCAGAAGTTGAGGAGATCCTTAAAATTATTAGGATACGCCGCAAGTGCTTAGGTGGGCCTCACTCGGATGCACATAGAAGATGACCTAATCAGCCGAAGCCAGATGAGATCAGGGACTCGTGAGGTAGTGCCAACATCCAGCATACCTATTTGCCTCTACAAAAACGTCGAAATGACTATGGTGACGTGTTGACGTGTGCTCAACAGCGGTTCCATCATCGGGCCCATTCCCACCTACTAGTACGCCGGAACGACTGTCGATAGTCACGCAGGACAGGTCAGTATGCTAAGACATGCCAAAGTGCCCATACATTTAACAAGGCGCAGTGACTGCCAAACGTACTGTGAGAGGGCAAAGGGTTAAACCGATAGCTGTACGGTGAATTGGTATGTGTGCGCACGTTTTCCGTTCTCTGGATCCTGTCCGGTCACTGTACCAATTTTTGTCACTGCAACGTCGACAATGTACTCACGGAACGGGTGCATGTCAATGGTGTTTCGCGTCTTCGTACGTCTTGCCGGAGGGACAGACTGTATGATATATTGATGTCTATGTCATTCGTAGAAATGGTACTCAAGCTAGCAGAACCGCAATCTCAAGTTGTTCACGAGTAGAGTCACGGTCTGTCACGGTAGTACGCCGTATCTGGAGATGCTGACTCAGCATCGGGTAGCCGAGATCGCACGATGCGGCGCGTGTAGAGTTCGGCGCCTCTTCGAACCGATCTCTCTCCGCCACGCTCCCCAAACGCTCTCCGCGCTGCGTCCGCTCGCACATGTCACAACTACGCGCGACAGGCAGCAAATGCTTATTTACACGGTTCTGTCAGATAAGTACAGGCAGCCGGGATATCGCGGTGGACCCTGGCAGACCCTGACAAGTGCGTGACATTAAGACGTACTAAGCATGATATTTACATATGATCTTTAATTGTGTGTCCGAGTCGAAGACACGAAGTGCGCTGCCCTCCTCGTTGTCCCAGCGAATGGTCTAGGCCGTGAGTTTGTGACATGACATTTCTGTCCTCCACACTGAGTACTGAGTACTGAACGTGAACGTGCGGCGACGACCAAAGTGTCCGTCGTGCCACTTCTCGGGTCTGACCTTCCCCAGCCAGCAGTTCGCCGTGGTCCCAGGAAGCATACAAGAGCCTCGCCGCCAAACACAAGGCGTCCATCACTATCCGCACCACCTTTCGTCTGGCTGTGTTTTGAGCGCGTAAACATCCACGTCCACTCCGTGTAAAGCAATCCTCGTCAAGTCTGCAGATGTCTTCTCCTTCTGCACTACCAATCGGAAGGCCCATCACATTTATCGCTGGTCACTTTGCAGGAAAGACCTTGCGCGTACAGCTCGTTGAGCTACAGAAGGCCGATACTGGACGCAAGTACGTTGTATCAAGCCCTGTGCGCGTGAGTGGTAATAATTAGTCGATATCAGGTTTGGGTCGAAAGACAGGAGACCACTGGACCCGCCACCTGTAGTGACCATGCAGGTGTTCGAAGTCATGAACCCGGGGACACCGAGGGAGGAAGAGCGACAGTTGCAGAACCTGACGTACGTCCCTCATCTCGCTCTGCTTATCGACATGTCGTGATCCGGCTAACTCGGATGCAGCGAAACGGCCAGCTATGGTTTCCTCTGCTTCGTAGACCTGTTCTATGCCCGGGACCAAGAGCCTCTGTCTCCTGCGAAGAACAATATGGTTGGTCCTGGACCGTTCGCGTCGGGATCGTCGCCATCATTGCAGGTACAATTCACAGAGCCAGGCCACGTCCGTGTACCAAGGGCAAACGTCGCCCGTCCCACGTATCCCCGTGCAACGGTGCCTATGGTTAGCTCGATGATCGCTGGGCGACGGGGCGCAGTTCGTCCGCCACGTGCCGGGCAAATGCCGGTAGGCGCTGCTACGTTCGCAGGACCCGCTATTACTGGGCCTGAGCCAGCGACAATCGTTAATCCGAATTCGCCAACCGCAAAGAGTGAGCCTTGCACTGCACTCCTCAACGGTACATCAATCGTTTCTTCTACTTCTGTCGAGTATGCGAACAGTGTGTCTCTGATGTTCATCTTCAACGTGCGTATACATACATCCTCCCCGCGGACATGACAGCGCTCACATATACCAGGACCTGGCCGTCCATGAGGAGGGACTGTTCCGTCTCCGCTACAGGGCGTTCAACACATTCAACGTCGCGCTTGGAGCAGCGCCGATGCCCGTTTTGGCAGAGTGCCATGGTGGCCCCTTCAGAGTCTACAACACGAAAGAATTCCCCGGCTTGCGCGTGGCGACTGACCTGACCAAAGTACGTGCATCGCACCGGCTGTAGCTTGCTATCAGATTACAACGCTCATGCACGGGCGCCCTCTGCCCAGCAAATCTCACTGGCGGGCGTGAGAGTCAATGCTCGCGAAACCGAGCGGAAGCGGCGCAGGACTTCTGGTGGTAGCAGTACGTTGGCGGTTCTTGCGCCTGCACCTGAGCCCGTTGTACAGGAGCCGGAGCCTTCTTTCGCAGACGGACATTGGAGTTCATACCCATTCTCGTGGCCTGCTGGAGCCTGACGTGACAGAGCGATCCAGACCCTTGCTACTGAGGCCGCCCGCAGTGTTGTAATGGGATCTACGGGCAAATGGGAATTTGGCATTCTCGCACTCTATTCAAAAGGTCAAATTGGCAATATTCAAGGTGCGATACGGACTTAACCGTGCTATGGGCGGCGGTGGCTCAGAATACTATTTACACACGATCAGCATATAGATTCCAGACGGTTACCCTTTACTTACCGAGATTCGGGATGCTACGGCATGTTCGCTGAGTGTGATAGATCGCGCGCCAGGGCGCCGCGTTCTCGGCCTGCATGCAGCTCTGGCAGCACTGGTGTAAGGACAGAGTCAGGGTTGCCGGAGCTATCGCTATTGGCAGATGCAGCCTGTTCGTCGGCCATGGTGTGACTCGCGAGGCACGTTGACGAAGTCGCCGGATAGGGAAGGGGCGAAACGGGACTGACGACCTGGAGGTGTCCACCGAGACCACGAGTGAAGCTTCTCGGGCTACGGAATGCCTCTGGAAGACGAAGTGGTACTCGGCGTACGACCATTCCAATATATTGTCACCGATTCCAAAGCGCGTCCCATGGACCGAGGACCCAGTCGCGACGCGACGTGAGGCGCATCAGTCACGTGTCTTCCTCCCGCACCCCCTTCGCTGGTTCAGTACGGCGACTTGTTCACTGCAAGTGCTAGTAACTTAGCAAACCGCTGGTCATCCAATAACCATTCGAGTCGTTCCCTCGTTCCCTGTGCTGCGCTCTGCTGCATCTGGCTGTGTTTTTTTTTCACCGCGGTCACCCGTCATACGCAGATGAAGACACCAACTGTCCTGAGTGAACAACGACAGCAAGACCGGGTCTGATCACCTACGGGCGTATTCACCACCAGCCCTTGCGCAATTCAACCTGATCGTACGGAGACACCACCGCGAGGACTATGCATCGCGGCTTGGGGGCAACTTGGGGGCCCGTCACCTCACCCGATCTACCCAAGATCTGCCTTTTCTCCGTTGGCAGTATGTGACGGGATGCGACACAGGAACCTTACTGGCAAAGTGAGCCTGCTCGTATCCGGCCCGACCGTTGCCACCTCGTTCTACTGACCGTCTGTGGTCGCTATGCAGTCTAAAGGACTTGGGTCATTGCTCACCAAGGTATGTCATTGTAATAACTCACCCTTTGTGCTCAGCCCGTTCCTCGTTTCTCCGGGTGCCGAGAATGAGCTGAGGCGGCCCTGCAGCGGGACATGGCTGTTCCAGCACGGTTTTCTGCGGAAGCTACGTTGGGTCCGAGTCGTTGACATAGGGGGCTCCATAGTGCCCGCCCGCTTGTCGGGCTCGCACGAGTGTCGATGAGTCTGAACGCCAGGCGCCTGGCCCCGCCCGGGCCTTCGAGTGGAGCCAACCGCGACACTATTGGGCCACTGTCGCCGTCAGACGAGGAGGTAGATGACCGGCCTTTCGGGTTGAGGAGCGACTCGCGCGTCTCTCGCAACTCTGATATCGCCCTCAACTAGCTCGTAGGCGTGGCGAATGGGAGGCAAAGTTCTCAGCGTTGCCTGCAGTGCTCTATCAGTGATGGTGAGATTGTTCAGCCTGCGTGCGACGGCTTACCACGTTGAACTGCTATTTAGACAGGCTGCTTCAAAGCATGGTTTACCTCACAAGATATTCGATGACGAGGAGACTGGCTATACACCCAAGCGGTCAGTCACATACTTACGCCGCTGCACAGGGCCTGTGGCCGGGACACCCCATCGCCTGGCGCGAATCGACGCACAACACTACATAGCCTTCAGTTCTGGGCTACAGTTCTCGCGATGAAGTTAGGAGGCCTTGGGTCGGGAACGGTCCTCAAGCCTCGAAAGACTTCCTAGCTGGCCTTGCTTGTCGCTGTCGTGGTCGAATACATTGGGACTGCAGCCTGAAACGGAGCAGTTGGTGAAGCCGATGAGGGCGGGGTCGCCTCGTTTAGCGACTAGAGGGCGCAAGTTACGCCGACTCGGGCCTGTTCATTGAGAGACCGGATGCGCCTGTGGTGCTCGAAGAGCCGTGGCCTCTGTTGTTGACCATGAAAGCCGGGGAGTACTCCAGGTGGGTGATTATTAGACCACCAATCTACCGGGCGTAACCAATGTTGAGCAAACACAACCCTGCAGAGGGAACGGGTGGCAGCAGAGTACATATATGACAGCCACAAGTTTGTTTTCTCTCAATCACCATAGGCTTGCCTACAATGTCCGTCCAAGATAGACGTACGGTATGTGCTTCCGCCAGTCTGTTCAGCAGTCTTTGATCTAAACGCCCACAGAACCCCGGCATCCAACGTGGACTGGCAAGGACGACACCGACGTTGATTGGTCAGCCGGTTCTTTTCACAGCAGGCCCGTATGCTGGTCGGGTTATCCGTGCCGACCTCGTGGAATTACAGAAGGCCGACCTGGGTCGAAAGTAGGTCGTCTCTGTCTTCTGTTCGTGTCCTCCTCTTACCCTGTCTTGTCATCATCAGATGTGGAATCAGGGACAGGCGGCCTGTCGACCCTCCACCCGTTCTGCGCCTCAGACTCTACGAGGTCAGCGACGTAGATACCGCTGCTCAGCGGGAAGAGGAGCTCGTGCATCTGTCGTGCGCTTACATGTCTGCCTGCTATACACACTGAGTCACACCGAATCCCCCTTTTCCCTCTCGTAGTGAGGTAGACACGCATGGGTTCATATGCCACGTCGACTTGTTTCCGAACCCTATGCCGACTTCCACTCTGCAGACCACAGCTCTCGTGGTGACGGAGCAAGCAGGTTCATCAACGGCATCAGCTGCCTACTATACACAGCATGAACAACACCTCACGAGTACTACTGAACCCAGTCCCCGTCTCTCTGCGGCCTGCCCAGTGGCCAATACAGCATCCTCGCTCTCTGATGGCGGGCAACAACCGGAGCTGCACCATGGCGGGCCTGGAGAAAGAACACGACGTACTAGGCCTGGCTCGTATGCCAGCGACGGATTACCTGGTCAGGTAGCCACGTACGTGAACGGCGTTCCGGTCCTAGAAAGCAGCCGATGCACCCAACTCATCGCGGGCACCCTGTTTTCGGCGTCCTCCTGTATCGAGTACCAGAGAGCGGCGCAGCTTATGTTCATCTTTTCGGTACGCAGTACCACCGGGGCACTTTCCCGAGGCCAGTGACCTCGTGTCTAGGCTACGACGCTTACCCGTTCTCTATAGGACCTTGCCGTGAGGGAAGACGGGGACTACTTCCTTCGGTACAGAACATTCAACACGCTGTACAGCGCCGCTGGCAGTAGCCCCATCCCAATTCTCGCCGAATGTTACGGCGGGCCGTTCAAAGTCTACAGCACCAAGGACTTCCCCGGTCTTCGCGCGTCCACCGAACTCACCAAGGTCCGCTCATACGTTGCTCGCACGAGGGGACGCGCTGACATTCTTACACAACATAGCACATCTCTCACTACGGCGTCGCATCAACGCGCGCGTGTCCGAGCGCAAGCGGCGCAAGAGTTCGCATGTGGCGGACCGGCCGAGGGACCACCAAAGAGAGATACTCCCTGCATCGTCTCCGCCGGACCGTCACATGCCGGGCCGTCCTCTACCAACGATGCTCAGCCGCGCTGGGCTCATGGTTATCGGCGGGGCTGAGGGAGTACCTTCTGATCATCGAGTTTGAAGCCTGAGGCCTGAGGTTCCAGGGACCGCGTGCACATCCACCCCTCACGTAGTAGTAAACCAGTCCGTCCTTAATTCCGTCGCATCGAGACGCCGAAAGATAGTATTCGACGATTCTCGCATTGTATACCATGTCCATACTATATTACCCATATGTCCGTTCACAGGCGAATTGTCTTTAACTGTACGCAAAAGGGTACCTTTCCAGTCACGCGGGAAGCACAGTATGTAAGTGTTACATGGCAATGGGCCGAGAGAGGTCGAGGCAACCGATGTGACGCAGACACCAATCGAGCTGCATGTGCATCGAACCTGCGGAAGTACTCCCTTGGCAGACCCTAAATACGACCCTGTTGATCAGAGGAGTGCGATCGTATATGAAGTTCTCATGGGAAGTGAGCACCTTCGTGTGGGTAGCAGAGCCTATAGCCTGAGATCCGACGCGAGTCGCGGGATGGTATGTACGCGTACTCTGACATTAACGCCTCAGCCAGGGACTCAAGATCGTGCCCGACTGCGTTGGTGGAGGTGGTCCTGGCGGACGACTCCACCTAGGTACGCTCGGCGCTGTCCCCGACGGGAAGGGCGGCGGCGCGGCATAAATACCAGGATTGTTGAGCTGAGAGGGCGACGGTGAAGGTTGGTAAGGGTGCGGCAAGTGGGGAGGGGTATGATATGTCGAGGCCGGTCTCGACTGCTTGCTCGGCTCAGGCCGTAACGTTGTATCTGTGGGATCATTAGAGCTACTCCGCGTGAAAGGCGCGGACACGCCGCCAAGGGACGAACGCTGCTTCTGCTCCTTCTCTGCCTTCTTGTGCCCTTCTCAGCGCGCTTCTGTGCCTTCACGTCCTCTCTCCCCTTGCCCTTGCCCTTGCCTTTCGCGGGTTCCTGAGCAGTGGTCCCCGCTGTCTCCGGCACCCAACCGAGCTCCGGCCCGGGGTCTTTCACTTCTGCTCGGGGGCGCAGCTCAGGCATGTCGATCTTGCTGAGGTGTATGACGAGGCTTTCGGGGGGAGTGTAGCCGTCTTGACTACGATTCTTGCCCTTCGGATTCGGATCGTTTAGGTTGATTCGTCGAGGGCCTTTCGCTTTATTGGATGTGTCGTAAGAGACGTATTGATGGAGTTCCTCTTCCATACCTGTGGAGGTCAAGACGGGGTCATTCCTGCGCAGACTGAGGCTGGCGCTCAACATTCGTACCAGACTTGTAGCGAAGACGTTTCGTCTCTTCCACTACCCGAAGCACCTTGGGAACATCCGCAGCCGAAGAGGATCGAACCGTGATGAAGAGCATTGCCTCATCCTGCACATGTCAATCACAAGCACGAGTCGCCAGCTGTGCTCGCGTACCTGCAACAACCGCTGCGCAAACTGCGCGTGGTCCTCCACTGCGCCCTCCTCGCCCACTTCCATCTCGTTTGCCTCGCCTTCGCCCTGGAGCGTGCGCAGCATGTGCAACTCCGCGACGCGCTCTATACCTGTGCGTGGTGGCGGCCGGGGAGGAATAGTAGGCGGTGCGGGTGAGGGCGTGCCCGAAGGAGAGCTGCTCGCCTCTCGTCTCGTGCCAAGACTCAGGAGACTTGACAGAGGCTTGCTAGTACTGCTGGGCGCACTGGAGGCTTCGTCGGGACGCGGGGTATGGTAAGCCTCATTGGTATCCTGGAACGTGAGTAGGGCAGTGAGAATGGTGATTTCCAGACCCTTGCGGTCTTCGATGTCGAAACTGGACGTAGGGTGCAGGATCAATACAGCAGCATCGGAGCGCACCCGGAGTCAAGGCATACCGGTTCAGATTGTAGTCGAGAATCTGCACAGACGAAGTCTTCAGTCGTCCGGACGGCTCCTTCGTGACTGCCACGAGGACAGCTGGATCTGGCTTGCGCAAGATGAAGCATTCTTCGCGTCGCCACTCGAAGTCATGACTGAGGAGGGTTAAGCGTATGCACAAGGTGCGCAAGGATGCAGACGTACTCCTCCCACTTGAATACCCACTTGAACGACAATGTGCCCGTATACCTCAGCTCTACTACAGCGTCGGGATTATGCAATTGCAGCGTCTTGTGCTTGCTTGTCGCGTGTGGCGCGGTCGCGGTAGCAAGCAACGAAGTAGAGAGAGGATCTATGAGGGGAGTACGGACATCAATGCGCCAGACTCTTCTTTAGAGTCGCCCAGTCCCTCAGCATCAGAAACGCACCGTAAACCTCAACCGTATACGTCTCTCCTTGCACCCTTCGCTTCGCGTAATGGACTGTGCCCGCCGGATCGGTGAGGTCGACAACGTCCGGGTCCTCCGAGTTCGCAGCGAGGTTAAGGGTGAATAGATTCTGGTCAAGACTCATTGTTGTTCGTTTGCGTGACAGCCCCGACTCTGGTAGGGGATCTTATCCGCTCAAGGTAACGATAATAAGTACGGTGAGTTATGGGACAGAAAGTATGGTGGACCATTTGAGTATCGCCCACGGGCGCTTCTGACAATTGCTGCGCGGCGGTGCCAGCGGCTCAGCCTGGCGGTGCTCAAGCTCAAGCGCGGCTGCGCACCCAATGCGCACCTCTCTCTTAGACTACCCACGTAACTCACATATATACTTACAGTACTGGTGTACTCAGGCTGTACTTACTACGAATCAACTACGAACACCGGTACTCACACAGGCCACGGGCATCTCTGCATCAAGTCGTACGTCTACATATTACATAGCTTCAGCTGCGCCAGTTGCCCGCTCTCACCTACTCTCACTCGGTCAGACAGCTCTAGAGCTTGTCTAGAGCCGACTCGGATTGTCAAGATGACAAAGGCAGCTGCCAGTCGCTCAGTACTGTATTTGCAGAAGTTACCGACACAATGAGCATTGATTTCGTGAGTTTCATCCAATTTCATCCGACCCCAGTGGTTAGCTTTGAGTTCATCACAGCAACAAAAGTCTGCCTATTATATAGGGAAGACGAGAGGTTTCGGGAGATCTGCCTAGCAGTCTAGATCTACTGAGATGAGGAACGAATGCAGCGTGGCAGCCTAGTTACGCCAAGTCTGGTGAGTACTCCAATCTAATGCGTCACTTGCAAAGTCGCTGCGCTCTGATTAGTCCAAATTGATCCTAGCACCAACAGAGACGGACGTCATGCAGTATTATGGCTCCCGCGCGAGGTGCTAGACCAGTCCCTGCTCGAAATCGCTCGAATACAAAGCCCCGGCCTACATGACTTACATCAACACCCCTGCCCTTGCTCACACCTCGCGCTTGCACATTGGTACTCGTCTGACGAATCGTATCCGTCGTTTTCCGCTGCTCTTACACTGCATCGGTATTCCCGCCGTTTTAACACACTTTCCTTGCTCTGTATCCAACCATCATGCGCATGGCCACTGCTGTCCTTGGCTCTCTAACGACCCACTCCATCCCTCGCCGCCACTTTGCCAGTCAAAGCGTTCGCATGTCACCGCGCTTGCATAGCCTGCCCCAACACGTGCGGGGCATCGTGAAACTAAAGGACTTCGTCGTCAGTGTATTGTCCTAGCCATGATGATCCTGCCTAGCTGATGAAATTGCCATTCACAGCACCGCGCCGATGCCACTGCCCAAGGCGACGGGAGGATACGCGGCGTGACGAAGTCTGGAGGCGACAGCCCTATCGACCTCGATATGGACATGCCCAAAGCCACGGGCAACAAGGGCTTAGGATCGACCCCCGAGCAACTCCTTGGAATGGCCTACGCCAGTAAGTGTTCCTCATCCTATTATTGTGTTATGTACGCTCAGCCTAGTGAAGTGTGCTACCTTGGTTCGCTGCAGCTGATGGCCGCGAGAGCGGGCAAGGAGCTCGACGAAAACGTCAAGGTGCACACGAAGGTCTTCGTCGGGCATCCCGAGCACTCGGCTGTCGAGGAGGGTCTTGGACTGTCTGTCGAGGTTGCCGTCGAGGGTATTGATGACGATAACATCATTGCTACTGCAGACAACGTCAGTGTCGCTGGTCAATCTTCCTATCTTTCCTGTTCTGACTCCGGTCTGCAGTTCTGCGCCTACAGCCGTGCACTACGTGAAGGTTGCGAGATTTCGGTCGTGAACTTGAAAGGGTGAGGCATTGGATGACCTGACTGCATTCTCCGAGTCAGTGCTGCCGGCCGTCCTTCGTGGGCTTGTTGACGGTAGGACATTCGACACATTATACCACAGTGCGTACATTTCTACGTCTTCCCTTGACCCTCCCCGACGTGGTTGTAAATCCTCGGTCCACTGACGGGCGCGAGCGGAAACCAATATCTGGTCCCATCACGTCTACTTGGCAACCAGGATCTCTATGTACATATGTACATGCCGTTTGGATGGATACAGACAGTCTATACGTCTACTGTACCGCTTCAACAAGCGCTTGCAGCGTCTTCTCAGGATCGTCCCAATGTGGCTATTGATTCAACAGATCAGACGTGCAACACAGTTGAGAAAAATGTACTGCTGGGCACTCACGAAGTGATTCCCGCCCGGGATCATCCTGAAGTTGATCAGCCCGCCTCCGTTGGCCTCGTGGTCCGCCAGGATGTCGAAGTACGCTGCGATGCCAAACGACGGCGCTGCGTCGCAGCCCAAATGCCATACTTTCATTTCCGGCAACAGCGAGCGCACGTCGCTGTCGAAACACGCCTTGCGGAATGCCGACAGCGCAGAAGGGAACATGCCAAGCATGATCGGCAACTCCTTCACGGGCTCAATCATTGCAGTACGCTCCTCCGCGGACATATTGTAGATCGTAGGTGCGCGCGGCTGGACGGGACGATATATTCGATGACGCTCTTGTCGCGCGTGGACAAGTCGCCATGGTCGAAGTAAGCTGTGAGCCACTGGAGGCCGAGCTGCTCGCGCTGCTGCTCAGGGATCGACAGGATTTGGTTGTGCGTCCAAGTCTCTGCTGGCAGCGAATAACCGAGAGCGAGTGATGGCGGGTCTGCAGTACGAGGTATGTGTCACGAACCGGTAGAGCAGACTTCACTCGGGACTTACCCTCTATGATGAGAGCCCGCACGTACCGAGCGAGACGTGCTCGCGTCTCGGGTGGGTAGCTGCTAATGTTGGCAATGGCCCGGGTGACATAGCCTGTGCCTGCGGACCAGCCTAGGATGGCAAGCCCGCCGCCCTGGCGATCACTGGAGATGGGTGGTATGTCTTCCTTTTGCACGAAAGCGTCCACGAAGTACCCGATCTCGTTGCAGAGTTCATCAGAGACCTTGAGCTTCTCCGCGTCTGTACCAGTGCTAAGCAGTTTCGCCGAGTGCTCAGATACTGGTGTGGATCCCCCAAATCCACGTCGGTTGATCGCGACGATGCGCAAGTTGGCGGTATGTGCTATGGCTTGCAGTCGCTTGAATATCACTGGGGAAGATCCGGTAAGCTTGACTGGGGCGTCGTAGAGTAGAGGTGACTTACGATTGTTGAATATGATACCATGCACGACGAAGACTGTGATGTACGGTGCATCTGTAGCCGAGCGAGGCACACCGCTGTCCGTGTAGGTGAGCTCGCCACCGTCGGAGTCGAGTTTGAGTGCAGGCATTGTGTCCCGAAACCTGAGCACCGTGGTTACTGATGCGGCCCCTTAAGTAGCACATCACTGCACCTACCGTGACCTACGAAGGGGTTTCATCCGGGCTTCATTCATTCAGCCATACTCCGACAAGACTGCGGTTTGTGATGGGCGCCGTGGTTCGGGACTGCAGAGTTGCGTGCAGTTTCACTCCGCCCGACATCATGCGTCGGTGTGCCAAGGCGCGTTGATAGCGGGAACGCAGCGCAAGGATGAGTATGAGACGAGGCTATAGCTGGCTATAGCGTGTCAGGTCATACTATCTCGACGACGGGTCCGGTTCCGACATGGACACCGCACACGTCTGCAGCCGCTAACGTAAAGTCTATGATGATAGAACGCGTTGTCAGTACCAGTACGTTGTCACGCAGGGTAAGGATGGAATGCGATCGGTCACAAGCACGTGAGGGTTTTGTCACTCACCAAATCACTCACCACCCATATCCTCCTTTCTTCAAGTCCAAGTCGTCAGTATCTTTGATGATACCAATACTCTGCTCACCGGCACCACTTGTTTCCCGCTTATACTCCTAGCATACGCTCGCCTCAATTCTGCAATGGTGCGTACAAGGAGGCGAGCTTCAGCGATGCTGACATGCTCGAATTTCCCGACATCACTCCATATCACGTTGACGGATCCGTCTTGCAGGCGTGAAGCAGAGCATTCTTGCGCTGGACCTGCGCTGGACGTCAATTTTGTGCAAGATGTCAACGAAATAATATAGCGCAAGTTACGCAAAGAGAAGGTCGTCGGGCCACTGGCATGGCGCTACCAATGCATGGCGAACGGCGGCAGCAGACTGTAGCTCACTTACAGTCGACATGTTCGAGCTCGTGGCTGTTCTGGATGATCCTGTGTCTTGTCAAATATAGTTCGCTTCAAGTGACGCCTACTTATTCCCATAGTGTGTCTCACGGGAATCAGCGATGTCCTATCACACTATTTTGAACTCTACCCCGTCGTCCGCAACTCACTGCCCACTTAACCGTGACGTACCGCAAGTCAGCGATAACAACGACTCTCTTCCGTCGGTATCATGGGCCTCTTCTCTACAAGCTGGAATCCCTGCACCGACCTTCCTGACTTGGATGGCAAGGTCGCCATAGTTACAGGAGGAAAGTAGGTCTGCGTACACTTTCATCGAGGTATCGTCAAGTCAGACACGACCACAGCTCAGGTGTTGGCTATGCCACCGTCCAACACCTTGCCCGGCATGGTGCCAAGGTGTATATGGCCGCACGTAACGAGGAGCGCGCCAGGAGCGCAATCAAAAGACTGCACGATGCAGGACTGGGTCCTGGGAATGGCGAGATTGTCTGGCTTCCGCTGGACTATAGCAACCCAAGGAATGCACAGAAGGCTGCTGAAGAGTTCAGTGCGAAGGAGCGGCGTTTAGACATCATTGGTGCGTTGTCCTGCACTACTTCCGAGCGTAACTGATATATGCTACGACAGTGAATTCTGCAGCATTGTGCGTGTACTCCACGGTGTGCGTTCTTTGCTTGCCCTGTTGACACTACAATAGATTATTAGTACCCTATGCAAAGTCGTGCGACGGTGAGTAAATCGGAGGTCCCAGCGACTGTTTATAATGTCTGTGTCCAGGCATACAGGACATCACCGTGGTGAAGTGTGTCTCCCCTGTCGAGTGCGGGATCAATTCTGACAGACAATCCATCCAGCTATCTGAGTCCGATTGTCTTCGTCAAGACACTGTTGCCAATTATGAAGCAGACTAGTGAAGACTTGAACAGCGATGTCCGAATCGTAATGGTCAGTCGGTGTGCTACACGTCCTCATCCGTGGTAGCAGATTGACTGTTCTCTACTCAAATCGCTAGGTTACTTCGGAAGGTCATCGTGGGGTTCCAAAAGGGCTTCACTTCCGCAGCATTGATGACTTCAACGAAGAATTCAAGGGGAAGTCATTCGCGTCCAACCGTCGGTATAGTGAGAGTTTCACTGTCACTACAAGAATGTTTCCAGCGCTACGCTGACATCGCCTCGTAGATCTTACGAAATACATGGGAATGCTGTTCGCAGCGGAGTTACAGAGATGTTTTGACGCCGAAGGTACTCCGATCATCGTGACATCTGTCCACCCGGGGGTCGTTAATTCAGGTACGTATGCTTTCCCCGTCTCAAGACCTATCTGATCGGTACGCCTTGCATCTGTAGAGGGCGTCCAAAACTTTGCCCACTCCGCCGGTGGCCTGAAGACGCCGCTGTACGCCTTCATCGCAAATACATTCTTCACAGCTCCCGAGAAAGCTGCCTATGGGACAGTATTCGCGGCGGCTGCATCGGTTGTGCGGGAGGAACCGCAGTACAAGGGAGGGTATCTCGTTCCGCCCATGAAGCTGACTGCACCATATGCCCCGACGCAGGACCCGGAGTTGGGAAAGGAGCTATGGGAGGCTACTGAGCGGATACTTGCAGACATTGGGGTGTAGTTCTCCAATCATGAGCTTGTCGACTGCATTGCAAATGTCCTCGCATCATGGATGAAGTGCCAGTCAACCTATGGGTGCGCAGAGTCTTTCCATCATAGAAAGTTAGGAAGGATGTCCGTTGAGTCGTTGATAATGATTTCCTCGACCTACCGCCCACATGGTGGCAGATGGCACCATTACCGGCAACCTCATGTTACAGCATATCATCGGCGGAGTGTCATTATACCCAGAACAGCGATTTCTTCAGCTTGGAACAGTCAGATGACGAAGATAGCCCAGTAAGTACCCACGTTTACTGCCTTCAGGATACTTATCACTGATATCAAACCTTGGTTTCGACATGGGAGCGATAGTAAATTCGCACATGCCAGCGAACACTGTTCTCATACTCCCGGGGCTGTGCCCCTCTAGCTTCGGCTGGCTGACGTGTCGTAACACCTGCAGCGTGCATTCACGCAGAAATTGTGCTTGACAAAGGACCACGGACGTTCCTTCCTTCAAAAAGGTACGTCGTTTTGGCGACACTTCAACGACTAAGACTGAAAGGGCGTATAAGATGCATGAGCACAGCTCCGAAACATCATAACGGGAAGATCATCCATGTGGTGCGAATAGAGGCACTAGTACGGACTCAACTTCTGATTGTCATTGACACGGATCTGATTCGTTGGCCCATGTTGCCGAAGTGTTGCCATCCTCCCGTGTCTCTACCGTTCGACTCTATGGCAGGATTTGTAATCCTGTTGCTTGCGCCCCACGGGCATCTTTCAGCCCTGTATTGACTAGCACCTGGCAACAGCGGGCTATTCGCGATTCTGCAGCATGCAGCCTCTCGGTGTCTTGCTTGGACTCGGGTACCAAGCGGTTATGCTGCAACTGGTCAGACATGGAATTCCACATTGCACCCGAGTCTCAACGCAAGGAGTATCCTAATCGCTGGAAGCCAATCGGAACGCCGTTCAGTACATATCTGCGTGAGCGCTTGGTCAGGAATCACCGCAACACATCAGGTCTGTCTGTTTAACGCTCTCGGATCCGACTCGGGCTGCTTCTTACTCAGCGATTGCCCATTCTACATCTCTGGATCGGATTCAGCATAGCTGAACCTTCTGTGCTTGATGTTGTCGCACGTCCTCACTGCGCCGTATTTAAAGAGGCGGTACTGAGATGCGTTCGCACAGTCTCTTGTTCCCTAGGACACGTCGCCATGAGTTCCGCGACATTAGCCCTCAACTTGAACCCCACGATGGGGGCGATGTTTGTTGCAGTGGTAGTCAGCGCCGTGTGAGAATATTTCATGTACTGGCACTCACATAATACAACTTATCGCCCTCTAGATTCTATGGCGTTACTACCCTCCAAACGATCTTCTATGTAAGCGGCCATTTGTTGTCGACATCACATTACAGCAATACTAACTGAGCCCCAGTACTCGACTTATCCGCGCGACGCACTATGGATCAGAGTAATGGTGCGTCGTATCTCAGGTCGGGCATGCATATGGGGCGCCTACTCAGGACGTTTTACAGGTTGTGTTCTTATGGTAAGCTCTCGTGCATCCATGACATCGCGTCGGCCCGGGGCTAATATCTCGAAGGATACTTGATGGCCTCTCTTTGATCATGATATCGTATGGCCTATACACATACTTGGTGATCGACTACATGGATCCCTTTGCCCTCGAGAAGTTCAGCCGGTGCGTGGCATTGGATCCGGCAATATTTTCATCGTAGCTGAGTCCACATCCTTCAGATTCTATGGAGTACGTTCGAGGCTTATCTGAATGATGAATAATGCTACTGACACGATTGCGTAGGCTGAACCCTTCAGTGCGGTTAGTGTGCTCACATTCGTATCAGTATCGAGGTACTAACATCCACGCAGGCGACTATTGCATTTGTTGTGCATGAGTAAAGCGACCTTTCGCGTGTATGATTGAGACTGTCTCACATTTTCATCGTAGATTCCTGGTCTATCGTATCTGGTGCCGTACGTAGGGAAAGCGCTTGAGGTATGAGAACGATGCTGACCCCACCATGGCAGTGGATAACAAGTTTGCCCCTTTGGCCGTTCTACTGGTGAGCTACGTTAGGGCTGCATAGGACTCCATTGCGTGTTGACTAATGAGTGAACTTTCAGGCTCTGCTTTCCGCGTTCTCATGTGGTAAGCATCTGACGGCGCCACTCGCTGGGTGTGAACTTGAAGCTTGAGGTCTCATCTTCGGCGCGTGATTCAGGTCTATCAATCTGTGCGTGTGATGATGTCCTTTTTTTCTTTGCCGTATCTAACATCGGCGCATAGATGCGGCACAGAAAGCGTGAGTTATGGGCGTTGTTCCCTGGCACCCGCACTTATGTGTTTGCAGAGTGGTGCATCCTTCGTTGGCAGTCGTTCTAGAGGCCAAATCGGTACGCCGCTTGGGGCTCAGCCTCAGGCTTTGCGCCGCTTGCTGATTGCGCTGGTGCTACACTGGCAGTGGAGCGTCATACTAGGAAACTCATTAGCATCCTTTATTGACATCGTGATTACCTGCACAATCTGTTTACAGCTGTATCGCAGTAGGACGGGTGTTGCGAAGTAGGTCGACTGCTCTTTACATCGGAACGTCATTACTGAGGTAGTTACACCGGTAGGACAGAGAGGATGCTCCAGCGGCTGACATTGTACACCATCACCACCGGACTGATACCCGCGTACGTTTCTGGTTCGTTTTCGAGGTAGCTTTCTAACACACAAAGATATAGCATGATTTGCCTTGCCGAGCTTATCTCTGTAGGTCTTCATCTCGCTGTTGTTCGTTCGTCGAGTCTTGAAGCACATGGCAGTACGAGGTAGCCCCTGCAGTTCTCGCTTTCGAGGTTTTCGAAGCACTCGTAACGAAATGTGAGTTCTCCAAGTTGATTGTGGATAATTGATCTGACATCCGCTAGCCTATGTCAATACGTTCATGGCAAGGTGAGCTGAATTTATGTCATCATATTACATTACGACTAGGTGAAGTTAACCTGATCGATAGCCTGAACGTCCGGCAATCTGTCCGAGGGAAGGGTCTCGCCGAGACGACAACGGGAAACACTCCTCATGGAGGCAACCTGGCTACTGTCGAATTCCATGTCTCCAGTGACAGCTCGAACATTCTGGGCAGCGCGATGGCAGGTACATTGGCTTCAAACACGGTAAGGTCGTACTAGCGGTTAACTTACCCCCAACTGAACGCATGTCATTCATGGCCGTAGCCAAAGGAGACGAGCGAAACATACGGCGGACCGTACGGCACTCATACCGTCTGAGACGTGGCGAGTATCGACGCAGAGTATGTGGAGGCAAGGATGATGGGCACTAGACGGTAGACCTAAAGATTCATCCCTTCACAAATTAAAAATACAAAACATGTATTAGTATAGGTATATTTGTACGTACGTGTCAGCTCAAGTATGTACGTGGTGGTCAGCTGCAGATTGTATCACTATGCTGAGGTCACAACTGTGCTCAACCTCAGTGCTGAGGCTATACGCCGGACGCGCGCGCGTAAGTACGCCCTGTTCGAGTTCGCGAAACAGTATTTACAAGGCATGCGATTGCATCCATGAGGTTGCGCATCATGCATGGCCCCCAGGACTGAAGTACTGACAAAGGAAACAAGACTTGCGGGACGACTTTGTGACGACTGCTCGGATTATGGCTCCTCAGCGCAACCTCAGCGAGGATTGTTTTTGGAACTGGCGGGCCTCGATTGCGATCTGCCACCACGTGACGTCGTACTGAACGCGTCGTTCTTGTTCCGACTCGGAACATTGTTCGCGCTGAGGTCCTCATATCCTCATCCTCTGTGCCCTACCGCGTTGTCTCTCGGTGCCACCAGTACGGGGCTAGCTTAGACCATCCTTCCTGAGCACTAGTAGTGTCCTGAGCTCTGCTAGTGCCCTGTCTGTCCCCGAGATTGGCTACAAGGATTCCGGGCTCGCCACACCATGAACGTAGCGCAATTACAGCCACCGGCCTTGCCGCAGGTCTCTGAGAGAGTTGTGCGGGATGCTGGGGATACAGAAGCAGACGTATGTGACCTACCATCTATTCTCGAATGGATAATAACAACCAGCAGTTTCTCGCGCTGCGACTTCTCAACAAACGCGCCCGCGTGCGAGTGTCGCCTGAGCAACTTGACCTCGACGCTCTTCCGGGCCAAGCACGGCTATTCGCGCTTGCGAACTCCAAAGGATGTTTCGCTGCTGTTGCGCGAGATGCTAGCTCAAACTGGTGTACGTGTATTCTTTCTATCGGTGTCTCGTATGCAGCTGTTCGGCGGGATTGGTCGTGGGGCGCACATCTGCTCTTGGTTGCATGCGTGTCCAACGCCTGACCTGATGGTAAGTAGTGACATGGCTGATGTGTTTACGATGAAGTGGATACGTATTCGTCCATCGTGTGGGCTGATTACACCTATCAGGGCCGTGGAAGGTCACCGTCATGTCGGCCATGAGAAGGGTCACCGGTACATCCATGTCTCTATGAGCCTGCGGACTAGTCAGCTGCATACGAAACGCTCAAGAATATTGGAAAATTTATTGAACATTTGCTCTAGATCTCTTGTCCGCATCTCTTGCGCAGCTCCGATCAAAGTTCACGTCGTCCACTCAAGCCGGCGAAATCGATTTCACAACACAGACAAGACATCCCCTGCCTGGTCCAGCGACCTCTATCGCCTACGCACATAATGAGTCGCGTATGGTGGTTGTGCTTGCGGACGGCTCGATTGCTGTATATGACGCACCATCATTACTCAACAGCTCGCCGGCTAGCCCTCTGCATGTGTTTCCGGCCAACGAGGGAGCCAGTTTTCGTAAATTAGCACCAAACCCAGGAGACATGCCAGAGCTCGTGGCAGTACTTCGCGACGTTGGTGAGCGAACGGACGTCGTGGCCGTCGAAGTGCTCGACATACAGAATATGCGCTCTGTGTGTGGCTGGAGGAGTGGTACAACCCCCAATACGAAGCCGACTGCCAGTGCGTCCCTCGTTTGTCTGCTCAACACAAATGTTCATCGCTTATTATACAGTGTCGTGGTCTGCCAAGGGAAAGTTAATCGCGCTAGGTCTGGCCAGTGGGGAGATCGAAGCTTTCAGCCCGACTGCTCCTGCCGTGGTGAAAACTGTGGTCCCAAAAGTACAGGCTCTCAACGAAGGCACCATCATTTCTACGACATGGTTGTCGAATATCGAACACTATTGTGTCTACACGCCACCGGGCCCTCCATCACCAGATGCTGAGCACACCCATTTTGTCACGCTCTTCAATCCGAAGACCAACGCTCTTGTGGAGGTCAAGGTCAATCCGCCTGCCCTACCATTCCCAGGTCTACGTGCTCCGGGCCAGTTCATCGTACTATTCCGATCATGGCACACGGCAAGAATACTTGCCTTCGTGGGCGACAGCGCTTCTTCCGACATCGGTGTGTTGGCGGCTCTGGGGGAGATCGGAACCCCTCTGCACAATCACTGGACGAGCTTGTCGCTGGAGGAAACGTCACAGCCTACAGTACCGTTAGACAAGGACATGAACGATACCGTCCTGGTCGGGATGGAAGCTGACCTTACCAGCAAGGAGCCGTTACGCTACACCGCGCCGTCCGGGGAAGAGTCTGATGTCCCAGCGCCGCCCGTGCTGTATATCTACGCAAGCGATGGCACGATCGTTGCTTGGCAGGTCGTGAACACAAAGGGGGTCGCCTATCCTGGAATGATCACTCCATCCGCAGTGACAACGTCCGCGGGCGGCGGGATGTACGCTGAGCCTACACCGACGCCTTCTACGCTGCAAGCACCAGCGATGGAAATCTCCACCTCATTTGGATCCTCGTCACCAGCAACGGCTTCACCAATGGCAGCGACACCATCTGGGGGTGCAACCTCCTCTGGATTCGGCTTCGGCGCTTTCGCCAGTGGCGCAACGAAGTTTGGACAATCGAGCATTGGTTTTAGCGGGAACGCTGACAACGGGACGCCCTCAGCCCCAGCGATGGCATCGCCCATGCCCTCGCAAAGACCTCCTTCACCTGAAGAGGAGACCATGGAAGCGGACAACGACGCCGGCGGTGGTTTCGGTGGACTGTCCCTAGGCGGCGGCGATGATACGAACAAGAACAAGACCTCGTCTGTCTTTGGGTCTTTTGGCTCCCCCGCTTCCACCGAGAACCAACCAGCTGCCGCCTTCGGAAGCTCGTCTGGCGGCGCGTTCAGTGGTCTAAAGCCAGCGACTGGCTTCGGTGCGTTTGGCAGCCAGGGCGCATCAGCGTTTGGTGCCCCTTCGGCATTCTCGAGTTCATCGGATTCTTCTCCGCCCTCTGGTGGTGCTTTCGGTAATATGAAGGCGGGCGCTGGCTTTGGCGCCTTCGCCAATCGAGGTCCGTCTGCGTTTGGTTCGGCGCCGGCATTCTCTCCTGCGTCGACAGCAGCCCCGTCTCCTCCGGTGTCGTCAGATGCGAAATCGACCTCTCCGTTTGGCGGGTCTATTTTCGGGCAACCGTCCACACCACCGAAGACAACCGCGTTCGGACAGCCATCTACTCCCGGACAACCTGCGTTTGGGCAGGCATCCTTCGGGAAGCCTGCATTTGGTCAATCTGCGTTTGGCCAGTCTGCGTTTGGCAAGTCTGGCTTTGGGCAATCAAGTTTCGGTCAACCTGCGTCCGGCGGTAGCCAATCTTCTACAACGACAGCGAGCGGATTCGGTGCTTTCGCACAGGCGAGTCCGACTGGCTTCGGTGCAGCACAGCCGAAGCCAGACGCAAAGCCCGCGTGGGCAGTCAAGGCCGAGGGTGGTTCTGCTGCTGCGGAGGCACCCAAGCCAGAAGTCAAGTCACCAGCGTCGGCGTTTGGGCAGTCAAGCTTTGGACAGTCAGGGTTCGGACAGTCAGGACTTGGACAACCCGGACCTACCCAGACGCCGTCAGCTTTCGGCACTAATGCCAACAAGCCATCTATCACTACCTCTGGCGGATTCGGTGCATTCGCTCAAGCGGGATCGAGCGGGTTCGGGGCTGCCGCCTCCAAAACTGATGCAAAGCCTGTCTGGGCAGCGCAGTCCAACAGCCAATCCACGACACCTGCGGAAAAGACCAAGCCTACACCCGCTCCTACCACTATCCCTGCTCCGACGACTCCTCCGCGCACGCCGCCTACCCCCAGTGAATCTCGTTCACCGACGCCGGAGAAGCGTTTTGAGGCCGCCACTCCCGTATCGAGTCCTCCCTCACCATCCTTGGCCGCCGCGCCCTCTTCAGCGCCGACAGGGAACGCCTTTTCTCAGCTGAAAGCGTCTCCCTATGGCTTTGGTAGCGTGGATTCTGGCTTTGGCGCATTCGGTGGAAGCGTGGCCGATACATCCTCGCCATTCTTCAAGGCAGTGACGAAGCCAATGGACACACCGGCTAAACCGGCTTTCGCAGCTGGAACTTCCGCCTTCAGTACTTCACCCCCGAGTGCTGCTACAGGTGCAAATAAGCCGGTTTTTGGCGCACCATCGCCGATTGGCGGTGGTCGATCTGTGTTTGGCATGCCAAGTACCCCCAGTCCGAAAGCGACGACAACGCCAACCACCACCCCGCCTTCAGGCGGAGCCTTCGCCGCTTTCAGCGGAACTAAGTCCCCGTTCGGTGCTGCGTCGAGCGGGGCTAAGTCTTTCAGCGAGTTGCTCCGCGACAAGACTGGTCAAGAACTCATCCAGCCCGTCAGACCATCGAAGACAGTGGTTGAGCAAAAGAAGCCCGTGTCCGCTTTTGCCAAGCTTCCGAAACCATCTGGTACGCGGAAAGTATACTGGCTGTCGCGCTGAGCTGATGTCGATGTTGTACAGACAATCAAAAAGAGAGCGACGTGGCAGAGTCTGGTGGCCTACTAGATGACGACGACATTAACTCTTCAGAAGAAGACGAACACGACGACGGAGCTTCCTTCTTGTCAGATTCTGAGGATGAACCTGACGCTGAAGGTAGCGAGGAAGGTAGCGAAGTGGAGGAAGGAGAGGAGGGCGCTAAACACGGAGAGGAGGAAGAGGAAGAGGAGGAGGAAGACGATGACGATGAAGACGACGAAGAAGAGAAAGAGAAAGGCGATGCGGTCAGCTCCTCTCCGGTGAAGTCTCCACTTGTCATGGATGCCTCGAAGGCGGAAAGTGGGACTGAGCATGCCAAATTGCCAACTCTGCTCAGTCGGATTGGGCCAACTACCGCTCCGGAAAGCAAGTCTGCTCCCGCAGTAGTGGTACAGAGAGAAGGGAGCACCACGCCTCCTGGCTCCCCCGTGCCTGCGAAACCTGCTTCTGCTCCGCCCCCTCCCTCCATAGGTCTTGTTCCACCACCGGTCGTTGCAACCAACCTGGGACCGATCGTTGCATCGAATCTGGGCAGAACCTCGACCCGGCCTATCCGCAGCTCTCCGCTAGCAAGCAAACCGATTAGTCAAGACGACGATAGCTCTGAAGGAGGACAGTCGCCCCCTGGTACACCGCCGTCCAGTTTGAAGCTCAAGGCGGCGTCCGGAGGGCAGATTGCACAGCATCTCGGCCAAAGACCCCCCCTTGTTGCCAACGTTCAAACCTGCGACGCCTCCGGCCGCGGCGCCTTTCTCTCTCGCTCCGCCATCCGTAACTCCTTCCGCTCCTTCAGCACCATCAACGAGCACACCCCTCGCACCCGCATCAACTAGCCAAAAGGCGGCGCCTTTTACGCTGGGCGCATCCGCTGCTCCGACCTTAGGTGTGCCCACTCTGACCCCTCCTCATCCTGGCAAATTCAGCCTGAGTCCTGCTGCGTCATCTTCAGCGCCCAAGACCTCTGAATCTTCACAGCCTGCTTCCGGTATCCTCAGACCCAGAACTCCGGTTGATACTTCAGTGGGCGCTTCCACGCCCCCCGCTGGTCAACTGAATGTACCTAAATCGCCGCCATCCCAGCCCAGCGCAAAGGGCATAAAGCTTACCCCGCCAACTCCGACTGGCAAGCTCCCCGTAGTAAAAGACTTGCAGGGCGAATGTGAATTTTTGGTCAAATATCTCGATGGCGAGTTTACACGGGTGAGATCAGTCCTGGTATCACCGGCCGCAATTACTGAACTCTCAATAGTTGTTGCCTCTTACGCAACTGGCAGCCAAGCGGAGAGTGGAGCTGTACAAAGCTGGTCTTAATCTAGCAAACCTGGATGAAGCGAACAACTGGCGCATCAGTGACTTGCCCCGCCTCGAGCAGTTGATGTTTATTGCGGAGAAGGATCTAGCACACGTCCAGGACCAACTGCAGTCATATATATCGGCGATACGAGACATGGAGTCTCAGTTGCTTAAGGGTTAGTTGTAGCTCTTCGCTGCGTGAAGTCCCACTGATGATCCCGGTATCCAGCGAGCACAAGAAAGGAGGAAGTCATACGTTTCGACAAGGTATCCAAAGATCCGGAGTTCGCTCGCATGCTCAAGGTCCGCACTCTGGGCCCGGAACACTTGGAAGCTCAAAGTCAGTTGCGTAGAGAAATCAGAGTACGTCGAGGCCAAGGTGATGAGGCGTGGCGGCTAACGTAGAGTTGTTTAGGCCGTCCGTGAAAGGCTGCAACAGCTCGAAGGGCATATGCAAGAGGCAAAGAAGAAACTTGCATACATGAAGTCTGGCAAAGCCGCGCTCAGGTACTGTCCCTCCTTGCTTACGCCTGAGCATCATACTGACTTATGAAGACCTCCTTCTTTGTCGCTCATCAACGGTACCTGTAATCATCTCGAGGAAGCTATCGAGCAGAACGAGGATGCCGTTGCAGACCTGTGTAGACGTACAGCTCATCTGAGCCTCGAGTTGGCGCCCCGCAGGTCGAGGTGGGATTACAGGATAACTGACGAAGACGTCACGCGACACGCGGAGGTGACACCTAATTTTGCCGTGTCTACTGCCGCAGCCTTGAACGCGGAGATGTCGGCGAACAAGTTGAAGCGCGCTCTTCTCGCTGCCCGCAAAGAGCCTCTGCTGAACACTCAAGCCATCTCGAAGATGCCTGTCGCTCAGGATTATGTCTTGCCGGAGGTTACGGCCGAGCCCCAGACGCCTCCTCCGTTTGGTGCGTGCTCAAGTGATAACTGCCTCCTCCTTTTTTCCTGACGAGGCGATGATTTCAGACGATTCCTTCTCCCCCGATGACCATTCGTCCCCCCCTTCCGGACATCGACGACTGAAGGCCGGGAAGTTCCACCAGAAGCCAATACAGCTGAAGAAGTCCGCTTCTCCGACGCCCCCGCCTACTGCCAGCTTCAGCTGGGGTCCATTGCCCAGCGTAACACCGCCAGCTCCCTCAAAGGCCCTACCGTTCGACCTGCGAAAACCCAGTGCGTCGCCCAGCGCCTCACCCACTCTGCCGTCGTTATCAGCTTCATGGGTCACGGATGGCTTCAGTGTCAAGACGGAAGGCGCTTGATGTCGCACTGTTCGTTATAAGCATCATTCTCTCTGGTATTCGTCGTGTCTTGTACTGTGATGTATCGACTATCTCGTTGTATTATGAACATTGTTGGATCGCTTCCAGTTCTACTTACAGCGGAATCCGACCTAACGTGTCTAAGCTTACTCTCAACATCCTGCTCCGCGAAGACCAGGAGCACATGTAGACACAGGCCACCGTAAAGCTTACACCTGCAGTGATGTCGTTAGGTCTCGTTGCCGACCTCGCGGAATAGGCAACCTGCGCGACATTCGGGTAGTGGCAGAGGTGAACATGCCCATCGCCGCTGTGATGTTCCCGATGTTCGGTAGACACTGCGTCTGCAACCCTTCGCGCACTAAGACTTCTTGTGGTACGAATGCTCTTCGAGTTCCGATCGGGATCGACGCAGCGAATGACAGACTCCAGCTATGGGACGAAGCAGACCGTTGGGGCGTAGTACGAAAAGAGCAGTGGCCAAGATGAGCACAGGGGTCAGCAACGGTACATTGTGTACGATGTAGTATGGTACAGAGTTGGTAGCCTACTCGAGAACGACCAGTCCCCGCAGAGCCAGCTCCCCAGCCGTCCGATATGAGGGATTCGGTCGCCCAATCTATGCCCAACACCCGGCGTGTGCCCGTTCGTACCCCCGTGTGCTCGATTGTACACTCCTCCTGATTCTAGTCGAAACTTACACATTGGATGTGCGATGACCCACTAGCGTCATTGACTGACACTATTACCATCCGCTCAATTACACCTACCGCCTCCACTGTGGATCCTTCTGGCATTAGCCTGGTAGTGGCCAGCCGCTCGCCTTCCTCTGGGAAGCCCTGTTCCAGGAATTGCCTTAGATCGGCGAGACACATCGACGCATCCCTGAAGACAACGACGAGCGCAAAGGCGTCCGCCTTTCGGCTGAGCCCACAATGCTGCACCGGACTGCCCTGGATGCGATAGATGATCGTCTCCATCTTCCTCCGCGTGCCCGTCGCAGGATCGAGCACGAGGATGAAGGTGAACGGATCCGCTTCCTGAGCGTCTCCATCGTCATGCCTGCCGAATGCAACGACTACATCCAGCGCAGCGACATAGTGGACCTCGCGCACAGCACCCCCGATGGGTTCAGCGCGCCATCGGACGGTCATGGCGTCCGAGTCGATGGCGTAGATCGTAGTCTGGCGGCAGCCGCCTCCCTTCGGAAGCGCGCCGCTGTCTGCCTCGTAGACAGCCAAGAGAAAGCTGTTCTCGCCCAAGGGCGCGCTGCACATAGGGTAAATGCGATCGCCATCCTCGAGGGAGACGGCGAGCTCGAAGCTCGCGTCCGGCTCCGGGAAATTCGGGACGTCGGGCCCGCGCCAGCGCAGGACGTCCATTTTGTCATGCCACGCCTCGGAGGACGTCGCGATGATGTCGCCGTTTAGCTTGAGCGCGACGGGCACGAGCACGCCTCCGACTGTGTTGAGCCGTTTTTGTTCGCGGGTCTTCAGGCGAGCAGGGAGGTTGACGCCACCCAAGAGCCAGTCTTCTCCCGCGACGTCGCAGAGCAGGAGAGTGGTGAGGCCGTCGGGCGGCGCGCCATCCTCGTCCTCTTCGACAGCGGCGAGAATCTTCCCATCGGCGTACTGGAGCGGGACCCGCGCAAGGGAGCCGTAAAGCTCGGGCTTCCGGATGAGCCGACCGTCGGTGAGGCTGAAGACCCAGAGGAGAGGAGAGCCTGAACCGCGATCGGGGATGACGACGATGCTACGCTCGATGTCGATGATGGGGTTGAGCCCAGGCGGCGTTTCACGACCTCCCTGTTCGCCGTTGCCACCCTATTCTGCGCACTTCTCCTCGTACAAGCCGCACCTGTGAAACCACTGGACGTTGCGGAAGTGTGCGGCAAGATCACTAGTTGCGACGATTGCGGTGCGCTACTTCTATCTGGCACAAGGGAGCGATGCATTCTGACTTGTCAGCCAATTGTAGTGAAGAAGAGTATCTGTGGATTCACCTACGACAGCAAAAAATGCGTCGCGAGGAGTACAGATACAGCCTCCAACGCGGCTCAGTGCAAGAACGTAAACAAGGTAGGTTCTTGCGGTTCTCGGCAATATAACAAAGCCTTGATAGACTTTTTGTCCGTTCCAGCAACCCGCACAAGGTGGGGGCGAGTCCAGGGCAGATGCGGAGAAGATCTGGAAAGGCATGGAGAGTCATGTCTTCGATGGTCGCAGCGACAAACCTACATCCGGAAGACATCTCACCTCGACCTGGTTCAAGGTAAACCAGAAGTCTGAGAAGATGGTCATCAACACACAGACGTCGCTTGCAACAGTCCCCTTTGGAGTACGTCCTTTCGTCCGTTTGCCCCCACGTTAGCTATTAAGTGTCGAAAACTGACTCTGCCCTCTGTAGCTGAAGCAGAAGAAAATAAAGACGCTGTTCATCGATGACAAAAGGACGGGGCTCGTCAACAACAAGGAGCAAGAGTTCACTGGCAAGTACACCAGGGACACAGTCGCGCGGATGTGCACAGACGCAATCGAGAAGTCGCTGGAGGAGAGCAAGTCCAAGACCTCTTTGCTTGCAGGGGACAACGCCTACGCCGTGAGATCCTTCGACGGAGGGCCGAACGTCTGCGTTACCGTTAACAAGGACAGCTGTTTTCCGCAGTCGGTCAACCCCACAACGAAGCAGCCCGGGGAGAAATGCGGAGGTTGTAGGATGCGGAGCGTGTTCGCGTAGTGACTGGTATTTTGTATGCAATTCTAGAACGAAACGATATCGTGAGGGAAAACGCATGCTTCGGTTCAGCGCAGAGCTCACCGAGAACCGCGAGAAGTCAATTCCTTCCGAGACCAGTTCGGGACCAGCAAGCGCCAGTACTCAAGCATGCTGCATTGACCTCGAATAGTAAGCATCGCATGGTTGTGTGCGGATACCACGGTTTATGTCCTCGAATGAGCTAACGGACACTTCGGTAACACGCTTCAGAACCATCATGAACGGAGCCCGACCACTCCCTACCTGTACCTCTGAATGTGACAAGCTCCATTCGTACTTCGGCATCGCAAGAATCGCTTGCACCTTGTCTGTGTGAACGTCCCAAGCCCAACATCAATCGCAAACACTGAAAGCGATGTGATTGTTTTGCCTAGACACCCTTGCAAGCTCACGGCAAATACGAGGGCCAGGGAGTAGATGCTACAGTAGGTGACACGCACAGTAGACCTCTAGATGGTGAAAGGATACTCGGCATCAAATTGCTCCTTGTCAAGCGTCCGACCGTGCTGGTTAATAAACTTCGTCAGTTCGGCATTGAGCTCTGTGGGGCATGTCAGCGTGTGCTCTGAATGGTTTGGGGGGTAAATGGTTTACCGTTGAGCGGCATGGGCTTTGTGCATTGAAGAGAGTAGTGGTCCGAATGCTCGTGGAGGATTGTGAGCGAGTCGGGCAACGGTGTGCCTGTTGTGGGAATACGACAAGATCAGTATGCTTGCGACGACATATCGGGCCGTCCACGCGTAGCAAAAGTGGCAGATAGTACGTCCGCTTTGATGGTCTGGTTCACGGGAGGGACATAGCGAAGTCGGACATATTGACGCACCTTCTTTGAGCACATACACCAGGATATTCGCACCCCTGAAATTTCTCACGACCTCCTGGAATGTAGGCGACAATGGCGGTCTTAGTGAGCATCCGTTCGGACCTACTCAAACGTACATCATCGCCGTAAACAGAGAGCAGAAAGAGGACCGCATGAGAAATATTAATATAATGACTTGAAGAGGCTGGCGCACCGATGAAATTATCCCCCTTCGCAGGCAGCACCAAGCCTTCGGGCGAAAGCTTCAAATCATAGCTAAATCGTTTCAACGCTTTCTGCTGTTCATAGTCACGTAGATTGACGTTAGACCCAGACTGGACGCGAGCAAGCTCTACAGGGACATGGTTGTAGCGGCCGAGTAGAGGGCGTGGAGTCGGTGCAGTCGCATATGTGCGACCGAGGGCGAGAAGTGCAGATGGGACGCGGGGCGTTGACGACGAGCAACGGAGGAGAGAAGAGGACAACATCGTTGGCGGGCAAGCAGCCACCCGAGCAAGTCCAGATGTTTACGAGCATGTGACCGTGGCAAATATCGTGGGCACTTGTAAAGTCGCGTCGATCCTCGAGACCCGACCAAGCGTCGACCGTCCAAACGTTCACCGGCACCGGTCACTGTGTGCAGCTCCTTCAGCGCACACTTTAAATACCCGCTCATTACTCAATATCTGGAGCGATAGTGATGGCACATGAGCCTTTATGCGGGAAGTATCATTGCAGCGCCATACGGGTCGGACATACCGCTCAATGTGGTCAGTACGTGCGATCGGATATTGGTAGAAACTATTGTGCTCAGAGGCTGCAGGAAGTCCCACATACATCATGATAGCACGATCGCTAGGCAAGTGGAAGTTGGTTTCTAGATTCAGGATTACTAGGACTGATTAACGACATTCTCTGAAGGTGATGTTGCATGATACATGTGGGGAAACGATGTGCATATGCGACCCAGCGCTCTACTACGTGCAGGCCTTGCGCATGCCGCACGAGCACACCGGGGCTAGATGCATCACTTTCACAGCGCCGGTGACGGCGGTCTGGAACGACGGGATCTAGCACCCACTACATGCCCCATTCATGCTGTTTGTCGCTGCTGATCAGAAGTTCTCAGTTCGCTTGCACGTCAGCGTGTTGCGTTCGTGTATAGCGCGGCGATGAGTGTACGTCTGTGTGCGTGCCTGAGACATAAATCATGGCCGTGATTAGCGAGGGCGGTCACCGCTCATGATATTGTCAACATCGGTCGCCGAAATCGCAGACACCATCTGTCTCGATCCACCAGGTGACATCCCGGGACAGTTTATAACTCGACCTTCCGTAGTAAGGCCAACAATACATCCTCACACAACACGTTCAGACAAGTGCAGCCCAGGATGCCATCGCTAGCCCTGGCCAATGGAATCGAGTTCCAGTATACGGACAGCGGTATACCCACACCTCAGGATGTTCCCTATGTGACTGTCATCGCGGTGCATGGGATGGGATACAACGGTGGTGAGCGACAGTACCATGTGTCTAGAATGCGTTTGACGATGTTTGTTCGACAATATCAGGTATCTTCAACCGAGTGCAACAACTCGCCAAGGACACAAAGCTGCGCATTGTGGCAATTAATCGCCGTCAATACGTGGGCTCGACGCCTATTTCGGACGCAGAAGCGGCGTTGTTAGTGTCCGGCAGCGACGAGCAGAAGGCGGAAGTTTTGGCTGCTCGTGGCGTCGAGCTCGCGCTATTTACTGTCGCGCTCATCAGGCAGGAAAGCATCCCGCCAATCTCGACTGACAGGAAAGGAGGGGGTGTGGCGCTGCTCGGATGGTCTTCTGGGAACGTCGTAACCCTTGCGATGGTCGCAAACATCGAGAAGTTACCGTCTGATTCGAAGAGTTGTCTCGCGACCTACGTGCGTGCACTCATCCTACAAGGTAAGTCATCTACGTATGGCACAATCGCGAACTCGGCTGAATCATGTTTTAAGAGCCACCGTCCCTCGCCATGGGGTACCCACTTCCGACGGGGACTTGGGCTCCCCACATGGACCCATCCATACCGGCCGAACAGCACACACCTTTCTGGGCACAATGGATCACTTCGTACTTCGATCATGGAGACCTCTCCAGCCGTGACCCCACTGCGCTCTCGTACACCGTCCCATCGTTTACTCGTCGGCCGACAATTTACGGCATGACTGCAGACGAGCAAGAACAGATCCTGGACCAGTCAGTGTCCGAGATGCCGGGTATGTTCTGCAGCGCCGCTCAAGCCCTCGCGAACACCCGTAAGGCATGTTTTGACCGCGCCGTACGAGCGCTCCTTCCCAAGATGAAGATATGGCATATTGCCGGGGCTCGGTCTGCGTCCTTCGCGATTCCTGGTCGCTGGAGTCTAGAGGACGATGACAAGGCCAACGGAGGGGCACTCCTGAACTTCATATTGATCCCTGGTGTGAACCACTTTGTAAGTGTCAGCTTTAGCTCACCGATTGATGTGTCTGAAACGAGCCTGGCTAGATGCAATGGGACGATCCTCAAGAGACGCTGAAGGCATACTTAGAGGCTCTTTGAGTCGACATGGTGCTGTCGATACCTACGGTGCAAACAGCATCTGGTGGAGTTCTAGTAGTGATCGCAGTTGTTAGGAGGTACCTGCCTTTCAGATGAGGCATGTCGCGATGATGCTCGCGACGCTATCCATCGTCCTACTCCGAGTTGTTGACTCCCAACACCATCAGCATCATGATAGACGTGAAGAGAACATCAAATGCATCAGCGCCGCCGCGAGGCCGGGAACGGTTTGGAGGCAACTGTTTGCTGTGCCGCGAGTCGTGAGACACCTTGAGAGCGCCGCATTGAAGGAATTCGAATTGTGGGTCCATGTCTATGTCATCTTCATCCTTCGTATCAAAACGGACCTAACCTTGCTTCCTTTTCACGCCGTGACTAGTGATGCAGAAGATAGCATCACATGAATGCATGTGCTACAGTACGTATAATCGTCCTTGTGCGGGTAGCACCGATCAAGCTTCTGCGGGTGCCCTGTAGGTACTCCGTGCTTCATCGTGGATTGAATGAGGCAACCAGCATGCTGTTGGAGCACGAGGTACCCTCAACATATAGCCTGCGATCCCATCCTTTTGGTACGTGATCCCTGAAGGTCGTCTTGTTCATTAGTGCCTTGTTTCGTCTGGGCGTGCCTCTGGGTCTTACCTGAAGGTCGACATGCCCTGTGAGCCCCACAACATCACGTTCGACGACAAATCACCCCTCTTTCATTATCTACCTTCCAAGGATGGTCCATCGAACGTGTCCTGGTCCATCGCGGTCGGACAAGCTGGATACCGGGTAGGTTGCGATGTTATCTCCAAATTGTAGCTGTGACTTACCTTGACTTCGATGTTATTTATCCAGGAGCAGCATTATACAACATACCTAACCGGGGCATCGGTCATGTTCGAATGGACAGGCACCGCAGTGTGGTTGTATGGCTCAGGAAACGTGACAGCATACGAGATCGTGACAAGCTGGGCCAGTGGAACCGTTCTAGGTGTAGGAACGCCGGATACCGGCGGGCTCCTCTTCAGCGAGCCAAACCTGCCATACGGTCCGTACTCTGTGACACTCGTGGTCCATCAGGAAAACCCTCTTTCCGTAATTCGTGGTAATGTTCTAAAATTGTCGATAATACACAGAACACGGCAGAACACTCAATAATACTTTGCCATTATGAATCCAATGCATCACGCCTCTCGTATTCGCGAGTATTATTCCGAAGTCAGTACTTGTTTCTCGCATGTGCAATAATTTGCATATATTCGTATCACTGGGTACATATTGTCTATAAAATCGTGGACTGCATAGTATTAAGCCCAAGGGTCTAGACTACATCATTACAAGTTAGTACTACAGGAGTCATTCATCTGTGGCCAAGCACAGGTATACCTATGCGTATCCTAGGCTCGACCCGTGCACATACCCACCCGGGTACAAATCCACCACAGCAGATACAAGGTCCACATAGGCAATTGAGACGGCGAGCGAGCGGGACAGCAGGCAGGCAGAATGGCGGGTAAGTGGAATGGTGGGTAAGCAAGACGGCGAGGGAAATAACAGGTGAGAGGAAGACAAGTGTGAGGGACGACGGGTATAACGAGATGGTGGGCGAGCAGGACAGCGGCGAGGGGAGCGACAGGGAGTTTGACAACAGACGAGGGGGGCGGCGAGCGCGGGAAACGGCGGGCGAGTGGAATAGCGGATGGGCGAGCTGGACAGGGGGCGAGGGCGAGAACGGGTGACCGAGTCAGCGCGCGAGCGAGCGAATTAGCAGACAAACCAGTAAGATGACGTCGTGGCGTGCCCTTCCTCAGCAAGCCTACGCGCGCTGATGCTCGGCGGGCTTTTGCACGCCGCACTGAGTGCCTGGCAGGCTGTTGATCATCGCGGTCCTGCTCGATGGGCTGTGTTGTATCAGGCTTGGGCACATCGTACTGGTGTGCAGCGAGCTGGCCGATGTCGTATCAGTGCGCGCCGTATCCGTATGCGCTTGTGCTCGTTGGGCAAACGTGCGCCGGGGCCGTCTCTGTTGTGTTCGACTCCATCCACTTGTCCTTGATGGGCATTCTCGGAGTCGAGGTAAACAGCGGTGTACTCGCCTGACTCGCTGGCCCTGCTGGCCGCAACCCGCATTCCTCGCTGCACGTCAGCCCTTCGCGAGCGTCCAGCGACGCTCTTGGCGTGTCGCTGGGGCTCGTTACGGTCGCGTACAGCGCGATCTAGAGCCGCGTGGTGGTCCGATGCACACGCCATCTCTTGCGGACGGGTCCACAGGTCCGTACTGGAGATCGGCGGTGGGCAACTTGAAGTGAGAGCGAAGCAGACAGGGAGGAGCGGGCTGACTGTGAAGGCGGACTGTGAGACTGGAGAGTCAAAGTCCAGCGAGCGCGCGTGACGTGTCGTGGCTGAGGCGCTTAGCACTTCTCGCGACTTGCCCGCAACCTCCACGTCCGCATCGACTCAACTTCAACGCTGCGCTCAACGTCAACGATGCGCAGTAGCGTTAAGCCACACACGAAACACGACGGAGAAGCAATGGCAACACGGTGTTGGGGGAGGCGGGCCCTGGCAGGGTTAGTACAGGTGAGTCGTTCGCCCACTTGCGCACGCGAGCATACGCTCGCCCGCCCTTCTCGCCCGCACAAGTCGCCTCCCCCCGTCTGTCCTTCTTCCCATCGACCCGGCCGTCATCCCCGAAGAAGCTCTCGCTGGCCAGGCCGTCTAAGGTGCCATCGAGGAGGCATGAGAAGGCCCGTGCGCGGCTCCTCGGACCCATCCCGCTCGGTGGACGCATGACGCGTTCAGTTGCGTTCCGCCCGTCTTCTCGCCCGCCTGTCTTCTCCCGCCTGCCGCCAATCAGTATTCCCATTGCTGCAGCCTGCAGTTTGAGTCCTACACCGACCTAATCGAATCAGGTACGCGTCGCACGGTTAAGAGTGCTCACCCAGTGTCCGGACAGTGGGTCACGTACCTCCCCCTCGGCGTGGCAACCCTCATTGACGCGATCATCGCGCTCTCGCTGTCTCCGTTGGTGTGTTGCAACAGCATAGACTCAACCATCACTGTGTTGATGCTCTACACGCAGAACACGGGCGTGATCACGAGGTACGGCACCCCTCCTTTGACAATCCGGAGTGTCCTGCTGAACGTCGAACCCCTGCACAGTCTATGCTCGCTGACAGCGATCATCGCGGTGCGTTATCTCTAAACACGTATGTACCCACCTCTGACTCCGCCTTCTGCCGCAGATGACCGCGCTGCCTACGACGTTCGCGGCCATCAGCGTCGAGTTGATGCTCACTAAGCGTGCGTCCGCCTTCCCTCCCAAAACTATCCCAACCCTAATCCTCCCCACAGTCTACATCAACTCCTTCCTTGCGATGTAAGTCTCCCCCTCCCTGATGTGCTCATGACCACTAACTCCGCGTCCCCAGGTTCAACGTGCGGAACAAGCTCCGCATCCGAAGCTCCATCGTCGACACGAAAGACGCCCTCGGCCGCCCATACCCACTCGCCTCCGAGTCCACGCTACCACCTGCCGCTCTCCTACCCAGTCGTACGGGTCAAGCTCGGGAGTTCCACGCAGACAAGGTTCGCAAGGTTGAATAGATCAGGTGTTGGCTGAAGCACTGAGTGCTACATGATGCATAGGTGTTGATGACGAGTAGTGGACAAGTAATATATGTATATGTTAGAAGTAGTACTTGCCTACGAGTTGTACCCACTGTAATGTCTTGGATTGCCGACAAATGATACATCAAATGTTTCCTCATACCTATTTCTGTGTGCAGACTGTGTTATGAACTCCAAGAATAAAAGGAATGATCCATATAATGATGGGGAAGTGTGGCTGTATTCGGCATGAATATCGTGTTATTCGCAAGTCGACCTCCGGACCATAGCGAATAAAGCACTACTGCAGCGAATGTACGAATGGCTACAATTACTCGTTCTTCGCCGTAATAATACGATATTCGTTGTTATTCTTCAAGGAGGGTTTTCCTGATGGCCTACGAGGCGTCTCAGACGTGAGCGTTCCATATCTCAGTAACTCGGTGTAATGAAAAGACCATTATGATCCTAGGTCATCTGCAGCTGCCTCTGGTGTAGGCACAGACGTCTCGACTGCATCAGCTCTCTTGCCACCAGTATCTTCGAGCGTGTCGCGGTCATCGTCTTTCACTGCCGGAGACATTTCGGGTACCGTGGTGGGTTAAATCGTGTCGCAGTTTGTGTACATGCTGATAGACTTCTCTTGTCAGGTAGGCGCTGTGGTTGGACTGTTTGCCATCCTCCTGGGAGCCTTCGTCCTCATCTATAGACGTCAACGACGTCAAGGGATGACAGTCGTGGAAATTGAGCCTAGTTCGGATAGTCGGGAAAGTTATCCAGAGGGTGCAATCAGTACCTCGAACGCAGTGGACACCTCCGCGAATACCCAGACGCGTCCTGGCCCTCACATCAGTGGTTCGCTCGTGTCTACACCCTCGCCCTGTAAGTACTAGTAACTATTACAACAATACATCTGCCCTGATCACTGCGTTCATACAGACACCAAATCGTATGCGGACTCTGACGCACGTCTATCGTCCACTCCTCCGTTCCAGTCGTCATATGCTGCTGCTCGGAGCGATTCTCCGGTCAGCTGCCCGAAGCTTGGTGATCAACCGAGTCACTTCGCCCCCGATTCAAGATTGCTGCTAGTACAGGAGCAAGATGCAGGCCCTGTACCCCCGTCATATAATCCAGAATGGAGTAAACCGGTGGACAACGAAGTTGACGCGACTCCGCGCTAGTGTAGACGTTACTGCTGACGGCCGGGTATGACGTCGTACAGGCCGCGCGACTTCAAGTTGGGATGCTTCAAGTTATATTAAAATGTACCTGGATGATGTCGACTGATGCAAGCAAGGATTGCGGTCGCGGGCGGGGACCAGGCTGACACTGGGCTCTCAGTCATATGACATAATCGACGGGTACCACGTACACGTACAGAGGTACAGACGTACAGACGTACAGACATACGGGCGTACAGATGTACAGATGAATTAGGATGTGTATCCGGGCGATACTATGCCCACACTTATACGCAAATAGTAGGGTGTGGACTACAGATACAAAGCATAACAAAGCAGTCACAAAGCGATCAGAAAGCGACAGCTCACCAGCGCATACAGTAAAGTAAGGTCATAAAAAGTAGATATGGGTAGAGCAAGTTCAGCTCATTTCTTTGAAACGGCACGAGCTCAATCCTCCTAGACCCAGGGAGTTTGTGAGTATCTGGACCACGTCGCATCATGTTGCCTACTCACGTGTATTCATGCATCAGGATCGTCAGCTCCAGTACGACAGGCATGGCTGTGGAGATGCCTGCGCAGCGACTCTGCTCGCGTAAATGTCGCCATGCACTTCTCGCACCGCACCGTCGTCGCGACGCGCGCATGGATCTCAAGCACATGCCGCCAGAGGTTGTTCATCGACCTGCGCGCGCACCTCTTCCACTTGCAGCCGCTCTTCGCCCCGCGGTCCTTCGCCCTGGAGTGTGCTGGAAAGTCGGCGTGGTGCGCTTCCTTGAGATGCGCCTTGACCGCGTCCTTCGTGGCGTCGACACGGGTGCGGCAGCCGTCCCACTTACACGTCACGTACGCCGCCTCCGAGTCGTTCGGAGGCATCAGAGAGGCCCCCGGCGTGCTCGAGCTTGCGCTGACAATCGGCTGCGGCGCCTGCTGTAACTTACCGAGATTCCCGCCAGATTGAGCTGCCGCTGGCACACCCTGAGGATGGATCAGCTTTACCGATCGATCAGGGCTGTTCGACCCTGGCAGTGGGTGCCAGTCGCCAACGGGAGTTTCGGGGAAACGGGTTTCTCCGTGCTGCATCCAGTGTTGGTGGCCTGCGTCGTCCTGCGCTGGGCCAAGTTGCTGCAGAAAGATCGGACTTATACCCATGCTGGGCGTCCATTGTCTGCCCTGATGAGAAAAGGGTTAATGATGATGTCTGGTCCAGGAATATAGAATGAGTACTCACTGAGGCACCGGATGCAGGCGTTATGATGTGGTTGAAGGAGCGCGGGTCGAAGGAACTCGTGTAGGAAGAGTTGCCAAAAGAGGGTGCGTCGGTCCAGACCATATGGGTCTCTTGGGTGCGCGTCGCATCTGCCGGCCAAACGGAAAATGCTGACTTCCATGCCAGCACCGGAGTCTAGCAGTCAATGTCGAGTGAACAGAGTCGCGAAGACGCATACTCACCGTCTCGTATCGTCCTGTTACATGCTCCATGGCCGGTGCGGTGCTCATGTCGGGGTACGATCCTTGCGAAAATCCCCCGTTCGTGACCCAAAAGGGTTGCTCGGCGACCACTCCCAGAGACGCGAGGAATCCGTCCTGCGACTTATGGAGGCGTTGTGCAGAGATAGAGTTGTCCATTCCGCCGGCGTGTACTAGTACTTAGCGTGCTTGAGCATGGGGTTTATAAGCTGTTTCGCAAGATGCCGTACGACGAAAACAAACATACCTGTGGTGCTACAGTAGAAAAAGGTTGACGAGCCGAGAGAAGATGAACTGGGCGGCGGAGTGGGGTGCAGCTGCGGTGCTTCATCCTGCTCATATACCTGGAGGCGAGAGACCACCTGCGCACACGTATGGTCGTTGAGTACAGCCAGGAACAAAATGTCGGCTACCATTAGGACGTACCGTACGATCGCAATGCCACAGTGGCACACGCCGATTGAGTCAACTTGGCTAGGCCCGGGAGGGCTTCGGGAGGAGCGGCTACACAGGGTCAAAACGAAACACTGGCAGCAGCCGAGGCGGGATCAAGGAAGGAGGGCGAACTTTCGGCGCCGGCCTAATACAGTTCCATGCACTAGCCCTGCAATGCTCCTCCCGCTTCATCCATTCCATTGAGTATTCCGAATTTTTAGCACAGCGTTCTTTGCTCCGTACTAGTTGTCAATGTGCACTTTGATGCGTTCGTATTGGAGAGATAGAAATTGAAAAGTACACGCATCAATCCCCGACAAGTAGCCTCGTTCCTGGAGATCTCAAGATCATCAATATGTCTGCACCGAGTACTAGTACCGGCTGCCACTGAGCGCTACGTGAAACAACGTCGATTGCCGAGCAGACTTCGAGAACCCGCGACTCGGACGCAACATAGAGGCCCATTGTTCGGTGGCATCGGTTTGACACGGCTTCACGTTTGTACTCGTATTGAGTATCTCGTGAACCGTACTTAGCGCTACTGAGTGTACTATGAGGTGAGCAGGTGTATTCGTTCATCAGATTAGCTCGCGTGAGCAAGCACTGGCGAACATCAGCCGGACAACTCCAGGGACGTACTATACGTACCGTCAACTTCAAGCTTTCGTGCAGCTCAGCTCGCCCTCGCCACACCTGTCCTGCACATCATTAGACGCTACTATCACCTCCTTCTTCGACGCTGAAGGCACACAAAGCTTGGGGCGGCGTGCGTCGTCGTTCGATTGAGACGTTGAGAACAGAGGTGCGGGCCAGGTCGTCAAGCGACCGCCACAACGCAGATCTCGCTCACACTTACTTACTTATGGAACTCGCTGAAATATGACAGAACCTTGTAACAGTGTGTTTCAGACTGTGAAACGACCGAAACGTTAACCGTCGCAAGGCCGCGGAGCTTTCTCACCTATTCTCACGGATGAATCTTCGGGCGATCGTCCATCCCGTCCACTGAGTTGCCTCCACGCGACGCAAGCGAATATTCCTGAATCCACGTCAGGCAATGGCAACGGAGGCATGCCACGATGAGTCCTGGCAGACAGCCTTCTACGTATGCGAGGTACAACCTGGTGCAACTGCAAACCGCAATCGCAAACTCGATGAACCAACGCAACCTGGTGGCCCCGGTACACTGATTATTTCGTAGTGGAGGTTGAAGGAGTGATGGCTGCTCCTATGATTTTCAAGGAGGTGTATGTCCCTCGTACGTGTCGCCGGAGTGGTTACAGTAACTTATGTTTGGACCTGTGTCGACAAGGAAGTCGCAGCGGCGCAACTTCGAAGCTGCACATTGCACGAACAGTCCATCGTCATCGATTCATCCCTGGCAATGATCTAGTCGTACAAGTACTTCGATTCTTCACACTGACTACAACATCGCCCCCCTAACGTGGCAGTAGTAACTGGGTACCGTAAATGCATGCAAAAGCGATGATTGAACAACAGCCATTTGAGTGTGGGGGTCCGTCTACGGGATAGGTATGTGCTATTATGCAAGATCGTCATGGGGCGGGGTGCGTCGTGACTCGGAACTCGGGGCGCGGGGTGGTAGTGGAGGCGGTTGGAGGTTGAATGTGACTTCGGCGAACGGCGAACGTAGGATCCTATTTGAGGAAGAAAAGGTACGCGCGGTGGGTCTATGCGTGACCGTCATTCTCGGATTTCAGCAAAGGGCTTCAAGTTGGTGAGACCCGCAAACGGGCACAGGTCGTGGCAGCCATTAATAAGAAAGACATGGGGAGACCGGGACCGCAACGACGAGCCCGGCTATGCCCACCTGCCCAGGAGCGCCATGAGGCCCGCGCCGAGCATCATGCACCCGAGTGCGAAGACGAGCTGCTTGTTGCTCCCCCCGATCATCTCCTTGTTAAAGATAAACTCGTGCGCCAGAAGCTACCACACACCCCGCCGTCAGTCACCCGCAGTCCAAACCAACACGCAAGGGGGCTCACCTCGACGAGGGCGGTGTAGATGAGGATGCCCGCGCTGAACGCGTCGAGCACGCCGGAGACGATGTTCGCCGTCGCGCCGTTCGGGTTGTACGTCGAGCGCACGCCGAGGCCCGCCGCGATCCCGATGGGCGTCGTGATCCCGAAGAGGACCGCGCCGACGACGGGCACGTACGCGTACTTCTGGGGCAGCTCCATGAATGCCAGCCGCGAGCCGACACCGAGGCCCTCGAACGTCTCTGGAGTGGGGAGCGGTGTCAGTGAAGGCTTCGACGGAGGTAGGAGCGAGGGGGACTCACGGTGGAAGACGATGACGATGAAGAGAATCTTGAACTCTTCGTCGACGGCGAGGGTCAGGCCAACCAACACACTGTTGACGACCGTGAGCAAAATGTACGACGCCGCAGCGAGATGCACGGCGTACATACCTGTGCAGCACCACGCCGAACTCGAGGATCGCAATGCCGATGATTTGCGCGATAGCCGAATCCGAGAGGGCGCCATGCATACCGTGGTCATGCGCATGTGCGTCGTGGTGCGCAGAGCCCTTCTCGGGGTCGCTCATGCTCAATTCCTCGCTACGAATGTCGACCGCGTCGGGGTACTCGAGTTGCATTTTGGCGGCGACTGCGTCAGCGCCTTGGGCCTGCACCTCCGGGCCGTGTGCGGAGTGGGACCCCGTGGCGAGGCCGTGGCCGTGGGCGTCGTGCTTGAGCCCGACCCTCGCGAGCACGGCGGTGCCCCAGCGGAAGGCGATGAGCTCGACGATGAAGATCATGAAGATGCTGCAGAGGCAGATCGCCATCGCGTACGGCTGCAGGCAGTCGGCGGTGATGTCAGCGGGCAGGCGGGTGGTGAGAGGGTGCAGAAGTGCGTACGTAATTCTGCCATGCTTCCGACAGGCAGGGAGAGGTGAGCTCCTGGGTTGCGGGGTCGAGCAGGTGGATGAAGGCCGTTGCGATCTGTTCAAGGCGGTCAGCGATTCTGTCGATGAGGCGCGAGGAAGGCACTGACGATGACACCGCTGCCGAAGTACTTGGCGACCTTGAAGGCAGTCTCGGGGATGACCACCCCGAGGACCCTATGCCGGCGAGCTAGGACAGGGAAGAGAGCACCGAAGAGGGACGTGGCGAGGATGATGAAGATCGAGGCGATCCGGAGGTCAGTGTACGCGTCGGAATTGTTGACACTGTTGCAGTCGTCTCTGCCATCCCTCGCGTAGAGTCTGTGGGCTCGCATTGTTGAGGAAGAATGTAGGGGTGCCGAAGTCGAGGGTCTGGTGCGCTTGACTAGCGTCGGCTGGGGACTGCCTGCTTGCGGTGGAGGGAGCGGTCGTTGGAGAGACGGGGTGGAGAGTTATATAACGAAGGAGGGAGGTGGGATGGAGGAAGGCAGCGCGGGAAAGCAGGCTGAGACGGCACTGGGCAGTGGGTAGGGTATCGTCCGGTCAACGCCTGCACTGGCCAGCAACCACATCGTCGATGCACCCATCCGCCACAACACTGCGAGGGTCCTCGCCAGCGCTTCCTCCCGTCTGGCCAATCACACGCCTTGCTTTAGCAGATTTCTCCATCACGTGCACCGAGTACCCTCGCGATCGCCAGCACCGAGCAAGTCCTCGGTTGCTCCTCGGCGACGTCCGCTTGTTTGCTTCCGCCACTATGCTGGTCGGGACGGTCGCACTCACGGTCCCGGCCACTGTACGCTACCGCCTGCTGACCTCCAAAAGTATTCGGTTCAAAGTATTCGGTACCCTCAATGGATTGGCCTGATTCAGGTTCAGACAGGCAATAGAACCGTACGTAGTGTCAGACCAAGGTTTGCTCGTGTGAGGCTCCTCACCGTCAAAATAGGCAACGGCGGCCTCTTTGGCACACGACGAGGTACAATGTCACTTTCTCTATCTCCCGGTCAGTGTCTGCCATCGACATCGCTCGACATCGAGGTCCCGTCCAGTCACCGTGCCGGTTACGTGCCGATGAGGTCTACGAACAATATTGTGCCGACCGCCCAGGTACGTCGGCATACCTAAAGGCATGGCTCAGTTGAAACTACGGACGCAACAGAAAATAGATGGTGTCACCACAGCTCAGAAGGGAATGCTACGTCTTGCGAGGCCAGGAGAAACCACATGGTTCGGCCTTGAATTGGACTCGCAAAGTTTCGGCCTGGATGTGACAATACCAACGTAAAATACAATTCTTGCTCCCAGCTGCAGGTAATGTGCTTCGTTATGACATCGCCTTTGATAGCCAGTGACTCAACCAGTGTCTTTCCAAGCCTTAGATACAACTCGTCGCAGTCCCGCCGTAGGCCCATCAAAGGCACCAATCACGAATCTTACCGCAGTACCAATGGATCTCTCACCTCACGTAGCTCCGTGCGGCTCCCTGAAACTCATCGCCTCTCGTCCAGTGCTCGGAACAACCGGCCCACATGCACGCGCGCTCTCCTGCACCCTCGCAGTGACGGCCTGCGCCAATGGTCCACCAAGCATTCACATCCTACCATCCTACGGTGCTCCCTCCACTGCCTCCCGGAACGTCCCAAGCACACCCGCACTGCGACGTAACTTCGTGGCGACGTCGCTGGAGGGACCCAAGGGATCCAGAGACGTATTTCCCAAGGACTAGGTTCATGCCTCGGAATGGCCGATTAGGTTGCGGCGTCCGCCCAATGGGAAACGCACATATTTGACCGTACGGTATGCGATGTCCCTTTCCGGACAAATGCATATGCGGAGGAGGATGCATATGCGGAGTTGGGGGAGGGAAAGAATGGTGAATGGGCCGTCGTACCCACGCGTGCAGAGCAACGTCACATAGGCGAGTTCGTTGGCCTCGTCAATGATGATGGACGCACATCGACAGCGCCGGAGCGGACTCCTTGGGAGGCGCGGCCATGGTCGCAAATTTCGCGTACTCGCACGTGGGGATGAGTCGAGGGAGCTAACTTCGTCGCGCGTTTTCGCGCGGGCTCGCGCCAAATTTGACCCCGTCACATCAGCCCTCTTCTTACGAGTTTTTCGACCGATGAGACCAGAAATTCATCTGCGTGACTTCTGCGCGAACTCGGAGGTTGCTCACCGGCACCGCCCACCGTTGCACAGTTAAAGCTCCTGTGAACATTCGATGGATCATCGAACTAACAGACCGCAGAAGGAATACGCATCGTGCGTGACATAACTGAGGCCTCACGCTCAAGACTGGAATGCCTCCATCCTGGTTCACAGGAAGCTACTAAACCCTACCATTACGAGGAGATCTACATACAGCTACAAACGACCTGCAAAGTCTCAGTCTAACCCCGAACCACCACGCCCCTCGTTCACCCACTCTTCGCCTGCCTCGCGACGCCTCCCCTGCCCGCGAAGCCCCACTCGATCTGGTGCGACTGCGTGACCGTCACGCCGAGGTCGTCCGCGAACGCCCACACCGTGCCGGGGTTCTTCTGGAACTGGCGCCCGACGAAGATGACGTCCGCCGCGCCCTCGTCGAGCACACCCTGCGCGAGCGCGCCCGTGTTGATCGTGCCCACCGCGCCGACGAGGAGCTTCTCGCCGTGCGCCTTCTTCACCGCCGCGGAGAACGGCACCTGCAGGAGCTTGTGCTGCAGCTCCGGCGCGAGCTGGAACTTCTGCGCGGGGTGGATGCCCCCGGAGGAGACGTCGAGGAGGTCGACGCCGTGCGCGGAGAGGATCCCCGCGAGCCGGACGGTGTCTTCGTGGCTCCAGCGCTCGTTGGGGTGCGAGTCATCCAGCCAGTCGGTGGCGGAGACACTGTGATGCATGTGAGTGACGGATCAAAACCAGGACGAAGCGGGGAGACGTACCGAACGAAGAGAGGCATCGTTGGCGGGATCACCGCGCGGACGGCGTCGACGACCTCCAGGAGCAGCCGGACGCGGTTCTCGAAGCTCCCTCCGTACTCGTCCGTGCGGTGGTTCGCGACCGGGGCCAGGAACTCACTGAGGAGGAACCCGTGCGCCGAGTGGATCTCGATCACGTCGAAGCCCGCCCTCAAGCTCCTCTTCGCCGCGTCCACAAATGCGTTCACGACGCGCTTGATGCCCGCGCGCGTGAGCTCCTTCGGCTGGGGAACTGGTCGCTGAACGGGATCGCGGACGCGCCCCAGACGTCGTCCGGCCAGCCGCCGTCGCTGACGGGCGCGGAGAGGCCCCTGTGGACCCAGAGCGCGACGGTGGACGCCTTGCGGCCCGCGTGCGCGAGCTGGATGCCGATCTTCTGGTTCTGCGCGTGCGCGAACTGGACGACCTCCCGCCAGGCCTCCGCCTGCTCGTCGGTCCAGATGCCCGCGTCCTGGGGCGTGATGCGGCCCTCAGGCACGACCGCGGTCGCCTCGACGATGGTGAGGCCGGGCCCGCGTGTGAAGATGCCGCCGACTGGGAAGGGAAGGGGGTTGGTCAGGACGGCGCTTCTGGGCCTACGGTGAGCGATAAGGGACCCTCACGGTGGGCGAACTGCCATGGCGTCACCTTGCCGTTCTCTGACGAGTACTGGCAGAGCGGGGAGAGGAAGATGCGGTTCTGGAACTCGACGCCGCGGATCTTGATAGGCTTGAAGAGCGCCGGGATGGGCTTGCCATCGGGCTGCGGGTCGAGCGCAGTGCCCGCCGGAGGATACTGGGCGGGAGCAAAGTAGGGGACGTTAGGCGCAGGGGCGTTGATGTAGTTGTTGTTGTGGGCCATGGCGAGAAGGGGGTGGGATGTGTGGGGAAGACATCGCCTGGCGAGCCCAGCTTTTATAGGGAGCGTTGCAGGTTTGTTGAGCCAAGGATATGTTGGACGAGCCCGAGCCAGGAAGCAAGAGTGCCGCTTGGTTACTAATGTTGGTCGATTGGCAGAATCGATGTCCAACAGAGCCGAAGGCTCTGGATAAGTCAGCAGTGTAGGGACGTCGTTACTCAGCACAGAAAATCACAGCAAGGGTCTGCTTTGAGGCAAGCCTGGCGTGCTCCGGACGGAGAATAGGCAACAGGCTATCCTTCCGAGTCTGGCGATCCACGGAAGACATAGAATCAGATGTTAGAGATATGCTCCCAGGGCGGTGGCCTCGAACCCTGTACAGCTCAGCGAACGAGTCCGAGATAGTCGGGACGACATCCCAAGTCTCATCCATGTGGCGGATGCGGCGGAACACTTCACCCGCACAACATGTCTTCTGCTTACGTCACACTACCTCACGCTTCCTCTTCTGGTAGCCACCGCTGGTCCGTCCAGGCTCATCTTGACCATCTTCTACCACACGTGCATGGTCGTGTTACGCGACTCCTAGACTTCTACAACCTCTCTTTCCGCGTACCACGCTGTGTTTGTGCGATGCAAAAACGCTCTCGCTCTGTCCACAGCCGTTACACAGAGACCCGCACAGAACCGTGCGTTCGCAAGCGAGCCATGAGCCGCATCAGCGCGCTTAACCACGAATGAGACTCGAAGGACGTCAGGACACGTATCAAACTCTAACTTAACGTACTTCCTGGTCGAGTTCAGCCACAACACATAAGTAATCTGCTCCGAGTGACCAGCGGTGAGTGCTTGAGTCCTTGCCCTCTTGACTACATGATGCAGCTAACGTCGGACATCCCTTACTATTGTTGCCCTCATGTACCTATAGTACGGGCCTAAAACACGGAGAGTAAAAAAAATTAAAATTAAAAAGACTACGTGATGCAACACTCACTATACCAGCTTTCAGCTCGCCTTCATCATGAGTTTGTTGGCTCTCAACAACGACATCCTCCGTATCATCGCGGAAATGCTTTACGCCGCGCAATGCATAAATGGTGTCTCGCGATCTGCATGCAGTAGGTGCCCATCAATTAGAGCGATATGCCATCCACGGCTGAAGCTTACTCTTAGCTTCTTTACAACACCGCTCGGCGCTGGCGGTTACACGAGCGAACCCCATAACTGAAATGATTACCTAGTAGGCTCAGGCAGGGCTCAGGTCTCCAGGTCAGGGACTCTATTGTACCCTCAGACGTTAGGACCAGGCTTAGCTCAAGGTCCAACTATCAAGTTCCGATCGACTCCGCTGTGAAATCTTCGCGAACGACAGCACGATCTCACCAATAGGGTTGGCTCCTACCAGCGCCGCGGCTGTACTCGCGGGCAGTCGCGGCCATGGTACGGACATTGAAGGACAAGTCGGTCACAGCGAGGGCCGCAATGGGTTATGCTAACATTGTTGGTAATACAGTACATCAGAAGAAGAACGTACGCGGGCTTGGTATGGTCAGGCGACAGGCAGTACACGGTCACGGCCGAGGTCTGAACGACGAGAGCGCTCAACACGACTACTGTACTATTTCGACCGTGTGTTCTGTCACGCATCACGGGGGGTCATGAACAGCCACTGTCACGGGTCACGGAGTCCCACTGAACACCCAAGTCGGTCAGAATGTCACGGTCCCGGGTACCAAATACCCCTATTTGGGCCGACCAGGACACCCTGTCACGCATCACCGAGGTCTCTGAGCACCGAGCACCTGCGTCACGCGTCACATCCGCTGAACAGTTGGTCGAAATAGTACAGTAGTACGTGGTGTTGCACTCGCTATGCTGACTCTGTCCGCTACCCCCACAGGTGACAGCAGGGACAGAGGTGCCGGGACACAGTACACGTTATCCGCAGTTTGGTGTCTAACCGTACATCAAACTGCAGATAACGGGGCCTACAAACACGGCGGCTCAGCGTAGGAAGGCAAGGCACAGGTAGATGTTCGCCGCAAGCTTGAGATGCCTGGGTCTGAGCCGTCCGCGTTCTCTTATATACCCTGTATGTGTGCGATGCATGGTCTCAGATCGTTCCAGCTAATTCGGTATTTGCTAAGGCCCCTCCCAAAAGAACAAGGACAGGCGCAGGTTGTGACCCCACGTAGCAGGTGTCTCAGATCCAGATCAGATCCATATTCGTTCTCATGATCATGATGATGAACTCTGGATGAACTCAACATTTCACTTATGAACCGCAACAAGCCACCAACGCGTTGAGACGCGACGGACGCGGGTCTGTACAAGTGTTGGCTTACTAACAAAGACTGACACGCTCCGCCTGTGCGCACTTCAACTTGAAGTTCTACGCTCCGGGTCCAAGTACACAGCGAAATGTCTGACATTGATGATCAGACACTCAGACTCGTGTCTGGCTCCGACTCGTTGAAACTGTCTCTTACGTATGACTTTCTTTCTGTACCGGCACCAACCAACCGCCAGGCGGACCTCCACCGCGGCGTATGCATGGTTCCGTTTGCGATCACTGCACAGTCACTCGCCGGCACCTGAAGTAGTAGCCTGGAAGACTCGCATTGCTGGTCAGTCACCGGCCTCGGTTCTTTGCTGTCTCCTGCTGTCTCCGGGTCACTGTAATAGCCAGTCGTTCAGAACTTGGACGCTGTTCCACTCGGTCTCGGGCACAGGACTATGAGCGACCATGAATTGATCGCGCGGGGCTCGTGAACCGCGGGGCTAATCTCATACCATCGCAAAAAATACGGGCGAATCGGACCTCGAACAAAGAACAAGGCGACGAATGGAGAAACTCTTTGGCGTACGTTCGAAGTCCAAAGGTGTACTGAAAATAAGAGGGTTGAACGTTGAAAGCCATCGAACATCGCCTTTACTACTAAATAGGGAAATTCTTTGATCGTCAATCTTTTGGATCCCAAACATGCAGTGAAGCGGTACTCGGGCACTTGGTACTTTGTTCTGTTGCTAACTAACGTTACCGGAGGGTGAGGTAGAGCCTGTTGCTGTGTTCTGCGAGGATCTTTGCATGTTGGGTTCGGAAGTATGATTTGCGGTGTACCATTCACACGGCGCTAGTTTGTGAAGACCCCAACATGATGGGTGAGAATGCGTCATACTCAGTACTCATCCCGGCGGGTTGGCCTTTCTGGAGAGGGTAGACATGATTCTATGTTGACAAGACTCGTTCGTGCCACCGAGTGGCTATGGATACGTTCAGGATCTGCACCCGGCGGGCATGTACTCAATGGTACCGGTGAAGTTGTATGAACTCTGCGCATGCGCATGCGCAGCGAGTCGACCGCTTCGCAGTAAGCTGCTTATGATCTGCCTCCGAGACTCATTTACCCACATCAGATGCCCACCAAGTTACCAGCGGATAGACGAAGGCCAGAGGGCTCAGGTGGTACCGTGTAAGGCCTGATCGATGATCCCTACATCCGGATGCTATGTCCACTTGATGTCCACCGAAACCATGTCTGATATGAAGTCCGAACAACGGACCACGTACGGTATGCGAGAGTATGTGCAGAGGCCTGATTTCATCCACGCTACGAACCGAAACTCGGCGCGAGTTTGTCCGGAAGGCCCAATGCTGGGATTTGAGGACCACTGGCAGGCATCTCCGCCTATAACCCGGGGGGGGGTCCTGGTTCATGCCCAACTTACACCGTTGGCCGTTTACTACAAACCATCGGTGAAGCCAGTGCTGCTGTACATGCATTCCATATGGACACGGCGGCTGCGGGAATAGCAGCAGATCATGCCAAAGCGCCGCAAGACGACTCAAACGGCCGCACATGCCCGTTCTACCTTCGCCGGTCGTGATCGACGCTTCCCTTCCGCCCCCTGTCGTATTGAGGTTTAGGCTTACCATCGCGTGAACTCCCGAAAGTTGAGCGCTTTCAACTCAATTCGACTATCCGTGTGGTCTGGTCCGCCGAAGCACCCGCCGCGGACTCCTGAAGCCTCTCTGCCGTCTGAGCAGTACCGCCGCCGACGTCCGCGCTCTCCCTCGCCATGGCTTCCGCGCGCCCAGTGACCTCTCCTGCAAGTGTATGCAGCAGCAAGGGGGGCACGCCCAGCACGTACGCGGAGTAGAAGGTCAGCTTGTGCGTGACGTGGTTGTGCTTATGTTTTGACGTCGGCTTTGGGTCGGCGCCGAAGAGTGCGGAGAGGTCAGAGAGGGCGAAGAACGTCCGTGCGCTTGGGTGGGACGCTAGGTCGGCTGAAGGAACGGGAGAATGGGTAGCGGGTGGTATTGACGAGGAGTTGGTTGCGGCCGTGCTGTCTGATGGAACGGCCGGGGGAAGCTCGACCACGGCCGAGGGACGCAGTAAGGTGGCGGCGTCTTTCAGGACGAGGTAGTAGAACGTGGGCGACATTGCACCCTGCGTCTGGACATGAATGCTTGAACAGCCAAAGGTGAGAAGATGAACCTACCGGGCGGAAACGAGACAAGAGGTCCGTTACCGTCGCCGAGAGAGTGGAGTGCACGGTCTTCGAGAGACGGTCGGTGAGGAAGGGCACGAGCTCCGCGATGATGCGGCGCGCTTCGTCCCGTTCTGACGGGTCGAGGGATGTCAGAGGTGAGGTGGCGAGGTAGCGCGTGACGTATGTGTATGCGACCCTGTAGCAATATCACCGATGAATTAATAGATGCGCGTGCAGAAGTAAATATGCGTACGTACATGATGGCACACAGATTATACAGCAGCAGGGGAAACTTACCTGGGGTGTGCGAGGCTCCGGCCATATTCGCAGGGACCTGCATCATGGCAGGCTTCTTGCCGTACCTCTTCTGTGCGCGAAACGATGCACTTGATTGACCCGCACTGGCGTCATCGGGAGCTTCCCACCATGGCTCGATGCGCACTTTCTCGAGTTCTTCACTGGAGAGGAGCTGCTGCGCTAGCTCACTGTCTGGGTTGCGAAGTGCTTTGGTAAATCTCTCGCGCTCCTCGGGTGTGAGTGCTGTCCAGAGGTCGTCGTATGAAGCCGCCTCTGTGAATGCGCCTCGATATGGGTCGGCCAGTCCGGTGAAAGTGACAGCAATGTACGCACCTAGGTCCAGGCCTTTAAGTCTACTCTCTAGATCTGCATCGTCTGCGTCGGATTCGTCAGACTCGAGGCCGAGTATGTCGTCATTCATAGTGTCTTCTTCAAAATGTTTCAGTAGCTCCAGGGTTTTCTGTCTTTGCTGAGCAGACTTGGATGCATCGCCGCGTACGTCGGATTCAATTTCTTTGCGATAGAAATTCTCGGAGCATTCCGCATGTGACTAAATGGTTCGACGAGTCTGCATGGTGTAACGAAGACGAAATCGTTGCTCACCTCGGAACGGAAACATGTCAGAGAGCAGTAAGGGATGTTGCACCGCGAACATGTGTATCTCGAGAACTGTCGCCGACAGCTGTCAGCAATGAGAAATGCGGCTCTGGAATGCCTGGTACGCAATGAAGGCTTACATGGCGCAGGGCAGCGAACTTGCACTTTCTGCAGCTGGTTGCGTTTTGATGTCTGCAGGTTCCGGGGCGGTCTCCATAGTAAGAACGGTAGGTGGATTGGAACGCTGATTATTCGTTGCGATACTCAAAGCTCAGAACGGAGACGACCAGTAAGTACTTGGGCAGGTGAGGAGGCCCGGGAGGAGGAGGGTCAATGCGGGGTAAGCGCCGATGCTCGATCACTGTGACTTCCGACGCACATTGTCACACGAACGTGACGAAAATTCCGGACCAGCGATCGACAGTCAAGCTGCTCTGCAGGCTGCAGTCAACGCCCGACGCTCGCTGCTCGCTGCCCAACAGGTCCTCCTCACTATGCCTCCCGATGCACGCCTGACAGACCGCAAGACCTCCTTCGCCTCCTTCTCACATATCCTCGATGCCCGCATCCTGCGCGCCCTCGCCGACATGGGCTTTGCCCGCCCGACCCTCGTCCAATCCAAAGCAATCCCTCTCGCTCTCGAGAACAGAGACATCCTCGCGCGCGCACGGACTGGGAGTGGGAAGACGGCTGCATACTGCATTCCCGTTACACAGAAGGTGTTAAATGCTAAAGCTGTGGGTATGCATCTGACTTACGGTGTGCATCGTCCCGAAGACTGACTCCCGACGTAGGGCATACCTGCTGAGGCCAGCTCGAGACAGGCAACTCGAGCACTGATTCTTGTTCCTACTCGCGAGCTCTCAGAGCAAGTATACACGCATCTCAATGCCTTGCTCGCGTACTGCGAGAAGGAAGTGACGGTGGCTAATGCGTCCACGGCGAGCTCTACACAGCTACAAAAGTATGTCTGCCTGTCTGTTCTTCTCGGCCGTTCTCAACCTTGTCTTCGTATAGATCCCTCCTCTCCGATCATCCCGACATCGTGATTGCGACACCCTCCCGCGCACTCGCCCTCGTCCAATCAAAAACACTATCACTGACATCCCTCGACACCCTCGTGATCGACGAGGCAGATCTCATCCTCTCATATGGGCACGACACAGACATCCGCGCGCTGCTCTCCGGCGGGCACCTCCCGCGCGTGTTCCAGTCCTTCCTGATGAGCGCGACCATGACCGAGGACGTCGAAGCGCTCAAGGGCCTCGCGCTCCGCAGCCCAGCCATCCTGAAGCTCGAAGAGGATGAGGAGGAACATAATCTAGCCCAGTTCAGCGTGCGCTGCAGCGAGGTCGACAAGTTCCTCCTGACGTACGTCGTCCTGAAGCTCAAGCTCGTGAAGGGCAAGTGTCTCATCTTCGTCAACGACGTCGAGCGCTGCTACCGCGTGAAGCTGTTCTTGGAGCAGTTTGGTATCAAGAGTTGTGTGCTCAACTCGGAGCTGCCGCTCAATTCCAGGTTGGCTGTTCGCTGTGAAGTAGTGCTCAGGATGCCTGACGTTCTATCCTAGATATCACGTCGTGCAGGAGTTCAACAAGGGCGTGTATGATTACATCATCGCATCCGACGAGAGTGCGAGGCAGTCAGAACAGGACTCGGATGACGAGGAAGAGCCGACGGGCGACGGTGAGGATGTAGTCGAGGAGGGCGGAGATGCAGCTGAAGACGATGAGTGTAAGCGACATCCGTTCCCCCCGCGTAGGACGAGCGTCTCACGATTCACAGTCACCACCACCCAACGCGAACAACCGACCGCATCCACCTCGTCCTCCAAGCCCACCCAAAAGCGCAAGCGCTCGCCGTCTCCCTCCGCAAGCAAAGACGACGCCAGCAAGTCGAGCAAGCGGAAGCAGAAGGGCAAGCACGCGCGCGACGCGGAGTACGGCGTCGCGCGGGGCGTAGACTTCATCGACGTCGCGTGCGTGCTCAACTTCGACCTCCCGCGGTCCGCGCGCGCATACACGCACCGCGTCGGGCGCACGGCGCGCGCGGGCCGGACGGGTATCGCGCTCTCATACGTCGTCCCCCGCGAGCAGGTCGGGAAGAGCAAGGTCGTGGGGAACGTACCCGGCACGGAGCGCGACGAGGAGGTGTGGGCGCGCATTGAAAGGCGGGAGAAGGAGAAGGGGAGGGAAATGAAGGAGTACAAATTTGATATGAAGCAGGTGGAGGCGTTCCGGTATAGGATGGAGGACGCGCTGAGGGCGGTCACGAGGGCGGCGGTGAGGGAGGCGAGGATCAAGGAGCTGAAGTCGGAGATCTTGAACTCGGACAAGCTGAAGGTGGGTGGGAGCGTGCCCTCGAGGGATTGTGACATCTGAACGAACTTACAATTTCATCTTGATAGGCCCACTTCGAGGACAACCCACTCGATCTGGAGTACCTCAGGCACGACAAGCCGCTCCACCCTACACGCGTGCAGCCGCACATGAAGCACGTACCAAAATACCTGTTGCCTCGCATCGCGCCTGTGCCCGGCGCCGAAGCTGCTGAGGGATCGACAACCGGGGAAGGCGGCGAGGGATTCGTGCCCTTCAACAAAAATGGCGCACGAGGAAGGGGCAGAGGCAGGGGACGGGGCGGTAGAGGCGGCAGGGGAGGTTCCGCAGGAAGGGGACGGAAAAAAGCCGACCCGTTGAAGAAGTTCGGGCGATAGAGCTGGTTTGGAGTCGTCCATGTCTACCCCTGGTCTATCCTGTAGTCATACATAGTTGGCTTCGTGATGTCCCATCCGGCTCTTATTAATTCAGAGTCCGTACGAACAGCAACAGAGGTTCGACGGACTATGTATGTCCCTCCCATTCGGCAGAGGTTGGGAATACAACCGCTTGGATGCAAATTTGTCGAAAGGATTCAGAGACATCGCAGCTTAAAAGACACTAGTGGTTCATACACCATACCCAGAGAGGATGCAATAATACATACAGTGGTTACCAGGACAAGACCGGCACGAAGTACAGGTAGATGCTACGGCTATATGTAATACTGTCCGAATAAGTTACGAGGAACATCGCAGCAGCGCTCTAACGTTTCGCTCTACTCGATACTTGACCCAAACGGTGTTCGATACCTGCGATATCTCGCATGAGGAGGGTAAATCGACGATCGAAGTCGTCTAACATGTCGTACGACAGGCTCGTACTCGCTGCGTAGCTTGTTGCGTTGCTCGCGTGAGCGGCTGTGTCGGTCCTGGGCGGCTTGTCTCTACGCGCCATGCCTTGGGCATCGGAGACCACCTTCACGACTTCGTCTTTTCGCATATTTGTGCGGTGGGGAGCTTCAGATGTCGCTGTGGGTGGTGGTGGTGGTGGCCGCGGAGGAGGTACAGGTAGAGACAGAGGAGGAGGAGGGAACGAGGGCGACAGTGGTGACAAGGCTGGTTTTGAATCCTCGTGGCTCCGCGACCCGCCAACCCGGAGCAGCGGCAGATAAAAGCTCGTCGCTGTCGGCGTCTGGCTCCGCTTCGACAACATCGACAGGGCCGAGCCAGGGCGCGGACTCGGGCTGGGGCTTGGCGGGATATCCGAGTCGACGTCGGAGAGGCTCACGTCGGGGATGAGCAGCTCTTGCGAGGCTATCGACGCCGAGCCGGACCCCGAGCGCGATAGAAGCGACGTGCCGAACGTGTCGTCCGCCGTCGACTGAGACTGCGACGGGCCTGCATCGGGCTTGTACGACACCGCACCCGCGGCACCCACAACCGCGACGGACGTGTCGAAGCGGAGCTCCTTCAGCGCAGACCCGCCGGCCGCGCTCGCAGTGCGCGAACGTGGGAGCGAGCCGACCACGCGGGGCTTACGCCCACTTTCGAGGACCTTTTTGCGTGCACTCTGCCCGACGCAGTCGACCAGCTGCTTGAGCGCCTCGCGGTCGGAGACGGTGCGCCGAGGTGCGGTGCGACGGATGGTGCTTGCACGGGGGAGGGTGCCGAAGGGCGTGAGCATGCTCGGTCTAATTGGTGTGGCGAAGGGATAGTGGTTACTGGCCATGGGCGTGCTCTGTACTGCGCTGGGAGGGCCGAACGGTGTGGGAGGTACTCCGAGACGGTGCAGAGGACGCGGGGTGTTAACATCTGCGCTGGCTGGTTCCGATGGCGAGAACCCCTGTGCTGGCACGTCGAAAACATCCTTTGGGGGACCCCAGGAGAACCCAATGAAGGTGGTGGAAAATTGGTCGCGCAAGATAGAACGGCTCGGGGTCTGCGCATGAGATGGCGTTGAACTTGGATGTAGGGAAACACCTGCATTAGACAGCGGAGAGGACTGGAAGAGGGCGGAGAAAGCGAAATGTCGTGATTGGGATGGGTCCTGCGGTGAGCTCATGTTTGTCACTTCTACAGGTGCTACTGGGGTGGTGTAAGTGAACTGAGGAGTGTGGAGGTCATCCGGCTGAGTCTCTTGTCAACAGACATAATGTCAGCCACAATGCAAATGCTGAAAAATAGCTACGAACTTTCATGGAGGTGCAGCCAATCGACTCCTGCAAAGAATGGGTGCTGCTGAATCTCGTCTATGGCCGCCCGGCCCAGACGCAATTCCGCATCTGTCAGTAATCTAGAGACACGTCAGCTCCGCGCAAAAACGAAGAACTTCCATACGCACCTTCGCACGAAATCTTGAAAATCAAGTGTTATCACAGACGAGGATGGAAAGCGTAGACTTCTCTACTCCTGTGCTGTCAGCGTACAACCTACGCAGAAAACCGGACAAGCTACCCACATGATGGTCAGTAATCTTCATGTACGTCTTGCGTATATCCTTAGCAAAGAACGGCGCGACACCATATGCCATTTCGTACAGCATCGCCCCCATGCTCCACCAGTCCGTCTCCCTACCATATCCTTCGCCGTAGCTATTGAGCGACGTCTGGGCATCGGACATCTCGAGAGCTACGAGGACTTCCTCGTGCACTTGTAGAATCTCTGGCGAGATGTAGTCACAAGTACCCACGGGGACCAAGCAGTTGTGCTTCGCGACGCGCTGACTGCCGTCCGATTGAGTGGCAAGGAGTGGTGCAGCAGAGCCGAAATCGATCAATAGGAGATGTGCAGTAGGCTTGAGCACAAAGTTGTGGGGTTTGATATCTCTGGAATCCGTGATGAGATGGTCTGGTTGTGCAGAAAGCGAGAGATCTTGCGTATCCTTACCGATGTACGAACCCCTGCGAGTGGCACCAATGTATAGCACTGACTATCTGGGGAGCCCACCAGCGCAGATCCGGTTCCGATATCTTACCGTCGTACGGACTAGACTCGAGCACGTCCCAGAGCGTCCCGCCCTCCGCATAATCCATGACGAGGTTCAGATGCGTGGGGGTTTGAAATGCGCACAAGAGATACGGTGCCCACTCGGTCCTCGTTTTGCGTGCTTGCAGAAGAATGTCTCGCTCAAATTGCGGGGAGCATTGCTACAAAAGGTGTCAACTACGGCTAGCGAGGTTAATCGGGAGCTGACATGCATCGTGTGTTTTGAGGGCGAACCGTTTCTCTGTTGACTTGCGTACATAGACTCGGCCATCCAGCCGGCAAGTCACAACGTCAATCTCATAGCGGCAAAACTAAGCAAGTAGCAGAGGAATTGCGAAGCAGACGACTCACAACACCGTACTGGCCGTACTCCAGTGTGCCCACAACGTCTAGGTCCTTGTCCGTGAAGCGTAAAACATCAACTTGAGTGGTTTTCGCTACAAATTCCCGTCAGATAGCGTGTTCAGTTTGAAGCTAAGTGAACATACACGTCTTTCCGATTACGCTCTGGCCATGGAGGATACGGTCCATGGCGAGTGCTTCGGCGTCCTCGTCGCCATCGCCGTTCAACAGTTCCGCCAGCCGAGATTTCCGCTTCTGCCATGATGAAGACATAGACCCTCATTGAGACAAGGCAGAAAGCGCGCAGACGGGTCGCCGTATCGTACAAAGTCGCTGTGAGCAACAGATTGCCTTCGACCTGTCACCCGGAGTCGAGACGAGTTGTTGAATTCAACCACGTGATCGCGAGTGGCTTGCCGCTCAAGAGGTTGCTCCGATTTCCACGGGTTTCGCGGTCGCTACCGGACTCTTGCGGAGAGTACGACTACATATGTACTGCTGCAGTACTGCTCGGTCTTCGTAGTCCTCGGTATCAGCAACAATACTTACCGGTCCTTCTCATTTTCATGGGAACGTTCGTGGTATGTTCCGCATCCTCCCTGGGACTGTTGACGTAGAGGTTCTGACTACGCGCAGGCCGACTCGGGCTCGGATTCGCGGCATGCATACTTGCGTCCACACTCGGCATGCGACCGTCGGTGCGCCAGCTATGTAAAGAGGTCGACATTCTCTTCGGTTTCTCCATCCCAAGTAGCCTCCCTCAGCTCGAATCGCGTCTGTCATGGCTTGTGCCGAATGTACCAGCGGTAGCATCCACTCCGGGACGCCGGTCGGGAAGGAGATCACGCTCGGCGGCCTCCAGAGCTATGTGACGGGCAACGAGAACTCGAAGCGAATCATCGTCTTCGGCACCGACGTCTTTGGATGGCGTCTGCCCAACGCACGTATTCTCGCGGACGAGTATGCAGCGAAGGATTTCTGGGTGGTGGTTCCGGACCTCTTCGGTGGTGAGCGGTAACCCGTAGCACAAACTTGCAGCCACCATTGGGCTCATACGTCACGAAACATAGGTTATGAACTGCCCCGATGGACGCTGACCGCCACTGAGGACACCGACAAACCTACGCTCAAGCAGAGGCTCCTGCGGCCCCTCCTGCTCTTCCTCTTTATTCCCTTCCTCTTCCGCAACACCAAAGCCTCTCAGACCAACAAGATCAACGGTCTTCTCTCGCACCTCCGCGCGACGCACCCCGAAGCCAAGATCGGGATGACAGGCTTCTGTTGGGGTGGCCGCTTTGCGATTACGATGAACCACCTCTTCGACGCGACCGTCGCGGCGCATCCATCGCGCGTCAAGCTCCCTGACGAGCTGCAGGAGGTGACAAAGCCCATCAGCTTTGCCGTCGCGGGGATGGACAGGCAGTTTGACGCAAAGCGCGCGGATGAGACGGAGGCGCTGCTGCGCAGCAGGGGCTTCAGCGACTTCGAGGTAGTCGTTTACAAGGGCGCGCATCATGGGTGGACTGTGCGCACGGATATGGCGAATCCGGAGAAGAAGGCGCAGAGGGACCAGGCGAGGGACCAGGTGTTGAATTGGTTCGAGAAGCATCTGACGGTGGAAGCGACGTGAACTACTGTTCCGTAAGCAACTATAGTGCTCATTCATGACCAGTCATTCTCTCTTCTGGCTCGTGTTTCGTATGTTATCGATTGTTGTACGTTTCATCCTTATTCTCCTGTCCTTCGAATCGCTACTTTGATACCAACGTTTGTACTGATCGTGCGCACACTTCGTCTGTGACTGAAGGCTCAACTATGTCCACAATGAATGAAGTTTGGTGCGCAGTTTCGTACACGAAATCTATGCTCCACTAAAAGGCTCTTGTAGAAAACGTGCTGTAGAAAATGTGCTTGCCGCATTCATGAACATCGCAGTATGTCCAGCTCTGTGCCTACACATCCTATTCCTGTAGCATTCCTTCTATCAACGCACGGCCTCCATCATCCCAGTCATCCCAGCAATGGCCCAGGAAGATAGTAAACCTGCTGTACCCTTCGATCTGCCCATCCTTGTCCTTCTTCACCTCTGCCTTCTTCATGATCGTCTCTGGCAAGTCGGGGCTGAGGACATACATCCAGCGCAATACTCCTTCCTCCCTGAACCCCATCCGCCTCGCAAGCCCTACTGACTTGACGTTGTTCGGATGCGCGCACCATTGGACACGGCGGAAGCCGAGCCCGGGCAAGGGCGCATCAGGCTTCTCCAAGCAGTAGCGGAGCAGAAGCGCGATCGACGTCCGAGCGACGTGCGTGCCCTGGAACTTCGGGAAGATGAGGACGAAGCCGAGCTCGGTGCTGAGGTTGGCGGAGGAAGTGTTGTAGAGCGACATGACCCCGCGAATTCACCGTCTTCACCGTCCTGCGTCGCGTCGCGCGTCTTCCGTGTGCGGTCGAACACGGCGAACATGCACCATTCGGGGTTCGCGCGGAACCGCTCGAAGAAGGGAATGAGGTCCGTGTATCCCTTTGGGCAGAAGGTATAGAACTGGAACAGCTCTGGGGCTTTCGGCTCGACAATCTCCCAGTACGTCTTCAGATGGAGGGAAGGGACGAACGGCGCGAGGCGAACCGTAGAGCACGAAAGAGTGTCGAGGTGGATGGGGAATGCGAAGTTGACATCGAAAGGCTCTGTCGAGGACAAGGCGGCCTCGATGTCAAGAATAGGGGGTGGTGCGGGCGGCGTGTAGTTGTTCACGAATGTCTTCGACATATTTCGGTACGGGCTGCGCCTGTGAGTGGATGATCGCTAGGATCGACGGTTCAAACCTAGCGGTGCCCTGGATATTGATAACTGGACAGCAGGACGTCTCGCAGTGAGTCGAGAGCGACGCTAAGGTACAGTCAACTGTGCAAATCGGCACCACGCTCGGCCGCATACATATTGACTGACTCGAATCTGACCGCCATGGTTTAGAGTCTGTCCCGTTACGCTGGTCCGTCCTCAGCAGGACGGCGCAGCGCACTTGCTTTTTCTCCGTTCCCGTTTCCGCCGGAGCGCCGCAACGGCATCCCGGTCAGATTCTCAAACATCGCTTGGTATACTCTCGAGCTCAATCGAACGCCTTACTTATAGTTGGACTGTCGTGGGTAGCGACGCAGCGGCAATGCGCCCAACTTGAGTCCGAGAGCTCGACTCATCCGTTCTGAATTGTCTATTCAAGATCATGTATGTATGTACCTGGCAGGTGGTGTCTGTCGGCTTCAGATCGCATCAGATCGATGTCACTGGCAGTGGCAAGAAAGGACTCTACCGTGACCATCTACTAACCTGACGTTGTCTCAACGTATCGGTTCTTGGGCTCCATCCTGCAAGGTATGTTCGATATTTCGAGCTTGTAGCGTACCGCCGCAGCTTGAATTCCCACAAACTCAGAACAATCACATCGTCGCGCTCCCTGGTTCATATACCCCTTAAATTGCTTGGGTCCTATACTGGTGGGTTGCCATAGTCCTCGACAATGCACAACATGAACTCATCTTCATGTCATGATGTAGAATTTGTATCGATGGCCCGATCTGTCATGGTCAATATACCGCTCGAAATTCATCAGGAGATCGTTCATGATCTATCGGGGAGCATGAAGACACTAAAGGCGTGCAGTCTAGTCTGTCGCGCATGGCTCCCGTCGACCCGAAATCACCTCTCACTGTCCTACATGAAACGGCGAAGCTTCGACTTCATCGAATTACCTCAACTAGGGCTATCCGATGCTCACGCAACCCTTCTCGAAGACCACATATTTCGTGACGGTGACGAGTGGGACTCCCGCGAACGCGATGAACCGCCTCTCTTGTCTGCCGTTTTGCAGAAACCCGGTTCCGCTCTCAAGGAGCTTCGCTTGGGCTCTCACTATGAGCAGATCTGTGCGTGTTTCTCTCCATGAGCTTGCAGAGATGTAGACATAACATCAATTTCGCCAGTCTTGGAATCCATCGACATATCGCAGAACGCCATGATACAGACGCTCGGCCTCAATGCAACCAGAACTACGGATGCTAACGCTGTCTCGGATGAGACTGCGGTAGACTTCGTCCCTCAATTCCTAAGTAGTATCCAGTCTCAGGACATGCGCCAAGTGCATCTTCGATACGGCATCTTTGACTGGTACACAATGGAAGGCTGGTGGTTCCTGGACTGGGAAGAGGTCGACACGGCGCTCGTGTCTCTTCGGAAGCGGTGCCCCCTCATGTCGGTCAGTTTTCACTTCACGTTCGTTCCCGCTGCAGGATACTACAATGTATCCGAGGACGAGTTGTCGAGTCTGCCCGAAATTTCTGACGAGGTAGTGAGCCGGCTGCGGTCCGAGCTCCTCGTCCGATCTATCGCTGCAGAATTACCTGTTCACGTAGCATGCCGGTTGGTCCAGGCGGACGACGTCAAAGCAGATGGTGAAGCACAGGGCATGTGGCTGTAGTCCGTAAATCTGGACGCGAAGGTTAGCTTTCGTTCGTCACCTACACATGACGGGGCATTATTCTGAAACGATAGCCAGAAAATAGATACTCGCGCTACCCCTGAAGGATTCTGCGGCCTTCCCGCTGTATTTCACTCATTGGTGGCATTCCTAGCAGCCGCGGCGTAAGCTGATCCATTTATTGAATTGTGCTGTGACCGCCATAGGACTTTGTTTCATTGCTATGCATTCTCTGAGTAGCCCTGGTATACAGCTTCGAGGCATTCTATGTAAGATGGCGATGTACGCCCAGACTACGGCATGATCACGGCACGGAACCGCGCCGAGGAAAGGGACTCGAGGGCATCATGGGCCTGTTCGAGCGAGAATTTGTTGACCATGACTCTGACACCATTTGCCTTGGCGAATTTGCAACAATCCTCACTGTCCGCAGCGCTGCCAGCCGGCCACCCGCGAACAGAGGCCCGTTTGTGCAGAAGAGAGACTTCAAAGTGCTTATGTTAGCACCTGAACAATTCAAGGTACTCGACCATGAACTTACTCAGTGGAAGGTTCGTGCCGCCTGGCACGGCAGCCAGAATGAGGATCTCTCCGTTCACAGCTAGACCTTCCACGAGCCTGAGGCCGGTCATGATATCACTGTTCGGTGCCGTGCAAATGATCAAGGCAGCCCCGCCCAATTTCTGTAGCTCTGCACCCTGGTCGACCTTGGAGCCGTCCAGATAGAATTCGGCGCCAAGCTGCATAGACAGCTCGGCCTTGGATGGAGACGAAGACAGTGCGACTGTGCGGTAACCCATTGCCTTGGAAACTTGGAGAGCTATGTGGCCGAGGCCTCTATTCCCAGGCTATTGCGTTAGCAATGAGTTATTAGATGTGATACGAGGCCCTACCCGATGCCCTGAACGGCAACTAACTGAGGAGGCTTGCAGGACATGTTGCGAAGTGAATCTGATAGAAATGTAAGTACCGCATTTCGAGTGACTCGATGATACTACTCACTGAAGGTCGTGACGCCTGCGCACATCAGAGGCGCAGCTTCTGCGGGATCCATACCATCCGGAATCGCAGCGACCGCTTCCCTGCGAAGAGTTATGTACTCTGCGTAGCCTCCATGGCGAGTGACACCTATTACAAGCACGTTAAAGGATGACGACAAACGCAACACAATAAATGTCACCGTTGATGACCCCATTTTCGCATGTGACGAAATCGCCCACCGAGCAACGCTTGCACTCGTGACAATGACCGCCATGCCAGCCTGCGCCAACGCGTTGACCGAGCTTCCATTTCTTCTCCGTGTTAGGGATGGCCACTACGTCTCCGACGATCTCGTGCCCAGGGACAATGGGATAGGTGGTTCCAGGAAAGACGCCGAGCTTTCCGCTCTCATCGCTAACCGAAGAGACGTTGGTGAGGAATCAATCCGAATGCGTTGATAGGCCCATCAGTCAGAACAGATGCACGTACCCAGCACATACACCGCAGGCAATAACCTTCACGACAATCTCGCCCGGTTCAGGGTCGCGCCATTTGAAGGTAATAGGTTTGAGATCGCCGCCTTTCTCCAGGAAAGCGTAGGCCTTGTATGTCTCTGGATGATCGTAAGAGGGCATCGAAGGCTTGACTCTGAACGTCGTCGATATCTTTGAGACGATGCAGTGTGTATTGAACCAGGAATCGTACACACCGTTATATACCACGACCGCGAGCAGAGCGCAGACGAGACTTCCCGCGGACGATGTAATGTTCAGTACAGATGTATGGGAAAGGGAGACGGAGGTCAATGTGGGTTTTGATGTGCTTGCGGGAACTACGGGATCTGCTTCAGTGTGCAATCCTATGAGGGGTCGTGCGACGCGGAGGTTGGAAGAGCCAAGAGGTAAGTATGGTACTGTCATATCTTCCCGCCGCGGATGTCTGCACACGCCGTACCGCTTCTGGTTTGCTGCCGCGTACGCGCCGGTGCCGGCGCACATCGCATCGCTGGTACATGTGAATCACATCATGAAGGTTCGCCGAACCTTCCTATACTCGACACTGATGAGTAAGGCGGATATTGACCATGGTCAAAGATCGAAGGTACGAGTCCCAACTGCCTCTGTCGTCAGCCATTCAGCTATACACTCGTCATAATCACGGAGATTTTACACACCCGAGACAGATGTACACTCCATTCGATTAACGGCGTTACAGAAAGACACAGTCTCGGTATGATGCATGAGGCCTGAGGGCGCTCACCGTGACTGGGATGGAAACGATCGTGTCTAACGACATAAGTTACCCGGGTCAATTCGACTGATTTAAAGCCTGCAACTTGAAGGTGAGAAAGTCACGGTAGACGTCTGTACTTATTGAGCACCATTCGCGCCGGACACCCTCTGAAAAGTCTCATTTCAAATTGAACGGTTGACACCGAGTTACAATGTCAACAGTACCTGCACGGCGCATGATCAGAAATCGTACATCATAGTAGCTTGGAGGCGTTCCCGCACCGACATCGATGACTGGCACCATCCTTGTTTAAGTCAGTACAGTATCACTACTCACCAGACATAGTAGGTCCTCCTCCAGGGACTCGGAGTGACGGAGGGCGACGCGCGGGGAGTGTGACGGAGTTGTGACTGATCATTTGTCCCTCCGACTCAGGTGACCAAGTCGGACGGCGGTCGCGACTCGACCAGCCTGGCAGCGAGAACTCATGCACATGTCTGCTACTTCGCTCCCCAGATATATGTGGACGGTTGCTTCGACCTTGACAATTTTTTTACATTGGAATATCCTCGTCTGATATCGCACAGTGGAGTTCTGTATGTAGCAGGCTACGCATACCTCACTATCGGTGTCCTCTTTCTCTGGATCTGTCCTGCAACGTCTGGCTTCGGTCAACATGTACTGAACACACAAGCTCTGACTTACCGACCGGATATCGACTCGTACCAGTCTCAGGCGAGTCTCCAAAATTCCCTTCGATTGCAAGCGAGATACCAATAGTTCTGACAGTAGGTTCATCTAGTTCCGTAACCGTGGGCGGCAAGTTTTGACACGATAGGCCAGATACGACAGTGGTCTTGCAGCCTTCATCTCTCTTGACACGGCCCACATTGAACAGAAGGAAGCGATGATACGCAGTCTGTGTCTCTGGCTGTCAAGCACCGGACACTCGGCCCTCTCGCCCTGCAATTTAGTGGTAGGCCAAACCCACAACACGGAAGGAGCTGGTGCGCCGGCTGAGTGGACGACGTGAGCTTGGGGTCTTTCTAGGGTCTTTACTTCGAGCGAGGCTCCGAGGCGATGCTATTACACGGTCACGTGGGCGTGTCATTGGCAAGTTGCTCCGTTCCGCATCGTTCTGTCTCCTGTCTCCGCGCGAGAGGGAGGCACGTTCATTACGAAGACGAAGCATTCTTCGCACTGCCTTATTACTTTCCGTGTCCCTGTCGCCCAGGATCAATGGTGCTTTGCCGGGCACGAGGCGAGCCTGAGCACGGAAGACACGGCTACTACCAACCGCGCATTCGCCTCTCCTGCCTACCTATCCACGGTGCGGATCTACTGGGGAACGCGCATCGATGCTATTTGTGCCACGCTCCATGCAGTGTGGATCAGATTGCCTGCGGTATCGGTGGACTGCCACGCACTGGGCCCCTCGTCGTCAAACGCGTTAAATTCGCTACTCGAGCGAGCGCAGCCGCTGCGCGAGGCGCCCGTGCCAGCTGGCCCGAGAGCCGTGTTTGCTGATGTTGTGTGCGGGTGGCGGTGAGTACATATATGAGGAGGGCAGGGTGCGAGTGGATGGAGGAGGTAGGCTTTCCTCTCATCCTTCATGCGGCTGTACACCTATCCGTTGATACTGCCGTCTATCTGCGTTTCGTAAGGCGCGCGGGCGTCACGGGCGCACGAGAGTGCCCGCACTCTCCGTCTGGGACGTTCTAAGCTCTCTCAACTTCAGTACAGCTCGCCGTCACTGCCCTCATTATCCCCAATCTCATCATCCAATTCCGAGTCCACTGTGAACACTAAAAACATGGTGTGTAATTATTTTCCTCAGCTGCTAGTGAACATGCTCACGGCTTTGTAAGGTTTTTGTTGGCGAGAAGAAGTATGCATGGTGCGTATATCGGAGACACCCCGTGCACAAGTCAATCTAACCTTCTCCGCGACTCAGTGAGAGCTGCATCAAAGGTCACCGGTCCTCCACGTGCCAGCACATCGATCGCCCGCTCTACGAGATTAAGAAAAAGGGCCGCCCGGCCACGCAATGCGAGCACTGTAGGGAGCTCCGCAAAACCAAACAAGTCCATGTCAAGTGCATGTGCGCGTCCAAGGATAGCCTGAACGACTCCGTTGTGCATAACCCTGCTTCGGGTCCCTCGACCGTGAGAGAAGGTGACTTTCTGCGACTCATCTGGTGCCAGGCCACGCGAGACTGACTTTCAAGGCCTGTCGTCTTGCGTTTGGGCCAGGTAACTCCAAGATCTCGGCGAGCGCCGCGTTTCCCAGCGGGCTGCCGCCCGAAGTGCTGGGAGCGTCGGTCGCGTTGCACTCCGCAATCTCGGACGGCTCAGACTCCGAGAACAGTACGTGTCGTTGGTGTACCACTTGCCACATGTAACATATGTCTTGCAGGTCATGTTTCCCCTGCCCTGAGTGAATGCGATCACAGCGGAAAATGTGATTGCGCTACTACTCGTGGGCTGCGTCACAAGGGGAAAGCCCCGGTTCGTCCTCGTCGAGGAAGCACTGCGCAGGTCACATCTCCGCATGGCTCCAGGGAGCCACCTATCGCTGGGCCTGCTGGGATTGTTGCTTCTGCTCATGGTCCAGGACACCGCCCGGTATTACCTCGACCGCCCCCACCAGAGCGTGAGGCCTCCCTCCACCCGTCTGCTATTGCCACTTCCCATGTTTCTCGCTCACGACGCCAATCTCATGGCCAGCCGTATAGCCCGTACGAAATGGCATACGAGCAGGCGCGCGGAGGCGACGAATATGACAGCAGGAGAGCGAACACGGTTCTTCCAGACAGCGGCTCTGCCACGTCCCTCCAGGATTTCCAGTCATGGACGAACTCTCTCGCTACGTCCTCCACAAGCGCATTCTTCTCGGCGAACGATTCTCTGTGTGGCTGTGGCCCTACCTGCGCGTGCCCTGGATGCATCGAACACCGCGGTCCAGACGTTCTCCTAGGCGCGCCTTGCACCGATCCGAACACGTGCATCGCCTGCCTCGAGTATGGTATGCTAGGGATGCCGGTTCCAAGCCCGCCAGACGTTCCGGCGTACGAAGCAGCCCAGGCGCAGAACGTGGACGAGTGGCTGCGCCAGATGGCGGACACCGAGCCTCCAATGCAGCCCCAGTCGTCAATACCAGCGCAGCTCTCATCGTCGTTCACTCAGTCGTCCGTACCCCCTTCCCGCACACAAAACAATAGTCGGACGTCACCTCAGCAGGTCCCCTCGCCTTCCGGCGCCGCCGGCCTCCCTGGAAGCCACGAGGCCGATATGCCATACGATCCCGCCCTCCTTCGGACTTACGCGCTTTGGAACGATCTCCGTGATGCGCGGACACGCTCTCGGCCTGCGCAGGGCGAATGGGACGAACAGGACGAGCTCGGTCACACCCAGCAGGTAACAGACGCGGACAGTTACAGCGGCCGATGCCAGTGTCCCGCGGGGATGTGTGCGTGTCCGGTAGAGTGCTGTAGGGGTGGCAGAATCACGTTCGCGCTGAGCGCTGAGCGCAACGCGAGCTGCTGTCGCCCGTCATCGACATCGTCTTCTTCCCCGCCGGCGCTCAGGCAGAACCCCCGACAGACCGTGGGTACAAACGTACAGCAGCCTGAACCGATCACGGAGGCTTGGGCGATGCAAGGCACCAGCGGGACAGCGGGAGAAGGCGGCGTCGTTGACTGGGGCGCACTGGACGTACCCCGGGTCACGCTCAGCCGCGCGTCCTCGCACTGGTCGCAGTCGTCCGCGGGCCATTCGCCCTCGTCGTCGTCGTCCCTTGGGTCTGCGCTTGTGGTGCCGAGTCCTCCGGGTACGTCGGGGAGCGGGCGCTCGTCGTGCTGCTCGAACCGGTAGACTTAGACGTGACTGTATGATATGCTGATATACTATTGGATAAGGTTGGAAAGTGGAACTGGGAAGCAGCATACGAGGAGGTTGACAAATCCGGCGGATCCCGGCCGGAGGGCAGGCTACTTGGACGATGCTGACCATCTATTAGTCAACAAGTAGGAAGTTATGCGTACGGTTGTTTCCTACTTCGGGCTCGATGAACTCGACAACACCGTTGTTCTTGTGAAGTTCTGACTTAATGAATGCCTTCGTTCTGACGCAAAATGAGCATGAAACGCGCTACCGCCAGCTCTTTCGCAAGCGTCTACTTTACAAGCTTTACGTCGCCGAAACATCTTTCGAAAGTACTTCTCTAGTTAAGCACCCCCTCCGTCTATTCCTCCGAAAATGCACTCGAATCTACGTGGGTACAGGAAGAATGTCCTGCGTCAACACGTATCGGTACTTGACGTCGCCCTTCTTCACGGCTTCAAGCGCTGCCTTCACCTGGCTCATCGGCAACTCCTGCACCCAAGGCTTGATCCCCTTCTCCGCGGCCAGCTTCAACATGGCATAGCAGTCAGTCTTCGAGCCGAGGTGCGACCCGCCCATGAAACCGCCGTTCGTCTGCAGGTCGAACGCATGCATGGGCGGCAGCGGGTTGTCGGCGTCGGGGAGGCCGACGTTCACGAACTTGCCGTGCACGCGGAGCATGGAGAGGTAGGTGCGCAATGGCCGGTCGGGGCGGAAGACGTCGATGGTCGAGATGAAGATGTCGAGCTTGCCGGCGTACGGCTTTTGGAAACCCTGTGAGGATACAAGGCGGTGAGTGACTTGAACGCGAGATGCGGAACCTGACGGTGGGTAGTTACCTCGTCGTGCGTGTCGACGATATGGTCTGCGCCCATCTTCCGCGCGTCGTCGGCCTTGCTCGGGCTGTGCGTGAAGACATAGACCTCCGCACCCAATGCCTTCGCGAACATGATGGCGTAGTGCCCGAGACCGCCGATACCCATGACGCCGACCTTCTTCCCTGGGCCAGCTCCGTGTCGGTACAAGGGTGCGAAGACAGTCAGACCGGCACAGAACATCGACGCAGCGTCCTTCAGCTCGATCTCGTCTGGGATCTTGAACACGAACTGCTGGTGTGCGCGAATGCCTGTCGAGTAGCCGCCCTGGGTGTTCACCCCGTCTGGGTATACGTCGTTCTATGAAGCGTCGGAACGTTAACCGGATACTGTCTGCGAGACTATACGGGACTCACGTAGGTGTGCACCGTTCCATCCATGCAGTAGTTCTCGTTGTCTTCCGCGCAGAACGCGCACTTCCCGCAGCTAGCGACTTGTGCGCCGACGCCGACACGGTCGCCCGGCTTAAACTCACTGACCTGGGCACCGACGCGTGTCACGATACCGACGATTTCGTGACCGACAATCAGGGGTAGTTTGATCTTCCCCCATCCCTGCGTGAGCATATGGATATCGGACCCACAGACTCCGCAGTGCGTGATCGCGACCTCGACATCGTCCTCTCGGAATGTCTTGGGAGTGAACGAGACCAAGTCGAGCGTGCTCCATGCGGAGGGATCTGGAGTAGCGCGCGAAAGGCGAACGAGGGTTCAGCGCTTAAACGGACGATGGTGTATGTGGCTTCGCTGACCAGTGAGGGCGTAACCCTTAAATTCTGCCATGGTGAACGAGGAGGGCGGGGGATGTCAGTATCAGAAGCACGAGGGATGCCGACCTCAGTGCGCAGCATGTTGCTCTTATACCGTCGTCGCGAGAGGATCGTGCGGCCGGATAAGTTCGGGGATCGGCCAGCAAGGATGTGGGCGGGCGCATGGATGATAGTGGACCCGATGGTCGATATCCGGCATGGAAGGGCGAAGCCAGCGCGGAATAACTGATTTGGCCACACGCCCAGCATGGTATCTCGCATACTGCTGTCAGTCTGCGAGGATACGTATGTTCAAGTTGCGGACTGCTCTGAACTTCGTCTGGTGAAACATCAACGGTCAAATTGTGCAATGTTATATGGAACAGACCACAAACTGCAGTTGTGCACCACTACCAAACTGGAATGACTAAGTTAGGAGAAGCGCGCTGCGGGAATATTTGGGGCTCGCTGCAACTGATAAAAGTGCAGCCGATGACGGTCATTACTCATGGTCAATGTCGATTACTTGACAGCACAGCCACAACGGACTTTGCGATCGATCGATCGCTGCAAGTGATCCGCGCAAATGCATCCCGACTGGGCCCGCGCCTGTCCTGGACACTCCGTTGTCAGTCCGGTTCAACGTTCAGGGCTTGCAGTAGCATATGCATGACGCGATAAGAACTCCTATTGGTATAAATGAAGATCATGAGCGTACACGCCCACGGGGCACTCATTGCTCCGAGAAAGTACGACACGATGACTGGAAGTGCATGACACAACGGTGTATTTTCCTCCGTCAGTCGCGGGGGAGCCTCTGGGAGCCTGCCTCTGGCCTGCCTCGTGTTGGCTAGAATCTCGGATTGATAACCATGCGTCTGGCGTGTGAAAAGGGATGAACCGTCGAGTAGTAGCCTGGATTCGGCTGCGTCATAAACGGCAACTGGTGTGAATTCAAACGAAAATCAGGATATGTATGAGTGAGCCCGACGTACGAGCATGTTGAAATGCATAACATGCTTTGGTGGTGATGGTGGCTATACAGACTAGACTGTGACCCTATGTTCTTTCGGAACAGAGTCCCAATAGATCCACTTTTTTTCCTATTTGAAGGCAACCCCATCAGCTTCCATACACCGCACCCGGAGGTTCTGAGTAACGGAGACGCGACTCAGGAATCATCATGCTATCCACCGGTGCACCAGGGCCGTCGATTCCCGTCCGCGAAGGTCCTGTCAGCTGCAAGGCTTGTCGAAAGGTATCACACGCCTTGAAAGGCCGGGACACTGCACTCAATATTTCACCAATGGTGGCAGTAGCAACATCATTGTGTTGTGCCCGTCTTCGGAGCCTTTTTTACTGTCGTTAGTCCTGGAAGAGACACTTTCCGAACCTTGACGAGGGTCAGCTTTCCCCGAACGAGGTACGTATCTGGCCGGAAATACCGGCCCGGTTTAGATCTGATCTCGCGCTACCTCCTTATTCAAGCGCTCAAAGCTTCGACGTCGGATCTACATAGAATCGGATGTGGTCCTCCGGCTCGAATCAGTAAGAAATATGGCATACACAAATAGATCTCGGTCCGATTATATTTTTACATCTCAACTGTCCATACAATTACATATTTCACTCAAAATCGTCGAACCCTGCACTAGGTCCTCCTGCGGTGAACTGCACGACATGGACGCCGGTGGTTGCAGCGGTGTCATCATCGACATCGAGTTCGCCCTTAGCCATGTACACCTGTGCCGCCCCCTCTTCTTCGCCCATGATCACGTCCGCAGGCTCGTCGTCATCCTGGTCTTGTACGGGAGCCAGGAAGTCCAAACAACCCTTCCAGCACCCTCGCCACCGCACAGGCACACCCGCGCCGTCGCACTCCGCCCTCACGTCCGTCCCCACGATCTCGCGCTCCCAGGTGAACCGCTCTTCCCCATGTTTGACGAATACCGGGATGCGCCCGTCCACCCAGTCCCCGTCCGGCGTGCGATGGACAGGCGAGGGACACACCCCGATGCTCGGAGGAGGCTCTTCCGCGTCATCCGCATCGGGAGTAAGAGGTGGACGCGTTGTGTCCGCGGACGGGTGCCGGGCTTTCTTGGACGGCGACGGCTGTGCGGCGGGCTTGGCGACAGTGGAGGGGAGGCATGCGCGGAGGGTAGCAACGAAGGTTGGAGGCAGGCTGCGGTCCGTTCCCGAGAAGGGTAGCGCATAGAACGTTTCCAGTACCGTCTCTGGGCGCCGCTCACCTCGCTTCTTCGAGCCGGCAACGGGCGAGAGCAGGAGGCGGAGGCAGAGCTCGGTGAGTGGCGGGATGGTGAAATGGACCGTGGTCGGCGACACGCACGCTCGGGTCGGTTCTGAGACAGGGCGTGTATGTGCCCGGCTTGGACGAACCGGCGGATGTACATTGTCCGGATCCTCGTCGGGAGGAGGCGGCCGAATCCACCGGTTGTTCGTGACCTGGATATTCATCGGCTGCATGCTCAGTATCTCCGAAGGGAGCCAGCGAAGCCTGTTGAATGGGATGTACAGCTCGCGAAGGTTTGTAAGTTGAGCGATCTGAGACGGCAAGACGGATATGCAGTTCGACCCTGTCATAGAGATTACTCATGAGCACAGGCAACATTAATACGAAGGAAGGACCGACGAAGAGCAAGAATGGTTAACCCAGTCAGTTGAAACAGCTCCAGGGGAAGCGACCTGATCCGATTGCCAGACAGCCACAGCCTGAGCTCGCAGTTGTTCCCAGATGTAGAGACAGGAAGCATGGCAGATGTGGCTGTTTGCACAAGCGCGGTACTGTCGGCCTTCTGCAACAGCTTTCGGGATACGTCAGCATCGAAGAACGGCGCGGCGCGAGAGGATGACGCGGGTAGTGTGACGGAGCGCGTGAAAGGCCGGTAGGTAGGAGCAGAGGTGATGGGAATAGTGTTGTGAGTAGAATGTGAGGAAGGTAGGACGACGAGACCCGCAAGGTCGGAAATGAATGACGGTATGTAGGTGAGAGGTTTGTTCGTTAGGGACGCGTTGCTTGGAGATTTCCGGTTAGCTCGCAGCAGACAATGAACGCAGGCGGAAGCGCGAGAAGACAACGCACTGCAGGTCTATCTCCCCATTGCCATTCTCTATCGCGCTCGCAATCTTTTCCTCCCAGATCTCCTCTTCAGTAGTCGCCAGCCGTGACGGGGGTAGCGCATCGAAGTCGTCCAAGTCGATGTCGTCGTCGTCCCCAGCATTCTGACTGAACGAACGTTCATTGAAGACCACGCTACTTTCGGCTGTCTCAGTTGACAATACAGTTGATGTTGAGTATGCGCTCGTCGCAGATACAGAACGCGACAGAGGCTTCTTCTCCCGACGGGGCGGCTCCCACGTTGCGTGTGCGGAGGCAGCGTATGGATCCATCGGTGCTAAGGAAGATATAGACGCGTTCTTTCCGTGCTCACCGCGAGTACCACTTCCGCGATGCCTCTTCGTGTGATCTTGCGAGTGGCTCCGGTGCTGCGTGCGAGGAGGCGTCGGGTGAGGACGGTCGCGTGCGCCTTTGTCGCGCTCCGGGGACGCCTTAGTGGGGTCCCATCCCAGCAGCTTTACGCGACGTTCAGAATCGTATTGCCTTGGACGTCGTGTCCACTTGTTTGAGCCTGCATATGGATCCGATGGGCCTGGAAATCCGCGGAGTGGCGTCGTGATTGGGCTCATGCTAGGCGACGAGGGCGGAGAAGAGTCAACGGGTCCTAGTGCGGGCGACGATGGAGGTGATGGGGAAGGTGAGGAGCCTGAGCTCATTGCGAAAGGGTCGTCGAGGTCGATGTCGGACATGGTGGGTGTATGATACAGAGCAAGAGGGAGTCGGCCGCGCGAGTGGGAGTGACATAAAGGGCGCGCTAGTCGCCGTACGTAAAGCTTTAAAGGGCCGCGCGCACATGACCGCGTCCCATTGATCCAAGGCACGCTGAGCTTCCTGAGCTCAGTCTTGAGCAAATTAAATGCAAATTCGTGGAAAGGGGAAGTCATTCAGGATGGAAGGGCTGGATATTTGAATGCTTCAGTGTTTCCAATGGTAAGTACGCAGCACTTCATGATTATTCCAGACCGTGACTCAGGACGAACAATCGACCTCAGTAGTTAGATCAATGCTAGAACATAATCTCTGCGTCAAGTATTCTTCCCTACGTCTCCTTGGGACTCAGTACTCAGGCTAGTAGTAACTAATCCCTCCTCCGTTCAATGTTATCTAGTATTCGAATCACACTGCAGCCTACGGCGTGTGGACTAGCCTGGCAAGCCAGCGCGAGACCAGCCTTATGAGCACCATGACAACACCGTTTGAATGGCCTCTCGTTTTCGAACAGTCCGGGAGCCGGGTAGATCCTCACAATGCGCAGCAACTGGAGAAGGGCACTCAGGACATTCGTAAATCATCACGTTTGCAACAATGCAAGTACATGTCGCAATGCTACTCTTCCGTCCGGCACACCCCGTCCTAGCACTTCGCACCCGGTGCTGCCGTTGTCGCATCGGTGCTCGCTGGGTAGCACTGTGCGTTAGACACTGTTACGCAGATGTTGTTCCCAAAGGGCGACCTGACGGAGTAGGAACCGCTCGTCACCTTCCTCAACTTCTTTGACTTCCTCGACTTGCCTGTGCTGGTGTTGAGCGCAGCCATGATCGCATCCTTGCATACGGCGGCAACCTGGTCCCGCGTGTACTTGTGCGCAATGCTTGTCGCCTTTCCCTCCGCGTCGCTATCAATCCAATATGTCTTCTTCTTCAGAGGAGAGGATAGGGTCAGGCGGGAAAAGCATATGGGGCGAAGCAGCTCACCCCCTTGCCAGTGGAGTATGCCAATTGAGCGAGTCCCGTTGCTGCGTTGATCTTCATGTGCGCAGCAGTGCCCTTGTTATCAGCGTGGCCGAGCCAAGTGGACGTGAGATGCCGGCCGGACTCTGCCTTGTCGGGGCGGCCATCCAGGGTGTGCGCCTTGATTTGTGTCCATACCGCATCTGCTTTCGCAGCGACATTCCATTCCCGTGCAGCATGGATCTATGGTACATACATCAACATTAACGCGATTTGATCAGGGACAGTGCGGGGTCCTTACAGCGGTCGCCTTCTTGCATTGAGTTGCAGATGTCGCAAGCCTCCCAGCGTAGTCTTCCTTCGCTTCGCAGCTTTCCGTGTTGAGTGAGAACCCACAGAGGCTTGCATGGACTGCATTACCAAAATTGTGAATGACAGCCTTTGGGAAACCACGACAGAGATGACGTACCACAAGAGTCACAATCTGTCAGACCTGAGCAGGCTATCACATCGTTTCGCGAAGGTATGAGTGGGACGGCCTGCGCTAAGAAGACAGTACAAAGGAGAGTGACAGTGGGGAAAAGAGCAGTAGTAAGACGCATGGCGGATGTACGGGACTGGTCGTTATGTTCGTGCAATAAGGAGTCCCTACGCTGGTAACTGGACGGTGAATGAGAAGGATGGCTAAGTAGTTGAATGTATGTTAGAGCAAGGCTGCACGCGTGAAAGAGGACCGGCCTGACTTTGAACAGAACTATGTCTTGCCTTTTGTATCTGGCAACCGTCAGCCTTGACACGCGAGCGTTGGTGGACACTCCTTGCGAGCGTTCGACCAAATGTGCCCGGTCAGCTCTCCAGGTGAGCGGTGGATTGTTACAAAGCGCCCGAACAGCGCCCTGGCAGATTATGTTATAGTGGTTCGGAGGATCATCCAGCGTTGTACATGCAGCATGTTGGTCAAAATGTTACCACACACGGACAATGAGTATTCACCTTGAGCGTCCAGAGGTTTGAACTTGTAAGCCTCGCTTTGGGGTATGCTCTGGGCCAGGTGCCCGAATACAAGGACGAGCATAGGGCATATCCAGTGAATGGACAGTCTGGATCATATTTTGCCCACCATGTCTACCCTGTCGACGAGTCGGCTGCTGTGCTGCAGCACTATAGCCCACGTTCATAACGTTCGCCGCATCCAGACGTTTCAAGAAGTCGACAACTGGCGTCTTCGAGCCCGCGCCCACCAAAGCGTTCCGTATCATACCCAGGCGAACACGTACACTGTTGTAGTGCCACACCTTTTGACCCCGCGTTCGCCGCGTCCAAACGTCTCAGGAGGCGCCTCTTGATCCAGTGCTCACCGAAGCATCTTGTAACGGTATCCGAACACCCCGAAGAACTTCAGGAAGGCATCGGACGGTGGGGCGGTCCCGATCATGAGATCAGGAAAGGGGCTGTGCGACATGCACGGCTATTGTTTTCGTTCAAAGGAGGTCACAGCATCTCGAGGGCTCAAAAGTGTTACATCGCACCTCCTGCTACGATCTTCGACCTTGCCCGGCTTCCACAGAGAGTGAGACGCTACATTGAATAGCGTGTGATCAGCACACTGACGTGCGTTCTCTAGCCAAAAGTACCCACCATCCGCTTCAATGTGTCCAGCCAACCCCCAGCCCCTGGCCCTCGACGACGACGTAGAGGCGTACTACGTCCACCAGTCCTATGTACTCACCTTCGGCAAAACCAGCGTCAATGTCTGGCGCGCGGAAGGACCACATGAGCGTCTCGAGCACGTAGCGCACCTCGCCCAGTTCGTACAGCCTCCGCCGTATCACCTCGACCCCGTCTTCGACACCGACCGTGACCTCATCATCATCGCCGATCAGGCTGAGGAAAATATCCCACCCTCGCTCCTCGTGTTCAGCCTCGTCGATGGTCAGCTCATCCGCAGGCTCGAGTTGTACGGCACCTTGACCGAGGATTACCTGTGGTACGCTGACGGCAAGGTCGTTGTCGCCATAGAAGAGGAACTCACCACAGCCTTGCTCTGTGACGTCCTCGGCGACGGCGGGGTCCTCGGCCGGGCCACTCTCCCCTCACGTCTCAGGGCGCGCGAGGAGAAGCGGGTGAGCACGAACGGAGGCGTGCTGCTGCCCGTCCACGTCAGACCGAACGGCGATATCATCGCGACGTCGTCCGAATCATGGGGTGACAAGATGGAGGTCCTGCGCTGGCGCGGGGCCGACGTTCCCAACTCACCGGAGCCAGACGCCAGCTTCACGCTCGAGGTCGGGGTCGAAGATGGCGATCAGATTTACCCGACATGCAGTGCGCCCCTGGACGCGAACACCTTCTTGCTGGCCGTCTACGAGGCAGACGGTAACGTCCTCCCGGTGCAATCCGCCTGCCAGACGTCGATCTATGCTATCGACACGGAGACCATGACCATCCGGTGGCACGCTAAGCCCATCGAAGGCTGGGTGCACACCGTTAAATATGTTGCTGCTCTGGATGTTATCGTCGCATTTGGACGGCACGACAACGGGGACGGCATAAAATCCGATAAGTTCGGATACGTCGTCGTCCTCGACCGTGCGACGGGCAGCCAGCGGCAGGCGGAAACGATCAACCACGGCGTGCAAGGCACTGCAGTAGAGTATTGCGGGCTCAGCGAGACCGGGGATAACCTCGCGGTCGTTGTTGTCTTCGCTGATGGGTCCGTATGCGCGGTCGACCTGAAGCGTTTCCTGGAGCATGGGTTCCCGAGAGAAGGCAAACGATTGGTGGTTTCGAGAATTCTGCCCGAGGGATCTGGCGTCAAGGAAGTAGCCATAGCTGGGCAGACAGTGATCATTTCCGTCGACGACGGCAGCGAGTCTCCGCGCAGCCTGTACTTTAGCCTCGAGTCACGGTAGAGTTTTGGTACAATGGTAGAGGTCAAGCTCAAGGCGCATAGCTCTCTGTCACGGTCACGGGATATGTGACATGGCGCGCTCCCGCCGGCAGCATCGTGATTCGTGACGGCGGTCCTCATCTCCATCATGACTGAATGCGCCCTGGTCAGTCTGACTCGACGCGATATGTCTCTGTCAAGAATGGGTTCCTCTCCGCCGCATTCGCCCACACAAACACCCGGACAACGTAGCGAGGATCAAGACCATGTCCCCGGCATTCGTGAACAACTTCGCCCCGCCACCTGCAACCGCTTATCCTGACCCTGACAGCGTCCTCGCCTCCAAGGAGCCGTACGACATCAACTTCTCATTTCCGCTGCACCTCGATACGCTCGCATGTCCGACTGTCCGTCTTACGCCGTTCGTACCAACCTTGCACGCCCGCACGCTCTGGGAGCACGTCGGCCCACGGGCGCGTGAACTCTTCCGGTACTATCCCTACTGTCCTGATACCCTCGCGCATTTCCTCTCCGTCGTCGAGAACATCCGACGACACCCGGATAACTGTGCATTCGCCATCTTCGACCGGACGCGTGGACCAGATGGACCGGGAGGGGACTCACCCGCGAATTCGGAGGACGGTACGCTCGCGGGCGTGATGGCCCTCATCAACACGTCTAAGCAGCACAAGAACACGGAGATCGGACTCGTCGTCGTCTTTCCCGCGTTCCAGAGCACGCACGTCGCGCGCACTGCGCTCGGCCTTCTCCTGCGCTACTGCTTGCAATCGCCGGCGGCCTCTCCTCCTGGGTTGGGCTTCCGCCGTGTGCGCTGGTCGGCGCACCCGCATAACAAGGCATCAATCAAACTCGCGAAGCGGATGTGCTTCCAAGAGGAGGGCGTCATGCGCTGGACGTTTTGCATACCGGACGTGGAGGAGATGGAACGAGAGGCGCATCAAGTGAAGAGAGAAGGAGAAGACGGTTGGGGACGCGATAGCGTCTGTCTAGCGATCTGTTGGGACGAGTGGGATCGGAGCGCAGGATATGGTGTGGAAAGACTGTTACAGCAGCCGTCGGGCCAATAGGTGAGCCGACAGTCGTTTGTCACCCATGCTGGTGTCTCAAGACCGTGAGGCGTCGGGTGAGGACGGTCGCGTGCGCACTTGTCGCGCTCCAGTGACGCCTTAGTGGGGTCCCATCCCAGCAGCTTCACGCGACGTTCAGAATCGTATTGCCTTGGACGTCGTGTCCACTTGTTTGAGCCTGCATATGGATCCGATGGGCCTGGAAATCCGCGGAGTGGCCTGGTGATTGGGCTCATGCTAGGCGACGAGGGCGGAGAAGAGTCGACGGGTCCTAGTGCGGGCGACGATGGAGGTGATGGGGAAGGTGAGGAGCCTGAGCTCATTGCGAAAGGGTCGTCGAGGTCGATGTCGGACATGGTGGGTGTATGATACAGAGCAAGAGGGAGTCGGCCGCGCGAGTGGGAGTGACATAAAGGGCGCGCTAGTCGCCGTACGTAAAGGGCCGCGCGCACATGACCGCGTCCCAAAGCTGATCCAAGGGGATTTGCGGCACCGTGACGCTATGATGAACTCGCTCAGGCTTGAGCAAATGCAACATTCGTGGAAATATTTTTCTTTGGCTGAACTTCATTTCCACGTATATGTACCTAGTGCGATGCAGGTTGGATGCAGGTTGAGTCGATCGACGAACCGTCGACGCGCCTCTATTACTATTAAGCGCCTCTCCACCAAGAGTCACAATCCCCGTGACTGTGACAGGAGGCTACTGGTTAATTTTAAGTACTTTACATATTTTGTACGCAACAGGAGGAGGACGTTTCGTGTGCACCTCGGCCCTACCCATGGACTCTACTCCAGGCTGAAGTACAGGCTGTGCGAAGAGTTGTAGACGGAAATGATCACTGTCTGCCCACCTACAACTACTTCCTTGACTCTGGACCCCTCTGGCAGAGGCAGTCGCCTCGAAACCACCAACCGCTCGCCTTCTCTCAGGAAGCCATGCTCCAGGAATCGCCTCAGGTCGACGGCACATACTGACCCATCAGCGAAGACGACGACGACGGCGAAGCTATCCCCGATTTGACTGAGCCCGCAATACTCTATTGCAGTGCCCTGCACGTTGTGGTTGATCGTCTCCGTCTGTCGCTTGCTGCCCGTCGCGGGCTCGAGGACAACGACGTATCCGAACTTGTCGGACTGTATGCCGTCCCCGTTGTCGTGCCGTCCAAACGCCACGACAATGTCCAGCGCAGCGACATATCGAACGGTGTGTACCCAGCCTCCGATAGGCTCAGCGTGCCACCGGATGGTCATGGTCTCCGCGTCAATGGCATAGATCGACGTCTGGCAGGCGGATTGCACCGGGAGCCCGCTACCGTCGGCCTCGTAAACGGCTAGCAGGAATGTGTTCTCGTCCACGGGCGCGCTGCAAGTCGGGTAGATCTGATCGCCGTCTTCGACCCCGACCTCGAGTGTGAAGCTCGTGTCTGGCTCCGGTGAGTTGGGAACCTCGGCCCCGCGCCAGCGCAGGACCTCCATCTTGTCACCCCATGATTCGGACGACGTCGCAATGATGTCGCCGTTCGGGCTGACGTGGACGGGCAGCAACACGCCTCCGTTCGTGCTCACCCGCTTCTCCTCGCGCGCCCTGAGACGTGGGGGGAGGATGGCCCGGCCGAGGATCCCGCCGTCGCCGAGGACGTCGCAAAGCAAGGCTGTGGTAAGTTCTTCTTCTGTAGCGACAACGACCTTGCCGTCAGCGTACCACAGGTAATCCTCGGTCAAGGTGCCGTACAACTCGAGCCTGCGGATGAGCTGACCGTCGGCGAGGCTGAACACGAAGAGTGAGGGTGGGACGTTTTCCTGAGCCTGTTCGGCGATGATGATGAGGTCACGGTCGGTGTCGAATACGGGGTCGAGGTGATACGGCGGAGGCCGTACGAATTGGGCGAGGCGCGCTACGTGCTCGAGACGCTCGTGTGGGCCTCCCGCGCGCCAGACATCGACGCTGGTTTTGCCGAAGGCGAGTACATAGGACCGGTGAACGTAGAACGCCTCTACGTCGCCATTGAGGGTCAGCGGCTGGGTGTTAGCTGGAGACATTGAGGCGGATGGTGGGTACTTTTGGCTAGAGAATGCACGTCAGTGTACTGATCATACGCGATCCAATGTAGCGTCTCACTCTCTGTGGAAGTCGGGCAATGTGAATGAACTGGAGGTGCGATGTACCACTTTTGAGCCCTCGAGATGCTGTGGCCTCCTAAGGCTACAATAGCTATTCACGTCACACAGCCCCTTTCCTGATTTCATGATTGGGACCGCCCCACCGTCCGCCGATGCCTTCTTGAAGTTCTTCGAGATGTTCGGATACCGTTACAAGATGATTCGGTGATCACTGGATCGTGAAGGGCCTCCTGAGACGTTTGGACGCGGCGAACGCGGGGCTCAAAGGTGTAGCGCTACAACAGCCTACGTGCTCATCTGGGTATAATATGGAATGCTTTGGTAGGCGCGGGTTCGAAGACACCGGTTGTCGACTTCTTGGAACGTCTGCATGCGGTGAACGTTGTGGACGTGAGCCATAGTGCTGCAGCACGGCAGCTGGCTCGGACGTCGCATGTCACGATTGCGTTGATCAATCCTAGAGCACAGGCAGACAACACCTGGCTCAGAGCTTATCCCAAAGCGGGGCTTACAAGTTCAAAGCTCCGGACGGTGAGTACTCCTTGTATTATTGTGACTAACATGCTGCATGAGCAGCACTGGATGATACTCCGAACCATGTATCATAATCTGCTAGGGCGCTGTTCGGGCGCTTTGTAACGTCCAACCGCTCACCTGGAGAGCTGACCGGGCATATTTGGTTGAACGCTCGCATGGAGTGTACACCGACGCTCGCATGTCAAGGCTGACGGTTGCCAGATATAAAAGGCAGGACGTGGTTCTGTTCAAGTCAGGCCGGTCCTCCTTCACGCGTGCAGCCTTGCTCTAACGTACATTCAACTACTTATACATCCTTCTGATTTACCGTCTGCTTACCAGCGTAGGAACTCCTCTTATCGCACGAACATAACGACCAGTACATCCGCCATGCGTCTTACTGCTGCTCTCCTCGCTACCCTCACACTCCTTTGGACTGTCTTCTTGGCGCAGGCCGTCCCGCTTACAGTCTCCCGGAACGATGCTGAAACCTGCGTAAGCCTCACGGATTGCGACTCTTATGGTACGTTGTCTATTGACTACCTCCAAGCTGTCATTCACAATCCTTGCTATTGCAGTCCGCGCGAGCCGTTGTGAATTCTCACTTGACACACAAAGCTGTGAAGCGAAGGAAGCCCACGCTGGGAGGCTTGCAACATCTGTGACTCAATGCAAGAAGGCGACCGCTGTAAGTACCCAGCACTGTCCCTGATCAGATCGCGGCGTGATGTTGATGTATGTACCACAGATCCATGCCGCACGAGAGTGGAGTGTCGCTGCGAAAGCAGATGTGGTATGGACACAAATCAAGGCGCACACCCTGGATGGCCGCCCCGACAAGGCAGATTCCGGCCGACATCTCACGTCCACTTGGTTCGACCACGCTGATAACAAGGGCACTTCTGCGCACATGATTATCAATGCAGCGACGGGTCTCGCTCATGTGCCTGTGAAGAAGAAGACACTTTGGATTGATAGTGATGCGGAGGGAAAGGCGACACATATTGCACACAAGTATACGCGGAATCAGGTCGCCAACATATGCAAGGCCGCGCTCGTGGCGGGGCTCAACACGGGCAAGTCGACGGAGTCGGTGACGAGTGGCTCTTACGCTGTCCAGACGCCCTGGGGGAACCACATCTGCGTGACGGTGTCCAACGTACAGTGCTACCCAGCGACGACCGATGCGACGGCGGCGGCACCCGGTGAGAAGTGCTAGGATGGGGTGGGTTGGGGTGAGATGGGTTGGGCCGGAGACGGAAGAGTAGCATTACTTGCATTGTTGCAACCGTAATGATTTACGAATATTCTGAGTGGCGTTCTCTAGCTGCTGCGCATTGTGAGGATCTACCCGGTGCCCGGACTATCCGACAACGAGAAGTCATTCGAACGGTGTTGTCATGGTGCTCAGACTGGTCTCGCGCTGGCTTGCCAGGTTAGTTCACACGCAGTAGGGTGCAGTATGACTCGAGTACTGTAACATTGAGCGGAGGAGGAGAGTAGTTACTATCAGTAGTACTACGGCAGTGACCCGGCTCGAAACCAAGACCAGCGTAACGGGTGAGCGCTGCAATGCTACGACCGCCGCGCTTGCCTCACCTTCGCTCAGCCGGTCTCTCCGTTCCTATCGCAGAACTAGGCCGCACCCAAGGTTCATGCAGTCGTACGGATGCGGGCCTTCGCGTACTTTGCATCGGCACGGGCGGCAGGGCTCTGCTCAGGCTTGCAAGACTCGCGTAGTAGACATGCATACGCATGCGCGCTGCGAACGGAGAACCGCAGTTTCTTCTAACAATATAGTACATACCTCCCACACATCTCCCATGAGGGCAAGACGGAGATCCAGTCATGTGCCGCATCGCGATCCCTCCTCCTCCTCCGTCCACGGTCCGAGCCGGCCCATCGAATCCAAATCGAGTCTGTCCTCTCATAGCCGTTGTTCTCGACATAACCAGTCTAACAAATTGAGGAATCCAGAAGCATGCCTCGCCATCAAAATCGAGTTACACACCTTTGCTCTTCTCGCGCCCAGTAGAGTCGTCGTGCCCATCCACTGCCTCGTCAGTTAGCCCTACCCTCTAGAGAATCTGTGTCATGGAGCATGCATTAACTGAAGCGGGTAGTAGCATTGGCTGGCCGCCGGCGGGACAACAGGGTCATTCGTCATTCGAGGCAGAATGTCGAGCAAGAGACACTGTATCCCACCCCATTCCCGCCGCGCGATCGAGCGTTATACTCAACTTTCCCGAACATTATCCCAATCCAACCGTTCCACCTGTACCACAACCCAGCCTGCGAGCGAACAATTCTGCTCCTTTTGCCGGCCTTATGATCCACGGCGGCCCACCGCTTCACACACCTATGTATTGCGACGAACGCCCTCTGTTTGCGGATCATACTATGTGGCCGAAGGCGAGTCTATGCATACAGAGGTCGCTGCCAGCTCACTCACTCGGTTCATCCAATCCTCACCCCAGTCGCGGCGAACTCCACTGCGTCTCTGTGTGCTAGGGTCGCGACATACATGTGTGCCTAACGCCGGTGCATCCAGCTGACCCTGTCTCCACGACGTTCGTATCATTGCGGGTTCCTAGGACGATCAGTGTATGCACTGGCTTTGGTGGGTTCAACTCGTCGATCGCACAATGCTAGATTATTTGATGTCTTCATGGATGGAAATATGTCGCCGTAGCGTGAAATCATCCGATACTTCACGTTCACCGGGCTTACAACCGTTTAGGCTCGCGACACTAAAAGAAAAGCGGGGATTCAGTAACAATCTTCGTTGGCGAAAACGGAGATGTACCTCGTAATGACTCTCAGTGGCTTTTGGTTCGCGCTGCGCAGACTCGAAGTCGGACGAAGGGGAGAGAGCAGGGACAACAAAGGTCGCCACAGAAGATATGTGTATATTAACCGATACCACGAAGCTCGCCGGTACCTATAGAAGAGTCGAACATGAATACACAATTTTCGAGGAAGCAGTTCTGGGCCTTCAGTGGACACCGCGAAGTCGAGGATCTCGCAGCCAATGCCGCAATAGTCCTCCATGGCCCAGATCCTGTGAAAGGCGGTGCCCGCAATACTCATGCTCAGTAAGCGACGAGTACCCGAGAAACACATACGGAGGACCAGTCTTAGATGCAGTGCACTTGATTCGGCTAAGCGCGTGGGAGGCAGGCGTATCCGAACCTTGAGCTTGTTCAATGAATGTTTTTCGATGATCAAAGAGAACCACATAGACGTGGGATCGAGGCTGCGCAGGGTATTGAACAGAGGAAGAGAATGCGCGAGAGTCAATGTCGTATTTCCATTGCCAGCGAAGGGTGTTAAAATGTCTCTGCATAGCATGCGTCGCACCAGTCCACTTACTATAGCCACATACATATCAAGACATCAGCTACAACTTGCACTGTGCGGTCGCGAGTCAAACCTAAAACTCCCCTGCATGACGAGGAACGTCCGGACCCTCATATCTGGTCAATACCCATCCTCGTCATACCCTGTTTATCTCCTCCGAGTCGAGCGCCGGTTGCCGTAGAATACGCGACCACCCCATTTGACATCGACACCATCGTATCTTCGGTATAATCGCTCCACACGCTCTGCGGTGCGGAGATGAGAGAGACAGGCTCGGACACCGATGCCTGCCGTCCGGTTCGTCTCCCCGCGCACTCAGCTGTGCGTATAACTAGGTTGAGCGTGATGCAAACGTTGATTAGGGATCCATCGTGAAGGTCAGTGCTGGATGGGCGTGTGTTCTAACGTTGGACGAGATGTAGTGAATGCGAAGGATAGCCTGGCCGTATCTTCTCTTTCATCTTCTCTTTCATCTTCTCTTTCATAAACGAGAACGCGGTCCCCACCGCGACATAAACGCTCCACATAAGTGAGCATTCTGATTGGTGGACGCGTCCGACGTATGACGCAATGCGCTTCCCACGGACTTGAACACTGCCTTGCACATGACCGCGCGACGGGGTGAGCGCGAGGGCCGTCTTCATCGTCTGCTTCCATCGCATCCCTCTCCCTCTGGCTGCGAGGAACTCCCCCTCAACATCGCGACGGTCCTCGGGCTTGGCTCGGGCGTGCTAGAGCACCACTACGAGCCCGACAGCAGCGGCACCACGAAGCACATCGAAGGCTCGACGCTGAGCACGACGAGCACGGGCACGCAAGGCAAGTGCCCAGCATGCAGACGCGGCCGACGAACGCGTGGCGAGTGTATGACACTGGCGAAGGTAAGTACAACTGCACGCGAGCTAGCAAGCTAACACAGGCGTGGGGCAGGGGGCGCGCAGAGCACGCCAACCGCGAGCGCGCAGGGCGAATGCCCACCACGAACACACGGCCGACGAACGGTCAACGCACACACCACGCAAATGGGCGGGCGAGCGGACACAAGAGCGGGGTACGAGCGAGCAAGCGGACAGGCGGATGGGCGGACGACCGTACGGAAGGATTTGTGAGACGAGCAGGTGAGTGAGCAAGCGGGTGGTTGCGCGAAGCAAGCGGTCGGGTCAGCACAGATCGCGGCGTCATGCAGCACGACGGCACACACGACGACCGCGAGCGCGCTGCGCCACAACACGCAGACGCGGCCGACGAATGCAGGACGGGCAAGCCGGCGAATGAGCAAGTCGATGGGCAAGTCGGTGAGCGGACGGGCAGGAGAACAGGTAGGCTGGCACAGCCTGAGGTGCGTCCTCACGCAGCGCGACACACACGCAGGCCGCGGGCGTGTTGGGAGGATGCCCTGGCCGACGAACGCACGCAATGCGAGCGGACGGGCAACGAGCAGGCGAGCGCGCGGGCGCGCGGACCGGCAGACGACAGCATAGCAGACAGCGCACGGCGACGGCGAACGCGCTGGGCCAATGCCCAGCACGCAGAGACGGCCGGCGACCACATACGCAGGCACGCACGCAGGCGGGGAAGCGGGACGGCGGGCGGGGAGACAGGAGGGCATACGGGCACAAGCATGGGCGACGACACACACGCCGACCACGAGCGCACCGGGCAAATGCCCAGTTTGCAGGTACGACCGACGCCCGCGCGCGTGAGTGAAAGATGCCAGACGGCGACCGTGAGCAGGGTCGGGGCGTACGCAACACGCCGACTACGAGCGCGCAGGGCCAGTGACCCGCGTGCAAGCGCAGCCGACGAGCGTCGGACGAGCACGCCGTGGGTGCGCGTACAGCGGTGAGCAGGTGGGACGGCGCGTGAGGAACGGGGGCGGGCAAGCGCGAGCGAGGAGGACGGCGAGGACGGCAGGTGCTGATAACGAGCCCAAAGTCGCGCAGGTACCAAGTACTGAGGTAGGCCAACCCGCAGTCCACCGCCAACACCAGTGGTGAAGTTACGACGAAGTTAGTGGTGACCGCGTCGCGCCACCGTGTTCACTGCAGCTCAGGCCGTATAGATTCGCGCAATAGAGAAAATAGTTACCGTGATTACAGTGTACATTATTATGGTATGTTGCGTGAGATAAGCAGAGTTGTATTGACCCACCACCACCCTGCAGACCCCTTCCGGACGCCCGGGACTTTGCGACAAGACTACCGCCATGTCTGCGAGGGGCATCCTCATCTTCCGCCTCAAAATCTATGTACATACATACTTCCTTCTGAACTCCACGTCATGAGCTGTGAACTGCATCCTGTGCAATGCACGGGTTTTTGCTAGTGTAAGTACATATGCAACACTTCATCATCATTTCAGACTCAAGATGAATAGTCGACCTCAATTGTCAAATTCAACGCTAGAACACAACCTCTGCGTCAAGAATTCTTCCCCACGCCTCCTTGGCATTAAGTATCTACATACAGTACTTACTGTTAGTCCGCTGGCAACACCACGAGGCAAATTCGCTTGTCAGTCGACGCGATGACACGACGATAAAATTAGGGGTGGCATTATCGTCATCTCAGCTCATCGGAGGTATGTACCACATTGTCACTTAAGTACAAGAAACTGCAGTTCTCCGTTCGTAGTGCGTATGTATATGACTAATATGCGAGTCTGCCGTGCAGAGCCGTGTCGCTCAGGCCGACGCAGGCTACACGAAGGCCTTCGTCCGTACGACTGCATGAGCCTTGGGTGCAGCCTACATAGTTCTGCGAGAGGAACAGAGAGACCGGCTCCACACCCGGTACGTGTACTACGTCGGTCTAGTTCGAGCCGAGTCACTGCCGTCACGGAGTATAACTAGTAACTAAGTAATCCCTCCTCCTCATTCGATGTTCGAATGGCCTCTCGTTTGCTGATACCGGGTAGATCCTCACAATGCGCAGCATCTGGAGAAGGTCACTTAGGACATTTTCAAGTCATCACGTTTGCACCAATGCAAATACATATCTCAATGTCTGCTACTCTTCCGTCCAGCCCACCCCGTCCTACATAGTACTAGCACCGCTGACCCGGTGCTGCCGTCGTCGCATGGATGTTCGCCGGGTAGCACTGTTCGCCGGACACCGTCACGCAGATTTGGTTCCCCCAGGGCGTCTGAACAGCCCAAGAACCATTCGTCACGTGATCCTTCTTCTTGCCCGTGTCGAGCGCCGCGGCGAGCGCGACCTTGCATATGCTGGCAACCTGGCTCCGCGTGTACTTGTGCGCAATGCTTGTCGCCTTTCCCTCCGCATCGCTATCAATCCAGAGTGTCTTCGGCTTCAACTTCACAGGAGAGGATAGGGTCAGTCGGGAAAAGCATATAGGGCGAAACAGCTCACCCCCTTGGAGCGCGGTACGTTGGCGAGACCCGTCGCTGCGTCGATGTTCAGGTGCTCAGCAGTGCCCTTGTTGTCATCGTGCGCGAACCAAGTCGACGTGAGATGCCGGCCGGAGTCTGCCTTGTCGGGGCGGCCATCCAGGACGTGCGTCTCTATCCCTGTCCATTTCGCATCTGCTCTCGCAGCGACATACCACTCGCGTGCGGCATGGATCTATGGTACATGCATCAACATTGATGCGATCTGAGCAGGGACAGTGTCGGTACTTACGGCGATCGCTTTCTTGCACTGAGTCGTAGATGTTGCAAGCCTCCCAGCGTGGCCTTCCTTCGCGGTACAGCTTTGCGTGTCAAGGGAGAACCCACAGCGACTCGCGTGGACTGCAATAGCAGGTTTTTGTGAATGACAAGCTTCGCGCAACCAAGAGAGTCATGACGTACCACAAGAGTCGCAACTCAGGCTTGCGCAGGTTTCGGCACCGTTTCGGGAGGGTGTAAGCGGAACGGCCTGCGCCAAGAAGACAGTGCAAAGGAGAGTGAGGGTAGCGAGGAGAGCAGTAGTAGGACGCATGGCGGATGTACAGTACTGGTCGTTACGTTCGTGCGGTAAGCGGAATTTCTACGCTGGTGAGTGGACGGTAGACAAGAAGGATGGATTAGTAGTTGAATGTACGTTAGAGCAAGGCTGCATGCGTGAAGGAGGACCGGCCTGGCTTTGAACAGAGCTACGTCTTGCCTTTTATATCTGGCAACCGTCAGCCTTGACCAGCGAGCGTTCAACCTATTGTGCCCGATCAGCTCTCTAGGTGGGCGGCGGAACGTTACACAGCGCTCGAGCAGCGCCCTGGCGGATTAAGATGATACGTGACCTGGAGGATCATTCAGTGCTGCATATGCAGCATGTCAGTCGAAATAATACCACACGGACCGAGAGTAATCACCTTGAGCGTCCGGGGTTTTGAACTTGTAAGCCTTGCTCTTTGGGATAAGCTGAGCCAAGTGCCCGAATACAAAGATGAACATAGGGCGCCCGTATCCAATGAACAGGCAATTTGGTTCATATCTTGCCCGCAAGGTCTACCCTGTCTGCCTGCGCTCTAGGATTGGTCTAAGCAGATATCGTGACATGCGACGTCCGAGTCGGCTGCTGTGCTGAAGCACTATGGCCCACGTCCACAACGTTCGCCGCGTCCAGACGTTTCAAGAAGTCGACAACCGTCTTCTTGTAAGTTACCGGCGCCCACCAAGGCATTCCGTATGATACCCAGGCGAACACGTAGGCTGCTGTAGTGCTGCATCTTTACCCGCGTTCGCCGCGTTCAAAGGTCTCGGGAGGCCCTTCTTGATCCAGTACTCACCGAAGCATCTTGTAACAGTATCCGAACACCCCGAAGAACTTCAAGAAGGCATCGGACGGTGGGCCGCCCATCATTCCAGAGGCACGGCTGCCTATAGGGCGGTCCAGATCATGAGATCAGGAAAGGGGCTGTGCGACTTGAACGGTTATTGTTCTCAAAGGAAGCCACAGCATCTCGAGGGCTCAAAAGTGATACATCGCACCTCCTGCTACGATCATTCGATCTTGTCCGACTTCCACAGAGAGTGAGACCAGAAAGTGAGACTCTACATTGGTCCGCGTATGATCAGTATGCTGACGGGCTATGTCCAGGCAACAGTACTCACCATCATCCACCTCGATGTCTCCCCAGCCTTTGACTCTCGACGGCGACGTAGCGACATTCTACGTCCACCAATCCTATGTACTCACCTTCGGCAAAACCAGCGTCGATGTCTGGCGCGCGGGAGGCCCACACGGACGTCTCGAGCACGTAGCGCGCCTCGCTCACTTCGTACAACCTGCGGCGTATCACCTCGAACCTGTCTTCGACATCGAACGTAACCTCATCGTCATCGCCGATCAGACTCAGGAAAATGACCCACCCTCGCTCTTCGTGTTCAGCCTCGTCGACGGTCATCTCATCCGCAAGATCGAGCTGCACGGCACCTTGACCGAGGATCAACTGTGGTACGCTGACGGTAAGGTCGTTGTCGCCATAGAAGAAGACCTCACCACAGCCTTGCTCTGCGACGTCCTCGGCGACGGCGGGGTCCTCGGCCGGGCTACCCTCCCCTCACGTCTCAGGGCGCGCGAGGAGAAGCGGGTGAACACGAACGGAGGCGTGTTGCTGCCCGTCCACCTCAGGCCGAACGGCGATATCATCGCGACATCGTCCGAGGCGTGGGGTGACAAAATGGAGGTCCTGCGCTGGCGCGGGGCCGACGTTCCCAACTCACCGGAGCCAGACACGAGCTTCACGCTCGAGGTCGGGGTCGAGGACGGCGATCAGATCTACCCGACATGCAGCGCGCCGCTGGACGAGAACACCTTCTTGCTGGCCGTGTACGAGGCAGACGGTAACGTCCTCCCGGTGCAATCCGCCTGCCAGACGTTGATCTATGCCATCGACACGGAGACCATGACCATCCGGTGGCACGCTAAGCCCATCGGAGGCTGGGTGCACACCGTTCGATACTTCGCCACGCTGGATGTTGTCGTCGCATTTGGACGGCACAACAACGGAGACGGCGACAAGGTCGACAAGTTCGAATACGTCGTCATCCTCGACCCTGCGACGGGCAGCCAGCGGCAGACGGAGACGATCAACTACAACGTGCAGGGCACTGCCGTAGAATACTGCGGGCTCAGTCAAACCGGGGACAACTTCGCGGTCGTTGTTGTCTTCGCTGATGGGTCAGTGTGCACCGTCGACCTGAGGCGATTCCTGGAGCATGGCTTCCTGAGAGAAGGCGAGCGGTTGTTATTTTCGAGGCGACTGTCGCTGCCAGAGGGGTCCAGAGCTAAGGAAGTAGCTGTAGTTGGGCAGACAGTGATCATGTCCGTCTACAACTCTCCGCGCAGCCTGTATTTTAGCCTGGAGTAGAGTCCATGGGTAGAGGCGCATACGAAACATATACCTACTGTTTGGTACAATTTGGATATGTAAATTATAATATTGGTCGGTAGCGCTCTGTCAGAGACACGGGAATCGTGACTCCTGGTGGAGAGGCGCCGCGGCCCGGGCCCGCGGCGTCGTCAACCTATTGTGTATAGACTAGCAAGCCAGCGCGAGACCAGTATGAGCATCATGACAACACCGTTCGTATAGCCTCTGACAGTCCGCCGGGTGCCGTGTAGGTCGTCACAATGCGCAGCAACTAGAAAGGGTACACAGGGTATTCCTAATCATCACACTTGCAGCAAAGCAAGTACATATCGTACTAATACTACTCTCCGTCCGGCCCACCCGATCCTAGCAATTCGTACCCGGTGCTGCCGTTGTCGCTTCGATCCTCAACGGGTAGCATTGACGATCGGTCACCTTCACGCATATTTGATTCCCCCAGGGCGTCTTGACAGCATAGGAACCGTGCGTCACCGAACCCTTCGAATTGCCCGCTTTGAGCGCCGCCGCGAGCGCCGCCTTGCATATTCCGGCGACCTGTTCCCGCGTATACTTGTGCGCAACGCTGGTCGCCTTTCCCTCCGCATCGTTATCAATCCAAAGTGTCTTCGGCTTCACAGGAGAGGATAGGGTCAGTCAGGAAAAGCATAGAGAGCGAAGCAGCTCACCGGCCCTTACCGAGCGGCACTCGAGCGAGAGCCGTCGCTGCGTCGATGGTCATGTGCGCAGCAGTGGCCTTGTTATCAACGTGGTCGAACCAAGTGGATGTAAGATGCCGGCCGGACTGTGCTTTGTCGGACGACCATCCAGGACGTGCGTCTCCATCGCTGCCCATGCCTTATCTGCTCTCGGAACGACATACCACTCCCGTGCGGCATGATCTACGTTACATGCATTAACATTGACGCGATCTGATCAGGGACAGTGCGGGGTACTTACAGCGGTCGCCTTCTTGCATAGAGACGCAGATGTCGCAAGCCTCCCAAGGTGGCCTTCCTTCGTGGCACAGCTTTGGGTGTCAAGGGAGAAACCGCAACGACTCGCGTGAACTGCAATAGCAGGGATTGTGAACCACAACCGTCGGGAAAGGAAGAGTGATGACGTACCACAAGAGTCGCATTCTGTCAGTCTTGCGCAGGCTTCGGCATCATTTCGGGACGGTTTAAACGGGACGGCCTGCGCCAAGAAGACAGTGCAAAGGAGAGTGAGGGTAGCGAAGAGAGCCGCAGTAGGACGCATGTCGGATATACGGGACTAGTCGTTATGTTCGTGCGATTAGAAGAATTTATACGCTGGTAAATAGACGATGAATAAGAAGGATAGACGAGTAGTTGAATGTAACTTAGTTGGAATGTACGTTACTAGAGCAAGATTGCCCGCGCAGCGAAGGAGGACCGGCCTGACTTTGAACAGAGCTACGTCCTGCCTTTTATATCTGGAATCGACAGCTTCGACATGCGAGCGTTGGTAAACAGTCCATACGAGCATTCAACCAAATGTGCCCGCTCAGCTGTTACAAAGCGCCCGAACAGCGCCTGGCAGATGAACTTGAAGATGATACGTGGATCAAGAGGACCATCCAGTGCTGCACATGCAGTATGTTAGTCAAGATAATACCACACACGGACAAGGAGGAATGATCTTGAGCGTCTGGAGGATCGAGCTTGTAAGCCTTGCTTTGGGATAAGCTCTGAGCCGAGTGTCCAAATACAAGTATGAGCATAGGGCGTATCCAGTGAACGGACAATTTGGATCATATCTTGCCCACCATGTCTACCCTACCTGCCTGGGCTCTAGGATTGATCAGGGCAATCGTGACATGCTACATCCGAGTCGGCTGCTGTGATGCTGCGATGCACCACTATGGCCTACGTCCACAACGTTCGCCACTTCCAGACGTTTCAAGAAATCGACAACTGTCTTCTTGGACCCACCAAAGAATTCCGTATTGTATCCAGGCAAACACGTAGGCTGCTGTAGTGCTGCACCCTTGTAGCCCGCGTTCGCCACGTCCAAAAGTCACAGGAGGCCCCTCTTGATCCAGTGCTCACCGAAGCATCTTGTGGCGGTAACCGAACACACCGAAGAACTTCGAGAAGGCATCGGACGGTGGGCCATCCAGGGTCTATGGTAGGGCGGTCCCGTTTATGAGATCAGTAAAGAGGCTGTACGACATGTACAGCTATTGTTTTCGAAGGAGGCCACAGCATCTCAAGAACTCAAAACTGTTGCATCGCACCTCCTACTACGACCATTCGACCTCGCCCGACTTCGACCGAGAGTGAGACTATGCATTGGATCGCGTATGATCAGTAATATACTGACGTGCGTTCTCTAGCCAAAAGTACTCACGATCCACATCAATGTCTCCAGCTAGCCCCCAGCCCCTGACCCTCGGCGGCGACGTAGAAGCATTTTACGTTCACCAGTCCTATGTACTCACCTTCGGCAAAACCAGCGTCGACATCTGGCGCGCGGAAGGTCCAGACGGGCGCCTCGAGCACGAAGCGCACCTCGCCCACTTCGTACCTCCTCCGGCGTACCACCTCGACCCCGTCTTCGACACCGACCGTAACCTCGTCATCATCGCCGACCAGGCCCAGGAAAATGTTCCACCTTCGCTCTTCGTGTTTAGCCTCGTCGACGGTCAGCTCATCCGCAGGCTCGAGCTGAACGGCACCTTGACCGAGGATTACCTGTGGTACGCTGGCGGCAAGATCGTTGTCGCCACAGAAGAAGACCTCACCACAGCCTTGCTTTGCGACGTCCTCGGGATGGCGGGGTCCTCGGCCGGGCCACCCTCCCTCACGTCTCAGGGCGCGCGAGGAAAAGCGGGTGAGCACAAACGGAGGCGTGTTGCTGCCCGTCCACCTCAGACCAAACGGCGATATCATCGCGACGTCGTCCGAGGCGTGGGGTGACAAGATGGAGGTCCTGCGCTGGCGCGGGGCCGACGTTCCCAACTCACCGGAGCCAGATGCGAGCTTCGAGCTAGAGGTCGGGACCGAGGACAGCGATGAGATCTACCCGACATGCAGCGCGCCTCTGGACGATGATAGCACCATTTTGCTGGCTGTCTACGAGGCGAACGGCGACGTCATCCCTGTGCAATCCGCCTGCGAGACGTCGATCTATGCCATCGACACGGAGACCATGACCATCCGGTGGCACGCTAAGCCCATCGAAGGCCAGGTGCACACCGTCAAATATGTTCCTGCTCTGGATGTTATTGTCGCATTTGGACAGCACGACAACGGGGACGGCATAAAGTCCGACCGTTTCGGATACGTCGTCGTCCTCGACCCCGCGACGGGCAGCCAGCGGCAGACGGAGACGATCAACCACGGCGTACAGGGCACTGCAGTACAGTATTGCGGGCTCAGCAAGACCGGGGATAACTTCGCGGTTGTCGTTGTTTTCGCTGACGGGTCAGTAAGCGCGGTCGACCTGAGGCGATTCCTGGAGCATGGCTTCCCGAGAGAAGACGAGCGGTTGGTGGTTTTGAGGCCACTGCCAGAGGGGTCCAGAGTCAAAAAAGTAGCTGTAGGTGGACAGACAGTGATCGTTTCCGTATACGATAGCAGTGATTCTCTGCCCAGCCTGTATTTTAGCCTGCCAGTGGAGTAGAGTCATGGGTAGAGGGCCGAGGCGCCGTATACGCATGCATGTACTTACTTACTGTTTGGTACGATTAGATCAAAAGCAGTGCTGATGCTGGTACATACCATATTACACAAGTAGAGAAGTGAGACCGACCTGAACTTGAAAAGAAGCACAAACTCAGGCGACGTCGAGCGCGTTGCGCGCCGAGAATTGATTACACGCGCGTCGTCGGAGGTGAAGGTGCTCAAGTTATGTGACTCCGCTAAGGGCGAGCTACGGTGCTGGGCCGGTACATCTTGTGAACCAGACTAATGTTATAATTGCTAAGCACTTTGTCGGATCCATGCGCAGTAGGAATGGTTCTGTGGATAGAACTAGTATAGTATTGATTATAAAAGAGCTGCTGTGGCCATGATTCATGCCCTGAAATATGACATACTACCAGCAGGTACTACATGAGAGAGTCCGAGTGGGAGAAGGCAGCGACTGGCCGTACTCGAATGCAACGAAATAGGCTAAAGAATGAGCTGTCGGAAGGTAAAAGGTAGTTCCCCAGTTCCATCCTTGCAATACACTTCCCGAAACGAGGTAAAGTACTGCTAGTGTGTGATGTTTGCATTGACGATTGACTTCAGTGTGACATCCGTTGATAGGCCGAACGGGGGAGTGCGGTATGGTTAACCACGCGCAGTAGCAGCAGACACGGTGACAAGACGGTCAACCAGGAGATTTACGAGTTCTGGTAGCAACGATGCAAATACATATTTCACTACTCTTCGTCCTACCCATCCCGTCCTAACACTTCCCACCCGGTGCCACCGTCGTCGCATGGATGTTCTCCGGGTAGCACTGTGCGTTGGACACCGTCACACAGATATGGTTCCCCCAAGGCGTCTGGACAGCGTAAGAGCCACTCGTCACCGACTTCTTTGACTTGCCCGTGTTGAGCGCTGCCGCGAGCGCGGCCTTGCATATGTCGGCGACCTGGTCCCGCGTGTACTTGTGCGCAAGGCTTGTCGCCTTTCCCTCCGCATCGCTATCAATCCAAAGTGTTTTCGTCTTCGCAGGAGATGATGTCGTCAGTCGGAAAAAGCACATAGGGCAAAGCAGCTCACCCCCGTGGCTAGCGGCACTTGAGCGAGAGCCGTCGCTGTGTCGATGGTCATGTGTTCAGCAGTGCCCTTGTTGTCATCGTGCGCGAACCAAGTCGACGTGAGATGCCGGCCGGATTCTGCCTTGTCGGGGCGGCCATCCAGGACGTGCGTCTCTATCCCTGTCCATTTCGCATCTGCTCTCGCAGCGACATACCACTCTCGTGCGGCATGGATCTACGGTACACGCATCAACATTAACGCGAACTAATCAGAGACAGTACGGGGTACTTACCGCGGTCGCCTTCTTGCATTGAGTCGCAGATGTCGCAAGCTTCCCGGCGTGGTCCTCCTTCGCTTCACAGGTTTGCGTGTCGAGTGAGAACCCACAACGACTTGCGCGGACTGCAATAGCCGGGATTGTGAATGACAGTTTGGAGGCAGCCAAGCCAGAGACGACGTACCACAAGAGTCGCAATCTATCAGTCTTGCGCAGGCTATGCATCGA